GAGGGAAACTAGAGGGTTGTCCCATGTAGTGCTGGCTGTGACTCCGAGGCCGAAGAGAAAGGTGGAAATCGGATTTAAGAACCTCATCTTTATGTTTAGCGGCTTTCGTTTCAGAGGTATGGTTCCATTCATCTCCTGTATATAGCCTGGTGGGCTTCAGGCCATATATAGCCTTTCTATACGCAATGAGGGACCATCGGCCCTACCTGACATGAGAAAACGCATTCGGTAGACGAAACCCCGAGCTTCTCTGTGTGGCTCTCAAGCAATTTGGTCGTTGTCAAGCAGACACACTCGGGCTTGGCTACGAGAGCAGCTCATTGGTGCAGTTATTTTTTATACCCGGGGTAAAATGCGGGGGATTTCTGCAGTCGATGTCAATTCGGATTCGATCAACCCGATAGATCAATGATCATATAGTGAGAACAAACGATAGGTAGCTGGCAAATCCCGAGGATACCTAGTTATATTTATATTCAACATCCATGTCCATAATTAATGTATCAAAAAGTAGTTGTCGAGGGAGTTCCCGTGCGAACAAAACCCAAGTAAACACTGTTCCCTCCAGATTCCAGCCCTGAAAATGCATCCTTGCAAGAAATCCAAACTCCAAATCCAATTTCCATGCAGTGTAATGCCAGTTAAAAACAAGGGTTATCACGGATGCCCATTCTTCTAAACCAAAACTCCGTCCTGGCCCGTCTTGTCTCATAGATCAAACAGGGCTCCAGGACTGTACTGTTTACATAGTCATACGAAGTTCTCTAGTGCGACGCCGACTTGCCCGAGCATCACGGCGAGATTCATTTGCATCACTGGTCTCCGTTTCTGGTGTGTTTGTATCAGACAGCTCGGGGGTTGGGGTGATTCCAAAACTAACGCCGCGGTCTCGACGAGAGATGCGTGATTGTGCGTCGGGGGACAAAAACCGATGGATCGTGCGGTGATCCATCACTCGGGCTTCACCATCTGGGCTTTTGTCCGTTGATGGCCACTGGTATCCGTAAAGCTTAGAATGGCGTTCACAGCGCGGACATTCACGTCGCGTGAGGTATGAGTTTGACTGGAGGAACCATGAATCGCAGGTCTGGCACTCCACCCAGCGGTCATACTTCTGGGCAAGCAATCGTGACGTCTTGGTATAATCTCCAGGGACTCGGGCAACTTGTGACTCGGTCTCGACGGAGTCTACGATGAATCGCCGCTTAGTGCGAGGCTTTCGCTTTTTGGGCTTATCCACAAAAGCACCGTTGGCGCCATCTAATTTAGTGGAATTTGATAAGTCTGACAATCCTTCTTCGGGGTCAATGTCAATGGGGTGAGTGGTGACGGGCTGACCTTCAGGAGAGGCATCTGGATGATCCTCGCCGTTGAGTTCTTTCGACTCAGACGGTTCCAATTTAGTTTCTTCTGTCCTGATATTGGTTCCCACGTCATCCTCAGTTGTGGGGGCAGTTGACGTCGATGACCGGTGGGATTCATCGGCGGTGGAGTTTGGAGATCCGCAGTCCGTGGAGATAGTAGAATTAGTGCCATTTGTCCCATTTAGATAACCTTGGGCAGCTATTATTGGTTGCCCCGCCCCTGTAGCAGCTGGAAGGGGGGTTGGTGAATCATTTTGCGATGCCACTGCGGTTAGCTGTGTGATCTTTTTCTTCAACTCGGACACTGGAGGAACACATTCCGCCAGAAGAGCAGTTGGAATCAGTACAGTATCCCGGGTAGGGGTGTTGTCTGACCCGCAGGTTGAAGCTGATTCCCCAGCAAGTTCAGAAACCGAGATCTCTTCTCGCAACTTGGAAATTTGTCGTTGGAATTTGGTACGTTTACGTGGAGTGGAACAAGCCAAAGTAGAAGCGCTGTCGGATTCATCCACCTCCGAGCTGCGTCGACGCTTCCTGCTTACATTGCTCTCTTCAGCCGGTGTAGCTTCAGACACAGGGCTGGATTCTCTGCTGTTTTCCTCCGAGTCAACATGCGGAGACCAGCCATTTCGCACAGCTCTTTCGCAAGTAAGACACAGACACTCGCAGTTGTCAATTCCAAAGTAATCCTCTCCGTAGGAAACCGTGATCTCTTCTCCCTCGTGGATGTCACGCATGGCTAGGACAGACATGCCCTCGTTGCCCCTAGTTGTCAAGCTACCATTGGCATCACAGTCATGATTGGCAAAACGAGCGGGACCTAGAAAAAATGATGGCGCTTTTCGGCGACTCGACATAACGATGCTGAAGTCTTTGCGGGTTAAGCCGAGATCCAACTCTTCTTCATGGGTCATAGACACAAGCGTTCCACTCAGGTGTTTGATCTCCTCGCCCTTTTTAATAAACTTGCGAGCACAGATCGCAGCCTCATGTTGCGTGATGATGTATCGATTGGTCGTGGTGACCTCAAACGGGCAGTCTGGAAGATACATCTGAATGTACTTGCGGAGGTGTCGGCGGAACCACTCCTTCTCTCGAGGGCTACGGAGATTTGTCATGTATTTCTTTAATCCTGATATCTCCAGCAGCTTGCGTTCGGCCGTTGGGATATCCTTGTTGACAATAACATCGTGGAGAAGAATGCGTCCAACATCGTCGTCGTGGATTCCGCGGGCAGGGCTGTACTTGGTGCGGTTCTTGCGGGTGGTGGTCCAAAAATAGGCCTATCAATCGCGATTATCAGTGGACAGATATATGTATTGAATTGCAAGTAAAGGACATACGTGATCCACCAGCGCATCAGTTGCGACATCGTCATAACTGGCCAATTTAGCTAGAGTCAGGCGCTCGCGACGTTCGGCGGCGGGCGAGCTCTTTCGCGCTCTCTTTGGAGGCATGATGGGCGTAATAAAGAGCTGAAGATCACTAGAGATCAAAGCCGGAGAGAAGAGGTGGTCTCATGAAATACAGAGCAGGTGTGAGGGTAGTTTGTGGGAACAGTGGAGGGCGGAGGTCCGAGGAATGGGGTCGAAAAATGATTCGAAGAGCAAGACAAGAATTAAAATGAGTGACTGGCGGTCAACACAAGGAACATTATGATATGATTGTCACCATTGAGGCTGTTCCAGGGAGAAAGGCCTCCTTCGCAGATGTTTTTAGGGGCGGAACGGACACTCGGAGCTGAGACGTTGCCGTATCTCTCTACCTTTACTCCGTACTCTTTCCGCCTTTCCCCTTGACCTGTTGTTTTTCTCTGCTAGTAATTCTTGAATATGAAGTAATTGATTATGATGGTATTTCACTTTCTACTCCGTACAGGGTTTGTTTTGACTTGATTTTACGCGCCCAGCTTGCATACTATGCACCGTGCGTCAAGCGTCCAATACTTCCCCCCATGCCGTATCACCGCGAACCTGTTGGAGTGGAACCGGTGGAATTGCACCCAATCAAGAGGATTTTTGAGGTCAAGTGATCGTTCTTTTTCTGTCTTGGGTGTAAAATATATTATCTACTATTCCTCTATAGGTCTATTTGGTGGAATATTCACAGCTAATGAACTGCTGGGGAATCTGATGGATTTAAGTATAAACATGGGACGCTCTCTGTCGTGGGCTTCTTTAGAAGTAGCCTATAGTTTTTCGAACGAGCTTGCTTTTATGTGTATACCGGGGGTATAGAGAGGCTAGAAAAGCCAGTTTGGTTAACTAGATGGGAATAAAGTATGGGCTATATAGACAAATCAAGGGTGCTTTGAAATATGTACATATGTACATCCATGGATATATATGTATCTAGCTGATACCGTATGGAGCGAGTCAGCAGGATAGGGTGTTGTTCATATAACCAGGATAGATACGTCCGCTGATAGGCCTCTCCAACTGAGAATAATACTCCCACAAAATATACTAAGGTATGTCATGAAAAAGCGGCGCTTCTAAGGTTCTCGTGTTTCCTGAGGACGTACCTTGGCTGATATAGAGTTGGAGAATACAAAGATAGTTTTTCACAGGTACGAAACGAAATAACGTAATATAGGACATATAATAATAATTGAGCAACAGCATAATTTCATTTCCAAAGCATCCAACTTGAAATCTCATTACTTAGATATCGTATAGAAGGCATACAATATAGTTATAACCCCGGATAAACCTATTATCCGGGAAACCTCCCTCCGGCCGCGAGAACAAATTGCGGACAAGCACAATCTCCAGATCAAGTACTGACACAATGATTCAATTAAAGGTACGCAAGTAGTGTCCTGTCACTGGCTCAAAAAATACTGACCTTCGCTCCGCCAGACACTATTAAGTTGCATTGACAACTCCGGCGCCTCGATCGTCGAGTGCGTGAACGTACTGAAGAAGAAGCGGCCCGCGACAATCGGTCAGTCTCCACGGAACTCGAATGCAGCATACGGCACAGCAAAAAAGGAATAGGGAATTCGTACTAACACTGTGATTGGTTTTCTAGGTGACCGGATAGTCGTCGTCGTCCAGAAGCAGCGATCTGCAGGCTCCGAAGCCACGACCGCGGCCGCGCTCGCCAGCAAGGTCCGCCGTGGTGATATTCGTCATGCTGTTGTTGTTCGCGTGAAGAAGGAGCTGCAGCGGCCCGATGGGTCCCTTGTCCGTTTTGGCGATAATGCTTGTGTATTGGTCAACAAGTCCGGAGATCCGATTGGGACGAGATTGAACGGTGAGTGCTCCTCGGGGAGTCTTGAGATGACCAGTATCTAGTTTTAAATACTGATATCTCTACAGGTGTGGTGGGACAAGAGCTGCGGAAAAAGCAGTGGTCAAAGATCTTGTCATTGGCGCCGATCCATGTTTAATATTTCAAGTTTCTACGTTTGTTGGAAAGCGCTCTTTGTTTCTTTGATTATGTTTCAATCAATATGTATTCCTAGATAGGCATCAGAATTACCCCCATTCCGAAATCTCCACGCTTTTCCCCGTCCCTGCCCCGAAAAGATTCGCCAAACTCCGATGATATCGCGAAAGAAAAAAAAAAACACAAAAAACAAAATGTGCAAGGGTATCTGAGATTTGAGACCGTATGGGAGGGACAGAAATATCACATGTAGACTTGACCGCAGGCACAACAGACGTAGTAGAGTTTCTAAGTAAATAGGAGCGTGAATTAGCGCGTAATTTATATTAGAGGTCCAGGGACGAAGCAAAGGGTCGGTTCTCACCATTCCGGTTTCGGCAGATCGTTGTTGTGACTGGAAAAAGACGGCCTCGGTTTCTCCGCAGCTAGGACAAAGCTTGTTGGCCCGTGGGAGCTGCAAATAACAGGGGTTAGCCTATGGATGCTCACGAAGTTACTGAGCGGAGGCACAGGCCTGGGGCTCATCTTCAGAGATCTCCAGGCTGTCACCCACAGGTGGCGCATCCTCGAGGAGATACTCGTTGGGGTTGGGGCCGCAAATAGAACAAGTGATAATATCACCGCAAAGAGTACAAAAACCAGGAAGACAAACCGTGGGATCAGAGGTCACATCCTGGGTAACACCAGCAGTGTCACCGACTTGGCTATGAAGGTGGTTTTGATAGACGCAGTGGGAGGAGGCAGGCTCGCCGACATGGCAGGTACGGCACGTGAACATCAACTGGTTGTTGACTCGGTCCTCCTTCGGGTAGAGCAGGTTGGAGCTGTTAAAAGGTTAGCGAGATGTCTTCAAACAGTATATTTCTAATTTCCTTGGGTTGAATGACTTGAACAATAACATACCATTCACGGCAGAATTTGAAGTGAATTTGATCCGATGGCTTGTTGTCGCCACCACCGGCCGTGGAAGAAGGGCTGGCAGACATGCTGCAAAGATGCGTTGCGAAATTCTAGGTAGGCAGTTGTAGCGCGAGCAAGACGGATATGAAGATTCCAGAATATCGCGGGAATGGAGATAGTGGCTTGAATATTGAAAAAAGTAAACTCATATCATGGATACATACCTTCTTATTCATCGTGATGGTTGGGAGAGCGGAAGATCGAGATCACGTGGAGGATCACGTGGCTTTTTATAGTGGGCAGGTGGTGAGCCCTGTAAATTACGCTCACCCAATCTCGTTGAAGGCCTTAAATTTGTATTGAGTATTACTCAACAGCCAAGAACAACACATTTAAAAGGACTTGACTTAATTAACTTAATTAGGACGCTACTGTTGGTCTATTGAGGCCCGGGGAATAATAGAACAATACGGAGTACATGTATTCTATACGCATTGATTTATCAATGTGTTTTGGAATATTCTTTATTCGGTTCAAATGTTCATGTATGCATAAATTCATGCAAATATACTGATCTTATGTACCTGCATTAGGACCTGCAGTATATGTCGCCTTCATAATTGCGAGTATTTCTATGTGACATTATTGATACATTTGGACATGTAGGTACTCCGTACATATAGTTTTTATCCGAAGGTGATCATGGACGGCGGGAGCTTAAGCTCATGTTTGTATAGTTTGCAACTGGTTCACCTTCCCCCGCAGTTTCGCAACGGTTGTTAGGACTAGATCGTTGTATCGTTTACTTTGCGAAATCCGTTGGATATTGATCTGTACATTATTATTTACTCAAAAATTCTCAAAATCTTTTAGATCCGATCTTGCAAAATGGTAAGAATCATCCCTTCTCAAAAATTTGCACAGGCTGACTTCTTTGGACATAGGCCGACACAGGTCTTCCTACCGGGTGGGAAGTTCGCCACTCCAACTCTAAGAATCTCCCATACTATTTCAACCCTTCTACAAAAGAATCTCGCTGGGAACCACCTGCGGAAACTGATACCGAAAAGCTCAAGGTCTATATGGCGCAAAACCACACCCCGGCTGGTTCTCGCCCCGACGCCTCTGGCGAGGGTGAGGGCAAGATCCGTTGCAGCCACTTGCTCGTCAAGCACCGTGATAGCCGCCGTCCCAGCAGCTGGAAGGAGGCCAACATCACTCGCACAAAGGAGGAGGCTATCGAGATTCTCAAGGGTCACGAACAGCGCATTCAATCTGGAGAGACCACGCTTGGTGATCTGGCAGTCTCTGAGTCAGACTGTAGCAGCGCTCGGAAGAAGGGTGATTTGTGAGTTCTTTTTTTTTTCTCCCAGTAAACTGCATGTCATACGTCTTGCTAACTCATGGAAGGGGCTTCTTTGGCCGCGGCGAGATGCAGAAGGAGTTTGAAGATGCCGCTTTTGGCCTACAGCCTGGCGAAGTCAGCGGCATCATTGAAACAGCATCCGGGGTTCACCTCATTGAACGGTATGTTCAACTCCGAAAGTGAAGTAATGCAAGGCTAATCTCAGGCTTTGGTATCCAGTGTCCAATAATCGCATGTTTCAGGCTATGTGTTGGGTCAATTCCGCTGCGAAAATTTCGATCGCATCAGTGCTTTGCAAACCCTAGTCTCACTTGGAATAATGTTCAAAAGAAATAAGCCACAATGAATGAAATGCTATCTTTGTTCTCTTCTGACTTAGAGTGTCTTGTCTCGGGCAGGAACAATCGAGTAGTGGTACCCGCGACAACCCTTCACCCAGAAAGATGCCAACGTACTCTTTGAAGATGAAGAGTCTCAAATTGTCCAAATTTTGTGAAAGAAGGTTTGAATTGCAACAGACCTTGAAGATTTGTTTGGATTTAACAAATGGAACCTCGAGAGATGTGCCTCCAGGGCTGATATCGACCTTACCTAACCCCCAACTCTAATAGACTCTGCCTTAGGCTAATAACATCAAATTTAGGCTTAGTAGCTTAATGGAGTTTTTGGGAAGTTTGGAGGATAGGAAAGGTAAATCGAGAACCAAAATTCAGCCGCGGGATTACATGCGTCGAGGTCTAAATAAGCATGTCAAAGGGCATTGAGCGAATACAAAACATTGCTCTTACAGACGAGACATCGCCCAGCTTCTCTAATTTCCTCCTATCATATTTCCTCTCACTCTTTCTTTTCCACCCACAACTTCTCTTTACCAACTTCTTTCCCCCACACGCTCTTCCTATAGCCCCCAACAACAATGAGCAGCATCACGCTTAAACTCCGTCAGAAGCGATCCATGCTCCGACTTCTTAATGAAGGCCGGTCGATTCTCGAGTACAAATTCGAACCAAACGCTTTCATAATCCCCCAGTGGATCTTGGCTCCCCCCGAGGTGCGCAATGCCATGACCACCCTCCAATACAAAGCTATGGTCGCAATCTATGGCATGAAGAGCCTCATGGTGACCCGCGACTCCCGTTACTTCGAGCTATGCCCCAAGAAACCATGCTCCATTGCCTACCAGCTCCATCAATCCTCCATGCGCCGTCTTCTCGAGTGGAAGGAGGACTGGGACTTCGATAACCCGACCCTTGCAGCCGCCGCCAAAATCCCCCGTGACTCTCTCCAGTTCTGCGTTGACCCAATAGCCTACGGAAGGTTTACCTATGAATACACCGATAAGATCGACGTTTTTATGTCTGGTGCTTTCCAGAGCTGGCGCCAGCTCCGCGATGAGGTCGGACACCTTGCCTATCGTCTCATGAGCCACAGGCCATATGATTACAAGGAGTGGCGAGGTTGGTGGGAGGGAAAGTTTGCTCATGAGATGTGGAAATGGGAAGTTTGCCTTGAGGGCCTGATCCTGCCTACCTGGGAGGAGATCATTGATGATGTTTATCTGATGATCAGCGATCGAGTCGAGAATGCACAAGACCTGGCCAACTCATTCTACATCAGCAGCCCGATGTAGGTTTCGACGACTTGACTTGGCCTTAGGCAGCTGGCATTTGATTTTATGCAATGATTCAATGGATATGACAACAATTACAGCAACGATGTGACTTTGGATTTGGGTCTGGTTTTGGCGCTGGTACAAACATGGCGGCTTGATGGGAGTGAGGGCACGTAGGAATAACTAGGAGTTTTGATTCTGATTTCTTTTTTTATTTTATTTCTTTCCTTCCGAAATTCTGAAATGAACCAAGCTACAAAATAAGTTCACCGTGGAATATATAACCTATGATGGATTATGGCAGTTCAGGGCGAATGCAGCGCGTATAAATATGTAGTAGTTATTTGACCCAAATGAACCACGGTGAACTTGGTTTCACAACACTTGTTTTTTAACATACTATTACTTCAGATCATTATGAGATGCTACTTAGACCATGAGAAGCCTATCATCTGATATTTAATTAACCAATGAAAGAAAAGTAAAACATTGATTTGCCCTTCAACGGTCACGTGTATATTTGAACCCTACATATCGATAGTAGCCCTGGAGGAGAACAAAAAGAGCTACTTAGGTACCTTATCATTGTTTGTCTTCTGTAAAAAAAGAAATTAAGCAAAGAAATCAGGCAAACAAAGAGAACCAAACAAAGAAACCCTAGGAGGGGAAATACAGAGAGAGCAACCAAGCCTGAAGGAACATGTGGTCTTTGTGCAATTTGGAACTGTCTTTAGAGTTGTTTTCTCAACAAAAGCTCTCTTCTATGAATATAGCCTGAATGAAACTCTCAAGTGAAACTATAAGATATAGAGTCTCTCATCCGTACTCTCCACTAAACCTTAGCCACCAAGGTACCGGCGCAACAGAATCTGAGACTCCCCATCCTCCAAAATGTGCATCTACTGGACATGCAAATATACACTGTGCGGCTGTATATGGGATATAGACCCATCAAAATGCCGAGATAAGCGCCTCTGCTGGGGTCCAAGAATGATAACGCTTGAATCCCACACAGCGACTTGCGGAGACTGTTGGGCGAGAGGGGATAAGCGGGTTTTCGAACAACAAACATGCGACGAAGCTGATACAGACGGAGAAGCATCTGAGATGGTGATGTCAGGCTGTGAAAGCAGCACAGATGAGAGTGTGGATAGTTCCGACGATGAAGAGGGCTATTTTTCAGCTGAAGAGTTCTTGTCGCCATCTTCATACTCACGACCTGCGACCCCACAGCTATACTATGAGCAACATTCGGGATTGTGCCCCGTATCTGAAGATAACGATTTCGATTTGACTAGGACCTGTGACCCGGTGGATCTTGCGTCGATGGGGAAGGACTATCGAGCAAGGCGCTACAAGACGAGCTCGTTCCAGTACTTGTCGGATGGTACGGAATCTTTTGTTTCTTGTGAAGAGTACCTCAATGAAGGAACTCCTGCCGAGGAAAATTTCAGTTCTGGGAGTGAAGAAAATGATATTTAGTCTGGTAGGTCGAAAATCCGGTTAAAAGCATGGAGGACCGATAATTGCTGTCATATATAGCTCAATGCAGGAACAATCCCCAACAGGAGAGCAGGAGATATATGAAGGGTGGACTAAAAGATATTGTCAAATGTGTTAGTATGTTGTAGGCTGCATCGTTTTCCTGAATGGTCTTGTATTTTAGTGTAAGATGTTCATTTATTATCTCGGGAATTACAGGACCAGCATTGGATTATTGTGCATATAGGAACAGTATGAAGAGGTGTGGACCCATGAACAGAGCAGCCGTTTGAGGCTATCTAAATCAACTAGGAGGAATATACCAAGATTGACATATTGTAACAACGATTAATGGCTTTATAACTTTTGGATGAATCGCTTAGGATAGCCATGTTCAAAATTGAAACAGTGGCTTATCTTACAAGCCTTGTGGATTGATGCGTAATAATAACATACAGGTGAAAAACTAGATCCCTCTAACAACACGCAGAGCTAGACAGTTCACAGGCTCGTGTTCAGTCGTTCTAAACGGGAAGTAATCGCATCAATGACAGCGGACCTGGAAGAGGTTAGTGATTGATTAATTACCAAGTAATTGAAAGAAGTAGCTTACTCTCGTTCGACCATTCTCATCGCGTCTGCAACCTTGGCCCGTTGCAGTCTTTGGGGAACCTTAGGCTGGCCCCCAGGAGAGGACGGAGTTCCAAGTTCTGGAGAAGGCATTTTGCCCATGACAGACTTGGTTTGGGCCATAAGGTCCAGAGCAAGGCGTTTGACCTAGATAGTATGTGAGTATTTCTATTTGAGACGAATACCAGAAAGACAAAGCTTACAGTGTCCAGCCGTGAGATCAATGGCTGATCCTCCTCTTGGCCTGCACCCTGTTGCAGGGATGCAGACAACGCATTCACCTCGGTTATCCAAGCCTTCTCCCTTTCACTCAGAGGGCGACCTCCAGAATTCAAGACCTTTGTGCGTAGTGCCTCGTATCGTCGGTTCAGTTCACTTTGCCTATCCTGGGCGGCTTGCAATCTCTTATCCAGCGCGTCTCCGTTGCGGACTCCCTCCTTGCGATTTCCATCTTCTCCAATCTCACTTGTCACACCCTTGACACGTTCTGCAACATCTGCAAGCTGTTTCAATTGGTCCTGCATCTCGCCCTGCAGCCGTTCACAACGGCGGAATAGATCCGAAGCAGCTCGCTCAAGAGCATTTGTATGAGCAGATAGCACGCGATGCGCAGTAGCCACAAGGTCCAATGTCGCAGGAGATAGGCGCACTTGTTCCTTGAGCGTATGGCGTTGCCGGTGTGGGACGTGTTTTTCGACAAAGGAATCCAGCGGAGAGTTGGCGTAGAAAATGGCGGGAACTTGATACGGGGCCCGGCTTGGGGGCAAAACAGGCAAGCCTGACGCTGGCGCCCTGGGCTCATACAGCGATTTGTTCAATTCCACGGACAGAGAATCTTCTGGTGTATCCATTACAGCTGCATAAGGGTTAGATGGATGATAAGTGAGGAGCAAGTAGCCAAGGTCGAAGTCATAGAAGACGAGAGACGAGGCTAGGTGTTCATTCTGCGTGATGATATCGGCATCCGAAACCTGCAAAATTTTCTCTCGATTGCTCACATTCCCGTCACAGAGAACCTGGAGACGGAAAGCGGAACCTGCGGTGTCTTCAGTTTGCAATTCAGCCTCCAGTCTCTGTACCCAATCGGATAGAGAGAGGAACACCACGTTCGTCGCGGTTGTGACAAAGAACGAGTATGGAGAATGGACATCCTTAGTGAAAGTAGGCCATGTATTTGTTTCATCTCCATTCTTGATTGTATCCAGTGATTCGACCAAGACCAAATCAGTCGGCTCCGAAAGAGGAGTTCGGAACGCGTTCTTTCTAGATTTGGGTAGCCATTGTCCTTCAACACCATCGAGCTCCAGACAGATGTGGACTCGGCCATTCCCGCTAGTAAGAGAAATAACTGTTGCCGAAAGCTTGTCCTGATCTCCGGTTTCCACGGCTAGTTCTTCTTCTTCGCCCATCATGAGATCCTCGACGTTTAGTCTGGCAGCAATGACAAGAAGATCACAGAGATCTAAATCATCGATTTCATCGCCATTGTCGAAGCAGAAAGGCCCCTGTAATCTTGGAATGGCGCTAGGATTGGCCGGACGGGTGAACACATCTGCGCCTTGGATTGTTTCTGATCCAGAAGACCCATCTAGAGGCTCTTGTTCATCAAGCTCGGACAGCCAGTCATACTGTTGCCGGCAGGCAATCAACTCCTCCTCCGATTCCTCGGACTCTTGTTCTAGAGCACCGAGTTTCGGAATAATCGCAGCAGAAAGAGAAGGAATGGTCGTAGCAGGGGCTTGCCATTTGGATGGCAGGAGAGGACAGAGCGCATAGAGATCACCGGGTCTCATCGCTACCCACAGGGTCATAGGCGCCCATGCATCCTCTTTCTCGTTCCCATTGCCAGCGAAACAGGCTGAGGCAACCTCCATGTCAATGGCATCAGCAGAGAATCCCTTGCTTTTCCCAAATCCAGAAGGTGAGAAGTCTTGGTCAGATGAGGTCCCATCAACGAGCTTCTTTAGGTCGATTGCCAGGGTCGGCTGGTCAAAGGACCAGTGGTTATTCCGGTCCAACTCCCACACACGCACCGCAGCATCAGCTGTGATGGTAACAATACACCCCCCTAGATTGGTTTGCAACCCTAGTGGATGCCATAGCGCGGAGACCACCGGCGCCTCGGGAATAACATGGGTCGTCGGTCCTAGCTGATATGTTTTCAGCCGGATATTGTCCGAGTCGGAGGACGAAAGGTGTGAAGAATCGGGGAGAACGGAGATATGAACGGTGTGTTCAGTGACGATGGCGAGGAAGGCACCGTTCGGGGAGGGGATGATCTGTTTGATCAGTCCGTACACAGGCACGGCTAAAACCTGCGGAACTGTTAGTCGCAATGCACTTTAACCCGAATCTGGTTCTCTTAAGCGTATTAGGTGTTCATACCCTGTAGGGAGGGAGCTGGGCGTTGTCAGTTTGCTCTTCAGCTTGACCAGCAGATCCCTTCTTTTGCTTAATCTCTTGTTGCCATTGGTCTTTGAGTCGGGCAAGGTTTGACCACCGTATCTCATTGTCAATAACAGCGAAAACTTCATTTCCCCTCTTAGCGATCGTTCGCGTAGCTCCATTGCTCATATCCTTGTATCCGGTTTGGTTCTCCGCTGGAGTTTTGGCTGAACTGGACAAGAACTTTGCGCCAGGCGAGGGCCGGCATAGCCAGGAAGGCGCATAACTGTTGACCTTCGGCATTAAGGATGACTGGTAAATTGAATTGTATAGTCGGAGTTTATGAAGAGCTTCAGACCATCCTGGAGCGGTCGGAAATAGCAGACAAGTGGTGCGGGTGAAAAGCGAAGTAGACCAAAGCAAAGTTGTTGATGCGGAGTGGAATTCTTGGGTGCCAAGAATCTCTCGCAGAGCTCCGAGCTGCTTTGCTTCCCCAACTACCTTCCGTCAAGCACACTTCAAAGTTCAACTTTTAGTCTCAATTCACCATGAGCTTACTGGCTGTAAATACAGTCGACCGACTGGATCGACCCAGTGCATACTATGTTAGCAAGGTGAGTACTCGTCCTGGATTGCCCTTTGTCAAGGTGTCAAAACCGGTCCGAATGGGCTATAGAGGCTGAACAACTGTACACAGAACAAGCGACGCAGATTTAATGATCGCGAGGATGAGGAGCAACAGCAACAGGAAAAGCCTGATGAGAAATTGAAAAACGCGACAACTCTCTATGTGGGAAATCTGTATGAAAGCATGCAATAATCTAGACGCAATTGCCGTTACTGACCAACCCAAGTTCATTTTATACCACTGAAGAACAAATCCACGAACTCTTCGCCAAGTAAGAATGCGCCTTCGGTTCCCTTCGAATTATGATTAACCTCGAATTTCAGGTGCGGTGAGATCAAGCGGCTTGTAATGGGCCTCGACCGATTCAACAAAACACCCTGCGGCTTTTGCTTCGTCGAGTATTATACCCACCAAGATGCGCTGGACTGCTTGAAGTACATCGGAGGAACAAAGCTGGATGAGCGGATCATTCGGACAGACCTTGACCCTGGATTTGAGGAAGGACGACAATTTGGGTATGTGGTCTTCACCAATGGCGGCTACAAGCTAGTAATGGCTGACTTTCTCTGCAGACGAGGCAAATCGGGTGGTCAAGTGCGTGACGAATACCGTGAAGAATACGATCCGGGCCGTGGTGGATATGGCCGCGCCTACGATGAGCAGCGCCAGCGTGAGGAGGATGAATACGGTGCCGGAAGGTAGGTAGGTCAGGACATAATGGAAAAGTACTGGCTTGGCAAAACAATGGCGTTACTTCATGGGACGGTGATTCCAATTAGCAGAAACAGGAAATGTCTATTCACCAAATACCCTATTTACAATTTTCTTTTCCCCCCATCACCTTCTAATACTAGTGAATTATTGCTTTAACTTATCGCGTTTCAGCACTGCTGCTTGAACTTCGTGCAGCCACCAAGTATGGATTCTTGCGTCGCCTGTCAGCTCCGGGTGGAAGCTGGTGCCAAATACATTGCCCTGTCGCACTGCAACAATGTCGCCAGTTTCTAGGTCTGGATTGACGTCTCGACCCGCCGTGGCATTTTGAGCTGCCGGTCCCGCCAGTGTTGCTAGTACCTCGACGTGCTCTGCTGTTGCTGCTTGCGCCACCAAGTCCCGCGCTTGTCTGGATGGTGCCACAACAACGTCGTCATATTGAACCTCTTCTGTTTGAACGCCCTCATGGTGAGGGAGGATTTTTTCCACGATAGGGGCCCGAATGAATACTGCTGGGAAGGGAGGCGCATTCGGACCCAAGAATGGTAGATCCAACGGGCCTTGGAAGCTTTCTGTCTGTCGGCCGAAGTGGTTTCGGTTCACTCGCACATCGAGGCCACCGATCAGCTCTTGCCCGCCCTTCTTCGTCTTATTGGCAGACTCAGCTAGCAGAATGAGCCCGGCGCATGTACCCCATGTTGGTTTGCGATCCACTCTGCGCATACCCAACGTATTAGATCGAATTGATATGAATTGACCGAAGTCACTTACTTTACAAATTCCCGCAATGGCTCGAGAAGATTTGATCTCGCTGCGACCAAAGACATGGTGGTACTCTCGCCTCCGGGCAAGACTAGGCCATCGCATGTTGCTAGCTCTTGTGGCGTCCGTACTTCAATGAAGTGCCATTCCGACGACGGCAGTTGCTCGGCAGCTTTTTTCAAGAGCTGCACATGCTCAAAAAATGCGCCCTGTAGGGCCAGAACCCCGACGGTGATAGCCATTGTCTATAAAGATAGGAATTGAGGACCATCCGACCTCGGGTTCTTCTTGATATTGATGACTCGTTTATAAGCACGTGACTTTGACTTTGGCGGGGAACTTATCCTCACGTGATATGCTCTTATCTCCATCTAAATTCCACGCGACATCAAGAACAGACGAGGTCCCATATGTGACCTTTGTCTCCACGTACCATTAGATATAGTCAAACAGTATTTCCACGCTTACTCATTTCTCTACCCGCTTTTCCAAAATTTTCCAAAACACGCGGACCTATTTCCACGCTCGCCCTATCTATCTGTTCCCCGCTATCTTAGCTCCACGCACAAACCAGTGGACACCCGTGGACATTGTTGTCTTGTCGGCACGTGCTTCAGGTAGATAAGACCCTCGATAAGGCGCCAATATAGCTTCGATCTGGGATGCGGAGCATCTTTGGTGCGAATATATGAGACCCTGCGATAACAATACAATGGTAGACCTCGGTGTATCTAAACTGGTGAGTAATTACAGGGCCTTTAGGAATGCACCCGGTTAACCTAGTTTAGACCAAAATGGATCTCAATGAGATCAAACAGAGTGACCTCTCCAATGAGCCTAACTCGGACTTGATTGATAAATCTATGATCGCCCAGCCTACGTTAGTCCGATGGTACATTGATGTCAGACATTGGGATGAAAAACCTTTTGATCTTCCTTTACTCGAAACCTTAACTCCGTCTGACCAGACAGCCGTCAAGAAGTACTACCAAACTTCGGACAAGCGCCTGTCCTTGGCCTCCCAGCTCCTGAAATATTACTACGTGCACCAAGCCACTGGCACTCCCTGGAGTAAGGTTAAGATTCAGCGTACTCCCATTCCCGAAAATCGCCCATTCTATGACTCAAGTCTTGATTTCAACGTCAGCCACCAGGCTGGTCTTACTCTGTTCGCAGGCACGCGTGCCGCAACAGCCCACTCCTTAACCGGTGAACCACAAGGCTTGCCTCGGGTAGGCATCGACATTGCCTGTGTCGATGAGCCCTCTCGTCGTCGAGCTAATCGTCCCCCGAAGACGCTTGCCGATCTGGCCACTTTTGTGGATGTCTTCACTGATGTTCTCTCACCCCGTGAGCTTGCAACCATCAAGAACCCATACGCGACCCTCAAATTGGCTCGTGAGCGTGGTATCAGTAAAAGTGACCCGAGCAAAGATAATGAGGAGGTTCTTGCCGCCTACGGCATTCGCTTGTTCTACTCGATTTGGGCTCTCAAGGAGGCTTACTTGAAAATGACCGGAGATGGCCTTCTGGCCTCTTGGATAAAGGATTTGGAATTCACAAATGTCATCCCCCCCGAACCCGTTCAGAAACTCGGATTTACTGGTCATCATCTCCCCAATTCTACTCTCATTGCACCCTCAGTCCAAAATTGGGGCCCGCCTTACTCCGATGTCAAAATCTCCTTAGGTGGCATTCCCAACCATTCCGTGCGTGTTCAGCTCGTCGGGTTCGAGTCCGACTACATTGTCGCTACAGCTGCGTCAGGCCCCAATATCGGAGCCGCTCCTCCGCAGGTGGTCATGAATGACAACGATCACCACCTGCCCGGGTACATCACAGTCCTCGATCCTGAGAATGGATCTCAGAACGTCCGCATTCCTCCCCTTGCGCTTCGCACAATTGGTGACCGGGACCCCTGGCGGGTGCACTCGGCAATCAGCGACCCCTGGTTGCCCATGCAAGAGGTCGATATTGACATCGATATCCGGCTTTGCGCCGAGGGCCGCTGCGAGCACACCCGGAAACTATAAGCTTCCAAGCCCCCTCTTCCTGGGATATGGCCAGGTAGTCATCCCCCGAGTTACTTGCATGTTCCATCTCCTCATCCATATTCCTTTTTGAGCGAGCTTTTCGGCGTGATGATTCCCCTTGAGCATATGTCTGTGGATTGCCTTGTAATGATTAACGAAATCGAAATGCCTCCTTTCTTCCATCTCTAGGCCTTATATTGTGAATACTAGACCGTCATATTCCAAGCGTAATCCTTTCTGGCCTAGTTGTAATTATTTTTCCAGAACGCTAGGTGAGTGCTGATCATATACCCATCTCTAATAAGCCCCCCAATGAATATATTTTTGATGTTACTTTTCAATTACTGAAACAGCTGATCTAAGGTCGACCTTTGAAGATAAAATACAAGTTGCGTGGACAAAAGCAAGTAAAGAATTCAGGCCTATTTCTATTCTATGGTCCCATGTAAACCAAGTATACAAAAATGGAAAAAAAAGCAAGTGTCCAACAGTAGCCGGGTCATGTCATGCGTTTGCGCTAAGGATATATACATTTTAAATTGCCAAAGGGGAAGAGGTGAGATGATCTCAAGAGTGAAAAGTGTGTCAAGAGGCAATGCCAATGTCTAGATCATTGTTGCTCTCTTGGGCAGTGAAGGATTATGGTGTCGGATCGGTTCAACATCTGTAGCTCTCGAATTATATTTCTTGGGTCATGAACCGGAGAGTAGGTACCGAAGAACCAGGCGGATTGCTTCTTCGTTAATTGTGGTGTTCGGATTTGCTCTTGGTCGTTATGGACTTTAGATTTGAATACCCAATATTGCACTCAAACCAGGAGAGCCATATGGTAAGTGCCGAGCGTGGAGCTATGTGACGAATGACGATTTTATCTTGGCACTTAGATTTCCACGGCGCTGGAAACGCCATTGGTGCGAGCATCATCGGCCTCGTTCTTCTGCGCACGGGACATTGATGCAAGAGTGCTGAGCATCGAATCCCGAGTCGACAGGGTCAAGCTATCCACATCGCCTGATGTCAAATCCTGAGTCAGGATGGGAGGCAGGACTATTCCAGAGTTGTTAGTCATGCTCAGTATATCTTGGGAATTTCTAGTATGACCCACCTTTGATTTTGATAGTCCCAGCATTAAATCGCCAGGCACGAGGCGACAGAACGTGCGAATAGTTCTCCGTCACAATCGGCACGATCGGCACACCGGCCTTGACAGCGAGATGGAAAGCACCCTTCTTGAAGGGTAGTAGGGTAGGTTTGTCGGAGTAACTCCGGGTACCCTCAGCAAAAATAAAAACACTCTGGCGGTGATCACGCATCTCGGCCGCGGCGCCGTCGAAAGCCTTGAGGGCTGTCTCTCGGTTGGCACGGTCAATGAATACAGTCCGCGACAAAGACATGAACCAGCCCAGGAAAGGAATATTCCGCAGCGACTTCTTGGCAGTGACACTGCAGTATGGCGGGAAGACACAGCCAAGCATCAAGACGTCGAGCTCAGTCTGGTGGTTGCCAATGAAGACGGCCGGACGGGTGGAAAGGTATTCTGCTCCTTCGACAACCTCGAACGTGACGCCAGTTGTGAACCGCATCAGCCACTTAAAGCTGCGGCCCGCTGCCCATTGTGAAACACGGCCGTATCCAACTAGCCGCAGACAGATCGAGACAACCACGCCGTACCCGGCAGAAACGAGGAGACAGCCGTATGAGGCGAGACACCGGGCGGCGAAAGCGGCGCGAGGCACTTTTTGGCCGAGTGCAAAGAGGGAGACGGTCAACACGACAAAAGCGCTAGCCCCTGAAGCAATATAAGAGCCGAAAGACATGACGACGGTTGTTGGGCGAGTTAAGAAGAACTAGGTAAATGCAGTCAGAGGAAGTCAATTATACTTCCCGAGAGGAGACATACTTTGTTCACGGCGATGCGGGCAACAACCCAGCCCACGACTGTAATACGGCTAAGGAATCAAAAAAGAAAAGAGGAATGGCAGATCAAATCCAAGACTGAGCCATGCATAGCTTGTGGGGATGGGCAAATTGGGGTAGAAACGTTGAATCGGTTTTCTGCCCCATGCCGACTTACCGCCTGGCAGGTGCATATGACGATCCATGTCACTAGGGCACTTGCGGGGATATTGGTATTGTAGAATCAAGAATATTTCAAGGATTCGGCTAATCATGAGAATCACTTTCCTTGAAAAATAATGGAATTATGCATGCATCATGCTCGTGATGCACACTCAGGGAAAATCATTCACTAATGTACAGAACACCGTCATATGCCAGATGTCTAAACCTGGAAAAAAAAAAAACTCCTCAATGATGCTGCGCAAAGAGGCCCTCAAACGCCGAGTTCATAAGAGAGGGCCCCGTGGGAACCCAACAGAAAGACCTGGGACATCACAGGCCTACGCTATGTCCTCATCCTCCATATCGTCGTCGTCCAACGACTCCATTGCGTCCTTGATGTATTGTGCAGCCTGTGTGGGATCAAAGTTAGAAACATCTCAGAAGGGGAAGGGAAAATTGGGAAAGGATATTCCAAGAAGTACCTTCGGGTCCAAGTTCAAGGCCGCCGTGAAATGCTTGATAGCATTAGCCTTGTCATGGAGCATTTTGTATAGCTTTCCAAGAAGGTAGTGCACGTTTGCCTCATCCGGGGCCATGTCCTTCAGGATCTTCAATTCCGCCAAAGCAAATTTGTATTCTCGCAGCTTCATCAGGACGCGCGCCTTGCGGAACTTGGCCAACACCGAGTTGGGGGCCAACGAGGAAGCTCGGCCGTAGTGAACCAGGGCATCTTGGGGATTGTTCATTTTCTCTAATACCAGACCAATGCAGCAAATGAGCACTGCGTTCGTCGGGTTGATGCTGGCTGCATTGCGGAAATGCTGCTCAGCGAAGTCAAGCTTGCCCATTTTGTCATACACCGTCCCCAGGCCGTACCAAGCATTGTAATGTCGATTGTCCGCGTTGATGCCGTGGCGGTAAGCCTCCAACGCCTTGTCATATTCTTCGTTGGCGACGTATTCATGTCCCTGTAGCGTGAAAGCATATGCAAATCCAGGATCAATCATGGTGGCACGCTTGAAGCACTTGAGTGCTTGATCGTGATCCCGTTGGTGGGAGAAAGAGTTGCCAATAGCACACCATGCCTGAGGGGATAGGCGATCAGCTTCAAGTAGCTGATGAGCCAAGTAAGCCAGTTCTACATCACTTTTCAGATGCCATAAGACAGTCGAGTAGATCTCCATGTCTTCAATGCGAGAGGGCGCTAATTTCTGAACCCTGGAAAAATACTTGGCAGCTTCTGTGTAGCTTGCTTGTTCGAAATAGGTACGTCCAAGTTGAGATAAAACCCAAGGGGTTTCACGCTGCCCTTGGGAGAGAGAATTAAAAGAGCTGATGGCGTCCGCGCACCTGTAACGGCTCAATGAGAAATATCCAGATGCAAGTTTATTGAAAAGACCCAGAAGCCAATCCAAGGCTTCGAGTTCTTTGGTTTTTTCAGCATTTTTGGGTAATGGAGGGACAGAGGGATGGGATTGTGAGAAGCCAGTCCGATTGTCTTTACCATCATTGTCGGGTGTCTCCATGGGTTTTCGATTGCCACTCACGACACGTCCAACAGTGGGCACACCTCCTACCCGTCCTTTCGTAGGCCCTCCTCTCAACTTCTTCATTTCGCGGCCGTCTCTGCCAGTAAGCGTGCTGTTTGAAAGCTTGCTGGTTGTAGGTTTGATCTGGTTGAAGAGGCGAACACTTCGGCGTTGAGGAGCACCTGGTTCAGTCGGCTGTGATGAAGGAAGGGGATGCGCTACTTGTCCAGAGACTGTGCGCTTGCGGTCGCCGAATCTTGATACAAGAGAGGGGTCTCTTTCTACTGGAGCAGTCGGTTGAGACTCTGGTTCGGTTCGTGTTTTGTGTCGAGGTCTGATGCCTGTTGGACGCATTCGCGGCGGAGGTTGCCCAGTATGGTCAAGGCTCATAGTCTGGATTGTTCGTGTCTTTCGAGCAGGGGCCAAGGGTGCTTCCCATCCAGTTTCTGGGTCAGTGACACCATTCGCAATGCGGAAGTCATCAGAGCCACTGCTCTGTGCGCCTGGAGTCTCCATTCCATCATGGAAGACCGGCTGTGCCATAACAGGAAAATTGACAGAGCTACCATTCAATTTTCCCCAAAGAGCAGAGCTCCCAAATGCGGCGTCAGTCTCGCCACGAGAGGCAGAGACCATAAAAGGATCAGATTCAGGGTTAGCAGGAGGTTGCATGGAAAGGTTTCCTTCTTCATAAGTCACATTCTCGGGTGTAGTAGTTGTTTCCCCCGGTGATGAAGATATTATTGCAAGAAGTTCAGGGCTGAGCTGGAAGATATTCGGGACTCGAATATTGACACCTGATAATATTGCGTTAGACAAGCCTCACCTCAAGAGAAAGAAGCAGGACATACCTGTTTCGCAAAGCCCCAGGAATGCATCCCACATGAAGGGGTTCAGTTTTAGTGCCTCTACGTAGCAGTCAACTGCTTTGGTCAGATCTTTATGTGCGTGCCAAAGTTTCCCCTGCAGTGAATAAACAGCTGCAGCATCAGGGAGGTGCTGTCGCTGAGTTTCACTATGCTTGTCTGTATTGTGGTTAGCGCTTGAGCTCGAAGATGGAGAAGTTTGCCGGTGCTTACTCCAGTGGTTCTTGGAGGCCCAGAGCGGTTTGCTGCGCTCCAGAGCCGCAACACCATCCAGGTATTTCCCCAAGTCCAAGCAAGTCTGAGCAAAGACATAGGCACAGCCGGCGTGCAGACCACGCGAGCCTGTTGCCTGACTGCATTCGTACGCCGCTTTTACTTCTCCGTTGTGTAGATGGCAAAGTGCAAGCAAATATTGGGCCTCAAAGGATCTCGGTTCGTAGGCATGGAGGCGTGTAGCGAGGAAGAGCGCGTTTCGGATTAGGTTGTTGTCAAGTTGGTAATAGATGAGGTGCCTTAGCTGGCTGGCAATATGCCCGGTGGACAAGGCCATGATGAGGGGTCGGCAGCACGTTATGCGACAGCACTGGGCAAGGCGGGGAGTGTGTAGTGGCTATTGACGTCGCGATAATAATGCGATTGATAGGGTCGGCTCTTCAGCGTTACTGTAACATCAATGTCCGGCGCCTTTGTACTGTCCTCCAAGACGCGGGGAGGAAACAACGACGCGATCGGGTGGGTTGTTGCAGCGCGAGCGAATGGTCCATCAACAGCCGCAAGACATGGACAGCAGGAAGTCCGATGTCTTGGTTGAAATTACCCAGTTGCAGGAGCTATCGACTGCTCTCGGTACGTTAGGTGTGGAACAATGAGGAATGTAAACCCAAGCCGGAAATGGGAGGCGGATGAAGAATAGAAAGTAGTGAATACGGATTTCTCTGGTTACGTCATCTGCGGACGCAGTATGAGTCTTTCAGAGTGCCAGGAGCATTTCCAAAGAAGCGGGGGACTGCAAGATGTGTCTAAGATAGGATGAACTTCGGTCGTTCTTTCTGTTATTTTGGTCTGAAGCACGGTCTTTGTCATTTCTGCCGTTTCTGCCGGCGGTGAGGGTCGTGGAGGGCAACAATCACCCCGGGCCCGGATGTGCATAGCTGTCATATGCATGTCTCTTCTCTTCTAATTCATTCTCCGTTCAACCTCGAATTCTAGTCGTCTGCTCGCCATTGGAAAGGGAAAAAGTGCAGTGAACTCATCGGAGTTATCTTGAATTTGGAAAGGATCATATTTGGAAGAAAGTTGCAGATCATTTGGTGATCGCATTCAATCATGGCTCAGGTATGTAGTGAGGGGCTTTCTTCCTGCCTGTAAACTTCCAGATTAGCTTTGATCATTGTTTGAGGAATTGTCTGACTGTATCCCAGAAAGCCGCCAAATCTCTGGCCACCCGCAATGGTGCTGTCCTCAGCCGTACTCATCTCGTCTCCGCTGCATTGCACTTGCTCTTCCTCCTGCTGCATTTCGTTTTCCAGCGGCCGCGTTCACTGAAGCCATACTTCTTCCTGGCTGTTCCAACCCTTGCCATTGAATACTACCTGGATCGGATGGGCCGGCCCCGCTATAATGAAGATGGTTCTCTGCGCTCCGCCGGTGAGGATCTCAATGCAACTGGCCTGACGGAGTATATGTGGGATGTGCTTTACTGGACCCAGGGATGCATTGTCGCTGCCTGTCTTTTCAATGATCGGGCCTGGTGGTTGTGGGCTGTGATCCCATTATACTCTGTGTACGCCGCCTACACCACAGTAATGGGCGTGAAGAAGGGGTTCGCTGGAATGGGTGGTGGTGATGCTGGTCAAGCGGCCGATGCCCCAAAGAGTAAGACGCAGTTGAAGAAAGAAAAGAGGGGCTCGACTATGAAGTATAGGTGATTTTGTTGGAGTGTGGAAAATATGTATCAAATGAGTTGACGTACAATGAACTCCAAAGTCATTTATTGGTTATCATCTCAAGCGCCCTTTCTGTTCTATATATTTATATCTGGAGCTGGGGACTTCTGTACTGCCTCAAACTACATAAGGTCAAGCTAAACCGAAGGGTTACCTGTGTGGTTTGTAGGCTGCCCAACTGGTATTTTGATATAGGACCACACTTACGTAGAAAAATAATGCATCCATGGATGGATCCATGACATCCTGCTTACGTAGTAATTTCATTCATTCGTCTTGATTTTAGCTGTTAGGTGACGTACTTACCCTTAGGTGGCCGTCTGATACGACGCACAAAGTGGGTGATAGCTATAGATATCTAGCAGCTGAAGTGATTTATAAAGTGCATACTTGAAAAAAACACATCCATTCATTATGTACTGAGCATATATCACTTCGAATCAATCCTCATATGTCAACCAGGAAGTGAGTAGAGAGGAACGCAAAATGAGGACATAGAAGCCGAAAAAAGAAAGAAAGACTGTGCATGTTACAGATCATGATCATATGGCCGTTGTGACGAACTATATCGGAATAATGCGTCGTGAGCCGCGCATGGATTTCCAAGGCCTGGTTTTCGTTCGGAACAAAATGACTGAGTCCGAATCAAAAGAGGAAAAAGAAAGGAAAGAGATGATACAAGGTGGATTAAAATTGATCAAAGTTCATCTTTGATTGAAGATGCAGCACTCTTAATGCTGCTTGTTGTATCTTCAACGTGGGATGCGGCGGTCTCGACTGCCTCGGATACAACGCTGCTATAGCTAGCAGCTAGACGATCCAGCTGAGAATTGGCGCTTTTAACGGCATCAACGAGACCCCTCGCTGCACTCTCCATTGCACTGGGTTCCTCGCCGTAAATAGCAGCGCTGGCTTTGGATTGGATATCCTCGATGGCATCCTTGGCGCTATCGATGTAACCAGATTCCTTGCCGTAAACCGCGCTACTGACCTGAGCAGAAGCCGTAGAGTAGGCATCGGCTGCGGCATCGGTGGCTTTTTCGTAGGAACCTTTGGGAGTTCCGTATATACCAACGCTGACAGCTTCGACAACAGCATCGAGTTGGTCATTCGCATGTTGCATGACGTCCTCTACACTCGGGGCTTCTGAAACGATAGAAGCAGCAGCGGAGGACGCTGATCCATAAGCCTGGCTGATGTAGCTAGAGGCAGAGGAAACAGCGACAGCCGGGTACGGCGTCTCGTATGCGGCGTGCAACTTGCTCAGCACGCTCTCGGTAAATGAAGGCTGCTTGCCCACAATCAGTTCAGAGATGATGTCTTGGACCGCCTCGAACTGCGGGCGGCCGTGGTTCACCATGTGCTGCAGATACGGCGTTGGTGCACCGTATATCTGCTCGCTGGCTTTAGAGATGAGGCTTTCCCAGTTTTCAGATACTTGACTAGAAATGGACTCCACGGAGCCCGTGGAAGTCCCATAGATGGCTGAGCTGGCCGAAATGGAAGCCTCAGAGAGGGACGAGGAAGCCGCGGAGAGGGCATCATTGTATTTGGATGAAGCATCATCAATAATACCTTGTACTTTGCCTCCATCCGCAGAAGAGATGACCGAGCTTGCTGATGCGATAACAGCGGCGAGGCTGGCCGAAGCCAACGAGGAAGCGTGTTCATACTGAGACCCAGCTTCCTCAATGATTTCCTTGAAGCTTCCAGACGGTGTGGGAGTTGGAGAACCATAGACAGCCCCAGATGCCGTAGAGACGAAAGCAGAGTAGTGGTCGTGGGCCAACCCGACAGCCTCGTAGTAACGGCGCTGCGCATCAAGGACGAATGGCGTGAGACCTTCCCGAGGAAGACCAGTGGTTGTCGCTGGTGGTAGCAATTGAGCTAGTTGTTCAGATGCTAAGTTGAGTCCTTGGTTCAGCCGGGAAGACGCGATGGACGAAATCTGGGCCAAAGGTCCAGCATCAGATGGCGTCGGGGTGGCTTGGACAGCGTGCTTCGACTCCAGCTGATCTGTGGCATATTTTAGAGACCCAGAATAGGCAGACTCAATGGAAGCTAGAAGCTGAGCATGGGCAGGAGAGCTAGATTCAGCCATTTGGCCAAGAACCTGAGACTTTGCGATCTCATAGAGTACTCTAGCCTGATTTGTGGAATCGGCAAATGCTGAACTGGCCCCACCCATCAAAGATTGGACAATGGGTGTTGGGGCGCCGTAGATGACTGACGACGCACTGTGACAGAAATTCGCATTAGCGAGAATTCGATTTTCTATGCAATTTTAAAACACGCTGGATATTCTGTACTACTTACGCGGCTACAGCCTCGTTATACTTGTCAGAGGCGGCACTGGAAACCTTCTCTCCGGGGCTTAGAGGAGTGCCATGGATAACGGTAGAAGCAGCGGACCAGGCAAGAGAGTACTGTTCACTGGCCAATGATACTGCCTTCTCACCGACTCCCGGAGTCGCCGATGCACCATAGATAGCTTCGCTGACAGCATTGCTTGCCTCGGTGTAAGTATCATCGGCCTTGCTCGTCAGACTGTCTAGGACATCCTGGCCCTCGTCATCTATGATAGGCGCTTGGTGCGAATTTGCATCGGCAGCCGCAACACCAAAGGCAGATTTCACGGAGGGCTGCTCTTCCACTAAAATATCATCGTCCATAACAGATTCGTCGGCGTCATCAAAATCCGCCTCAGCATCCTCAGCTGCGGATGATGCATCGGTGGAGGGTGTTTCCTCGTAAGCTTCATCCGATGCCATCTTTTCGGAAGACTCATCGTGATCCGAATACACCTCGGCAGCTTCTTCGTGAGATTCCTCGGTTTCCTCCTGAAGTTTGGGCCTCGCGGGCGGGGCTTCGGTGCGAGTCTCGAAATTATCGCTTACTTCACGAGCAGCGATCTTCCATATCCCAACATCCTTCAAACGGACAAGTTCCCTGGCGGCTTGTTCGGCTTCATGCATGCCCTGCTCTAAAATGTCACTTGCCACGGCTCTGGCATCAGATACGGATTTGTGGTTCATGCCGACATTTCGGATCTCGCCGTGCCATTCTTCGAGTTGGGCTTTGAGGGTATGGTACTTCGCCCAATCCTTGTATGTGATACCATCCATCCATGCCCAGCGCATGCCAATTTCCTGTAAGCCTAGATTGCGAATGCTATCGAGAACATCCAGTGTCGAATCGACAGCAGCAGTGACCCGGCGAACAAGTTCATCTTCGAATGAAATAGACCACTCTCGGAGTGCATGAGCACGATCTCTCACAGTAATAGCAGAAGTTCGGATTTCCCTAACCAGCAAGTCGCTAGTAGACTTCTCGATCTCCGGGGCATCCTCCTCTGGCATCGAATCTGCGAGTTCATTGATACGGCGCTTCATGGAGGAAATCTGTTCAGCGGAAACCGACTGAAGTGCGGTAGAAAGACTCTGGCCGTGGCTGTTCGCACTGCTGGCAACCAGGGCGGACACAATCTCCCCAATACGCTCCTCAAGGTCTACAATGCCTTTATCAGCTGCCAGAGCAAACTTTTCCTGCCACCGCTCAAGGTCTGAATCTATCTTCTCGCGCGCTTGCTGCGCTTGCTCGGTAGGAGTTAGAGTAGGTTGGGCACGAGCCTGGGACGTGGATGTTGAAGTCACAGTGGTTGTGGGGTGAATTTTTTCCTGTGACTTGGCAGTAGAGGAGATGACGGGCCGCACTGTTGCCGTTGAGCTGCTAATGGCCATGGTTAGCGAGCCTGGCCTGGAGAAATCAAGGGGCTGTAAGTACCTATCGGCATCTTCTATGACAGCACGAAGTCGCTTGCCCTCCCTGTAGCTTGCTAATCGCTGGCCAATCTTGACCAGCTGGGGCTCCACCTGCTCAGAGTAAAGACCAGTAACGTGAGGCCATAGTGAGCTGTTAGCATAGTAGACCGCGGATGACCAGGTATACTGTGCCCCGGGCATGACATGGGTTGTCAAAATACCCTGGACCGTAGAGTAAGCCTTCTCAATGAAAGGCTTAGAACGGGCGTACAAAGGTACCAGATGGCCCTGATAAACAGTGTGTACAACAGTGTTGGCTTTCTGATAATACGGAGAGACAACAGCGACGCTTTGCTGCACGTATGGATCGATCTCGGCCAAATAAAGCTGGTGAACCTTATTTTGAGCAGTCTGTAGTCTTGGTGTGACCTGAAGTTGCCATTGCTCAACCCCATAGGCCTGAGCCTGCTCCAATGCTGGCGCCCCATACTTTTCATATCCTGACTTGGCAACTTTCGATGCCGGGGTATAAACTCGCTGGTTTAACACTTCCACGTATGGGCGGGCTTGATCAACGTAAGGAGCCACATAAATATCATAATGTGGCGTGACATAGGGTTCCACGTGCGAACGAGCAATCAGGTAAGGCTTGCAGACTCGAGGCGATGTCTCTGTGAGGTCTGCGAGGTGGGATGGGCATCTGAGGAACGGCGTCGCAAGCGCATACCAGATACATAGCCTGATAATTAAAGCGGTCAACATGGGGGATTGACTATCTACAGACATGGCGATACCATTACTCACCTCACAACAAGTCCAACTGTCCATCGCACGAAGCCCTTCTTTTTCTTCTGTAGCTTTTGAACATCCGTTCGGCCCTTTACTTCGGTCGTGACATCTGTCACTTGGCCATTCTCTTTCACGACCATCGCAACTGAGGCTGACCCTGTCGAGGTCACGCGATTTCTTTGTGAGATTCGAGGTCGGCCGCCGTAATTTGCGAAGGACTTCCCTTCCACACACTTAGATCGAGTCGGCTCAGCAAAAGATTATCGCAGCATCGGATAGAAGCTCCAGCGCGGTTGAATATGTGGATTTTCGACGTTGAAGCTCGAGGCTGAATGAATCAAAGTAAATTAGCTGTAGGCGAAATGCTCGCGTCGGTCTTGGCGCTAGCAACTTTCACGGGCCGCGGCCAGATATCAAGGGTCAATTTCAGAGATTGTTTGTTATTAGGAAGAAAGGGTCAAAAGCATCGGTTTTAAGTCTAATGGGACAAGCGCAGGCTTTTTTTTTACATTACATCAAGGGGACAAGGGAATCCTCCGCTAATGACACAATAATCAAGGATTTGTTTTCTAGAGCTCAGTGAGGTCATCGGTGGCTACCCGTACTGCAGATACCACAATACCCCGCCTATCACCGTCTTGACGAACAAGAAATGGTGTATTTAATGTACTGCCAATGCACACCGCCCAGTCAGCGAATTGGATGGCCCGGGGCAGCTGGGGCAGGCTGAATTGCTTTGTTACAAGTACCCAAAGTGATCTACAGATTACACTTCTGAGGTATGATATTCCTATAAAAAGTGTACGAATTTTGTCCTTACTGATCACTCTATTCAGTTCAACTCAGATCGCCCACCAACACGAGCCTTCCGCATGTTTACATCCTTCTCATTCCCGCTCGACTAGGAACATGGTGAACATCTGATCAACTATCACCGTCAACTCGGCGAGATTCACAAATTATGGAGCCCGCGGACTACCAATTCCGCGATAATGCGGATAACACCTCGTTCCCTGACCTAATGAACGACCCGGCTTACGACTCAAGGGAAAAGGGATTTGATGACCTGGATACCTGTCGGATATGTCATGGAGAGGCAACAGAAGAGGAACCGCTGTTTTACCCGTGTAAATGCAGCGGTAGTATTAAATTCGTTCACCAAGTATGTCTGGTTGAATGGTTGTCACACTCGCAGAAGAAACACTGCGAGCTTTGCAAAACGCCATTCCGATTTACCAAATTATACGACCCAAACATGCCCCAGAAGCTCCCCGCACCTCTATTTGCAAAGCAAGCCCTAATCCAATGCTTCCGGACTCTGTTGACATGGTTGAGGTTTGTTCTTGTCGCCTTTGTCTGGCTGGGATGGCTACCGTGGTCGATGCGCGCAATCTGGAGGGCATTGTTTTGGCTTGCTGATGGCCGGTGGTCTGCCAATGAAAATGTTCAGAGTCAGGCCGCACAAACCGCCCAAGATGGTCTAGGACAACTGTTCTCAAATGGAAGTTCAAATGTTGCGATAACGGACTCAATTACTTCGACAATCTCTAATGCCGCTATCTCATCTGCTACTGCTGTACCATCTGCACGATCCTCGATCCTCAATTTCACGGCTGGCGAGCCGCTCATGCTCACACTCATCAAAAAATTGATTCCCAACCTGTTTATACCCGCATTTACCTCAACTGTCGGGCAAGGGAATGCACCAAACAACGTCACGGTTAGCTCAACCAAACCTCGGTATCCATCATGGCTTTCGGATGTCAAGTTCCTGAACTCGTTGACACCGTATCCAACAATCAACAATATGATCATGGACACCTTGGAAGGACAGCTCATCACCCTTCTTGTAGTTGTTGCGTTTATTCTACTCTTCCTGATTCGAGAATGGGTTGTTCAACAGCAACCCATGGTCAATATCGCAGAAGGAGAGCGTGAGGCTGCTCTTCAATTAATTGCAAATGCCAACAATCGGATAAATGATCGATTCAATGAAGAAGGTGGTCTTGCACAACCAGCAGCCATCCCCGCTCGCCCAGAAAATGAGCCCAACGATGAACGTGCTGAAGCCCATGAGTTGGACAATGAAATCCTTCCTCATTTTGCTCCTCACTCTCCAGCCATGTCCTCGAATGACTCTGAATATGGTCCACCTGGATTTGAAGCAGAGCTACGAGACTACAATGAAAACGACTCGGAACACGAAGCAGGAGGCCCTCCTCCTACCGCTCGTGCTCTGGCTTTCCGAGACCTAGTGGCCCGCACTCATGGTAATCATGAAGAAATGCTGCGCATTCTCCGTGAAGAGGCTCACGGGGACGATCTGGACTGGATTGTGAATGCGATGACCGGGGCCACCATAAATAGGAATCCAGGAGCCGGGCCTTCTACCCGTCCCCAAGATCCCGATAATCCGGATCTATCAGACAGTACCGATGTTAACCTGGAAGATGCAAATTTCAATGATCACCCGCCCGCTGCAGATGCTGGACCTTCTGCACAGAACGTGGATCATGGACCTACAACTAGAGACAATGCAAATCCTGTCGCCAATGTACAAGTGGACGATCGACCTCCACAGGGAATCACTGAACGGGTGTTCGAATGGTTTTGGGGAGACATCACACCTGGAGAGCGCCGTACAGAAGAGCAAGTCCCTGAAGATGAAGAGCATATTGTTCAGAACCCCGCCTTGGAAGACCCATTCGTGCCCCTGCCGAATCGGGTTGGAGACGCCCGGGCTGATGCTGCCGCTGATGCTGCTGCCGCGGCGGATGCTGGGCTGGACCCCAATGATATCGATGCAATCGAAGGGGACGATTTCGAAGGGATCATGGACCTCATTGGTATGCATGGTCCCATTTTCGGGCTTTTCCAGAATGGGGTCTTCTGTGCCCTTCTGATTGCATTCACAGTAGCCATTGGTATCTGGCTCCCGTACCTATGGGGTAAAATTGCCCTCGTATTGTTGGCCAACCCTCTTGAGCTCGTCATTGGTGTTCCTATTACTGCGGTTGAAGTCGTCGCAGATATCGCTCTTGATACTCTTATTGGTGTCGTGGGATATCTCATGTACTGTTTCAGCTTTGTTTTCAAGATTGTACTCAGTCCTTTCAGCGCTCTTTTGCCTATTGGAGACTGGATACCGCGGGACAACTCAGTCACCAGTGCATCGCTTTCCCTCATCGATGCGAGTAGTCACCGTCTGAACAAAGTGATCAAGGCATTCCTGGTCTTCCATGAGTCTGATATTCCTATGTTCTCGGTACTCTCGCATCAGGCGCTGAAATTGCACCAGGCTCGCCTCAGTGTTGTGTTTCAATCGGTCTTTGCCACTGCCAAGTTCATCCTGCATGACTTCCCTCTTCGGCTTGTGATTCTCGGTGTTCCCGGTGCGCTATCCTTGGATTTTGACCTTTCCCATTTCAAGAACTTCATTGGCCAAGCCCAACAACAGCTCACCACCTTTGCTAAATCATCGCTTTTCACGATGCCTGGAACAAGGTTCATGAATGCAAGTGCAGCAAAAGCAGCCTCTGCTACAGTGCCGGTCGATTATGACCTGGCAGTCTGGGATTCCAAGGATCGTGTCATCGCTATCTTCATGGGCTATTTGCTTGCATTTATGATAGGGGTTCTCTATCTGCGAATCGCCGGGCTGCTCTCTGGTGCCAATCGGGGACAAAGAATCGAGGGCCTGCTTGCTGAGGTACTGATACAAGCTGGAGGAGTCATGAAGGTCATCCTCATCATCGGGATTGAGATGATTGTCTTCCCTCTGTATTGTGGTAGTCTTCTTGATCTTGCCTTACTTCCGCTCTTCTCCGACGCTACAGTGGCGTCTCGTATCGCGTTTACTGTTTCATCCCCGCTCACCTCGCTTTTCGTGCATTGGTTTGTTGGCACTTGTTACATGTTCCACTTCGCTCTATTTGTTTCTATGTGTAGAAAGATTTTGAGAAGTGGTGTGCTTTGTAAGTGCTATCATCCATGTGCCAGACCTTGATCGCTTTGCTAACTGATTGCTTCTAGACTTCATTCGTGACCCCGACGATCCAACATTCCACCCAATACGTGATGTTCTTGAACGCAGCATCACTACCCAGCTCCGTAAGATCGGGTTTAGTGCCCTTGTATACGGTGCGCTAGTGACCATTTGCTTAGGAGGTGTCGTGTGGGGCTTGCACTTCGGCCTCGATGGTGTTCTCCCGATTCACTGGTCTGCTAGTGCCCCGATGCTCGAGTTCCCGGTCGATCTCTTATTCTACAACTTCGTGTTGCCCGTAGTCATTCAATCATTCAAACCTTCAGATGGTTTGCACGATGTGTATGACTGGTGGTTCCGCAAGTGTGCTCATGTCCTGCGTCTCAGTAACTTCTTCTTCCCAGAAAGACACCTTGAGGAAGAAGGCTATCACGTCAGGAAGACTTGGTGGAGTGTTCTCACTAGAAGCGAGGGTGACTGGGAACACCCAGTAATTGGAGATGATCAACAGGCTGAAGCTGAACGGGAAAACCGTGACGTCTACTTCCTGCGCGATGGTCGATACGTGCGCGCTCCTGGCTCTGATCAGGTCCGCATCCCCAAAGGCAACCACGTTTTCCTTGAGGTCACCGAGGATAATGAACGTGTTGATGGGAAGCCTGATCCTGCTGATGGGTTACATGGCCGATCCAGCAATATGTTCACCAAAGTCTATATCCCTCCTTCCTTCCGGACCCGGATTGCTGCCTTTATTCTTCTCATCTGGCTGTTTGCCGCCACCACCGGTGTAGGCGTCACTATTATTCCATTGGTAATTGGCCGGAAAATCATCGGGTCCTACTCCTCTCCGGGTCCGGTGAACGACGTCTATGCCTTTTCAAGTGGTCTTTGTGTGGTCGGTGCGCTTGCCTACCTGGCGTACCACTCCAGCACCGCACTTCAATTTGTGCGAGAGCATTCAGGCGCATACCTTCGCTCCCCCCGCCAAGCAGCCCAGACCAGCCTGGACCTTGTGATGCATGCTGCCCGGCTTCTCTACATAGCTCAAGTTGCCATTATAATCGTACCGTCACTCTTCGCGCTACTCACTGAGCTATACATTCTCATTCCAGCGCACACACTGTTTGGTGATGGAGAGTCGCATGTTGTCCATGTCGTTCAGGATTGGGCGCTCGGGGTGTTATATGTCCAGATGGCCATCAAGTTGACGTTCTGGCGGCCCCATTCTTGGGTGGCAGCTGCAGTCAACAGTGTCTTCCAAGATGGCTGGCTGAGGCCGAATGCAAGCCTTGCTACTCGTGCCCTTGTTCTTCCGATCATTCTCTTCACTGCAGCTGCGGTCACATTGCCTTTGTCATTTGGGTTTATTGTCCGCTGGACAATTTTCTACTCCCACGTCGGAGTGCAACCTAATATTTACCGTTATGCCTATCCCATCACACTATTGATTGTGCTCTCTGTATGGATGTCGCATCTACTGCTGAGACGAGTGGCAGCCTGGCGCACTAATATCCGTGACGAAGTCTATCTCATTGGAGAGAGACTGCACAATTTCAGTGAGAAACGAGCACGGGATGTCGGTGTGTCGCGGGTGATGACAGGGTGAAGAACTGGATGAGTGTTTGATAAGTTTGGCCTCAAATAGCTCTCATGGATGATCGCTCCTAGCGACTCCCTTACTTTTTAGCTTTATTGTATGTAAGTCTAACTCAAAATGCATAGAATTCAATTATTATTTCCTACATTAGGGGACGCCCTTTACTCTCAATCTTTGGCTGTATGGCCGTTGTAGCTGTACGATGAAGGGCTGTGTAGTTATTTGCGAGGGAGTACGTATTATCCCCGCATATCTTTCTTTCTCTTCCCTAATATCTCCTTCTAGAATCCTAATGAAACCTTGGGACGTATCGATCTCCGTAGTATTTGGACGATCACTTGGCGTAATTGATTCTCCTGCCTAGATGACCCTTGCTTCCTATCCGTGATCAGCAAATGTCAAGCTCAGAATGGCATGGATTTTTGGATGGGAGAAATGCGGCTGTTTGCGACGATATGTTTCACTTTGGGGAATTGGATATGGTCTTGAGTGTCTTTGCTACCTCGTCTGATTAGTTGACCTACTTGGGAATTGGAGATGTTTAGATAGTACTTCACACTTCCTCATCCTGTCTGTCAGGATGTTTGTTGTTGTCTAACGCTGTAACAAGGGAGACGGTCAAATCAACTCAGTATCATGTTAATCATTCTACAACTCCGTTTCTGCGACCCTATTCGTGGAGCTGCCTTCTTGCCGTGACCGGTCAACGCCCAGCACGGCGCCCTCATTTTCACTCCGGAGCTTACGGGCCCGCACAAACAGATTAAAAATGGTGGCTAATCCAGCAAAGGCAACATACTAATAGCAACCATGACATTTCGTTAGCATATATGCCGCGACAGGATTATAAGACGGCAATGTAACGTGTTGTAATGCTTAGGAGACCTACCATGACCCACACCATTTTCAACGCCTCAAAGTACGTCTTCCTAACCAAGACTTGTTGATCTGAATTCAGTCCAACGGTGCTAATCTCCTCCACACTCGAAGCCGCACTGTCGCCATTAAATATGCTGGCTAGAGATGAATTCGAACCGAGCTGGCTTGCCAACTCCCCGTTCTTCGAACTCATCTCGTTCTGGAAGACCACGCCACCGACGACAACTGAGATAGCGGTGAAAAGCGACCGGACAAACCCCATTGTCGCAGTAACGGCAGCTGTGTCGCGGACACTTGTAGCAGCTTGAGCCGCCAGGATAGGGGCTTCGATGTTCATGCCCACGCCGATCCCGAGCAGAATTTGGAAGATGACTAGTTTGGTTATGTTGGGTTCAAATTTGAGACTGATTAGCAGTCCCGAGCCAAGTACCAAAAATCCCTGCGCAATATACATCACGGGCAGATATTTCCCAGTTCGCTGCATGAAAATCCCTGCTGCGGCTGCGGCTAGGGCACATGAGACGATTAGCGGAAGCAGGTACAGTCCTGACATCAAGGCTGTTGCGGCTAGGACAGACTGCGCGTACAGGGGTAGGTAATATGCCTGCCCGATGAAGACGTATGAGTTGCACGCGAAGACAACGTACGGTGCTACCTTGCTCGGCGAGGTAAATAGCCAAATAGGGATAATAGGATTCTTGGCAATCTTCCACTCATTGACCACAAACAGCGCCATCACTGCTGCTCCGAAAATTAATAGACAGATTACTGTTGCTGAAGACCATGAGTAGACGACGTTGCCAAACTCGAGGGCCAGGAGGACCATCAGAGCGCCGCCTACGATTAGAACGCTTCCTATCCAGTCGATGACTTTTAGACCGGCGGTGATTGGGGTTCGGGGGCTTTGGACTCTTAAGAAGAATAGTAAAACGAGGAAGGAGACAGCCCCGACCGGTACTGTAGGTTGAGTTAGCTTAGGTCCATCATATGAAGTGAAATGTCTCACGATTGATCCAAAAACACCATCGCCAGCTAAAAGAATGGTCAGCTTTGTTATTATTCAAAATGAAGCGGCACCTGCCTCAGCCTCTCTGTAAAAACACCGCCCAATATCGGTCCTATGGCACTTCCAACCGCCCAAACCAGTGAGGTGATGGCGAGATATAGCCCTCGATCCCGCAGTGAGAACATATCGCTAATAACAATATTGACCATTATCCCCATGCCCGAGCCCCCAACTCCCTGAATTGCACGACCCACGATCAAAGCGTTCATTTTTGGCGCAAGTGCGCAGACAAGACTTCCGACCAAAAAAATGGCTACCGCGATCAACATGATCGGTTTCCGGCCCCAGATGTCGGAGACGGATCCCCACACGGGAGTTACCGCTGCGTAGGCTAAAGTATAGGCGCTCCCCACCCAAGTATAACCGGCGGCAGACTTGAGCGAGCCGACTATGGCGGGAATTGCGGGAGTCACGATCGTTAAATCGAGGGAAGAGAGGAACACGGACAGACAGAGCGACATCATAGTCCAGGCGATGTTGACGCTGGTCAGACGAGAAGACTCTGTGGCCTGCTCGCTGGACCCAGAGGGCGCGGGCGCGGGAGCCGCATTGGCATCGTCAACGGTGGTGTTAGGGACATTGGGTCGGGCCAATGGGGCACGATCATTCGCGATATTTTTTGAATTAATTGATGAAGAAACTCTAGCAAGTCCAACAGCTTTGGACATGGTAGAGAGAAATGTGCCCAAGAGCGGAAAATTATCCAGAGGGAAAATGAGCGTGTGAGAGGGAAGCAGAGGGAGGGCGGCCCTTAAATAACAGCCCCGGACCCCCGGGGCCCGGTCACTGTGCACTACATATATGTATGATCCTGGTCACTGTTTATTATATGTATTCACCTGACCTAGCTTTGTTTCCATCGCCCCCCCAGGACACAGAGAAATTTGAGATACACTTCAATTTCAGCTAAATGAGCTGAGAACTAGCAGACTTGCTGGAATAACATCGCAGGATATGCTATGCGTATAGTTAAGATGCTTTCTCGCCATCTAGTTCTACTCGCCGAGTTATTCTTACATTCATACCAAAATGCGCTGTTAGTCCATGATTAGCCCACCGAAAAGGTACAATGGGATCGACCATAGCAAAATCGAACAGTCGGAATAGCTGTAAGATTATCAGCAATTAGAACGAGCGGTGGGACGTGGGAGATGGCGCCTACCTCGAAGATCGTCTTTCCTAGCTCTATATATGCCAGTCGCTTCCCTAGGCACTCCCACCTGGTTCCAGTGGCAAACACTAAGCCGTATGATGCATCCATCTCCTTCCTCCTTTCTACCGGTGCGTCAATCCACCGCTGCGGATCATAAACGTCTGCATTTTCTCCAAAGATGCTTCGGTTTCTCATAATAGCCAGCGCTGACCAAGCGACCTTGGTGTTTGCGGGAACCTTGATGCCGCAGATAGTATCGTCATGTGGGCACACCTTCCCCATGAGGCCCATACTAGGTGGGAAAATTCTCAGTCCTTCCTTGATGCATGCCTGGAGGAACGGCAGGGCTTCTGCCTCGGCCTTGCTAATCACTGGCCTTGTCACTGTTTTGAAAGCATCGTCGATCTCGGATTGAAGTGCCCTGTATGCTTGAGGGGTGGTCGACAAATAAAAAATAATGTTTCGGAGAGCAGTGGATGTCGTGTCCGTGCCGCCAAACAGGGTCACAAGTGCTTCCGACTCGACTTCGGGTCTGCTCAAACCAGAGTTGATAAAGGACTGGAGCATATCGGTATGGCTAGTTTTCAGGTCGGCGTATCTTTCATCGACAAGGTCCCTGATGTAACCAAGGAACCGACCAACCCCGCGCCCGTCATGGGGTTTAGGATGGAAGGGCTTCAGCAGACGGCTTTCTAGAATTTTCCGGACAGTTGGAAGCAGAGTGACCATATGGACGGGTCGATGGAGGGCCTCGGACGTTTCCAGGATGCCGTACATATCGCGATCTGCCTCCAAGTAGCCCGCTGATTTTCCAAACCCGACAGCCGTGATAACATCCTGTGTTAGGTACTGCATTGTTCGAGCCAGATTGCAGGGCCGCAAGGCTACCTGGGTAGAGACATACTGCCGCTCTATTAGTGCTATGAGATTTTCGATCTGCTGCTCAACAAGCTGTTCCTCATTTGCGATGCCCTTGCCTCCGTACCCCGGCCTGAGATGGCTTCGGAGCTGGTGATGCTTCTTATTATCAATCACCGTCAAGACGTTATCCACTTCGCTATTTAGGCGAACGGCCTTGTACCAGTCTGAGCGGTAATAGCCAGAATTTATTCCCCATATCCTGCGGATCTCAGCGGAATCCCCGCATAACACCCACTTTGGCCCAATGCGTACGAGCGGGCCTGGGAGAAATCGTCAATCCCTGCGTTATGTATAAACGGGTCATTCATACCATATTCTTTACAAGCATCGTAGAGGCTGTCACAGAGCCTACCGGACCAGGCCTGTTTTAGTAACCATAATTTTGTCCATCCGGTCACTGGGGGACCTGCAATATGCCGCAGACGACTCCATTGATAGATTCGTCTTGCAATAAAAGGCACCAGAAACACGATCATCCAGATCAGGCAAACATGGGGCTCCAGCATGATTCAGGGCTGTATTTTGTCGAATCTCGCACCTTTTTCGAGCGTGGACAGAAATCCCAAACTAGTGGAAAGTCACTGCACGACCGAATACCGTTTGCTAGTAGTAAGCGGAGCGAAGCTGTATTATACTAGCGTAACCTCTTTCTATTTTGGGTTTTATCAAGCTCTGGGGGTTTAATATGTAGCCGCACGCGAGATGTACAGCTCATGCCAATGGGACACGACAGCAGTGTTGTGTCAAATTATCTGACTATAGATATGCAGATGACTAGGTATATGCAGATGACTCGGTATATGCAGATGCCTCGATATATGCAGATGCTTAGATATATGCAGATGCTTAGATATATGCAGACATATCCTAAGGTGATGTGTCCCAACATGATGTGTCCTAAGGTGGAACTGCGTGTGTCTTGCATGGATCTACACCCGGCCAACTTCCCCTCCCCCCTCTCAATGCGGCTGAGCCCCCCAATTCAATACCCGAATGTAAGACAATCTGGAGGCCTGATTATTTCAGAGACAGGCTGAGGCTGAGGGCTGTTGGTACAGAGGTATCAAGAGCTAGTAATTTTCAGAAACAAATGGCTTGCAGCTTCAAGTACATGGCATAGACGTGATTTCGCAATTTGCGGGTTATCTAAGTATCCACACAGTGCTATCTCAAAGCCTCAGGAACATATGTCGGACGATCAATTGCAGCTGTTGACAATGATTTTCTTTAGGCAACAGAAGATGCTACTCCTATTCGCAAATATTGGCATAGTATTGGGGGTTGGGATCTTCATGACCGGATATTTCTGTCCTCCTCCAACGCTGGCATTCAATCACGACCTCAAACAGGCTGGGTTGGAACAAGCTAGAGTGGATGAATATGATCCCCATCTGTCTCCGCCTTTTGAGAAAGTCATTTTCATGGTGATTGATGCCCTACGCAGGTGCGATGCTGTTCTTAAATGCTCGATCTAAATACGTGGGATAGGCCAGCTGACATTTTTACCTAGTGACTTCGTCTATGAGGGTGACTCGGGATTCAACTTTACACGGAGGTAATTTGCGTTTCTATTCTCGCTGGCACCCATTATCGTGTCTTAACGCTCTGTAGTCTCATAAAATCTGGCTCCGCGATTCCGTTCACTGCTCTTGCTGCCCCGCCTACCCTAACCCTGTCGCGGATTAAAGCCATGACGCAGGGCAGTGGGCAATCTTTCCTCGACGCATGGCTCAATGTGATGCACTCCGCCGATGCAAGGCGCCTTGTAGGAGGGGATACATGGCTGTCCCGCCTCAAGTCTGAACGTGCAACGGAAAAGAAGATGGTCTACTACGGTATCGACATGTGGTGTATGCTGTACCCAGAGATATGGGACCGCTATGAAACTGTTGACTCCTTTTATCTACCGGTGAGTTAGATTTTGCCAATGCAGACTATATTAGATTTGACTGAAACAATGCACTTGTAACATTCAGAACTTTAGCGAGGTTGACAGCAACGTTACGAGGGGATTGGTGGCAGAACTCGACAGAGATGACTATAAGGGCCTGGTTCTGCACTACCTTGGCCTCGATAATGCAGCTCATTTTGGAGGTGCTAGAAGGTATACTAGCCCGCGTCACTATATCTTCCTCCTATTAGATCTGGATGATTTTCTGATTCCTATTTTTATAGCCCGATCGTGAGAGCAAAGCAAGTTGAAATGGACGACGTAGTCCGCCGGATATACTCTGGTTTAGAGCGGCTGCCTCACCACCAAAACACTCTATTCGTCATAGCAGGCGACCACGGAATGACGGAGAACGGCAATCACGGTGGTGATACAGCCGCTGAAATTGCTTCTGCTCTAGTATTCGTCTCACCGAAGTTCAAATTTCTGAGAAAGGCACTGCCAAATTCTCATCCGTACAATTCGGAGTATAAGTATTATTCTGTTGTTGACCAGGTTGACCTTGTCCCGACACTGTCAACACTCCTGGGGGTTTCAATTCCTGTTGGAAGTGTGGGTGTTTATATCGACGAGCTACTTGCAATTTTCCCCCAGGTGGGTGACCAGATGGGCGCCTTAATGCGCAACGCCAAGCAGATGATCAGCCTTCTGAATCTGAGATATAACCTGGAAATTCCGGTGGATCTAGTTTTATGTGACGGGACGTGTCTTTGTGGTTCGGACAGAGTGCGCCGCGTTCTGTGCCTATGGGAGAGGTTCAATTCTGAAAAGCCTGGGACAGCGTGGAGTACCGATCTCGACATTCAAGATGCTGTGCAGTTGCTAAAGGAAGTAAGTCTACCCAGCATTCGATATTTGCATGGTGAGCTAATCCGGAACAGATCTGCATTGAAGCCCAGCAGGTTCTTAACATCCCGCATAATAATCTCAACTTCTCCCGCATGGGCACAGGCATAGCACTGCTATCATTGGTGGTAGTTCTTCTACTATCAAGCCTGCTGTTCTGTCACAGTAATTCTAATGACTCTGGTTGGCTAATTGCCGGAATTTTCGCCTTTCTCCAAGGTACAACAATGTTCTCTACCCGCCTAGTGGCAGAAGAACACCATTTCTGGTATTGGACATCCCTCGCATGGCTTGTTTATCTAGGACTCCGACGGTATGGTCACCATGCTATGTTGTCTTTACATTAGCCTTGGATATGTTATCTAACTCTTATTTAGATCATCCCCAAGAAATGCCAGAACAAGTGTCTTATTCCTCGCTCAGCTACATATTGCTGGTCAGAGCTTGAACCCGGCTGCAGAGACACCCTGGGGCACTGGGAAGTTTCTGCATGGCATCTTTCATGACAACCCACTATGGCTGTGGATCCTGGCGGCGGGTGCGCATGTTGTAGCAGCACGGACGCTTTCCAAAAGTATCAGCGTGGCCCTCGGCGTAAATACGTCCGCCTCAACATTCTTTGCGTCGCTCGTATGTGCCTTGACGGTACTTTTCAAAATGAGCTCAACGCATACCTTCAACCCTGAGCTCCTGAACTGTCTATCTCCACGACTCCAGTCAATCTTCACCAGAGATGTTGGAAATATGGCCCTCTGGACGTTGTGGAGCGGGCTATTGACCCTATGCATCTTGCTGCTTGCTAGGCGTCAGTCTGTGAGCGTGAACCATCATTCTAGACAAGGTTTGTCTGTTTACTATATATACTGCGACTAGGACTAATGATACCCCGCGTACCTAGCTATACTTACCACCGTCGTCGAACTTGCAAATGTATATCTCCGTGCCCAAGCCCGGCCGAAGAGCCTCATCCTATTCCTGATCTTCGACCTTGAAATGCACTGCCTCGGTATGCTTCCTAATCAACTCTTCATACTGGAACCTTACTAACCATGCGTCATAACAAGTGTCCATATTCTCAACTATCGACGCAAAGCCCTCCACAATATCCCTCACCATCCTTCTCCTCACCCAAAGTGCCTTTTTCTCTGGCGGACGCAACAACTCCCTCGCCTCTCTGGACATGATGAATGGGTACAACGGCATCTCACACACGGACAGCATGTCAAATGTCATACTCGTTTCACTGCAAACTATATTAAGCAACTGGATCGGACCCGTCTGGTGGTCTCTTGCTGGCTTATTGCTTCTAAGCGCAACAACAACATCAAAGATCAGAGCTTCTAGATTGCAAGCCTTTGTAGAGTACGCCACCTACCAGGCATTATCTTCTGCGATTAGTGCTCTGGGGATGATGGCGTCATGTCTTTGGTGGCGCAATGATGCAGTGCTGTGGACGGTTCTGGCGCCCAAATATGTCAATTCTGCGCTTTGGGTTGTGTTTCATCAGTTGCTGGTTAACGGGGTGCTGTGTGCGGGGTTGTGGTTTGGAGTCGCGATGTAGGGCGGTTTTGGGAGGTTTAAGGGGCTATCAAGGCACTTCAGTGGTGGGCTATCGGAGACTAATTGTTGCGATATCAAGCCAGATAGACGGTGTAGCAAATGTGGTTGTCAAGAACTGACTTTTTCGAGGTGAGGAAATGTTAATTCATGGATGGTTAGACTTAATATAGTAGTGGAATACGGGACAGTAATATTAGACCTCCGCAAAGCCCACAAAGCCCAAAGCCCAACCCGCCCCAACCCACTAATGGGCTATGGGCCCGGGGTGAAAGCCCACTGGGCTTTGAATGGGGGCCTAATAGGGCCCAGTAAGCACTAAACAATACAAACATTCCGAAAAACGTGCCTTTTTTAGTTACCCTATGTTTAGACCCCATTTCTAGTCCTTAGATTAGGGTAATATTTTATTAATTTCATTTGTACATAGAATTTATACATCACGTTTAAATGCGCGAGAAAACGCGGTAGTAAGATAAGTTTTAACAGAGGCTCACTTAGAAAGTGATAGTACTCCTGTGTGAATCCTAAATATATATCCAACATTACGACATCAATATTAACCTTTTCCGTGATATCTTGACCTTCACTAGTCGGATTTTGTTCAAAATCAGAATATATACTTATATCGCTGTTTTAATCCTATATCTTAAAAATTTAAACCTATATAATACGTGGAAGGTCAGGCCTGTTTGTGGGCTTTGCAGAGGTCTAGACAGCATCCCTAGAGAAAAGAAAATTAGAGCCACCAAGTGAAATATTCGTATATAACGCGCACATGGCCAGTGATAGCAATTGAGGACACTATTAATTTCCATTCAGGTGCTATCTACCGTTATACCTCGGCCAGTGCACCCTAAGACGGTACCTAGTCAATCCAGACAACCATCGAGGTCACGTATCCCGATTCTCCCCACATCTCCAATATTACCATAGCTTCCGCGCAAACTCTGTCTGTACGTGATTAACGGCATCCTGATGCAATCCCTCCAAAATATCCATATGCACCGCCCCATTCTGTACATATAGCTCCTTATCTACTATTATCGCGCCAAAGTGTCTTTCCTGCGCCTCCGTGCCAACAACCGCATCCTGCTCCGCCAGAACAAAAAGCACCGGGCGCGTAAGATATTTCCACATATGGCTCGGTTCCCAAAGCAGCATATTCCTATACGTGCCCACCGTCGTGCGATTGACATGGTTGGGCGCGAGCTCCGCACGAAGCGGATCATTCACGTCTTGCGCATTGAGTAATCTTATCGCGACATCGCGCTCAAAGCCCAAATTGAAACCAGCTGGGTTCTCGCCAGTTTTCGTCAGCATGGGGACGTAGAATGGCTCGTTGCCTTTGGAGCGGGACTCGCGGTCCTGTGCGGCTTTAGAAAGCACGGCAGACAATTTGGGTAGGTTCTGTGTTGCGCCGACGACCGGGCATATGGCGATTGTGAAGCGGGCGCGTGGGTCAAGGGCGCTTGTTACGAGGGCGATGCTGGCGCCGAGTGACATGCCCCATAGGGCGACGCCCTGTGACCGGTCAATGTTTGGGTGAGAGAGAAGGTAAGTTAGGGCGTCGGACAGATCATCGACGGATTGGAAGGGGTTGATGTCGTTGCGTGGGGTGCCGTTGCTGAGGCCCACGCCACGTGGGTCATAAATTAGGGCAGTGATGCCAGCGCGTTGGAAAGATGCTGCGGTAGTTGGGAGGCCAAGCATTTCTTTGGTTGCGTTGAACTGGGAGATGTTGTTAGTGGAACGGGGAGTTAGGGGATTTGGCTGTACGTACGCCCGGTGTCATGATGATTCCTGGTCCTCGCTGGTCTGCCGGGAAGAGACGGCCGCGAAGGACTGTGTTGTCGAGGGTGCGGAATTGGACGTCCTCATGGGCAGGCATGTTTGGATGTGTGTGATCAAGTGTTGTGATAGAATGGAGAGGAAGAAGAGGCAAGTTTCAAGATATAGCCTGGCAACAGATGAGTGTCCCTCACTCTGGCTCTGATATTTGCTGAGCAATATTTGCAAAGTTCAGTGTATCAATTGCAAGGTACGTATTGTAATTTTCAATTCCCAATTGATCTTGATACCATTCTCTCAAGCATGGCGATCATGAACTGAGCCGCCCGATCACACGAACGGGTGCCGTGAGTGGATCAAGCTGGATTCCATTGGCACGTTCGTCTGCGAGATAATGCGAATCCCTCTTCCATGAGTCGAAGTGTGGTTCCTCCATTCGGCCTCTCGGGAAGACGATGTGATGCGGCTCTATGCAAATATTAGGTGGGATCCTGCTCGGAAAGCGCGGATCCCTTAAAGATCGGTGGACAGCCCTGGAGATCGACATGCATACGGCCCGAACGGGGCGGAACGGCCCTAGGGGTCGGGGTGGAGACCTCGTGTCCGGGTTTTGGAACTTTATTTGGCCAGCTCCACCATTTCTTGGCTGCGTACTCCGTAGATCAGACAAATACAGCGTGACTGTACATAACAGCTTTACTCCACTCGTTTGAGGCTCTGGCATACTCCCAAGATCCAGATATAGGGCAGTCAGTACGGGTTGCTTTCGTTACATGTGGCTTGATCTCTACAGGGTATACCCTCCTACCTGATCCTTGGGCCGCCTGGAGTGCGAGTAAAAAACGAGTCTTTCTTATCACCGGGAATATCAAAGACCCCGAGAGGCCAGAGATGGTGTGATGTATCGTGTTGCGGACATGTCTTTTCTTTGAACTAGTGAAGTAGGGTGCTCGTTGAGTGATGCACCCATCCGATAGGGCAATCTTAAAAAGCGCATGTCGATAGCAGCTATGGAGAGCATTGATATGGTTCAGCCGTGTTGCGTTATATGTAGCTTGGGTAACATTGGCATTTTGGCCCCATCCTATATCTATGGGATCCATCCTACATTTACCGACCTTCTTCTTCTTCAACACACTTAGCAAGATACCTGGACTCGCAAACGAAAGCATGGATATACACACCAAAGTCAATGGATTCGGTCACACAAATCATGCCCCAAGTGAGGATGCTCACCATGAACTGCTCAACGGCAGTAGCCCCTATACCCAAGAGCCTGTGGCCGTGGTAAGCATGGCTTGCAGGCTCCCAGACTCATGCCACACCCCACGAGCCTTCTGGCGGTTTCTTGAGGAGGGGCGAATTGCTATCAACACGCCCCCGGGAACTCGATATTCATTGAATACACATTACGATGGCTCACTCAAGCCGCAAACCATGGCCTCCCCGGGAGGAATGTTCCTCCAAGATGTCGATCCCCGCGACATTGATGCCCAGTTCTTTCGGCTTTCGGGAATAGAGGCCACTTCCATGGATCCACAGCAACGCCAATTACTGGAGGTTGTCTATGAGGGCCTCGAAAATGCGGGCGCCACATTGGAGCAACTCGACGGAGCGTCTGTAGGCTGCTTCGTCAGTTCATTTGCTAGTGACTATGGTGATATGCAGGCCCGCGATCCAGAAAATCGTGCCTCGGCGACAGTCGTTGGCGTGGGTAGAGCCATGCTCAGCAATCGCCTGAGTCACTTCCTCAACATCAAAGGCCCAAGGTGAGTTGTGCTACCAGAGGTGTCAACGGGGCTGTCGCTAATAAAGTTCCTTACAGTATGACAATCGACACTGCCTGCTCCGGGGCCCTCATCGGGATAGACCTTGCGATGAGATACCTCCAATCCAATGAGATATCCTCGGCAATTGTAGCAGGGGCCAATCTCTACTGCAGCCCGGAGCATGTGATGGACCATTACATGGGTGCAAATGGTGCAGCGTCCCTATCCGGGCGTTGCCACACGTTCGACTCCAAGGCCGACGGATACATCAAGGCTGAGGCAATCAACATGGTGTATTTGAAGCGCTTGAGTGATGCTATCAAGGATAGAGACCCTATTCGCGCGATCATTCGTGGAACTGCCACAAATAGTGACGGTTGGACGGCTGGTATCGCAAGCCCCAACCCCGCAGCACAGTCGGCTGCTATTCGACAGGCGTATCAGAATGCAGGCATAAAAGACCTTTCGCTGACAAACTACGTTGAATTCCACGGCACCGGAACAAGAGCGGGTGATTCTCTAGAGGCGACCGGTGTTGCGACAGTCTTCACACCGTTCCAAAATCCTAACCGTCCCTTGCGAATTGGGTCAGTGAAAAGCAATATCGGTCACTCGGAGCCAGCCGCTGGTTTGTCTGGGCTTCTAAAGACCATTCTTAGCTTGGAGCATGGTGTCATTCCTGGCAATCCGACCTTTTTAGACCCTAGTCCTAAGATCGACTTTGAAGCACTCCGACTGTATACTTCGAGAACAGCCACTCCCAGGCCAAAGGTTGACGTGCGGCGAGCTAGCATCAATTCGTTCGGGTATGGAGGCTCTAATGCTCATGTCATCGTTGACGAGGCTAAGGATCTGGGTCATCACCATGTCTCTTCTTATATAAACGAAGAGACGGATGATATATTTGCTGAGGAATCAGCCACGCGGCCCTATCTTTTAGTCTTTTCAGCAAACGATGAAAAGGCACTGGATATCCAGGCTGCGGCATTAGATCGGCATCTATCCGATCCTGCTGTGAAGGTCTCTCTTCGAGATCTTGCGTATACGTTGAGCGAACGGAGATCCCGCCATTATCACCGCGCCTTTGCCGTCACGAGCACCTCAACCCTTGACCTACTCAACTTAAGTCGAGGCCATATATCCGGCCAGAAGCCCAGAGTTGGTTTTATCTTTACTGGGCAAGGAGCCCAGTGGCCCAAAATGGGAAGAGAGCTTGTTAAAACATTTCCGCTCGCAGCTCGCACTATCCAGCACTTGGATGGAGTACTACAAGACGCTCATGATCCGCCCTCCTGGTCGCTCTATGCACAATTAACTGCTGATGATGCCCAGGTTCAGCATCCGGAACTGTCTCAGCCACTTGTCACGGCACTCCAACTGGCGATCCTGGCTGTATTCCAACATGCAGGTGTGGTGCCAGAAGCAGTGGTTGGGCATTCGTCTGGAGAAATTGCAGCAGCTGTCGCTGTAGGCCACCTCTCTCCTGAACAGGCTATCCTGATAGCGTACTATCGGGGCAAGGCAACTTCCGAAGCTGTGTACGAAGTCCCTGTCGGGATGATGGCTGTCGGTCTAGGGGCCGACCAAGTTCTTCCGTATATAAAAGGTACGACTGTTGAGGTTGCCTGCATCAACAGCCCACAAGGTGTCACTCTCTCTGGAGTGAAGTCGGAGCTTGTCACTATCGAAGAACGAGTCAAGGATGCTGGTCATTTTGCAAGACTCCTTCGGGTAGATGCAGCATATCATTCCCGCCACATGGGGGCTGTCGCTGGCCGTTATGAAGAACTGTTGAGGCAACAAGTCGAGTGGCCAAAGCACAATGGGAACAAAGGATCCATTATGGTGTCATCAACCACAGGCGAAATCATTACAAAGTCACCAGGGCCTGCTTATTGGGTAACTAACATGGTCTCACCTGTGCTTTTCAGCCAGGCCGCTCAACAGCTAGTAGCAGGGGTAGAGAGCGTGGATTACCTCCTTGAAATTGGGCCAAGTGACGCACTATCAGGGCCGATCAATCAGATCAAGAAGGCCGCTTCATCCTCGGTCGGGTATGGCTCGGCCTGGAAGCGCGGCCCTATCGCAGTCTCGACCTTGCTCCATGCAGCCGGGACACTGTTTAACATGGGCTATCCTATTCGTCTACAGGCATTCAACGACGATGCTGCTGACACTCCCCCGGTGTTTGTATCAGATCTCCCCAACTACCAGTGGAATCACACCGTCAAGTACTGGCACGAGAGTGAATCAAGTCACGATTGGCGCTATCGCAAATTCCCCTATCATGACCTCCTTGGTAGTAAAATTCTCGGTAGCCCATGGACCACTCCTGTATGGAAGAACGTACTGCGGCTCAGCGACACCACCTGGCTACGTGACCATCTCCTCGGAGACAGTGTTATCTTCCCCGCAGCAGGTTACATTGCCATGGCAATTGAAGCAATCTATCAGAAGAAGTATGCAATGGGAGAGATTCCAGAGGGGACTCTTGCCTCAGAGCTCCCCTTCAAATTGCGCAATGTGACATTCCCACGTATGCTTACGCTGGACACAGACGGTGTGACTAAAATCCTGCTGTCTCTACAACCATGCTCCAGCACTAAGGAGTCATGGCACGAGTTCACTGTGTCCACAATTACAAAGGATAGCTCAATTGAAGAACACTGTCGGGGACTTGTGAGTGTTGGAGACCAGCGCTTTCCCCGGCCACTAACCAGTGTCACCGACATTGCACCTCTGCAACACCCAGTCCCAGGCGCGGTATGGTACAAGGCTATGCGCCACGTCGGCTACCACTTTGGTCCTGCATTCCAGCCCTGCCAACAAGTCGAAGCCAAGGCAGACTCGCGTCAATGCCGGGCTTTGGTGCGACTGCAAGCCCCCGAGTCTCGCTATCCGCAGAGCCAGTACGCAATGCATCCCGCCGCGATCGATGGATGCCTACAGATTGCTACCGTCGCCCTGAACCGTGGTCATCATTCTGCGATCAACACCCTCATGCCCCCTGCCCTCATTGATAACCTTGTCATCTTCCCGCACGAGGTTCCATCTAGCGGTGAGGCGATTGTAGCCTCCGAGGCCGTATGGAGTGGCGTTGGCCGGCCAGATGACAATAAACGCTATGTCAGTGATATCCGCGCAATCTCCCAGGAAAGCAATGGAGTCTTGTTCCACCTTGAGGGCTTACGATACCACGCTATCAATGCGAGCGCCGACCGGCCCCATGCCTTCACGCAGGTTGTCTGGAACCCAGACATTGACTTTATCACATCGGCTCAGACGGCACATATCTTACAGGCGGCATTGTTATCAGACAAGGCCAATGGAGATGAAAATGGCGACGTTGCCCCAGCCCTGACACAAATGGCCAGGCTACTGGCACTCATCGCGCACAAACGCCCGTCAGCAAAGGTGATCGAGGTGGCGCTACGCGACGGCCCCACGGGTGGTGAGTCCCTATACCTTGATCATGTTCGCGCCAGGGCGGGTCCTATGGCCCGGGGGTGTAGCTACCGCTTACTCGCTCCGTCTCAAACCGCTGGACTCGTGGCGCATAAGAAATACGCTGCGGAACCGGGTGTTGCCGTGCAAGTAGTAGATGCGAAACACGAGCATTTTGATGAAATTGAAGAGAAGTACGACTTCGTCATCTTGAAGGTCACCGAGGGGGAGCCGGAGCTTGAACAAACCATCCAGCGCGGTCGGGATGTCCTGGCAGTGAATGGATATTTGGTTGTGGTAAGAGTAGCTGGGCTTCCATTCCTGAATGGTATGTATCATTTCCAAGGCTCCCCAAGGTATATTGCTGCCAAAGATATCTAACTATTATCAGGTGGCACTTCCAGCCCGGCCGGTCTCGACACTGTTCATGATGTTCATATCCCTAAGAGCGGAATCCTCAATATACTCTACGTTGGAGCCCTGAGGGAGAAAAAATCGAAGATAGACACCCCTGGTGCTGAAAGGGACAACGTACACTTGTTGCATTTTGATACTCCAATTCCTTGCGCTGATGTGATCCGGGACGAGCTGGGTCAAAGGGGGTGGGATATATTGCAGCACAGTCTACCGTTTCACAAGGTCCCGCCGACCAGCACGGTTCTGATTATAGATGAGATGGATCGGCCAGTTCTCTCTACCTTGGCGGATGAACAGTTTGCCGCCCTGCGAGGTCTACTGGAGCAGCAATGCCGCGTAGTATGGGTCACTAAGGGGTGGGTTCCCACGTCAACATATTTATGGTTTGTGCAAATTGCTGAAACTACATAGGTCTCAAATGAGGGTTACGCACCCAGAGCAAGGCCTCATGTTCGGAGTTGCGCGGTCGCTTCGAGCAGAGTACCCATCGAACCTTATCCTGTGCCTGGATGTAGAGTCCACGACCAGTACCGGTAGCTTTGGGGCGATTGACACAGCACTTCGTCATATCTCATTTGTGGATAACCTCCAGGAAGCTGACAGCGAGTTCGTGGAGCGGGATGGAATGTATCATGTCAGTCGTGTTGTAGCAGATGACGTGCTGAACCAGGCACAAAAGGAAAGGGAGGATGGAGAAGGGGGAGGAGCACCTGTTCGCGACGACATTATTCACGACCACAAATCCCATATCCGCTTAATCAGCGAGAGACCTGGTACATTGGAGACATTAATCTACAGCGAAATTCCTTATCTGCCAAAGCTTGGAGACGACGAGGTTGAGATAGAGGTTCACGCGGCAGGGATGAACTTCAAGGATCTGGCGAACGCGATGGGATTCGTGCCGGCCAATGAGCACTTGTTTGGTCTGGAGTGCACAGGAATCGTCACTTCTATTGGCGACGCTGTAAGCACGGTCAAACCTGGAGATCGAGTGCTCATGGTCCGGCGAGACGGCGGCTGCTTCGCCAACCGTGTGAGAAACCGCTGGCATGCTGTTCACCCCTTGCCCGACTGGGTCTCGTTCGAAGACGGGACAACGCTCGGAATCGCAGTGCACACAGCTGTTTATGGTCTCGTGACGCTAGCCAACCTTCAAAAGGGACAGTCTGTCTTAATCCATTCTGCGTCTGGTGGGGTCGGTCTGGCGGCCATTGAGCTGTGCCACTATCTCGGCGCGGAAATCTATGTGACCGTCGGGACGGATGCAAAACGGGATTTCCTGGCCAAGAATTATGGGGTCTCGCGAGACCGCATGTTCTCTTCGCGCAGCACAGCCTTTGCTAAAGAATTGATGAAGGCGACCAATGGCCGCGGGGTCGATGTCTGTCTCAATTCTCTGACTGGGGACATGCTGCATGAGAGTTGGAGATGTATCGCCGAGAATGGCACTCTCGTTGAGATCGGGAAGAAGGACATGCTTGACCGAAACAGTCTCTCTATGGAGCCGTTCGACCGCAACTGCTCCTACCGCGCACTTGATCTCTCGCGAAAGAGCATCAGCGATGAGACCACCTACCGAACGGGCGTCTACATCATGGACCTGGTGAGGCAACGGCATATCAAACCGCTCTACATCGGTGCAACCTTCCCCTTTACCGAAACTGTGGACGCTTTCAGGTACATGCAGCGCGGGAAGCAGATTGGCAAGGTTGTTCTCTCCTTCAAGGACAGCAAGACCGTACCGTTGCCCTTCAGACCAGCGGGCCCTGTTTTCCGCCTACGTGAGGACGGTTCATACCTCATAGCGGGTGGGCTGAAGGGTCTCTGCGGAAGCATCGCAATCTACCTAGCTCGAAATGGGGCGAAGAACATTGTTGTAATCTGTCGTAGTGGGTACGATGACGCGCGATCCCAAAAGATTATCTATGACTGCCGGTGTCTGGGATGCCATGTCGACCAGGTAACCGGGGACATCACATCCCTTGAAGACGTCCGCCGTGCATTCACTTCTGCTTCTATGCCCGTTATCGGGGTGGTCCAAGGCGCAATGGCCCTCCGCGACCGCATGTTCGCAACCATGACACCTGACGAGTTCCGGCAGCCCATTGCACCTAAAGTCGCTGGCACTTGGAACTTGCATCAGGTGTCGCTCGAGCGGTCAACATCTCTAGATTTCTTCACCCTGCTATCAAGCGTGAGTGGTCTGGTTGGACAGCTTGGGCAGGCCAACTACGCCGCGGGCAACACCTTCCTTGACTCCTTCGCCGCGTACCGGCTCCAGCAGGGCCTTCCAGCCTGCTCGATCAACCTCGGCCCCGTCGAAGAAGTTGGATATCTAGCCAACGACGCCCAGGGCGCAATGCTCAATCGCGTCTTCGAAACCCGTGGCTGGACACCCATCCATGAGGCCCTGCTACATCAAATCCTGCGCACTAGTATCCTACAGCAAACGCATCGTCTGAACCCAGCGCATACCGGCCAACTAGTCACAGCAATCATGCCCGGCGATACCCCCTTCGAGCCTGTCAACAGGTTCAGCGCTCTATCTGGCAACAAGACAACCAAGGCCGGCGGTGATGTCAACGCCGAGTCCAAATCGAAGCTGATTCTCCTCAAGAAGGGCTCGGCAAGCGATATGGACCATACCATTTTGCTTGCTGCCGCCGTCGAGTTGGTGAATCCTGTTTTGATGCGCAGTCTGGGAGTTGCGGAGCCTTTGGACCCCACGCGCCCGCTGAGCAATTATGGAGTCGACTCGCTGGTCGCGGTTGAGTTGAGAAATTGGATCCGCCAGCAGTTTGAGATCGAGGTTAGTGCATTGGAGATTGTAGGTGCTAGGACTATGACTGCGCTATGTGAGACGCTTTTGGGTAAGCTAGCGCGGTAGTCACAGATCTCGCAGCTTCCATTAGTTTTGCCCTTTCTCCTATACATAATTATCTCATAGTTATCACCTAGTTCGTCTAATCATTAAACTTCGTTTTCTCCCCAGATTTATTGTGTTTTATGGCCATCAAATACAGTACCTTCTCCATGCCTATTTTTCGCTCTCTGATTGCCCTAGCCAAGAATTAGGGGGGGGGGGGAAATGAAAAATGAAAAAAAAAACCCCCCAAAATGAAGCGGGTTCGCGTCGGAGCACCGAGATGATCGACGCGACCACCCCTGAATCCCAGGTATGTGCAAGCACTGACGACTACACTACTCCGTACTTGTGCCTAAATATTAATTGAGAAGGATATGCAGTGAGATCTGAATCTGATTAGTGTCACTGAAGTGTGAACTTCTTTAACAAATTAACTATACAGGCTATCAACATCAAAAAGTACCATGTAAGGCTAAAACATGGTTATGCAGCTTATTATGGTGATACCATAATACATAAATGGCTGCTGAGGGGTACTACATAGATCCAGAGTACCCCGAGAAATGTTTATTGCACTGTCTTAATAGTGATTTTACGCTACCAACAGGATACTACCAGCCTTATAGTGCTATGTTGGTGTGTCGCTCATGTCAATTATTATACAGTAAACCTAATAGTGGCGCTAGATGCATCTCTTGCGCAGCAAATAACTGGTCCGGACACAGTAAATAAAGCCCCAACATTTCCCTTAACAAAGAGAAAATAATGATGTAAAACACATCACCGAGTTTTCCTACTCCCCATCGCTTTACAACATAAGCTGAAGTCTTTAACAGTTACGCGATGTTAGAAATTCCAACCCCTATCGACGGGGATCCAAACATTTCTTCTCATAACCATAGGCAACACTACGTTGTATTTGATGTGCGGCGTGGTATCTATGTGATCATTCATATTTTTTCTCGAGCTGCGCTTTGAGAGCGGGCTGGAACATAAGCTCGATGGTTTCCTCCTTCAGGAAGAAGCCGTCACCCTTAATCAAGGAATTGGGGACTTTCATGTACAACATATGGCTCTGGCCCACAAAAGACGCCCTGTCCCCTAAAACACTCGTCCCAGTCATAACGGGAATAGACCGAGTCGTACGGTATAGTCCCATTCTTATTGCGGCATGTTTGATGGGCAAGCAAGTCAAGCCGCTGCTGCAGCTTAAATATCATATCGGTAATACCTAGAGGCTCACAAACCCTGGAAATGTGGTAACGTCCGTCCTTCGGAAGAAATAATTATGTTTCCGGCTCCCTAGGCCAGGATTTATATGGCGTAAATACTTGATTTATTGAGTCAAGTTTTCCTCAGTTGATCTCTGCATAAGAGATGTCGTAGCGAGAAAACCAGTACAAGTATCTTTTCACATATCAAAGAATGTACGCACATATATACGTATATATATGACTTGATTTACCCTGACCCTTCGCTGAAGCGATATGTAGGCTACCACAATTATATGTATTGAAATGTATCTAGAGTGTGCTATTTCTAGGAACGAGTCTCCAGCCTCGCCGGGGCTTTGAGTGGTTGTTTCGAGGTTGTTATGTAGTTCAAAGGTCTGAAAACTATCTGCCTAAAATGCGGCACCCTAGTGCTTGCCTTTCAGCTATGCAGCCTTAGATCCTGTCTCTACTATACAATATCAATTATGACCCTATCTCCCATTCCGGGGCTGTGGGGCTATCCTGAATAGTCGTAGTATCAAGTCCCAAACAACCTGAATGGGTGTCGCTCAGGTGAGTTTAGGGTGAGTGCCGCTTTAGCAGTGTACCATGGGTACCTGATTAATCCGGATTACGAAATGATTAAATGATCCCGAGGTCGGGCGGGCATGGACCCTCCCGAGGTCAGTGAGTGACCTCGGGACCTCCACCTCGGGAGGTAAATGCTCCAAAAAGCGGCAAGGGGTGATCACTAAAACGGAAAGAGAAAGCCATGTCCGGTGGTCTACAACATAAAATCCGACGTATACCCACATACAACATTTGATTTTAGGCGACACTCATCCGATACCCACCTACAAAAGTGTCGTCACAGTACTCATGGCCTATGTCCAAGGTTATATATAGAAAAGCTGCCTGCACAGTTTATGGCTTTTTTACCATGTTGCATAAGAGGCCGACTACTCCGTATTCCTGTAGAAATACAAGAAAAGCCAGAGAATAAAGGAAAGTTGTTCAGATCTGCTTTAAGTATCTGCATACATAATGTTGAATTTATCAGCCATATGACCAAATATTGACTATGTTGTATAGACCTATGAACAATGTAACTATGTTGCAGTAGATACGTGAGGCATGAGATTTATATGCACAAAGATGCACATATGATGTAAGTAATTATTGTACTGGTAATACCGTAATATAAACCATCATTACCTGCTGCCTGAGCTGTGACCCCACTATTGGCCTCCCTTGTGATCGCTCATTGGTTAGGCAACAGGATTCCCTCGGTGCGCCGCTGTGTGGTTATCGGTCTTCATCGCCCTCAAGGCACCCATTGAAACTGCTCTGCAAGACTTCATCGATTCCTTTCTTTCTGATGGATTCTTTGCTTTTCAGCGACTATGCGTTCTTGAACGTTCCCATTGCAGTACCTTGTCTCTAATGCTCGATACTGTATCTGTTCTTATCAATCCCCTCCATTATCGCCAAGATGTCAGTCCTCCGGCATGGAGGAGGAGGCGGATTTCTCCAGCGGCGCCTCACGAAATTATATACCGACACGAAAACCTCCTGCGAGAGTGTTACGACAGCCTCAAAGGCACTCGACGATCCTGAGCTCGTTGCCCTCCACGGCAATTTCCAGAAACAGAGAGACCGCTTGCTAGCATGGGGTTTAGATTGGAGCGATGCAAGCGCTGCGCAGCCCAATGACATCGATGAATCCTTGACTGCTGCAGGCTTCAGCGATGTGGTTGAGAGTGTCATGTCTTCGATCCAAGAACTCCTCAATGATGCTGAACAAGTCCAGCATCTGGATGCGCCCATGCTTCCCTCCAAGGAACGGAAAGTCGATATACCATCGAAGGACAGCCTTGCTAGTAGACCTGTTAAGACGCAATGGACAGAGGAAGATATAACTCGCTCAAACGATATCTTGAAAGACCTTACCGGTTGTATTGATACCCTTTATGATCTCTCGCGCTCCCGGCGGACAATGGCTTCCAGCATGTCATCCAGCAGGAACAGCGCGCGCCGTCCACGCGCTAACCCCACCTCACCTTACGATTCATCACACGGCTCATTCTCCGATTCCAAGGAGAAAGTACAAAGTCCGAAGCAAATGTTTGATTCATTCACCTACTCGCCCACGACCGCACACCGTGACGCCCTTAATCCTTTCCTGCCATTGAACCACCTTCTCATTGATCGCTCAGCTCTACAATTATATGGAGCGGCCCATGATAATAGCCCTCCTCCATATGAACCTGTTGCGGCATCTTCCAATTCACGTGCCATTGGACGCCTGAAGTCATCCGCCTCGCATCTTCTTGCCTCCATAAAGGACTCCCATGTCTCTGTTCTTGTTGAGTTTATACCATTATTGGCAGAATCAAAGATGGATAATAAGAGTGCTCGACTGGAAAAGCTCCAGAAGTCTCTTGATCAGTTGCTACAGAGTGCCAGGATCTCTCACCTAGGGTTGATGCGTTTTTTGGGCTACTGCATTGATAACTCGAATTCTCGCTATGCATTCCTTTATCAGATGCCGGTCGACTACTTCCCATTCCTACAGAATCCAAGTGACTTGTTGAAGGAGTTAAAGCCTAAGCCATTGGTCGCTCTTCTTCCTTCAGCAGAGGAGTACCGGGAGAATCGAGTTCCGAACCTCGACACTCGCTTTCGATTAGCTTACGATCTCTTAATGTCCGCTCTCCACTTAAGAAGTCAAAATGCCGTTCATGGAAACATCAACAGCAGCAACGTTATCTTCTTCCCTGGTCGAAGTGATGCAAGTGATGATGAAAGCGGTCTTGCGCCTGATATTCGCCGCCCTTATCTCACTTCTCCGGCACGGTTCTCTGGGGATGGACCAACCCCTGAGCCGTTGTCTTCGGCAATGTATCGTCACCCAGAGGATAAGAGAAACGTTGATGATGATGGTGCATGGGCCTATGATCTTTACTCGCTAGGCCTCATTTTATTGGAGATAGGCCTGTGGGCACCAGTTGGGCGACTTTGGAAGATGAAGTATGACCGATCATGGTTCAAGCATCGAGTGGAAGATCTCTATGTGAAGAAACTTGGCCCAAAATGCGGTGGTGCTTATCTTCAAGCCGTCCAGTTGTGTCTTGATGCCCCCAACTTCCATTTATCGCCACAACCGATGACCGACCTCGGTCTTCGTGTTCCCCAAATTTACCACTACCCGGTGCTTGACTTGTCAGACCCTGATGGTACTTTCTCTTTTTCAATGAATTTCACGTACACAATCTGCAAGATTCTGTGGTCGTGTTGCCGGATTGATATCTTCTCGGCACCCTCAGCAGAAGAATTGGATGACTGCCTCCCACTGGCTCTTGTCCCCACCCCCGAGCCCGTCACCATCCAGGACAAAGTCAACGCATATAAAGCATCAAAGCGCGAGATGTCTAATTATGATAAGAAGCTTCCTACGATTCCTGCCGATGCATGGGGCGTCGTGAATGAAGACAAATCCTTTGTTGAAAAGGCACAGAAGAAACGTACAGTCAAGAGACTACCGAACTTGGAAATACCGGACGAGCACCTACAAGAGTGGAATTTCCACATAATGCCTCGAGTGAGTCGCCTTCTTCAGAAGATACTGAGGGAGTCTTCGGAGTCGTGTGGAGTAAACCTTATCATGACTGGCGAGTCGTCTGAAAGTGCCAAAACGACGATTTGTGTTACATGTGCCAGTGTGAAGAAAGTTCGAATGGCCCTCAAGAAGCACTTCGCTCTTGGCCGGGATGACTGGGATTTGATTGTCCTCCGTGGCGATATCGAACGGTCCAAAGTTCCTCGGAACAGGCGCCGGAGGCCAGCTAAGACTCGTCCCAATGTATCTAACGATACACCATTTCGCCAACGAGAGCTCAATCCATGTCACCAGCAGCGACCTCTGTGCGGAGCGTCTATCGGTGCTTTTCAGAACGAAGAGCACCTACCGCCCGTCTCATATGGTGGTGCCGTCTTCGTCGATGGCTTGCCGTATGGCCTGACAGTTCATCATATGTTAGAAGCTCCCAGTGAAGATGAGGGTCAAGACAGCAGCCCTGGAGACACAAATCAAGACGCCCCTTCCAGATCGGCGGGGAACTGGCCCCGTGATACATCAAATACCCAACATCCTGGATTCAGTTACGACTATCCAGAAGATGACTCGACTGATGTGAACTTCAATTTCGAAATTTCTGATCTGGAGGACGGTGACGATGCAACAGAGGGCCTTGAATCCGGCTATGATGAGTTCTGGCTTTCAGATGATGATTCATCAGATGATGACTCCCTCGGTCCTGATGACGATGACGGTGACACCGCGTCCATCGGCGATACTGCTGGTATTGAACCAGGGGAAGAACCTCGTCTGCTTGTTACTCAACCAGCCATTGACGATGTACACGAAGACTTCTTTCCTTCTCCAGAAGATCGCGATGACGAGCACCTAGCCTCTCACTCCCTAGGTTACGTCCACGCATCATCTGGAGTACGGCGCTGGACCCGAAAGGGCCTGAAACATGAGATTGACTGGGCGCTCATTAAAGTCGATGATGCTCGCATGGACCCTCGCAACATCATTCTCGATACTACCAGGTCCAGTAACGCTCGCCCGGGACGCCCTATCCCGCCACAACCTATATTTTTGAATCAGGTAGCCCGGATGGAGGATCTAGGTGGTTTGCAAGTTCATTGCTGCGGCCGCACAAGCGGACTGCAAACGGGGCAGATATCCAAGGCTATGACATTGGTCAAACTTCATGGACGTCATTCATTCTCAACCAGCTTTTGCGTCAATGGAAATTTCGGAGGTAAGAGGTGCACTTCAGCAGAGATCCATGTTTATGTCTATATGATCCTTAATTAGATACCCTTTTGTTTTGTTTTTTTATGCACACCCATCATTTGTCACCCTTCTTAGCTGGTAAACATACAGCACCATTCTCCTAGGACATCATCAACTCGTATCGAGTAAACATTTCATGAAGCTAATCTATCCTGATTCGACAGCCCCTGGTGACTCCGGCGCATGGGTCTTCGACCGCCCCACCGGTCGTGTATGCGGCCACGTCCTCGCCTGGTCCGCAAAAAGCAACACAACCTACATATCCCCAATGGAGGTCACCTTCGACGACATCGCCCGCACCCTCGGCGCCTCCGTCGTCTCCCTCCCCGGCGACCCGAGTCGCTCCATGGGTTACGTCGACCCTTCCTCCCCACAGTCCCCTCAATATCGCTACCAGGCACAGCGGCTTCCCGGTGACTTTGGCCGTTTGGCTTTTGGAGGAGGTTCCCCTGGTCCGCCTGTACCACCGCATCCACATCAGTATGCCCACCCTCAACCCCAACATCCGGGCTACGGACGTCCTCTACCTCCACCTCCTCCCCCTGGCTCCCGAGAAGCCCGTGGGCCTGTTTATGGTGGCCCCGTCCCTCCGATTCCGCCGTCGCTCATGGCTGGGCCCCGCAATATCGAGCGACAACTGGCTTGATTTTTGGAAGATTTATAATCTGGGCATAATGTTTTGAGATTCGTGTTATGGTAATCTGGGTATATCGGTTTTGTTTGATAATGATGTTGATGTTGATGTTTACGGACGTTGAGGATACCCATGATGGAACGACTTTTGGTTCTGTTTTCATTTACACCCTATAAAAATTATAAATATTACGCGAACTGTTCAAAAAGCAGTATTCATGAACGAGGGTCACAATTATTTTGATGTAGACATGGCAGAGCTAGGTAGAATGTACTCATCTCAAGGCTGACGTGAATCTGGTCTATCAGCATCATAATATCGACTATATCGAGGTGATGCTCGTCTTTTTATTAACATCCCTTCACCAAAATTCGAAGTTGGTAACTACCATTCGCAACTGCCATGCCTCATATCGTCTTAGGAAAGCTCGAATCTCCCATCTTCATAGTTTGTTCGACTCTACAGTCGCGTGGGGTACTGGGCAAGTCTACAGTTATTGCTTATCCAATATACAGCAGAGGTCACATCCTGACACCAAGATCTAGTGGCCACAATATCACAGATTTGCAGCAGAAATAACGATTCTTGATCAATTACTCCCTGGGAGGGAAAGACAAAGTATGAAGATTTTGACATATGGGGTTAGGATTATACGTATGTTAAGGTTGGAGATCCAGTACAGCTTTAAATGCCGAGTAGTACCAACTCAATACCCCCATATGACCCGCTCATATGTGATACCAAAAAGGGTCTCAATGCAACACAAGGTTAACATCGAACCAAACAGAACGTGATCATTATATCCTGGGAGACGAGATGATACCCTACACATCTCCGCCGGACCATATATTTAAGCTACGAAACCCACTCTAGCGTTTCTGGTTACAACCTCAATTACTCAACGTCTCTCCTGCTGAGTAAGTTCCTCCAGCCTTTGTGTAATCTTGAGTCCCTTTTGAACATCTCAGGTGACCTTGGATCTTGCATCGGGTGGATTAAGAGTTGACAGATCTAGTCTAGCAAGCCTAAAGCACATGGAGAGCAAGAAATAGCGAGATATTAACGTAATAGTGCAACATGAATGAGGTCTGGGGGATTCTGGATCTATCATTTATACTATTTCAACGTGTCAAAGAACAATATGGCATGGGACATATAATCATAGTATATTCCGCGCAAGAATCACCATTCGGTTTGCCTTTCAGAGAATCATAGACTGTTCAAAAAACCTTCAACAACATTACTACAGAGCACATCAACGTGAACCAGCCCAACAAAGCCGGCAATGTAAGCTCAATCATGTACCGAATTTCATCCTCAAAAGATCAAGACTATAGTTCAACAAGCACATGACTAGAGTCTCTTGTACTGATCTCATTTGCGACAGGACAATCACACCCATGTTGTTTGCATGCATGTCGATGGCGATTCACAATTATTTTGTCGCTTCTAGTACTAGGACTCCTCTTACTAGCAACCGATGTACTGGCAGCAAGGGTAGTCTATACGGCGTGGTACACGGAAGGGCTCGGGGGCCATGAAGGGCATACTAGTCGCCTTGGAACAATATCAGAGGAGCACGTACAGCCCCTCTTAGAGCACATTGAACAATGGTCGAGTTGAAAATACACAGCCGCAAGAGGCAGACACAATACTATCAATGTGGGAGCACATCACCGCGTGAGAACAAGGAATGAGGCAAGCCAAGAGGTACAGGACATGATCCACCTGGTTTGCCAACACCTGAGGGAATGTCGCGCGACTACGCCTGATGAGGAGTGAATTCTCTGTGCACATGTAGGTTTCACCATTTTGATAGCGAAGAAGAGGCTGGTTTCCTATTCATGCGGCTGATCACCCTAGTCTTTGAACTCGATACCTTCAGGATCCCAATGTTGAGGAAAGCAATCGCAGTAGCACGGGATAGTAGTGGAGCATCATTTTAGCTTGTGGTCATTGTATGGAGTTCTCTGATAGAGTTCAAGCTCGACTGGTCATCAGCAAAGCCTGCCTTCAAGAATTCTTTTGTTTTCATGCCAAAATTTCTTGACTGAGGGGAAGGCCGGGGATAGGAGGGAGGGGGGCGGAAAACTCGTTGATATACAAACTTCCAAGGGCACATTTTGAAAAAAAAAAAAAAAACAGCTGAAGACAACCTTAGGTAATGGCTTTGGCTTTGTAATAAGCTCAGGAATTGTGAACGATAACGATAACCGCCCGGGTGACGATCACGTGGGTTTTCCAAACCTAACTGTGTCTAATGTGTGGTGTGCCCAGTACTTCTAAGTGCTTCTGCTTATAATTGAAAATTGCTACAATTATTATCAATTTGACTTCACAAAAGAGTGAAAAGATAATCAATCAGAACTTAAATTTGAGATTAACTCCCTAGCTCCATGAACTGATGGTAACCTCCCATCAGCTCAACGCTGAAAACAAATTGGCGGGAGCCCTTCACAATTTGAAGGAAAAGACAGGCCGGATCTCAAAGTGATCATTGCCACCAATCATTGGTGTACCAATGAGCTCCGTGATCACTTGACTGACCTGCAGAATCCGCTGGTAGGCGAGCTCTTGAAGGATCTGGCGGCCAGGCCCCCAGTCAAATCTGGCAGTACTTGGATTCCAGACCAGGGCCTTTGCCCTTTTTATATCCCAAAGCTCCCACCGCGGCTGCACCTTGGTTTGGTCTCCATTCAAAACATCGAAGTTCGGGTGCTCGCCAACGATGACATACATGATGATAGGGTCAGCGCAGAAGGAGTGGAATGTGTCAATAACAAAATTCATGGATGGATCATCCATGAATGCAAGCTCAGACACGGCGAACTGACCCAAATTTATGGGAACAGAAACGTTCTGTCGAGGATCAGCCAACGATTGATGAAGGCCCCAACACTCTTTGCCGAAGACCTCATGGACCTCTTGACCAAACCATATCACATCGCGCATTGGATCGAAAGGGCGTAGGAAGATGAGGCACTGTCTGTCCTCATGATAACGGGCCTCAATGCCCTGCTTGAGAGCCCATTCAAAAGCAGCACCGCGGGCCTCGTGGTTCACGGCGGTGAGTGGTATCTTGACACGGATATGCTCAAGCAAATCATGACGGAACTCAACCTCCACATGCGTTTGATGGAAGTCACTTTCTTCATCACTTTCTGACACAGGAACAGGACGCCAACAGCCGCTTTGGTAGGGAACCAATGCTGGTGAGTCCATGTTGGGCAAAGACTCGCGCCATATTTGGAGTCGTAACTCAGTAGGAAGACGGGAAAAGAGATGGAAGGTTTCGGAGCTGGCCGTCGACTCGGCCGAAGATAAGGTGCTCATGATTTGAAGATGTCACAGTCGAGTAATTGATGATGATTGATATTCGTCTGATGGAGGATAGGTTAGTGGTGAAATAGACTTAGACGATGGTTACACCTGGCTTTCACGCCGGTGCCTAAGGCAATCGTCCTTTAATACTACCTTAGAGAGCGACGAGACACTTACCTGCGTTGCACGCTTGGTTCTGTATTCTTCTTGACAAGACGGCCTAGTATCTGGCCGATGGAAGCTTATCAAGAACTATGGAAGAAAAAGAAAGAAGAGACACGGTCGAGTTGAGACAACTAGAAGATAAACAAATGGTTGAAGGCGGTCAATTTGTGAGACGAGATCGAGTAGACATTTGGAAGGTATTATGAACCTGATATGCAAAGCGATAAGGGCATTGAGCTATCGGGGGCCTATGCTCTACTGCAAGTTATCTAGGCACACAAAGAAACCCATGACTCGGCTGTTACCGTTTTGCAGAGGAAGAATATAATGAACAACACACAGCCTTTTGCTTTCAGTCTTCTTCATTGCAAGTGACCTATGAACACAGTGATGGGATAGCAGGAATACAATTTGATACACTAAATGCACCTGTTGTTCTAAGCTATTCAACCAATTCCATGAAGAACAAAGGGAGATAAAGGACTGTAGACTTACAATGTGATGAAAGACAGCTCGTTCGTGAAACTGACCAACATTTCTATACAACTTCTACGGGGTTCACAATATGTTAGCCGCCTATGACGCGTTGTAGTAGGTACATATCAGTGTAGTACCTGTTTATATACTCGGGCTCGAATATGAATACTCATGAATCGTGGCTTGTGACTTCGAAAACCGTTGTCAATATCTTCGGACTCAGCTTGTTAGTGAATAGCATCCGTCTCCGCCCCAAACGCGCCTTGATCCCAGCGCGTCCGCGCCACAGCCCTTTTCTCTATCTCTGTCTTATTTCCAATTCCACCGAAGAATCCTGTATCTCGCAATTGTCGTTCAAATACTTTTTACCTTGTGAGTATCCTCCAGAAAGAAACGCTTCTTTCAGCGACAGCATGTTTTCATTCAATTTCTCAAATATTGTGAAGCCTGATTACTAACTTCATACTTCGCTTGAAGGTCGATCTTCTGCCCTCCCCCGACATTAATAATGCATCACTTACACACTTTGCATGGAACCCCTGGGCCGGGCACAAGTGCCGGCCAAGGGATGGTCATGCAGCTTCGATGAAGCTATGGAACTTCTCAAGAAGTGGTATGATGACTCTCAGAAGCCCTTCTTTAAAAAGAAAGACCTGGAGAAAATCTCCAATCAGCTCAATCGCCTGTACAATACCCAGAGAAGAAATACTACTCAGAAGCAATTGATTTCTGTGAGAGGTCTAAGTAAATCAACAATCCTCTATGAAGTGAGGACTGGGCAAGTCATCACTGAAGAGGAACACAAACAGGAATGGGAGATGTAAGTCGTCATTGATCCCTTCCAGGGCTATTCTGGCACGTGACACCCAGCTAACAAACTATCACAACAGGCAGCAGCCGAAGCTCCGGTACCTTTGCTATGACCAAATCACGTCGCTGGTGGAAGATGGGGATATGGCACTGGTAGAGGCTTTCTTCCCGTTGCAAATTGACCATCTTGCGCTCAAGCGGGCGATCGATACCAAGCTTCCGGTCCTACCCGACTATGTTCAGAACACCGTGCCTGTGGATGAGTTCCTGCAAGGTGCTCTGGAGACCTGGAAAATTCATATGAATGGGAAAAGCTTGAGTCCCTTCTCAAGCTTGTCACTTCTTACAAAATCACGAAAGTTATTGGAAGCGCATCTGGATCAATGGAATTTGGTCTCGGTGGCTCACAAATCACCATGCGCAGCGCAATCCAGCATTCATTGATGATATCTCTTAAGGAGTCACTTGAAGAAAAGACCAACCAAAATATCAACTGCTATTCACAAGACCCTCGCGACACAGCTATCGACAACAGGGATCTTGGGCAATATGGCTGCGAAGTTTCGGAAGACCCTCAAGCTTTGCTTCAAATCGACAACGATTGCATTCTCTTTTCCTGCTGTCCATCTCTCCCGTTGAAGGAGATCACGGTAGACTTTGGTCGACCTGCCATGCTTATTTGGGATCGAGTTAACATGGGAGCCTACGGTGAATGGTGAGTCTGATTCCGATGCTGCTTTACTTCATCTTGCTTAACAATCAGGTCCCCTAGATCCAACCCAAACTCACACCGCGTACTGAACATGATTGAGAACGAGTATGATTGCCACGAGTTCTGGGATTTACATAAGAAAGAGGCTGCTCCTTTTGGATCTCATCTTACTATTTACATCCGCCGTCAGGCAGAGTAAAGCTATTACCAGAGATATTTTGTAATATTAGGTTGTTAGGGAGATTTACAAGGTCCCAAAGAGTTGAACAAAGAGATTTTGATTGAGCATGAAACGGATTTCTGTATGGAGGAAACATATACGTATGTTGTCCGCGCCTGCGTCGACACCAGGCCGGGTCATGCAATTACCCTCCAGTGTGTATGCATGTTCTGGTTTTGCTGTAGGTTTAGCAATGGATCTCCTCTCCATGTTAAAATATTATTAGATGGTCCCTTTCCATCACATTCAAACCTATAAATGAAGCAAAAGACATGGCTGCCAAATCCAACGCTCGTAAACCATGAGAGTGGATCTTCTGCATATGAACTTCCTGGTCCGTATGAAAGCCAGGCCTATTCTGTATTTCATTATGATATACACTATACCTTTTTTTGTTTCTGGGTCTAAATGATTTTTCCTCATCCATAATTCCTATATATAGTATCTAGGTACGGACCTCGGTAACTAGTTAACTAGTTAGGTAGTTCTCCGTACAGACAGGTGACTAACAATGCTGTTGCATGCTATCTGATATGTCACATGCTATCATATACTGGATTTGTTTGCATTGAAGGGTTAGCTCAGGCTATTTAATCCTCTACAGGATCTACCACACTGCTCTCTCCCTTCTTGCCTATCTTTGCTTTTCTAGTTTTAATGCACCCTTCCTTCATTGATTAACCTGACACGTAGGTGTAGTATCAGAAAACAACCCTGAACTATATGGTTCCTAGGGACTTTAGGTCTTGGAAAAATCATACCCCGACTTATAATCATGTCTCTAGGCCAATTGCCACTAACTATATAGATAGCTGTAAAAGTACATGTAGTACCTAAGACTTGAATTCTGATACTTCACCCCTATACAAAGTAGTCGCAGCATAATGTTCTATGATGGACCGACCCACTTAACCTTATCCTAGAAAAGATCTTCCAAGATCTTTATGTATCACATATGAGTGAAAAAGAAGGTAGTTTCGGTGGTCAAGACAAGCATATGTAGTTCTACTTTACATTTGTGTCATATAATTTACCCTTTTCACTGCCTGTTGACCTCCCAATCAAAACAGTATTCCCCCAAAAGGACTTGCGATGGCTGTGCTATTGAGATTGAAGCGGCTTTGGGGTTGATCGCCTGTATCGTATTTATCATATTGTACCAATTCTTTCATCAATTATATGACCTCAGGTTTGAAGATGCTATAATATATGTACCCTGACAGTAACACGTGTCGATGATATGATGGACTGCAGCAAGTTAGTTGTGAAGAGTGCATGATTGTTGGTGTCAGAGATGACAAGGGACCAAAACACAAATCCTCCACGCCAGTAAGGCCTCTCAATTCGGGGCTAACACACGGCTAGTGAATGGCAAACATGTGCCCCTCGGGCCATGTAGCTGCTCGTGCTCATTCTCCTATTCCTCCTCCTCGTCCTCGTCGATACTCTCCCATTCATCTTCCTCGTCACTTTCAATATCTACCTCTTCGCCAAACATGCCAAGCAGCTGTAGAAACCCGGCTTGTGTGCGCCAGGCGTCTTCAGTTGGCAAATTTGGGCGGGGGCCACCAAGTCCCCCGATACCCGCTGTCGAAGAATCATCCTTGTTACCAGAGGCAGAGGAAGATTTATCAGAGATGCTAGGAGCGAGGCTTAGTATGCGGATGACTTTTGTAGGAAAGACGTGAGGAATATCTCTCCCTTGCGGTGGAGGTACGCCACCAGGAATGTTGGAGTCACGCCAGCCGAGTGTCTGCGAGTTCTGATGTTAGCTTATCTGCTTTTTCTTTTTGGTGTACTCAAAGTTAGAGCTCACCGTGTAAGTGGTCATAATGGCATCATCAGCCAGTGCCATATAACTGATCGGCACAGCAAACTGTGGCGCAGAGCTGGTGAGCAGCGAGTACGAAGCACGGGGAGAGTTTTCCACGCTTTGCACTCTGTTGTTATCATCAAGGGCGACAACATAAATCCGATCTTGAATTTCGAACATCACGCGGTGCTTTCGGACTGATAACCAGCCACCAAGGTCAAAGCTTGACCCATCTGATTCGCATTCTAGGATGGAGCTGTTTGCCGCGAGACTCGATTCGTCATGGAGAGCCTTGCGGAAGTCGGGGCATATAAAAACACGGCCAGCGCGAGAGAAGCCCACGAAAAGATCATCATGCAACATTCCCGCTCCCCATTCATCCTCCGCATGCCGGACGTGATCTGGGTCACCTGGTGGCGACAATGGACCTTTGGCGATCTTAATTGGCACCAAACGATCTTTTCCCACGGCTCCGAGTGGCAGTGAGTGAGATTCTGGGCCAAGTCGCGCAGCACCTGCTAGTGCTGCAGTTGTGGAACCAGATGCGGGTTTGGGAGGGAGGATGTGATATTTCTCTGTGGACTTCGCCGGCTTCAACGTGCCTAAAAACGCGCCAGACTCCTTGCTGTAGGCAAAATAGCCTTTTGCTCCCATCGAATAGATCACAATGTCGGAGCTTTGATCCAGATGGCCAATGCCACCTTCCTCGATCTTCAATTGTGTGGTTAACTTGGGAGGTCGCTGTGTCATATCGTACACAAAACCACGACCCTCGTTTGAAACAACACAGAGAGTCCAGTAGGACAATTGGAACCCTCTTGTCTGGCAATCATGGGTTAAAGTAGCGATGCGCCGGAACTCTCCACGCTTTGCACCTTCATGGTCTGCCTCCCAAACCTCTAGCGAATCTCCTTCACTATCAAACACGGCCATTCCATCCTGATATTCCAAGTGTGCATGTTTGCGAACTCCATCTCCATCGGTTTCCAGCGCCGGCGGGAGTTGCCAGAGGATACGGCCCGTGTCCATATCAGTGACGTTCAACCCGCCGGCATGTGAAGTGGAAATAAAAAATCGGCGCTTGAAGTCGGCACGGAATCGCCAGACAGGATTATTGCCGATTTGTAGTACCGATTCCTGGCTAACTGGATGTGGTTTGGCCCAATTTTGGGCCAGTAGTGTCTGGCGCTTACACAGGTCTTTCCATGATTTCGTGCCTTCGAATATTTTTGAAAAGCTGTGAGCATCGGAGAGGAATGAAAAATCTCGGCTACCTCCAAGCGGTTGAGCAGTTTTTGCTTCAGATGTGTAAATTGCTTCTTGGTGGGTGACGTCGATAAATTGGTGCCAAGCCTTAGAGGCCGCGGTCAGGGACGCAAGCGCGGAGACGGGGGTGAAGTGCAAGATTTGCAGGACAATCTCTGGGGGCAGCACAGTGAGAGGGTCCACCATGGGTGAGACGGCGGTCATATTCGCAAATATATTCAATACAAGATTGTTGCAGGAAGTAAATTAGAGAGGTGGGGGGTTCACAATATTTTGTCGTGCTCCACTGTATATGCGATGACGTAGCCGTTTCTAAATCCTTGGATTGGCAAAACAAATAGCCTGGGAAGTTGAGCGCCCTAAATTTAAGCTTAAATTCTTTTGATGTACCAGCTCTCAATCTGCTCGCCCCCAATTGCTCCAAGTACTGGATCCTTCCCAACCGAACCTCCGCTGCAATGCCCGCCTCATTTCAAGGTCCCTCATTCGCTCTTCCATATCCCGAACAAACTCTCGCCGGTCTCTATAGCGTTTTCGGAATTCTTTCACAATAATTGGAATAATTTCCCATCCAATAAAAACCAAGAGACCAGCAAATAAAGCAAACAGTTGATCCTCTTCGTTAATCGACTGGGGAGCACATGGCATGAAGAAACATGACTGTGATGCCTTGACACTGCGAGTCACATAAGCAACAAAAGCATACCAAGCACTCGCACATCCAGCCAAAACAATCCAAAACAATGGAAATGCAAGCAAGAGAAAATAAAGATAAAGCGGAGCTATTGGTAATAGTCCAATCCACCATCTTGGATCGTCTGTAACATTGATCATGATGATCGAGATCGGCACCACAAAGAATGATACAAAGGCAAAAAGACGCAGCACTTTTACCACCATTCTCGATGTTATCACTTTGTTGAATGCCTGTTTCAGTGTTTCAGAGAACACGCTTGGTAACAATGATATCTCCAAATACCAGAGCAGCCATACAGAGAATGGCATGATAAAATATGGAGTGCCAGCAGCAACAATCAAATTAAGGTCGTAGGCCCCGCTGTTTATTGCTTGCCAGTATAGCGCGGGCACGTTCATCGTTCTGATAGGAGCAGCTGAGTGCATGAGCGCGAGGGAGGGCAATATCATTCCGAGCAAGAGTGTCCACAACCGATATCGTCGAGGCTCTAGGGTATCAAATAACATAATTGTAAGGAGATACTGCAGCGAGCTATGAAAACTTCCCCAAAAAGTAACAGTAAATGCCGCCCCAATGGAGCCTTTCAAGCTGCCCAAATCTGCATCGTAGGTCAAGGAGTCAAGCGGGATGCTTTGAGCCATGCGGATTCCACGAAAAAGACCAACTGCAGCCCAGTTGGTGCCAAGCAGAAATAACCACGTATTTGGATCAAATCTCTCTTCTGAGGCTCGTATGAGCCGTCCCCATGAAGCCACGATTGAGATGAACCATGCTGCCCAACTTCCTGGTCCATAAAACCCGCTCACATTTCCGATGCCAAGGACATCAGGGGGTTCGGATGTGACAACTAGATAGACTGGGAATCCGCTCTCAGATGCTTCCGTGCTAGGTGAGGGAGCCGCATCGGATGAGGAACTTGTCTCGTCAGAATTCGATGTTGTAGCTATCGGGGTATCGGAGGCTGGAAGACTAGTGTCGACATGAATGACTGCTGTTGGGTTTGCACCCGGTTCTTCTCTTATTTGGAGTACAATCGCGCATGTTGTGGATATGGAGAGGAAATGTAACAGTACAACCCTCCAAATCATCGCACGTGTTACAAGCAAAGCGCAAAGGATTTGGGGCTGTCTTTGATGAAAGCTACCTCGGAATTTTGTCCTGGTAACTGCCGAACAGATTTGAAGTCCGATCGGGGCAGTGGTATGGGAAATAAATTTCTCGCCTCAACCTGCACGTTTCGTATAATCGGGCTGTGACGGGCATGTCAGCGGCCCTCAGCCACCGACTAGCGCTGTGGCGTCGACGACATCTCAACAAAATAATATGTCTCCTCTCCAAAGGTGCTGGCCATTATCGTATGATACATAATATGGGAGGTTGACAAAAGTTGGGTTTTTGCTATACCCCGCAAGTCCAAGGAAGTACAAGCGACAACCCTGCATAGATTCAGAAATGCCCCGTTGCTTGGCACAGACTGAGCGCAAAGCAGCCCAATTACGCGATTGATTTTGACTTTCTCCTCATATCCCCGCTCTTCGATCATGGGTAACGAGACCCTCCAACAGTTCGCTGCCCTCGATCTCGACTACTTAATTATAGGCGGAGGTACCGCAGGCTTAGCCGTTGCTGCACGTCTCACCGAGGACCCTGAATTCCGTGTTGGAGTGATCGAAGCCGGCCCGTCTGTCTTAAACATAGATGGTAATGGCGCGATCAATGTTCCCGGCCGGTATGGTGAAACCATCGGTTCGAAATACGATTGGAAATTCAGAACTACTCCACAGCCAGGCCTAGGAGGGAGATCACTGCCATGGCCGCGAGGTCGTATATTAGGTGGCACAAGTGCGCTCAATCTTATGGCCTGGAATCGGGGCCATCGCAAAGACTACGATGCTTGGGCGGAACTGGGGAATGAGAGATGGGGATGGCAAGATCTACTGTATGAGCGACCAGCATTCTATGATTCGGGCTCTATATTGGTTTCACCTGCTGATCTGTGAGATACTAAATTATTTGCAGGCCTTTTTTCCGCCGCAGCGAGAATTTCCACCCGCCAAGTGCTGCTCATCAGAAACATTATCAGTCTTCCTATGATCCCCATGCTAATGGAACGAACGGCCCTCTACATACAAGTCATGCCAAGCAGTATGGCCCCACACACCAATATTGGCATGAGACACTCAATAGTCTGGGGGTTCCATCCACGCGCGATAGTCTCGCAGGCGATAATACAGGCGTCTGGAATATGGTCTGTACAATTGATCCAGATAGCCAGGAACGCAGCTACTCGGCCTCTGCATACTACCAACCCATTGCGAAACGCCCAAACTTGCATATACTGACTGAAGCAACTGCTATGGAAATTATATTTGAATCTGAATATGATGATTGGTACGCAACAGGGGCTCGAGTACGATGGAACGGACTGGAAGCAAATATCAAAGCATACGAAGAGATAATCATCTGTGCCGGTAGCGTTCAATCACCACAACTTCTAGAGTTATCCGGCATTGGCAATCAGGACGTGTTGGAAGCTGCTGGAATTGAGACGAAAGTCCACAGCCCCAACGTAGGAGAGAATCTACAGGAGCATATGAGTATGAAATATAAACAGTGCTTCTTGTGACATTGGCTGATGGTTATAAGTGACTGCCACCATCTTCGAAGTACCCTCCACGATTCCGACCCGCGATGACATTCTCCAAGACCCCATTCAGCGCGATGCTGCAGACCATGCCTATTACGCATCTCAGACGGGGCCTTGGACTGTGATGCCCTGTTCGGTGGCGTATTGTCCACTTTCGAAGATTCTATCACCTGAGGAATGCGACGAACTACACACCCAGGCTAAGGAAGTCGCACGAAATACAGGACGCCCACATGACGCTCTTCTAGCCAGTCAATTCGAGTCCGATCAAGCGCGCGGTCAAGTCGAGTATCTTTTCGATCTGGGTAACTGGAGCCCGTATTTTGTCTCTGAGCCAGGGAAAAAATACGCCACAATGCTGCAAATGCTGCAATACCCTTTCTCGCGCGGGTCTATACATATCCCCCCTATGAGCGGAAACAATTATGAGAAGACCACTATTGATGACAAACCCGTGATTGATCCGCGGTATTTCCTAGGACCTGGGGAGATTGATAAGAAGGTTATGGCCAAAGCACTCAGATGGGGAAATCAAATCTGCCAAACCGAGCCTTTGGCCAAACTCATTAATGGTCGAGTATTTCCTCCTCCTGCCAAGGGGACAGAGTCCGAGGAGAAAGTATACGAAGACTTTGTCTCAAATTATACTGTTACCGATTGGCATCGTATGTTCTCCCTCCAAGATTCATTTAGCAAATTACTAAAGATATATACAGCAGTTGGAACCTGCGCTATGGGTGAAGCAGATGGGGTCAATGGCGGGGTTGTGAATGATATGCTGCAGGTGCACGGGGTTCATGGTCTACGGGTTGTAGATGCTAGCATCATGCCATTGCAGGTTGGAGCACACATCCAAGCTACCGTATATGCGATTGCCGAAAAGGCGGCGGAGATGATCATAGAGGACTATTTTGCTAGAAATGGCCCCCTATGAGTTCCATGAGGCATTCAATGATAATATTCTATCGAAATGGCATTGCCAATGTCTTACTCAGTAGTCGCACGTAAGAAGGCCGACCGACTGCCACAACAGCATATCTACTTATTCATATTTTCCAACTTGTCATTATTACACATATTTGATCTCAAATTCTGCAAATCGATACTTGATTTTCTGCGGAATTCGCATTTCATCCTTGGCTGACTTTGCACGACGGCTCTTTTTAAGTCTCACGCGAAGACTTCGGGGTAGCTTCCTAGCTCCAGCGATTAAATCTCCATATTGTAGGTCCCTGCATGATCCAGATTGTTAAAGGCAGGAAGAAGTAGAAGTTTCAGAGATATCGCCTTGGGCTAAGTAAACATCTGGTTCTATTGCATTGCTCTACACTCCGGCATGCCGTGTCTGTGACACAGCCTGTGCACACAAGCAATCCTGGCGATATCTCCTAGACGAGAATAGCCTGTGAAATTTTCAAGTTTAATAGCAAACACAATGACATGGCTAGTACTACGCCCATTTCGAATAAATAGATCGGGGATTGAAGCTGGACTCCCCGACATCGGCTAAAGCCGACCCTAGCTTAGCCTCCCCTCTGAAGAGGGGCAACATTGGACCTACAAGATAATCAGGAAATCACCCGGATACTTTTCCAGCAATTTGCTGGATATTCACTATATAAGATACCAAACCTCCACGTTTAGTAACCGTCGACATACTATCTGTTCTTTGACTCATCTCGCATCCGACACGGAAACTGATTCCCGGCTTGAACCCATCCATATATACCCACTCATCTTTCTCAATACAATCACACATACATATCCTCTATTTTACAACATACATCATGATTTCCGGAATCGCCCACATCAACCTCACAATCCCTCAGGGTACATTAGAACAAGCCGAGGAGTTCTACGGGACAACTCTCGGACTTACCTCAGCCCCGGTACCGGAGCTCCAGAAGGGGACCATCTTATGGTATTCAATCAAGCTAGTATTTCTCACAACGATAAGCATTTTTAACATTATCAACAGGTTTAATATCGGTTCCAGTGGACAGCAAGTGCATATTACCGTCGGCGCGACTGATCCCCAAGCTACCCGGCACCCATGCTTCAAGCTGCCTTCCCGTGAGGAGCTAGAGGAGATTAAAGCAAGCATCTATGATCACCATGTACGTGGTGGTCCTGCAGCTCCAATGGCTGCTGATAGACCCGGCGAAGTCAACTCTGGTAAGATCCCTTTGATATTGTGTATGACTATTTGCTGATTGCCGCTACAGGAACTCAAGGGAAAGAATATCCCACGCGGTTCTTCGCTCGGGATTTTGGCGGAAACTTGCTTGAGTTTACTATGTAAATATTTATGCTAATCTGAATTGAGTTTGGGTCTATGAAAGCGCGAGTTGAGATTATCAACTGAGTCACTTTTTTGACCGTGGCTAGAATATCAATGAGAAACGGTCCAATTTTAACAATTTCAACACGCTATGGAATCACCTACCCAAAAGCGATACTACATATGTATTATTCTTGGAATGAATTTTATATCTCCAATCCTCATTTTAAAGCAACTAGATATTGTTGCTCTTTTATCAGTCTATAAGTAAAGTAACAACTCCTGTCCACGGATATCTATGGTCTCTCTAAACAGTCACCCCAGCATCCCCAGTCCCAGAATCCCCCACCTCCCCACGATCCCTCCGCTCCCTCACATTATCTTTCCTGAATATCAAACTCCAAAGATAAGACCTATTAACAACCTCATGACCACCCTCCTTCAAAATCCACACATTCCCAAGGAACGTAGTAAGCAAAACAGACAGCCACATAAACGGCATCATAGCAATGAAAGCCCACATAATACCACCCTTAGCATCGTCCTCCCCAGCCCCACTCTTATTCGTAAACACCGTTGACATAATAGTCAACCCCAGCAGACCTCCAAACGGAACAGCAAATACAGCAAGACACGAGATCTGTGCCGTCATTGCAGGGAAATACGCCAGCCCGTGCATAGACGCCGGGTTCATTCGCATCCCGACTCCGTGTCCAACTAGCGCCATCATGCCATAGATGACACTTGTTTCTCCCGCCTGGACTCCCCACGCCAGCACGGTCATCCCTACTGCCGACGTTACGCTGCCCAGGAAAAGAGCAGGGAAGGTTTGGCGGGGCCAGACGTTTAATGAGAACATCGCCATGTAAAGTCCGGCTGATTAAGTTAGTAAATATTCGTTCCATATAGTAAATAGGTAGAATTTACATACCGGCTAAACCGGGAAGGAAAAATAGCAGTGCGACACCGGCATCACTAGAGCTCCTCCCTTCCACAAGCGTAAAGTATATATCCATGAAGTACATAACAGCAAACATGCATATCCCGACCGAGAAATTGATTAAAAAGAGTAAGCCGATATCGCGCTGTCTCAGTAATTCCCACGACATCATTGCCTTCTGATGCGGAAGAGCCCGTGCCATCACTGAGCCAGGCAACATACAGCGCTCATAGACGACCCAAGCAATGACTAGAATCCCGCCGATAACCATCGGCGCTAGAACAGCGGCTGATTTCCAGGAATAGGTACCGCCGGCCCATGTCAAAGCAAGAATAAGAAGACCAAATCCCCAAAGGAAGAGCATCTGACCACCGTAGTCGATAGTCGAGATTCTCGCGAAGAACCGTCCAGACTGAGTCGAGATACCTCTCTCTTCGAGTTCAGGGACAGGCTGCGGACCCTGTAGCTCAGTCCTCAGAACAAGAGCCACGACAACCATTGCTACAACAGCAATGGGCAGGTTGATCGCAAAACACCAGCGCCATGAAGCCTGCGTCAGATACCCGCCGATGATGGGGCCAATGCTAAACCCGATACCAGAGATGAGGGCGAAGATGGTCCAGTTGACCGCGTATTCCGAGAGGGAGACGCGGTCTGCGAGGATTGTACGGATGGAAATGTTTACGCCTGCGGCACCGACGCCTTGGAGGGCGCGACCGACAAGGAGGACGCTGAATGCCGATGTTGGGGAGCCTGTGCAGATTGCGGAGCCGATCATCATTATGAATATTGCGGATTGGAGGACGATGTGGCGGCCGAAGAGGTCGGTTAGTTGGGCCCAGAAGAAGAGGAAGGCGGCGGATGTGAGGTTGAAGACGGAGATGATCCAGTTTAGTTGTTTGATTTGATCTGTGGAGTGATGAGTTGGAATTCAATGTCATTGGGAGTTGTGGTTTGAAACGTACTGAAATCTTCTGCGATAAAGGGTAGAGCTGAGGCTATGATCGTTGTATCCAGGGCTTGGAGACAGTATGGACTGAATAATCCCAGGATGATCTTCCATCGGTAGACAATTTTTCGTCGTTTCTCTGCAGCTTGTTCGGAGGTGAGTGTCTTCTTTTTCTTTCGCTCATCAGGCTGTGGAATATTTCCTGTTGCGTCTAGTTCAATTCCATTTTCTGGTATATTTGACGCTGCAGAATATAGGCGTTTCCGCTCGTTGCGTTTCTTGATTTTCTTGTAGATCAGAAACACCAGGTCAAAGGGATATACAAATGAATTAGGATGCTTCCAATACAAATTCTAGGGACTAACCATCTTTATACCATCTGCCCCGTACGTTATATTCCGTACTCCATACCTATCTCAGTGAGCTCTTCGAAGTACGAGAAATCGCTAAGCCTTGAGTGGATCTGATATTTGATCTGATTTAGGTTTAGCGTGCAGTCTAAGCCACTCTCAGGCCTGTAGCATTTCCTATTTTAGAAACCTGTGCGAAGTCAGTCTTCACAATTGCTTATATAGGTAATGACTGCGAGTGGCAGTTATCGCGATATTTGTTATGAGTTCGAGTTTTTCGGGTGCCAAGTTGTATTCCAAGTAAAAATCGCAGTACTCGCACTACTGTCCATATCGGGATACCTATGCGATATTAAGATTTCTTTTCAGAATTGAATAACATGGGCAACTTGCGAAAGTAACTCCTGGTTTATTTAGTGCAATAAATGTAGTGTCTCTCGGGCCGATCTCGGGGATTTTCCTCACGGCGTACAACGTAGTCGGCTTCCCTATTCATACTCCGTAAGGTTCTCAGCCTCAATAATAATATGTCTAAATTCTCTCAACCAGCCAACTACACGAAGTAGCTTTGTACCGTTCGCAAGGGTAGGTGGTAGAGGGTGAGAAGCTGAGTTTTATTTGGGTCTCTCTGGGCTAGGACCCGAATTTAGTTTCCACCCTGATCACTAATTTTCCTACTGGTCTTAGTAGAATATATATATATAATCACATTCAAGCTCAATGCTCTTTATCATCAATAATAATATTCTTAATATGCTCCCTTGTTTTTCTCCAACGCCTATTTGAAACCTAATTTGTGTTACAATCACTGAAATGTACATCCATTGATCCACCCCACAGCGCACACCATGTATGGCAGGTTATTGTATAGCTGGGAGGTTTTTTGTCCATGTCGTGATATACACCTCTTCTGGCATAGATCGAAGGCTCGCAAGAGCCAATGCCATGATCATAAGTCGGGACACAATGTAGATCAAGTTGGTGGTATACAGAATGGACATATTCACCCATCTGGGAATCACGGCTCGACGGGGAAATACATTCGTCTTTGCGCTATCGACCAAGCTTTTTGGCCCTTCGTCATTCATCAATTCGACCAGAAAGCTGAATTGAGATATAAATTTCTCAGATAGCTGGACTGAATTACTTTCCTCGAACGGCGATTCTTTTTTAATGAACTTCAACATCTCTGGTGCAAATGATCCAGTGTTGGTAGTGAGAATATCTTTGTACAAACGCTGTGCGTTGTCGTCTTCCGAGCTTAGATTATTGTAAATATTTTCCAAGGTAGTCATTGCCTTTGAGGTGGCATCGATATCATCATAGAACCATGAAAATTCCCTCGGAGGTTCGAGGCAATTCATCAAGAATTCTCGAGGGTCGCCATCACGAGCAGTAAATTGAGCTAGCAGAATAGTGGTCAAACCAAGTCCAGGGACTACAATCGACATAATAGTTGCAATTCTCCAAAGGAGCTTTTCCACGTCAGATGGGAACTCAAAATTCCATGCAATGATATGAATACAGCCAAATACCGCAGATAATACAGCCAACACAATGATTGTCATGTGCCATTTGTTGGATTTTGCGACAGAGTTGTTGTCATTTCTGATGCGGCTGACCTGCCCAGAACTCTTTTTTTCTCTCGAGTTTGAAAGGACATCCCAAAAGCTGTCGTATGTTCTGAGAAATTGGGGAACCACGGAGCCTTCTTGTTTCGCAACCTTTATTGGTACACCAACGCCTTGAGGCTTGTACCAGTATGTAATATAAATGGCAACACCGCAGACCGCGAGACCTAGAGTAAGCGTTTCAAATTGAGAGAAAGCTAGGCCCCGGATCTTTCGAGTAATAAGAGAGAGAATCAACCAGCATATCTGCACTATAGCAATTGCCTTGGCGAAGTAATCCTGTTTGCCCTTGTCTTTGATGTCATCTTCGTAAATCTCCGGCGTAGCATAAACATCAGGCTGCTCGGCATATTGAAACGCAGTGAGAGGAAATTGAATGCATTTCCGTTCGTCGGTCTCATCTGTATACTCGAAGGAAAGTCCGCCCATGTTGGCAAAGTATGAGTGCGTGAGTGTCCATTCTGGTCCTTTATAATTCTTGCCATGTTCTGAGTCGTTGTTTTGCGTATGACGAAGAAAAAGCCTCCTAATCAACGGAGGATATGTCACTGCTATATTAACCTTTGCTTCAATAGCTTTTGTAGCATCTATTGCCATCAAAAGCTCAAAGAAAGCATGTGCCATGATAAATTCGGGAAACAAAACGGTGATGAGCATCCACTGGCAACTTCGCAAAGCCTTTTTAGAGATGCCATCCTGTGCTGCTGGTACATTCAAGTGCTGAATACTCCACGTGCATGCGAAAATTGTTGTTCCACAACTAAGGATAATATCCCAGGTGCCTCGACGATTGGGGCTGCCCTGCCACCCAAGTTGGTCGGTGGTCGAAGGCTCACTTGCGACCACTGGAAGTGCCACTGTGAAAATACCCAATATCAACAGTGTAGCTGCCATGAATTCGGTGTTCCGGCTTTCAGAGAATAGCAAGGCTTTGGCTTATGGAAATTCGAAGGCTCTTTATAGCACCGTGCTTGCTGTGCTGCTGGTGTACGTAGCAATATGTCATAAAGTGCTGTTTAGACCCACGACGAGCCGAAAGATAAGAGACAGAAACAGAAACACAAAAGGCTGAAAAGAATGGAGGTCTAAGCCACAAAATAAGATAATAGGTGAAATGGTGACCGACACGTCGCAGATAGACATCGAATAAATCACGCCCAAGACACCTGGATCATAGGGTTCAGTTGCAAATGAAATGGTTCTAAAAAAATAAACGCCACTAAATAAGCAACTAAAGCAAACATAAGAACATGATTGGCAAACTATGTATGCACTTGCGACATGTCGGTCTATGATTCCCCCAGCTGCATTCAAGGTGAGGTGGCCAGGGGGTCGGGGGCCAGCGCCTAACCCGGTTCGGGTGAATTTCATTCTCGCATTTCATTGAGCTCTCGCTCAATTATTCCTTGTTACATTTGCTCAGTATAATTTTTGCCCGAGACAGAGAGCCATGCTCTTTTAGTCTTTCCCCCGTGGTTCAGTTCAAATCAGACCTGTTCCCCAATAAAGTAACCTCTCCCTATTTTCCACAACACCTCTCCGAAACAAACACCAGGGTACAATGATAAACCTGCCATCAAAAGACGAGGGCGATATTTTTGCTCTCAATTTGGCGGCTGGGGCAGGAGACGCAAAGAGAGTTCGAAAAATCCTACAAAAGCACCCTAGCACTGGATCTTCTAGAGATCGGTTAGGAAGAACTGCAGTCCATTGTGCAGTGGAAAATGCGAAAACATCTGTTGTGAAACAGCTTGTTGAGCAATTCCATATTGATGTCAATCTCAGTGATAATTTTGGCCGAACGCCATTACATTGGGCCTCAGAGAAAGGCCACCAGGACATTATGCTGTTGTTAATCAATAATGGTGCCGATGTTGATGCTCAAGATTCTTCGAGTCAAACGCCCTTGTCTCGAGCAGCATGGCGAGGACGGCAGGAATGTGTGTCGCTGCTGTTAAGCCAGAAAGCCAGGTCTGATATTCCAGACCAGAATAGACAAGCACCTCTTCACCTAGCGGCTAAGGGTGGCCATAGAGATACGGCAAGAACTATGCTGAAGCATTTGGTTATGACCAACACCATTGGGAATCACATTTTCCGCACCTTGGAGCAAGTCAAAGGATGGAAAAACGACTTTGCTGATATCGGCCGTGACATTGACCTGTTGGTCTGGGCAGCTCTAAACGGAATTGAGAGTATGGCCAATCGCCTCCTTGAAAATCGTGTAAATCCCGAACTATATTCATCAGTCTGTGGGATGACTGCAGTTCAGGCCGCAGCCGGGGCCGGTCATACTGAGATAGTGGAACTACTTTTTAGCAAAGGAGCTGATATCAACGCTCCACCTGCCGATAATCATGGCTGTACAGCTCTCCAGGCCGCAGCCGAGGCTGGCTATACTGAGATAGTGGAACTACTTCTTAGCAAAGGAGCTGATATCAACGCTCCACCTGCCGATTATCATGGCCGTACAGCTCTCCAGGCCGCAGCCGGGGCTGGTCATACTGAGATAGTAAAACTACTTCTTAGCAAAGGAGCTAATATCAATACTCTCCCTACCGATAATAATGGCCGTACAGCTCTCCAGGCCGCAGCCGGGGCTGGTCATACTGAGATAGTAAAACTACTTCTTAGCAAAGGAGCTAGTATTAACGCTCCACCTGCCTATCATTATGGCCGTACAGCTCTCCAAGCCGCAGCCGAGGCTGGTTATACTGAGATAGTAAAACTACTTCTTAGCAAAGGAGCTAATATCGATGCTCTCCCTGCCGATGATGATGGCTGTTCAGCTATCCAGGCCGCAGGAAGAGCCGGTCATATTGATATTGTGAAGCTGCTTATTGCACCAAATGCACAACTCTCCACGCAGTAGCTAGCGCTTCATGAATTATGCAGGCCGAATTAATGTGAGAGGTACATATGCCTGTCTATACTTAGGTTTTTTTTCACTGCAGTAGAGATGAAAGATGCTCTCTATGTATGCCGCTTTTTTGTACACTTTCCTTCGGCTTTATCTCCTTGAGATTCTGAAGCGAGCTTTTTTTTCATGATGAAACTAGCATTCAGAGTTACTGTCGCTTTGTAATATTTTCACAGCTATTGTAGGAAAGCTCCGTATTGTAGGCTTCCAAGTACTACTCTAGGAAAAAGCCAGGGTTCTATCCAACGATATCAGAGTAGAACTCCTAAGAAGAGATCATAAAGCAACATAGTATGGCATTTTGTGTTTCAAAGACCCCATCCCTAGTAAGTAGGTTAGAGCGAAGTTGTGGAGAGAATGACGGAATGTTCATCCAGGAGTATTTTAATATAGGAAACATCATTTCAATATGATCGGAAGAATAGAAGCCCAGCCGTATTTCATATACCAGAACGTAGAATATTTCCAGTAGCAGCTTGAAGAGATCATGGGCGGAACTATCCAATGGTCCTATATTTAGGCAAACGTATGTATGGTTAGGTTGAATATTGGTTATCTAAGAAACATTATGTAGTATACAAGACGAAAAGGAATCATTACCATTTCCTTTTCGCCTGAGATAGCTCAGGAAGAGGCCACTTCTGCATCCATTCGTAAGTCAAGACTTCGCTCGCAGCTAACCTCTGCGTAGGGCTATATGTAAGCATAGCCCTTAATATATTGAGCAAAGCAACCGTCTCAGCCTCAACTACCAGCTGTATATTACACTCTTGTCTTGGTTGACTCACTGCATCATTAAATCACTGCTCCAACGGCCGTGAAAATGCCTCGTTTTGCCTTGTCCCATCCTCGTTGAGCCACTTTGCATGAGAATCCCACTTTAACCACCACAGACTCGGAAGCTTTCCAAGGCAGTCAACGTGTTATTTTATTATCCAGTCAGATGGTGGATGAAATCCCTCGAAAAGCGGGCGCTGGTCTATGATTGTCCAAATCGTGCACGCAACCTTGAAAGTGTCCAACAGGAAGAGAAAGTGAGTTGTCAGCTTCAAAGTAAATTTCTGGGAACCAAAGTTCTGGGGCATTAGAGTAAGTCCGCTCTACAGTAGCCGGCCTGAAAGACTTACCTCCCCAAAATTCTCCTTTTAATCTTAGAAGATTAAAAACATTGTTATCGCTGTTTTATCTGTTTGCAACCTCCGCGTCATATGTCACTCCCAGCTCACAAGAGATGCTGTGTCATCCCTTGTGGATTTTCTTCGGATTAAACACATCTTGGCTCTAAGTACTCTGCCAAGCCCATCCGCATTTTCAGTGCGCATTGCTCTCTCTGAAACTTTACGGAGTGAATCTAATAAATTAAGATAGACCGAAGACTTCAAATACGAACCGCTTAATGGGGTCAAAGGCGTAAACGGGGCCAAAAGCAACTGACGAATTGGAGCTGTCGATGTGCGAGGCTGTTGCCTAGCCTGCGTACTGGATATGTCATATGTTGCAGAGTACAATCAACAGTTACTTCTCCTAATTCACAGCCAAGAATACGGAGTACATACATCATCAATTATGGGCAATTCCACACCTACAGAACCAGCTCCTGCATACGAGGACCTATTCCAAGAGCGCGGCTCAAGCTCACGGAATGGCGTGAGTAATCCTTTGTACTCGAATAAAGACCGCAGAGGAATGGTCTAGTCCCATCAGCATGCTAATCAATCTAATGGATACATAGTATACCATGGTCGGCCAAACAGACACCACCCATGAGCACCGAGACATAGAACAGGGTCACCACCACCTCCATGCCATCCCCGCTCCCATCCCCATCCCTATCGGGGTGACAGCGCCCGAGGAGCCGGATCAACATATTCACTGTGCAGAATGTGATCGGCAGCGGGAGCGCAGAGAGAGACGGGGGAGTTCCCAGAGAGCTTGTAGCATGGTTGCGAGGACGTTTATCTTGATCTCGCTGTTCCTGATGATATTGGGGATTGTTGGTGTTCAGGCTTGGAAGGATGTTCGTATGAAAAAGTTACATGGTTAGATTAGTTCTTGTATATTGTGTATGTTGGATTTCTATGCGAAAGGGATGTTATTATGCTGAATTTGAGGATATCTAATAGATGTCCTAGTTGGTTAGTCTCAGACGTAAGCAGATTGTGCGAGGCAGAACCCAGAATCTCGAGGTTAGCACAACTGATTGATATTGACCCGAAAGTAACCCCCAGGATAGATGGATACATTCCCTGCCAAGAGCTTCCTGATGATGTAGCCATCAGTCTATAATCTGATGTTACTGGGAGTATTTCTCCATCTCCACCTTATGGCCCCCAGATGAACAGCCCCCGCCTCAACCCAAAACAGAACATCAACACCTCGTCACTGCGTACTACATACTACTCTACTGACCCATATACGCTTCACACGAATCATCCCAGGTAAAACCAAATCTCCTCAAACCAACATTGTACCTGATCCCCTCATCTCTTCCCTATAAGTAACTCTACTCACCTTAGGTCCCTGAGCAATAACTCCCAAAAATAACATCCACCCCTAGGACTCAGCCCCCATAGATTCATTCCGCATCAAAATGTTTGCCTGGCTCAGATACCTTTTCGCCAAACCAGAACCCTCAGAACCCCCAGAGACCTCAGAACCAGCCGAAAGGCCCAAATATACAAGCAAGTCGCATAGCCGATCACATAGCAAAAGAGTTCGAGAACGTGAGCGCGATCTACGGCGAGAATGGACGGGTCAGAAGGGTGGGTGGAGGAAATTTTCTAGTAGGGGAGGTTTTGCGGGGATGTGTTAGGTTTCTTACGGTGTATACAGGTCATGGCAGGTTTACTGCTGTTTATCTTTTATTGTTACTGTTTACTTCGTTGCATCATATAATTCAGTGAACTTGATCTTATTGAATATTGAAAATGAATATCAACACCGTAGTCCTATATAATCGAAGCCAAAACAAAAAACACCTTGCACTCTGTAACAAACAAAAACATGAAAAACATAAAATAAAAATCAGAGAAAAACCATCAAGTCATAACAGATACTTCTGAGTAAGTCATATGCAAACAGATCTAAGCAGAACCAAGGTACTTGAGCACATTTTCACGTTCCTCAACAGGCAACATAGAAAGCACCTGCTGGACACCGCGCAGACCACCCTCCTTGTTTCCAATAAGCAGCTGGGCAACCTCAGTGGCAACGCCATCAGTGCGCAGCGAGTCAATCTTGCTCTGGACAACCTTCTTGTTCTCCTCGTACCAAACAGCGACCTTGTGGTCATCGTGCTTGAGTTCGTCGCCGAGGAGACCAGTCCAGGTGTGCAGGGTGCGCAGGTGCGCAGCGCGAGGGGACTCGCTGGAAGCGTCGGCACCGGGGGCCGGGGACGGTGAGGCGGCGACCATGCGCTTGATGATGGTCTCTTCGCTGAGACGACGGCGCAGACGCCAGTAGAAGAAGCGACGGGCGTTGGCCCACTTCAGAGCACCACGGATAGTGTTCTTGGCTTCCATGCGGCCGGCGCGATCGTGCAGGTCGGCGAATTGAAGCGCAATCTGCATGTAAACGGGCAGGAGCTGCTCCTCGCGGGTGGCCATCAGCGCCTTGACTTCGCTGAGCTGGTCCTTGGTGAGGGAGGTGTCGGACAGGGAGCGGCGGAGTTCGCCGTAGGTCGCGTCCAGGCGGGCCATGGTGTCCAGCTGCTTGTCGCGGCGGTACTTGATGTTCACCATACCCTCGGGCTCGAGGACACCACCACGGGACTCTTCGTCGGCATACATCTCCATCTGATCGGGGTTGATGGTGGGGTCAACGACGACCCAAGATCCACCGCGGAGCTCACCGTGGGGAGGAATGTACACGAAGATGGGCTGCTCGTACTTGACGAGAGCGTCGACGATGTACGAACCGTACTTGAGGACCTCGTTGTACATGTCACGCTGACCACCGGAGAATCCTCTCCAGTTGGCCAGGATCATGACGGGCAGCTGCTCACCATTGTTGAAGTCGCGCAGAGCCTGGGCAGTCTTGTAGGCCGAGTTGGGGTACCAGACACCACCAGCCTCAGTGGAGATCATCTCCATGGAGTCGGGGTTGGCGGGATCGGCGGGGGTGACGTTCTCCACCGAGCGAGTCTCGACGGCGATCACACCCATGGGGATACCACCAAGGCGGGCACGACCAACGACGACGGTGCGAGCCCAGCCACCAAGGGCCTCCTCGAAGGAGTCCTTGTCGAACAGACCAGGAAGGAAGCCATCGACGTCCGCCTTACCGCCGATGAGCCATCTGACATCATAAGTTTGCTTGGGAGGAGGGAAGTAGGCAACATCACGGTCCCAGGTATCAGACCAGGGGCGGATGGGGATAGGGGCGTTCTTCTTGTCGGGGACGAAGGACATCCACTCAACAATCTTCTCAACACCCTCGAAGTCATCGTTGGCAGTCATGTGAGAAACACCGTTCTTGTACATGATCTGGGTGCCACCAAGCTGAAGGTTGGAGGTGTAAACCTCGCGACCGAGCAGCTTGTTGATGGCAGGGGCACCAGTGAGGATGATGGGCTGGCCTTCAACCTGGATGGCACGCTGACCAAGACGCACAAGGTAAGCACCGATACCGACAGAGCGGCAGGTAACAAGGGTGATGGTGAAGATGTCCTCGTAAGCCTTGGAGGTGGCACCGGCAATGAGACCGGAACCCTTCAGACACTCGACACCAAGACCGTCCTTGGCACCAATGACGGTGGTGATCTTGTGGCGCTCCTCACCATCTTCGGTGATGAGCTCGGTGATGACTTCCTTCTTCTTGCTGGCATCAAAGCGCTTCTTAACCTCAGGAGTGAGGTAAAGGTACTTGAAGCCGGCCTCGGGGTTCTCGGGGTTGTTCCAGGCAACCGAGAAGAAGGGAATAATCTCGTCGGCCACACCGATACGAGCACCGGAGTTTGCAGACAAGTAGATACGGGGAATACCCAGCTTGCGGGCAAGCTCAGTGCACTTGTGGAAGAACTTGTCTTCCTGAGGACCGAAGGAACCAATCTGGAAGGTGATGTCGTTGGCGACAATGATGAAACGTCTGCCGCGGGGGTACTCAGGAGTACGGGCAGTGATGATCCAACCAACCATACCGTGAGTGTTGGTACCAGGCTCGCGAGACACCTCGACAAGGTTGTCGGTGTCATCCAAGACCAGTTCGCTGTAGTCAATGCACTCTCCAACGGGAGGGCGCTTCTCGTACAAGGAAGGAATCTTCTCGGCGATCTTGGTCCAGCTGTTCTGGAAGGCCTGGCGGAAAAGCTCGGGGAAATCGTAGACGTACTGAGTTCCCATCAAGTGAGCCTTGTAGCGCTTGGGCTGCAGCCACTCCTTGGTAGGGTAGGGGGTGGAAACAGCGCGCAGATGCATAGAGCCAAGCTTGGCGGTACCACCAATGCTCTGGAAGATCCACTCGCCCTTCTCGGACTTGCGCTCGATGTACATCTCGACGTTGATGATGAATCCGTAGGTGTTGCTGATAATCACACGCAGGGGGTAGGGCATACCGGTAGCTGGGTCGGTGCAAAGGATGCGGATCTCGGCACCGGTGACACGGAGACGCCACAGACGGCGGCCGAAGCGGTCGAGGAAGCCAGCCAGGGCCTGCTCGACATCCTCGGGCTGGAGATTGAAGACGGGAGAGAAGTTGATGAAGATGTGGTTCAGATCGGAGTTGTTGTTGCCAATGATCTCCAGGGCGTCCAGGATGTCGTTCATGAGGCGGTCGGCCTCCGAGATCAGGTACTCAGCAGTGGGGATATCATCACGGAGACGACCGGGACGAACCACAGCACGAATGAAGTAGCGCTTGTCAATAGCCTTGTCGTTCTCGGGACCCTTGCCAATAGCCTCGTAGACGTGAATGTTGCGGTTCTCGGTGAAGACGGGCTTGATGTTGAACTTGGACAGACGGCCAAGCTCCAGCTGGAAGGCAAGAGCGGGCTCGCTGTGACGGATACTCAGATCTTCCGCGTAGTTGGGGCCACGGAAGGTAAAGTAGCCGGGGTAGACACCTTGCTTGCCACAAATGAAGGTAACACGACGAATACGGCGGGCAAGCAGCTCCTCCTTGTTGTCAGCGAGCAGTCGCTTCATCTGTTCAACGAGCTCCGAATCTTCCATGTCCTCAATATCGCGAATGGCAATGTTACAAACTCCAGTGAGCTCGCTGTCAACCACAGGCTTAATGGCCGGGCGACGCTTGCCTTCGAGGCTGGCAATGAGGCCCTGCTCGCTTGGGCGCTTGGCGTTGGAGCTGCCGAGAGGGAATACCTCAAGAGCCTTGGAGAGGATCTCCTCAGCATCCTCCAAGTACTGCACAGGGATGATAACACCCTTGCGGACGGGGTCACTGGCAGCGTCGCTCACAAAGAGGGACATGTCGCCGATGGAGTTGATCCGCTTGAAGGGGTTGATCTCAGCAATGGGAGTGCCCGGGGCGGAGGGCTGAGTGGAGTTCAGAACACCGAACTCACGCTGGCCGAGCTTGCCAAGGGTGAAGTCCCAAGACAAGAAGGGCTGCTCAGTAGAGGCGCTGTACTCGATACCCTTGAGAGTGTACGCACGGTAGGCACGGCGAACGTAAACTTCCAGGGAGGCGAGGGTGACCCAGGGGTCAGCGTGGACGAAGAAGCGAGGAAGCACATCGAAGACAGTGTACTTCGAATCGACGACCTCCTTCAAGACCTCCAAGGAAGGCTCACGGTGCTCCCATCCAGTCTCACCGTAGCGAGACTCGACAACTGAAGATCGCAGAATGTGCTCCATCTGCGAAAGACGCTCATCCAGAGATGGCATAGCGCACTGGATAAGAACCTCGCGGGCCTTGAGAGTAACTTTGGCGGAAGAGCGAGACTCGAGCTCAGTCAACTTCTTGAGGATGGGCTTGAAGTGAGTGCCAACATTCTCGACATGGGGCTGGTTGGGGCGGTACATGTCCAAAATGGCCAGTACGAGGTTATTCTTCGAGCCGATACGGCTGTGCGAGAGGACAGTGTGCACAATGCTGGTGATGTCGTCCTTGTTCTCCTCACGAAGCTTGAGAATGACATCCTCGTCGCGCAGGTTGTGGGTGGAGAACAGCTTCTCAACATCGTAGTACTGCTCGAGCAAGCCAATGAAGACATTGTACTCGTTGGTCTTCAAGCCATCGATGTACTTGTTGATGACCTCAACAAGGGGCAAGAGGGTGGTCTTGAGAATTTCAGCATCGGCAGGGCCGATGTTTTCCTCGATGAAGCGAAGGATAGCCTTCTGGAGCTGCTTAGCAGGGAACTCAGCCTTGCGAGCCTTGGCACGGTCAACCACATTCTGCAGCTGAGCATCCAGCTTCTGGGGAATGCGAGAGTGCAGCGCAGATGACTGCGCGTTCCACTCTCCGTAGGGAAGATCGGGGTTGCGCAACACCTCAACAAGATCCTTAAGAGTGGTGCTCATAATGACCTGGTTGTCGAAACCGCGAAGAATGTTCTCCAGAATGCTGTGAAGCAGGAAGAAGCGCTGGGAGGGCTTGTTACCGAGAATGGTAGGCGAGCCAAGCTCGGGCAGCTGACCAGTGAAGGGCTGAGCATGCTTGACGCGGGAGGGGTCATCCAGGGCAAGGATACCCAGGATATCACCAGCCTCCAAAGTGGCACCGGGCTGCTTGATGAGCTGCACGACACCATCCTCATTTGCGATGAGGGGCATGTACATCTTCATGACCTCAACTTCAGCGTAAGACTGGCCAGAGCGGATGTGCTCTCCATTCTCGACAGTGAACTTGACAAGCTTACCAGGGGAAGGAGAACGAAGCTGAGTAGGATCGTTCTCCTGCTCCAAGAGACAGGTCTTGCCGTCAACACTGAGACGGGTTGCAGCGGCTTCCTCCTTCCAGTAAACGTTGTGACTGCGGCCGCTAAGGAGAACCAGCAAACCACCATCAGCCAAGGCGCGAACACCGACTGAGCACTTAGAGCCATTGATGAAGAGGTGGTAGCTGTCCAAGCTGGCACGAGTGGCTGTGAATTTGTAACGCTCGCCTTCGTAGATGAAATCAACGGGGAAAACGGTCTTCAGGATCTCCTTAGACGGGACCTGGCCCTTCCCGAGACCGTGGCGGTACTCCTCAATACCAGCCTCGCTAGCGAGGTGGGCCTTGGTAACAGCACCACAAATGATGGCGACAGTCTGATCGGGACGCTCAGCAGTCAGCTTGTTAGTGATAAGCTGGTCGAGCCATCCGGTGGTGATAGTGTTGTCCTCGAAAGCGGGGGTCTCGAGAAGCTTGATCAGGTATTCGACAGTGGTACGGAAATCACCACGAATGCTCAATTCCTTCAGAGCAACGACCATGTGCTTGCGCGAGGCCGATCGGTTCTCGCCGTAAGCGAAAATGTGACCGAATTGACTGTCGGAGAAACTGTGGATACCACCAGCAGTACCGACAGAGAAGTAACCCCAGACGTTTGACGAACTGCGGAAATTCAGCTCGTGCATGGTACCACTGGAAGGCTTGAAGCCCTCGCCAGGATCTTCGGAGGTGATACGGCAAGCAGTGGTGTGGCCCTTGGGCTGGGGACGGCGCTGAGTTTGGAAGCTCTCTTCCTTGGAGAAGTCGAAGTCAATCTCGGCGGAGGCGTTGGGGTCGACACCGTAAAGGAGACGAATGTCACGAACGCGGTGCAGAGGAATACCCATAGCAATCTGGAGCTGAGCAGCGGGCAGATTGACTCCGGAGACCATCTCAGTGGTGGGATGCTCGACCTGCAGACGAGGGTTCAACTCGAGGAAGTAGAACTTGTCGTCGGAGTGCGAGTAGAGGTACTCGACGGTACCGGCGGAAACGTATCCGACCAAACGACCGAGACTCACGGCAGCGCGCTCCATGGCCTGGAAGGTGGGCTGTTTCGCAATGGTAACAGGAGCCTCCTCGATAATCTTCTGGTGACGACGCTGAACGGAACAATCACGACCGAAGAGGGAAATGTTGTTGCCGTACTGATCAGCCAGCAACTGCACCTCCAGATGGCGGGCATTGCCAGCCAGCTTCATGATGAAGATAGGCGATCCCGGAATCTCGTTGGCAGCGGCATTGTACAAGGAGAAGAACTCTTCCTCGTTCTCGACCTTTCGGATACCCTTACCACCACCACCTTCAGAGGCCTTGACCATGACAGGGAAACCGATTTCCTTGGCCTTCGCCAAACCCTCTTCGGGGGAAAAGGTGCAGCCCTTCTTATAGACCTCGTCCTCGACTGTCACGATACCATGTTCATCGAGCAGCACCTCGTCAACACCGGTTCCAGACCAGGGAATGCAAGGCACACCGGCATGCTGTGCAACAATGGTGGAGGAGATCTTGTCACCAAGCGAGCGCATGGCGGAAGCTGGGGGTCCAATGAAGATGATCTTCTTTGGGGAGGCAGCAAGAGATTCGGGTAACCGGGGGTTTTCAGAGGCGTGACCCCATCCTGCCCACACGGCGTGAACATCCATGCGCTCCGCAATATCGACAATCAACTCGACATTGGCATAATTATTATTATTGGTTCCACCGGGAACCTCGACGTATTGGTCGGCCATGCGAATATAGTCAGCGTTGGCAGTCAGATCTTCGGGCGTGGCCATCACGGTGAATTGGATGGCCCGCTCATTGCCAAAGGTCTCGTAGGCCCATTTCCGCACAGAACGAATCTCTTTGACAGCGGCGATACCGTTGTTGGCAATAAGCACCTAAAACCTCAAGTCAGTCCCACGTTCAATTTACCGTTTTTTCCCCCGGCTGCTCCGGTTTTTCCTTCAATTTCCCACTTACCGATGTGATTACGGAGTGACCTTCGTGAGCAGCCACGAAGTCCTTGACAGCACTGGGGGGTGCTAATTCGAGCTTGTTGCCACCGATGAAATGTGAGGGGATGTCATGTTTGGGGACAGTCGAGCCATTGGTCGATGAGTTGCCGTTTGTGACACCCATGATGTTGGTAATCACAGGTGAGATTTCCTTCTAGGAATTGAAGAGTTCTTTTCGCGCGGTCTGCAACAGCGCGGATTAAAAGTTCGGTAAAAATGTACAATGGAAGTGGCGGAAAGAGCCCGAGTAGTGGTTATGGGCAGAAAAAAGGTAGGGTAGAGAGAGAAAGAGAGAGAAATAGAAGGAGAGAGAAGGATAAGCGCCAGGAATGTCTGGAGGGGAAGGGCAGGTCAGCGTAAGAAATAATCGGAGATCTCGGGGGCCATGAAGAAAGATAGCGTCAAATGCGGAATTGGTCTGCATATGTCGCAAACGGTAAAAAGGTGTAAAATGGGAAGACTCACCGACCAATCACCCGAACCAAAGTTCTATATAAAATTGAATATAGAAAATTGAAGAGGATGTTTCAAGAAGTTCAATGATAATTAAGTCCAAGGGGGGGAAAATTGCTGAGATGATGATTTTCTGGAGGTCCCACCGAAGTGGAGATGATCCCAACTGGCTACGATGGATTCCCCTAAGTGGCCGAAGCTAGAAGTACCTTTACATAATTAACACTATGTGAAGATACTTCTCCCAGGAACATCACCTCAACTCCCTGGCTTTGTTGGGCCGGGTTCCACTATAATCCGTTGCCCACCACTTCTCTCCCTTTTTTTTGTTTTTTTTTTTATGTATGTACTTGATTTTTATATATAGAGATCATTAAATTTGTTGAAGAGACCAATCCAGCCTTTGCTATTATAATGATATGTATCATTGAATTATATTGTATGGGGATATGTATCTCATCTACTTTGTACAAAGTACTAGATACTTCCCCATGGTCTCGGGCATTCGGCAACCGATTCGGGCTTTTTCTTTTCGGCGATTGTTAATTTTGTTTATTTTTCGCTCAGCGAGTTCAAAATTGGTGTTATGTTTTATTCCTTTTGGTAAGATCCTTAGTGCGGGTTGAATCTTCAGGAATTCCAAGGTCAGATTGTTTCATACATACTCCGTACTCCAGGGCTCCTTATAAGTACTAGTAAATCTTGCCCTAGTATACAAAGTACGGAGTACACACCTGGGCAATCTATATTAAAGTCGGCAATCAAAATATGCTCCACGCCACTCCTAATTTGAGGCGCGCTATCCGAATTAGGCTGACCTGCATGATTCAACATGATCAGCCTTCCAAGGTTGGTGTAAATTGCTTACTCCGTACTCCGAACTCCATACGATATACGGAGTACGGATTACGGCATACGGAGAAAGGATCGTCCACAGTCCAATCATATCCGTCATCACCATTATCTATGCAAACTAATGCAACTCTTACTCCGGAATGACTAGCAACATATGTACGGAGTACGGAGTACATACAATGTTACTTAATTTGGAGCAGAACATCATGGGTATTATTGGTTGAATGAAAAGACAATCGCTGAGACACAGCTTAGAACGTCCCCAGAATCCACCGGGGGCCACATCGCAAACCAGGCCCTAGCTGGTCCGAGTCAACACGCAAAATTGTACAGGGATGTGACCATGGCCCGCCTCTTGTAGAATGCAGTTGATCAAAGTTAACCTTGGAAGTATGTAAAACAAACGTTGAAAAATAACCTTGACACACAAATCACCCGTTCACTAAACCCCGTTGCAAATTCCATAAATACCAAAGGCGAAAAAGACCAATTAAAAAGTCTCTCCCAAATCGCTGGCTTGGGACTTCCTGCTTGGCGGCGGCATGGGACCAGGTCCGATGCTAGTCTTGAAGCTTCGGGGGGCCGGGATGCCGCTGATGGTTCGCTTCTTCACTATAGGGGTAGGGGAAGTAGTTAGAGTCGGGGGTCGAATTTCTTGGGAGATGCGGGAAGTTGTTGTTGGCGTAGTAATATCTTGATCCTCATCGATGAGAGACATGCCAGCGATGTTAGGGAGTTGGCCGGCATGATTGCTGAGAGAAGACCGAGGACGCCGGCCCTCTATCAAAGGGTTTGTCGAGTAGTGACCCAATGGGGTTTTGGCCCCGGGGCGGCTCGAGCGACTTTCAGGCCGGGCATTTACGGGGACACCAGAGTGCACGCTCTGGCTGAAGGAGCTGCGGCTAGAGAAACTAGTTCGGCTGCTCGGGCGACTCTCGCCTGTCCGTCCGCATGACTGGCGACCTTGTGGGGGGTAAGATGGAGTGCTTTCACTATCCCGCGCTGAGGAACCAAGGCTACTGTTACTGAGCCGCTTGCTGCGAACAGTGATCGAAGAGGGGACGACCGGGCTTTCGCTGACCACGGACCCAGAACGAGGGGATCCGCGAGAGGAGGTATCGGATGGGGCGGGAAGTCGCGATTTGGCTGATTGGACACGCTCTTCGAGCTTCTGCATCTTGCCAATCAAACCACGGATCTGGAACAGTGATCCGGACTTGGGAAGCCCCGGGGCCCGTGAGGTATTCATTCTCGTCAAACTGTTGCGAGACGATATCGACATGGAGGGAGTAGACCGACCATTGCCATTGGCATTACCATTACCGGTGCCGGTGCTGTAAGCGAAAGAAGGAGTGCGTGAATGAGTGGTACGCGGTTGACTCCGAGCGTGAAGGGTTCTGGAGTTCACTGGCTCTGCACCAGCGGCTCTCTGTCGAGGGAATGTAGGCGTAGAATTCGCGTTGGGGTTGATTGACTTGCGCATGTTCACAGACGACTCGGAGATAGGGGGCGAAGGTGGGGTAGCGGTCGACGACGCAAGGGATGATTTAGCGGGGGGCGTAGCAAATACTGGAGAAGAGGTAGCAGTAGGTGAACGGTCAAAGATCTCCAAACTCTGCGGGGTTGCTGGGCTGCGGTGGTACAAAGGAGTGGGCTTGCGGCGGCGGAATCCATGTCCTTCAGTATTTCGAAGTTTCTCTTGGATGATCTCGGCTTCAATCTTCAGATCCGAGAGCTCATCTCGGAGACGTTGGTTATCAATGCGCAGCTGCTCCCGTTCCTGCTCCCCATTTCTTATTTCCTCCTCTAGCAAGACCCCGCGCTCAATGCCGATGTTGTATTTCGATTCCATGTCCTCCAGGGACGAGGTGGTATTCCGGGCTTGACGCTCGTAGTCATCGTTGGCAACTTCAATATCCCGAAGCTTGAGCTGCAAAGTACGGTTCGTGTCTCGCAGGGTGGTGATCTCTTTCTGCAGGTTGTTCTGCACAGCGTTGCCTTCGGATTTCGACTGCTTGTATTTGGTCTGCCAGCGAAATGTTAGCGTCCGTACAATTGTGAATAATGAGCAGGGTCCCTTACCTTCCACTCGTCGACTTCATATCGCAACGTGTCGAGCTTTTCCTTCAGTTGCCGCTCCCGCTTTTCCGAAGCTTCAATGTCCTTCTCCATCTCAGTCTCCAGCTCCCGGCTGGAGGACTGAAAGTCCGCAAGCTCCGCCTCAAGTTGCTCATACTGGGCTTTGTAATGAGCCAGTTCATCTCTGTAAGAGCTGCTCGTATGCTTCCGTTCGGAAGGGAACTCATCGACGGCCGGCATCTTCTCGCGTTGGGCACCTAGAGAACCGGTCGCAAGGAATATGTCGGGACGACGGGTGCCGTCCAAATTGGCAATATTCACTAAATACCGTACCCCAGGCTAGCTTGCCCTGCAGATCGCGCCAGCCCCTCTCAAAGACTCATATGTTGAGTGGTGGCCCGATGTCAACAACCGTGCGTTTTGATAAGAGCCCCTCCCGAGGCGGTGACGCAAGGGATTGATTGCGGTACCTAGTAATGTGTCCCTCCACAGAGAGAAGAAGAGAATGTCGATTGATGGGCGAGGTAAGATGTACAAAGCTGGGTTACCTTCAACCCGCCTCGTGTCGGAAACCGGGTTAGATTAGATCGGGCTGGGAGAGACCGATGTTGTTGTTTCGGTCGTCAGGGGGGCCGGTAGATGCACTAGTCCTTATTTAGCAGATCTGGGCTCAGCCATCCACCGCTCTTTTAACGCGTTAAGGCAGAAGGTTTCTGCCCCAGGCATAATTAAGGCATCAATGTGGAGCTAAGCCTCATTGGAGCTGAAAGTGATCCTGATCGACCTCAGCCGGTGATCTGGACTCAGCAGTCCCCAGTCTCCAGTCTTTAGGTCTCTAGAGCAATCAAGTCGGAGAGGTAAGTAGCTTTGTTTGCCTTTGAATATTTTCTCTCGAACCCTCTGTGAGCCTCCAAGCTCCAAGAACATGTGTTTGTTGCCTCCAGACACTACCCTGGAAGTTATGCCCACGCACGCTGTTCTTAAGATCGCGGATCATCCTGTTTGCTTCCACGCACTTGTTTACCCCCGATTTATTCGCAAGCTCCATTTGTCTACCCCAGTTTTGAGGCTCGTCGGCTAAACGTGGGATCATGTTGTGACATCTGAACTTACATTTTCTGTCTCTTAGATAGATCCCTCTAGTGAGGCTGAGGCCCAACCCGATCTATCATCATGGCAGACTCAACCGATCTGAACCTGGACGATGCGCCTAGCGACCTTCAGGACATTCCGGAACTGGCAATGCAATTGGTGCCCCCTCCAGAGGGGACATACCCTGACAAGTAAGTTCTCATCCCATCGCCCCTTGCTTAGTAGGATCAATACCAATAACTTATGTTTATAGAGCATCTCTCCTCGCCGCAGTCCAGGACCATGGCAAGGAACACGGCTACAATGTGGTTGTTAAGTCGTCAAGCACTCCCACGGAGAAGAAACCCGGCCGCACCGCCAAGGTCTGGCTGCGTTGTGATCGTGGCGGCCACTATCGGCCACGTAACGGTCTGACTGAGGAAACGCGCAAGCGCCGCAGAACCTCGCGCTTGATGGACTGTCCTTTCATGCTAGTCGCAGCCGGCTCTCCTGGTATCTGGACCTTGACGGTTCTAAATGCGACGCACAACCATGGTCCTATTATCGAGAAGCCACGACAGGTGCCTCACCACAAGGTCCGCAAGGGCCAGCTGCCAGCCATCCCCTATGATTGGCCCCATGATGCCTCATTCACCCCATACACCACTGCGCTTGTGATCATTGACATGCAAAAGGACTGTGAGTATTTCGGACTATTACCACTATCATAGGGTCATCCGGCTGATATTCTATGCTAGTCTGTTTGCCCGAAGGATACATGGGATATCAGGGCTATGATATTTCCGGCGCGCAGGCTTTGATCCCCCGCCTGGAAAGATTGCTTCATGCCTTTCGCTCTGGCGGCTTCCCCGTCTACCATACTCGCGAGGGTACTTCGTGTCTCGTGTTTTCGGTTCCTAATCTGGTTTTACTAACTCATATTAGGTCATCGAGCCGATCTATCTACTCTTTCAAGTCGTGAGGCATACCGATCCCGAAACAACGCATCCGGCTTGGGCATTGGTTCCCCTGGTCCCATGGGCCGCCTGCTTATCCGTGGCGAGCTGGGCCATGACACCGTTGACGAATTGTACCCTCTCCCCGGTGAGCCAGTCATCGACAAGCCCGGCCGAGGTGCCTTTGCACACACCGATTTTGAACTTCTCCTCCGCAACAAGGGAGTGAAAAATCTCGTCATTGCGGGTGTGACCACCGATGTTTGTGTCTCGACAACCATGCGCGAGGCTAACGACCGCGGCTTCGACTGTGTCGTCTTGGATGATGGTACTGCAGCTGCCGAGCCGTCCCTTCATCTAGGCACGATGCAATCGATTAAAATGGAAGGCGGAATCTTTGGAACTGTTGCCAAACTGGACGATGTCATCCATGCTGTGGATAATTTCAAAACCGTCACCATGAAGAAGCTGGCTCCTCAGATGAGCGTCTAAGTATGTACTATTTGTTTTAGCGGGTTGGCTTTGGACGCTGGGATTGGACGGAATTTCCCCGGCGTTTGGGACTGGAGTTCTCTCTTTTCTGTTGAGACACTGCGGTGCGCATGCTCGTTGCTTTCTGTTTCGAAACTCTTTTGTTGGGTTTTAGCGAGCCAGGGACTATGTTGATCCCAAATAGTGTCATTTTCTGCCAACCATTTAGGCGCAGAACAATAGTCATTTACACTTCTTGTAGTTGAATTAACAAGCACACTTTTGTTTGTACTACACTACACACTGTATTATCGACCTCATCATTGACTCGTAAACTTATTTCTCTATTGGGTAGAGCAAGTCAAAACAATGCAATAGTAGATACAAAGAAAGAATCAATCCCAGAAGAATACATGCCCTAAAAACGCCACGCTCATGAACTAAACCCACCAAGACAGCCCAACTACAGCCATTTTTTCCCTGCAGCATTTACCCGAGCTCTGAAAACAGGACTCTTGATCTCCATTCCCTGCTTATAGAACGGGTTCATCGCCGTCTTGACATAGTTCTCGTACACCTCATTCATGAACTGGCGCACGGCCTCTTCGGTCTGCGGAGAGGTAGGGTTTGCGGCAATAGAGCTGGATGAGGCACGTGTGGTGGATCCTGCTGTGCCTAGCAGTGAGGAGGAACCAAGGCCGCTGGTTGTGCTGGTGGAAGAGGGAAGATTCGGGGGTTGGTGGAGGAGAAGGAAGCGTGCGCCACTTGGGGTGAGGAAGGCCGTGATGTAGGCTGCTGCCGGTGGGTAGGTGTCGATATGCTTCAGGTACCTTTTGCGACAATATTAGCTTTGGGATTAGAAGTTTAATTTAAGGTATGAAGCGCATGTTATTGGGCTTGGGGGGCTTGTTCCGTGAACATATAGCTCTCAGGGATTCGAGCCAGTTTCCAAGGGCCATTTGAGATATGGAATAGCATGTTGAACTCACATTCCACCATTCGTCCATTGCGCTTCTTCCAATATGTCCAGACTTGAGTGGATGATGAACTGGTTCATGTACTGCGCTGTCTCCGGGAAGCGGAAGCGGGCAATGCCATCACCACCGCCCTTCGAGGTGCCAAAGGCGATGTTGAACAACGGCGTATCTGTGGGCGATAGAATGGTGAAGTAGTAGGACATTTCGAGCAGCTTGGGATTATTCAGGGTTGAGATGGACCCATGGATGGTCGAGGAGCTGGGGATAGTGGCTTTACTAGTGGCCGCCATCACGTGCCGATAAGAAATGAGCTTGCCCAGGCGAAGATGATGTAGGTCTAGTATACACTTTTGATGTGGTCCACTTAAAAGTTGAAAGATATTGTGTAAGAATGAGAAGTTCTGGCTTTTTAACTAGGTTAAATGGACCTTTATGCTGTCTTCAAAGAATTTTTGGACTGTGATATCTTGTACAAACCTGATCCTCAGCTATTATATATCTTTGCATCTGAAACCTAGAACTGAATTTGCTAACAGTATTTATGATATCCTTAAGATCGATAATACAATCGCCTCAGAAGACACATATACCATCAACGTACACATATGTAACTAATAGCTCTTAACGATCAAACCAACATTACTTTGTGTTTAGTATACATACTTCAAATGCTCCGATCTCCCCGCAAAAGTCAAGCACGTGATCGACCGATAACAGCCACGGCTTTATCGCGGTCGATCGCTGTCGCAACTTTTGACCTCGACAACCTCCTGCGGAACACACCAGCGTTGAAGCACATAAAGCCCCGGTGTTTGGAAGACTTGAGAGTTTCAATATGCCGACAAATCGCCCCTATGGATTGAACCTTCCGAACAAAAGTCTTGCGGCAACGAAACCGGGGAATCCTTTCGTGCAGAAAAGAAAGAACATTTTTGACGATGACTCCGATGAAGACCAGCAAACTGGCGATGGCGCAATTGAAATCACAACTATTGGAGGGCTAGAGGAGCCAGCCACGAAAAAGAAACCCCCACCAAGCGCAGGACCACCGCCGAAACGCAAAATTCAATTCGGGAGCGGTCCCAAACCAACAGCCAAACCACTCAGCAAGAACTCGCTGTTTGCAGACGATGAAGATGAAGATGAAGAAAGAGAAAAAGAGCAACAAGGCTCAATGAATCTTGGTTTGAACCAGGCGAAGCCAAAAAAGCCAACTGCCCCTGCCCAGAAATACACCAACCTCGCGTCAATGCATAGCAGCAATATGCATGCAAAGGCAGCTGAAGAACTCGACCCATTGATCTATTCATACGATGAAGTATACGACAGTCTACATGCCAAACCCGCCAAGGCCTCAGTGGAAACAAAAAGCGAAACACCCAAGTACATGCAGAACCTGCTACAGAGTGCAGAAATCCGGAAACGGGATCAACTACGGGCTAAGGATCGCCAGTTAGCCAGGGAGCGTGAAGCTGAAGGCGATGAGTTTGCTGATAAGGACAAATTCGTCACCTCTGCCTATAAGGCGCAGCAAGCGGAACTGCGGAAGGCAGAGGAAGAAGAAGCACGCCGTGAAAAGGAAGAAGAAGAACGGCGCAAAAAGAGTGGCGGCGCCGGCATGATTGGATTCTACCGGGACGTTCTGTCGCGAGGAGAAGCACGGCACGAGGAGGTCATCAAGGCTGCAGAAGAAACTGCCCGCCGCATGAAAGCCGGCGAGATTATCGTGGATACGGAGGATAAAGAGGAGAAGACGGACGCCCAAAAGGCGGAGGATCTCAATGCTCATGGAGCTCGGATTGTTGTGAATGACGAGGGCCAAGTTGTTGACAAGCGCCAGCTGTTGTCTGCCGGACTGAACGTGGCACCGAAACTGAAATCCCAAGCAGCCCCCAAAGCAGAAGCTCCACGCCCTACTGCTGGACGACCAGGTGCCGGTGCTGGTTACCAGGGTGGCCGTGGTGCCCAGCGGGCTCGACAGACTGACATGGTCGCAAGCCAATACGAGGAGCGTGCGCGACAAGAAGAGGAGGCTGAGGCTGCAAGGCTAAAGGAGATCGCCGAAAAGAGTCGCAGTCGCAAGACCGAGAAGGATGTGTCCAGCGCCAAAGAGCGGTATCTGGCAAGAAAGAGGGAACGAGAAGAGGCTGCTGCTAGGGAGAAATCGAAGGGGGCCTAAGTGTATGCCAAAACCTGGAGTGGATGTTTTGCATCCATGGAATTTTGGAATACCTAATATTGCATAACTAGCGCTGGAGAGAGACTTGTACATTACTCATGATACCAAAAAGAGACCCCGACTTTGACTCATAAGGCTGTTTGCTTGGTATGGATGAACCTTGTAAGGTCTCAGTGTAGAAGCTGATGTAAACTCTAGTTGAGAATATGTATTCATACTATAAATGTAACAAATACTTGCCCTCCTCCCTCTAATTCTTTTCTTTTTCATTCAACCATCAGTCCCCACTTCGGTAAGTTCATCGCTATACAAAGTACATTCGGAGAAACCATTGCCAAGACTCCTTAACCCCGGCTTACCTCACCAACTTACTCTCACATCACATGACCCCACACGGGCTGAGTTAATCCGGACCGAAAGCACTCGCTAAGCCGCCCCACACAGGTCGCACTCCCAATTTTGCACTCCCAAATCGAGGTTCAAGAATCGCTTCATCACCAAACCACTTCAATCACCCGTTCATCAACGTCAATCATCCAACATGGGTAAGGTTCACGGCTCTCTCGCCCGTGCCGGTAAGGTCAAGGCTGCCACTCCTAAGGTGAGTTCTCTTCGATTTCCAACGAACGCCACTCGATACACGATCGCAGTGGTCATCCATTCGGCCAGTCCTTTTAACGACAATTTTGCATCCAGGTCGAGCCCCAGGAGAAGAAGAAGAACCCCAAGGGTCGCGCCTACAAGCGTGTTCTTTACACCCGCCGTTTCGTCAACGTTACCATGACCGGTGGCAAGCGCAAGGTACATATCGACTGACTCTCACCCACCCACAACGCACAACAAAATACAACACAAATTTCGCGAAATACCCACGAACACACACCACGAATACCGATATTGGAAGGACAGAATGGCTGACCAGTAGCGAAATGCAGATGAACCCCAACCCCGGCCAATAGATTATTCAAGTCGTTAAAGCAACCACCTGAGCCGCGATCGGCTAGTCGAGTTCTACGATGAAAATCTTCGCATAACCACGGCACGACCACGGCCCAAACGAACGAAAGCACACCAGATACGGCTGGTACTTGTACGGATGATATCACGCTTCTTCGTCTTCACTTGAATTTTTTTTTTGCTGGCAAACGGATGGGTTTTTTTGGAGGTTGATTCGCGGAAATGGATGAATACCCATGGCGGTCTGAGGATGGAAAGCTGTGGCTGGATGTGAGCTGTCTACGGGCAGTCCTCGCAGGCTAGACTTCAGAGCCACTTTTCGACTCATTTCATAGGCTGTTTCATGAATTGCATTTCCGATCCAGAAATGGACTCTACCTCTTTTTCCATGCTTTTCAGGTTATTTCTACTTGAGAAAGTGCCTAACGGCGTATTTAGAGCTTGCTCTCAGTTGTTTGCCTCTGCAGGGCTGATGTTTGAGCTGTAGAATGGATTAGGCGGGCCCTTCCATAGTGGGACTCAGTCCATATGCGGTTTGTTATACAGTTTGTTCTGTTGGTCTCTCCGCACGGCCGTGCATTGAAATGCACTCCACACTCCTGTGTATGTTTGCTCCACATGTGTTAGAGCTCACCAGTATATATATAGTTCAAGTCCTCGTGTCTTTCCAACTTTTGTGTCGCATCATAGGGCTCCACGTCATGAAAAGCGCGGGGGCTAATGAAGATTGGCCAGTCTTTCTGCTCTAGCTTTTTCAAGAGAACTCAGTAGAATCTATTTCAATTTAAAGAAGAAAAAAAAAGCATCGCTATCTATCCACTATAAATGCAGTGTATACGATCAGAATCATAGGCTTATATGCTGTCTACATATTTGGAAGATACGTAAATATATTGTACCTGTCTCAAAAGGTGCCAACAAAGGATAGGAGCATGATGTGTTCATTGAAAGAGTCGAGCCGCAAGATTGTATCCATGACATAGGGACACACCTGTTCTTGTTCTTCATTATCGCTATTTGCAATGAAGGGCACCAGAGCGGTATGGTTGTGGGCCTTTCCCGATCCGTGCGGGCGGTGGGACGGGTCGATGGGTCATGTGGCCGATAATCGTTGTATATCCAGTCTCCATCTGGCATGAATATTGTCCTCTCCCCACGCCATGCATGGTTTCACGATTGAGCGCTCTGAGATCTGTCTTCAGAACAACATCTCGTCCCTCTCAAGCTAGTTCTCGCAGATCGGTTGTCAGTCTGCCAGTGGAAACACCTATCGATGAGGAAACGCTTCCTCACTACGACGCGAAGCAATTCTATCCCGTACACATTGGAGACTTTTTCAATGATAGATATCGAGTCACCAGCAAGCTTGGCTATGGGGCATACTCGACGAGTTGGCTATGTCGGGATATTCAGTACGTGGCCGACCGTTCTTGCAAGCTCAAGAAAATGATCCAGCTAATCTCAATCAGACACCAAAGCTATGTCGTGCTGAAAGTATCTACATCACTGCAAAAATTTCCTACTGCGACAGATCGCGAATTCAGGATTTATGAGCACCTTGCAAAAATCAATTCGGCACACCCCGGACAATCCCTGCTTCGAGAGCTCTATGACTCCTTTGAGCTCCGGGGCCATACTGGAAATCACCGGTGTCTCGTCCTTCAACCCATGCATATGACGCTTCTGGAGATGACGACACTGAATCCAAAACCGTTTGATCTCCCTCTTCTTAAGATGATGCTCCGACGATTATTATTTGCGCTTGACTATTTGCACACTGAAACAAATATTACCCACACTGGTACTATCTTTTTTGAATCTAGATGGGAAATGCTTGTCTGACTTGTACTAGATTTGAAAACTGATAACGTGATGCTCAGTCTAGAGGATACTACGATGCTGGCCGATTGTGCGGATGAAGAAACCAGGCAGCCAAGCCCTCGAAAAATCATAGATCAATCGCGAACCATATACCAAAGTCGAAGGTTTCGCCGACCGTTAAGAGGAAAGAGCTTCGGTCTTCCAATCCTTTGTGATTTTGGGGAGGCAAGGATTGGGAAAATACATGAGTCGGGACCTTTCATACAGCCGGATATATACCGAGCTCCAGAAATTATGTTCGAGATGGCATGGGGGAGCGCTGTTGATATATGGAATCTGGGGGCTTTAGTGAGTGCTTGAAATATTTCTCATTTGTGTGCCCTGCTAATAAAAGCTAAGATTTGGGATCTCTTCGAAGGGGGACATTTATTTGGGAATATTTTCGATGAAAATGGCAATCATGACCCCTTCAAACACCTTGCGCTGATGGTCGCTTTGATCGGGCCACCGCCGGCTGATTTTGTGCAGCGCAGTGAAACTACGGGGCAGTGCTTTGATCGCAATGGTAATGACTGTTGAATTATATCGGGACTTAATTTGTACTGATATTCTTGCAGGTACTTGGATTGCCAATGAAGACGCGCTTGTGCCGCAAGAATCTTTGGAAAATCTATGAAATGCGACTTTCTGGCAGTGAAAAAGAGGCGTTTCTTCAATTTCTTAGATCTATGCTCAAGTGGTTACCAGAAGAGCGCAGGACGGCAAGACAGCTGCTTGATGATCCGTGGCTGCTCCAATCCTAGCAACTTGTATTTCGATAATCTGCACTTCATTTTTGAAAGCTTTCCTAGAGAAAGCATGTCCTGTCAATGAGACCCTTAAGCGCTTGGTCTATTTTAATACATGTGGTTGGCTAAATCCCTTCACCAAGTCCATCGATGTCATGACATAGTTGCGGATGCTTCCCGCGGTGGCATACCGAACAAAGAGGCATGACCTCACCAGCTCAATGCCGGGCCATCCGGAAATGATCCTGTGCAGGTTTCTGAACATCTAAAGCCGTAGACGCCCACGGATCGAGTTAATTTAAGGTTATCGGGGGTAGAATAAGATGACTAAGAGGAAATTGGCCAGTCGCTGATTTCAATCCTGACTTCCACATCCACTTGGGATATTTATGGGACACAATGAGTAGATATCCAGGCGTGTCTAATCGTCAGACAGTGGAGAAATACATCGCTTATAGGCCATTGAGTTTAACCGGAGCCGATCCCAACCTCCAGGTCTCTACCCCACACAACCCCGTTAAGCATTCGAAATTGGGTTGAGTCGATGTCATTGCAATCGAATGGATTTTACATATGGCGATACTACAAGGTACAATGCGAAGAACTATGTCAATTTTGCCAATCGGGTCCACATATTTTTCGTTGGGCCAGAAGCTGCAAAACAATAAATGATTACAAGCTATCATAACCCGTCATCTTAACTGGAGAATAAAAGCACATTGGATACAAAGCGTGTGATATCAAAAGCTGGAGTGGATACCACTCGAAGACCCACCTATCCCGCTCTGGTTAAGCATCATCGACTTTCTGATATTAGGCTGTGCCATGACATCGAGCTCCCCATTGTGTTCTTGGATTGGGCTGCGGGCCTTGGAATCCAAACAAAGGCATGGGATGGCTCAGCTGCATACCGAGAAAGCTCTCCCCTCATACGCTCACTTGTGCTTGTACCCACTGCTAGATACGAACATTGTTCGGACATCAGTGAAATAGATCCATGATGCAATGAGGAGATGGATTGTTGCTAATATTATTTAGGTGCCCCCAGAGCCCTCATTTCTGACTAGGCGTCCAATTTTGTATTCCCATCGACTATATTTTTGAAAGCTGAACAAACACGACTGAATGAGCTATCCTGAATGACATTAATTGATTAATCATTTATATTTACGATCCCATTTTTAATCTGTTCACGCATCGATTTACCTCGCGTTAATTCACCCCATCTCCCCCATCTCAATTACCTCCCATCAGCATGTTCGCCAAGGCCAAGGAGATCCTCGATAGGGGCTCATCCATCCGCGAGGAAGTCAACCAAGGCAATTTTAATGGCGCCAAAGACGCCGTCAAAGGTCAAGGCTCCAAAGGATCGACTGGCCAGGAGGGAGGCAATGCCAACGAGATGCTCGATAAAGGCTCATCCGTCCGCGATGAAGCCAACCAAGGAAACTTTAATAGCGCCAAAGAAAATATGACCCAGGGTCAAACAAAAGAATCAACCGGCCAGGGAGGCAAGGCCAACGACATGCTTGACAAAGGCTCATCCGTTCGTGATGAAGCCAACCAAGGAAACTTTAATAGCGCCAAAGAAAATATGACCCAGGGTCAAACCAAACAATCGACCGGCCAGGGAGGTAAGGCCAATGAGATGTTCGAAAGGGGCTCGTCCATCCGCGATGAAGCCAACCCCGGAAATTTCAATGGCGCCAAAGATATCACCCAAGGTCAGACTAGTAACGTATCGACCGGACAGGGGGTTGTCGGCGGAGCATCGGGCAACGCTGCTGGAATGAACAAAGAATACATCAACAGCGAGAATGTTCAGGAGACCGGAATGCCAACCAGCAAAGGAGGTATTGCCCAAGACTACACCGGCACCTCCTCCACTGGCGAAACTATGCTGGAGCAACGAGCCATCGGCAACGAGAGGCGAGGAACTGGCCAGGAACAGCAAGAAAGCATCATCGAAAACAACAAGAGTGGCTCTAAAAGGGACCGCAGAGGCAGTGTGGCGGCCGGAGAGCTTGAACCTAACTACGACATCCGCAAGGGCCCAATCACCATGCCAGGTACTTTCCAAGAAAAGAACTATCACAATGAGACTGGCAAAGAAACTCTCGTTCAAAGAGGAACTAGCAGCAAAGGAATCATTGATGGTGGATCATCCGCCGACAAGAAAAGCTCTCCTCAGGTTGTCTTCGCGGGCGGCAACAAGGCCGGCTCAAACAACAAGACTGGAACATCCGGCCTTGGAGGCGACTTTGGCGAGGAATACATAGAAAAAGAGTTCCACGACTATGAAAAAATCAGCCCGGACATCTTCAGCGAGGGAGCCGTTGGCAAAGACCTCCAAAAGAAAGCTGCTGGTCAAGAAGAAGTTGGAAAATACCATCTTGACAAAAAGCAACTTGACAAGCAGGGCTCCCACGCTACCGAGAGAGAAGGGGCAGCCGAAGCTGCTGCCGCCGCCGCTGCTGTCGGCGACGGCCATGGTATGAGTAAAGCAACCAGCAACCAGGCCTCTTCCACCAGAAAACAGACAACCAAGAGGCGTTCCGCCTCTGACACCATCGCAGCCAGAGAACAAGATCTAGCTTCCAAAAACCCGAGGAGGAAGGTTTCTTCCACCGTGGGAGAACATGATCGTGCAAGTGGACATGGACTGGCCGCCTCAAACCAGACGAGCAAGGGGGGTTATACTTATGCCCATGCGGCAGCTGGTGAAACCCTGAAGGCCAAGACCCCGACAAGCGCAGGGTATGCTGCTGCCAGTGGATCTGATCAAACAAGTGGTCTACGTTCTACCACCACGAGCCAGACAAACAATGCCTTCTACAATACCAGCACCACTGGCTCAAACCAGGCGGGTATCGCCAGTGGAGGAGTCCTGGGACTTCACCAAGATGGCAAAGTTCATCAAGGAAGCATTACTGGCGGCGGAGGAATTCAACACGGCAGTGCCTATGGTGCTTCGAGCAATGATGGCTCCAAGAATGGAACCATCCACGCCGGCTCCGGTACCAAGAGCAGCGCCAAAAATGAAGCTGCCTCGAAGCGCATGGTCAGACAGCTGAGTAGCAGTAGCTACAAGCTCACTGTCCTCCAGGAGAAGGTCCAGGCTGTGTCCCAGAAGTGCAAGACTCAGCTGGGTCTGTCTTCCGGTGCGATCAGCAAGCGCAGCTCTACCGTGGATGATTTCTACGATGCTGTTGCAGCTGAACGTCTCCGCTGGATGCCTCATGATGGCAGCAGACTCGACTGCAGCCTCAGATGGGCGTCCAGACTGGCACATGCAGTCGACGCTCTTCGGGAGTCCGTCGGAGCCTTTGCGCCTGCTGCCAACGAGGCCGCAACGCTCATCTGGGGATTCGCTATCCTCCTCTTGGAGGTGAGTCCAGGTGGCCATTGCAACTTTTTGGATATGGGATACTAACTAGTTGTAATAGTCTGATATGGACGACACGGATATCTTCGAGAGCGTCTTTGGCCGATATGGCCGAGTTGCCGTCGGCATCTACTTGCTTCTGCAGTATGAGGTCGCGTACAAATCCTCTCCTGAACTTCAGCCAGAGGTTGCTGCAGTCTTCGCAGATTTGCTTGAGATGGTCTCTAGCACGACTATCAGCTGTGTCGAGGGATTCAAGAGCAAAGAGTCCGATCAAGTTATTGGACGCAATGTTGACGACGCTTTTGTGACCTATGCCAAGCGCTTTTCTACCCACTGGAATTGCATTGTCGATGCTCACACTGCGAAGCTCGTGGAGGCGAGCTCCCTGATCTACTCCTCGCCTGAGCTGGGTAGTTTGCGTCAATTCCTGGGAGTGCAGGACCGCCCTCTTCAGTTTATCCTCGACTCTCGCGCTCACTCGCTTGCTGATGGATCGTTTGAGTGGTTCAACAACACGCTCTACGATTTCTCTGTCTCAAGCTCCCCTGTGATGCTCATTTCCGGTGGTCCTGGCTCAGGAAAGAGTGCACTGGCCCAATGGGCGATCGAAAGGCTACAGGAGTCTGCTGAGCACGATAGCTGGAATGTTATTCCATACACCATTCGTGAGCTTTCCTCTTTTCCTCTTTTCCTCTTTTCCTCTTCGTTACTTGCGAGCTAACCCAATACAGGTGCTGATGTTCCTGTCGCTACTTTGCCTCTGCGCATTCTGAAGGGTATCCTTCACCAGATGTTGGATCACTCTGTCAGTGACAGGGTCACACAGGAGGCTATCCTGGTTGAAGTCGCCAAGGCAGCCCAAGGAGCGATCGATGGTGCTGGAGATGAGGTATTTGAAGCCAGCCTTTGGAGAGGTATTCGTGCTGGTCTTTCTACAAACATTCAGTACATGTTTGTGGTTGACGGCGTCGACCAGATCAAGGGTGGCCATGCGAATGCCATTGCTTGTCTTGATCGCTTCTGTGAGATTCTCTCCGAACAGAATGCTGGATCTAAGATGATCGCTTTCACCCGGCCCCTGAGCTCGAAGACCAGTTCCAAAGGCGTTCAGCAGTTTACCATGCAGAGCTCCCAGACCAAGTCCGATATCACAGCATATGTCAACAAGATGCTTGCATCTGGTGCAAACTTTGAAACCAACAAGGGCAACCAGCTTCAAGCCGCTGTGTCTGCCATTGTAGCCCGCTCCCAGGGCTCTTTCAGTTGGGCTGAGATGGCAGTTGCATACGCTAAACAGCAAAAGAGCTTGAGCCAGGCTGTTGCCTCCGTTCAGGCCCTGCCGCAGTCGATGCCAGAACTTCTTGACATCCACTTCAAGAGCCTTGACTTCAACCAACCGGGTACTAGTAATGTTGTTTCCTGGCTCGCAGTAGCCGAGAGGCCCTTGCTAGTCGAAGAGATTGAGCATTTGTTGAATGTGGACCCTAAGGGCCCCAGCTACTCTAAGCAGCCAATTAGTAGCTATGACATCTTGAATGCCCTGAGCCCGCTGATCATGACCCGTGATGGCGTGGTATCTTTCGCCCACACCTGCATTCGTGACCACTTCATCAAACAGGCCAAGTCGTCCAGTGGAAAGTCCCAGCTCAGTATCAAGGATTCGCACTACGACCTGCTCGCTAGGTGTCTTTCCTATGTGCAGTTGAGCCTGCGTGAGGAGGTTGATATCTCCATGGATAAGCTGAGCATCGAGGAGCGCAACAACTTGTTTGACAAGTATGCCGTCTTGGAATACACTGCACGCTACTGGCTGTCGCATCTCCTCTCTTCGCCCTTGGTCACCGATGAGGGAGAGTTCCAATTCAATTCAAGCTTCAAGAACCTGCTGCCTGGAAGCGTCCTCTTTGCACGCCTCGAGTTGACTTGCCGCGAGTCCCAGTTCACTCGATCTAGTGTCGTGGAGCTCTATAGACTTGCAAGCGACATTCGCCGATTGGTTCTCGGCGAGAAGTCCAAGGCCCTGTTGCAAAGCTTGGTCCTCAGCGCGCGCGTGTCCAAGATGGCACATGCCGGTCACGCCGATGAGACCTGCTACGAAGCATGGAAGCTTAGCCAGGAGCTTCTCGGCCAGTCACACTCGATCACTCTGGAATGCTCCGAGATGATGACAGAGTCATTCTCGGAGCGAGGCACAATGACCTCCCAGCAGGAAGAGATCATGAAGTACTTGATCTTGACCGATTCCGAGATCACCGGGGTGGAGTTCAGCCAACGCCTCAGGTATCTTGGAATCATCGTCAGCATGTACAAGTCTCGCAAGGAAGATCAATCCGCATTGCTCATCTCGAAGCACTTCTATCAGGAAGTTCTTCAGAAGTATGGTACCAATTCGCGCCAGTCATCCCAGACTGCTGAATTCTTGACCACCCACTTCCCGACAACTGGAAGCGACGAGATGAGCCGCGATATTGCCAGAACTAAGTATGACAATATGGTGCGCACCATGGAGGTCACCGACGAGCGCCGAATCTCCTACACTCTGTACATGGCCAAGATGTATGAGGAGCAGGGTGATACGTCTCACGCCCAGGCAGTTCTTTCAAGCCTGTGGGCTGGTCTCAACTCGCGCGATATCGACTCTGTTGATATGATGGACAAGAAATCCAATGTCGCTCTTGTGTACTACCAGTTCCTCCGCCGTCAGGACCGAAGTGATGAGTCTGAAGTCATCATCCGTGAACTGGTTGCAGATCTCGAGGTTACTGGTATTCACTCCGAGGAGATGATGCAGCGCGTGCACCTTCTCCGCGCTGAGACTCGGGAGATGCTCATGTTCAATCTCGATCGCTCCTTGTCGATTCTCATGTGGCGCTACTACAAGGAGAGCCACCAAGAGTACTCGGAGGAGGCAACCTCTCTGGCGCTCTCAATTGCCCAGAGCATGGCTAATGGGGTCTCTATCGAGAATGCATCATCCCTGACTTCTGGAGATCGCAAGCTGCTGGTTGAGCTGCTGGACGTTATCTCAGCCAGTCCCGAAAACATGACTGTCACTACCTTGATCATGTGCCACAACCTTGCTACTATTTACGTGCGCGAGGAAGACTGGGTCCAAGCCAGCGAATGCGCGATGGCGGTTCTGCAGCATATATGGCCCAGCGTGGAACAGGCCAAATCCAAGCAGAAGTTCTCGCATGAGCTGGCACCTCCCGCAGCAGATCTGGCTTTGGTGTTGGCCTACTGCCACTTCCGCAGGCTGCATCTGGAACAGGCTACAGTTGTGTATGAGAATGCCTTCCGTAGCTTGATCTCTTCTGACGGAGTCCCTGTGGCGTCGGTGCTGGCTGTTGCCAAGGCTGTCGTCGAGTTCCACGAGACTACTTACCAGTTCACCAAGGCACTGAACTTGCTCCATACCATGAGCAACTTCCTGGTCTCTCGCCTCGGAGAGACCCACGAGCATACTATCGATAACATGTATCTCGAGGCTGCTTTGGCCACTCGTCTGGAGATGGCCGACGAGGCTAAGAGCATTTACCAGCGCATCTACAAGGCTACCTCTGATGAGAACAAGATTGCTCCAGAGGGAGTCGAAGCTGCAATTGCCCTCATCAACATCTACGAGAAGGAGATGCAGTGGGATTCTGCGTTGCGTGTTTACAGATCTCTCTGGCCTACCCTGGTTGTCGAAGACAACAAGGAAAATACATATGATCATGCGCTCGTGGACCGGATGCTGGAGAAGACTTACATTGGCTACATGGCTATTCTGACTTCCCACAAGAGGTCCGACTTCTCCGAGCGGTACCAGGTTGCCTCCGAGTATGTCATGACCTGTCGCCACGTGCACGGCGCAACAAGCCAGAAGACGCTCAATGCAACCTTGCTCTTTGCCGAGCTGTGTGAGTCGAGCGATTCGTACGTTGACCAAGCCATCTCGCTGTACAAGATGCCTCTGGAAACCAGCGAGTGGGTGGCTCCATCTCAGTCGTCGAAGGGTCTCGACCAGATGACTACCCCGTTGCCTATCACTCTCAAGCACAAGTTGGCACAGCTGTATGTCCGCAAGCATGCTTCGTCCGGAGAAGCCCGTTCTCTCTACACCGAAGAGTTCCAACTAGCCAAGAAGAACCAGGGCTACTTCTCCACCACGACTCTCTCCTGGCTCCGTGAACTTGCCCTCGCCCATTCGCGGCAGAGAACTTCTTCTTCTGTTCAGCAGGGTTCCGCTATCCTTCACACTTACTCTACCGACATCTTGCATGCCGGTGGTGACCCTGACACAATCGGCGACTGGGCCCGCCGGATCGCAAGTATCTACCTTGAGTGCGGCTTCGTCTCAGGTGGCAACGAGCTCCTTGATGAACTCCGCCACCGCGTGGTTTACGGCGAGTCTTCCAACATCAATCTGAGGGATCGCCACGATGCCATCTTCGTCGCTGCTTTCGAGGAAGTCTTCGGCAAGCGTGCCACTTACGACCAGATCATGGCCGACATGGCTCGTGAGAGGAAGACTTCCCAGGCCTTTGCCAAGAGCTTGTCTAGCCACGACTTCATCCCCACTCTGATCACTGGCCACCAGCTCTACAATATCCAGATTGGCCAGAAGAGAGTTCGTGCTGCCAACGACACCAAGGACAAGTTGTACGACTACTTCTGCTCCAACCTGTCTGCCACCGGTGTTGCCGACAAGGCAATTGTGCAGCAGTTCTACCAGATTTGTCTGCGTGAGGTTCACAATGAGGACTACAACATCAACATTCTGACAAACACTACCAACCTTGTTCGCGACCTGTGCAACTCTTCCCGCTTCCAGGAATCTGCCATTCTGACAGGCGTTTTGCACTCATTCATGCACATCACCAATGGCCTCGACAGCCACGAAAGCATCAACACTGCTATCCAGCTGTGCTTGTACCTGAGCGGCCACAAGGCAACCAAGTGCACCAACGAAAAGACCTACCACACCATGTCCATCAAGTCCAAGCTGTTCCTTCAGGAGATCATGACAGCTTCGAAGTCCCTCGGCATCGAGATGGTAGACCTGCCTTTCACCGACCTCAACAACATCATCACCCTCCTAGGAGAGTACGAGATGTTCGACGAGCTCGAGGCCATCCTGACCCAACTCTGGACCTCCCGCATCGTCCAGCGCACCTGGACACCGGACGTGGTCGTATGGATCGGCCGACGACTCGTGGAGACCCGTTTCTGCAGCGGCAAGGTCGATTCCGCTATCCAGCTATGCCGCGACATCTGCTACAACCTGCGCCAGGTTTGGGGCAGCTGCGACCCGGTCACACTGGACATGACCAAGCTTCTCTCTGCCTTGTTCACGGCATCTGAGAACTACCAGTCCGCAGCAACTCTGCACGAAGGAATCTTGTACGACCTGCTCGGCGACTCCGAGGCGGAGGGCCATGCCCGTGCTGCTGATACCGCATCGCAGCATATGGAGTTGATGCGTCGTGCGCAGTCACGTCTCGGAACAGGCCAGACGGCCAGACGGGCTTCGGCGCATGCAGAGCTGTACCAGTCGTTGGTGGATCGCTTCGGTGTGGAGACTGAGCAGATGAAGAATGCTGGTGAGGCCAATGGTGGTGCGCAATTCGGTATTTGGTCGAAGCCTAGACGGTTCAGCATTGATGTTCACGATATGGAGGATGGTCAGATGCACCACAATCATATTCGCGAGTCTAGCAGTGCTCCGAGACGTATCTCGGTGCAAGCTCTCTAAGTATACGATTGGAAAAATTGAATTGGTATATGGGATATTTGGATTTGAGTTTATGTTGGCGCGTTTTCTGATGTTCAAAATGTTTTACTGCACAAAAAATGATTTGAATGCTTTTGCTTCATCCTAATTAAATCTTCTATACATGTCGTATAATGTCAATGTCATATTTGAATCTTTTTCAAACGCTTTTTTAGCATCTCTTCATAGGTTTCTCTCATCATAGCATAAAATTAGCTCAAATTTACATCTATAGATAGAATATTATAGGCAGAATCCTGGCGGTATAGCTGGATAGTATATATAAGTCATGCATAAAGTGCCAAGAGTTATAGAAAAAAGATGACACTACGTATCTCCGGTAGGACTGAAAGAACAATCAAAGGTAACGTTTCCTGTTCCATGACCGAAGTTCAAGAGTACTCCATGCGTCACCCATTCCGTCCTGGATCCATTGCTCAATAGCTTCTAGGGCAGCCTCCATTTTCTGACGTTGCTCAGGCGCTTCAATATTGATTTTCCATGAATGCTCCGGTGTAGAAATTTGAAGATAGCCGTCCTGGACAGAACAGAAAGTGTCTCCATCTTTGCAGTTGAACAAAAGAGATTTGAAAAGTCTGATCCAGTATCCTGACTCCAAGCGAGGGAGAAGACTTCCATAATCCACATGCCTCCGCAGTATCTTTTCCCCCTCGGCTGCCCTTCTATAATTACTTGATAGCAGAATCGAAGTCGTATGCTCTATAACACGATGGGGCATTTTGTACTGGGTGGGGATTAGCATCGTAGATAGGCTGGGTGGCTGACTTAGAATGAATGAACCCAGAGAGTCGATGATCGAATCAGGCAACCAAGACCGCGAGGACAAGCTGTGAAAAATCCGAACATCAAACTTGTTATCGCGGCCCTTGTCCAAAAGGTGAGAGCTTATTTTATTCAGAATTTTGTCCGGGAGAACTTTCTGATATTCCATGATGTACCAAATATGATCCACACTATCGGTCTTCCCTTGTCGGTCTATAAGTTGCAATATCACGCCGAGAACGTGAGATGATAAAGAGCTACTTTTCCCCAAAGCCCTGAGAGCTTTTATTTCAACCGATGAAAAGGGACCAGATGCAGATACTGTGAGAATGTCAACACAGTGGTCGAGAATGACATCGGAGGGAGATGAATTATTCGCAAAGGCCGTTGACGTCATAGCGCATGCAAAACTGTCTTTGTCCTGGGAATTTGCAAACCTCCTAGCAATTTCATCTGCGCAGAGATGTCCATGTTGCCTAAGAGTTTTGCTTGCTGCAGTTTGAACCCGTTCTGACTCATCATCCACCATTCTCCATATTCGTTCGACAATGCCGTTTGACAGGGTTGCCTGAGTATTCAATATGTCGATGACACTAATTTTTGCCCAAGGATCGTAATCGTCGAATTTCTCCAATCTTGAAGCAATTTTGTGATAAATTGGGACTGGTAGATGCGAATGATAAGACAAAGCATACAAACTTTCATATTGCACCTCTAAGTCTGGATCATCTAATGCCGCAACCAGATGGTTGAGAACACTTGGGTTGGACAATGATGACTTTGTCAATGCTCTTATAAATTCTTTTCGATATGAAGTTCGTGGATATTCAAATATTAATTTGCCAATGATCGGTTGGGGAAGTTCCTTTTGTTGATCAATCACGTTGACTGCACTATAGATGCGAAAATTGTCGATGATAGCACTGAGAATTTCTTCGGGTAAATTTAGGCGATACAATAAGCTATGTAGGGCCGCGCGAGCAAATTCCTCGTCTGGATCGGAAATGACCGAAATAACGTCCTGTGATGAAAAGTTTGGATGTCGACCTATGATTTTCGCGATAGAAATTTTGACGGAGAAATCCAAGTTAGATTGATACAGGCTCCATATTTGATCTGAAATTTTATTAGAAATACGAAGACGGCCGTTAATCACTCTTGAGGCGCGTTCCTGCTGTTTCGGATCAAACATTTCAAGACATCTGGAGAGAATGTGTTCAGGGAATTCCATTTCCGTGCCGAGATGAATCGAGCCGGCATCATCCATGAAGAAAACTTGTGATAATTGATTCTCCATATTACCCCGAAATTTCTTCAGCGTGGCATTCTCTTCCTTCTCGCTAACCTCGCTGAAGCAATGCATGAGAAAGCGCAAATGAGTGGGTCCGAGCAGATCACGCGGTTTCATTTCGATCTGCTCGAAAAATCTAACCAGATCATCGTTTGCAGATGCAAGAGCTCCGGTGATGAATCGCCACATGATGTTATAGCGTCCATTGTATTTCTCGTGGCTGATGAATTCTTCGGTGGAGAGAGAGATGGCCTTTCCAGTTTGCAGATCCAATGTCTCTATTTTCCCGCCTATCTGCCAGCTTTGTACGAAATGCCGGGCAGCAAAGTACTCTTGAAAAGTAAGGTGAAGGAAATAGTAGTCCTGATCGTGGTCATTGGAGGAAGAATCCGAGCTGCGCAGGAATGAAATCTCATCCAGGATGCGATCCGTCATGTTCGGGAAATGATGGTAGATGTCCTCCCGAATGCGATAGGTAAACTCTGTGACATTGTTGTAGAGGCCAAGGAAAGCAATATATTGAACGAAATCAATATTATCAGGCATCAGGCGGAACATCTGTGATCGAAGTCGACATTTCGCCGCCTTGTGCTCGGTCTTCGGGTCCAACCGAGGCATGTCTTTCTTCCAAAGTTTGATTTCAATTGCTTCGTACAAAGCAGTCATTGTGGTCAATGGCTTCTCTCTCTGGATTCCTTCCTCCCAAGTGAAACAGAGGGCATCTAGTTGAATGGGAATTCGCATCAATCCTTTCATCACCCAATGCTGTGTCATGAAATCCTTGATCTGGAGGCCATCCGATTCATTGCAAACTTTATCCACGTAGGCCTCAATCTCGTGATTAAGAAAACCAACAGTCTCAATCTCCAAATCGTATTCTTTCAATCTGGATGGAAATACGGCATGTGGCCGTGAGGTGATGATCACATTTTGCCTGTTCAAGATGTCTTGGAAGTCCTCAATTTGTTGTTGAACTCCAGCAATCTCATCGAGGCCATCCAGAATGAACAGGGTGCGAGAGTTTTGAACATCTCTCAGCGTTTCTTGGAAAGCCTCCCACAGTGCCGTGCTGTAGGGCACCTTTTTGAAGATTTCACGATTGAGGAAATCTTCAAACGTTCGGTACCCCTTCAACTTGCGCAAAGGAATCCAAATGATCCGGTCATATTGCGATTCCCACAGGCTATGGTAGAGAGAGGCATATGTGATCTTTTTGCACAAGGTTGTTTTCCCAACGCCAGCTCGTCCCCGAATGAGGATCCGACTGGGCTTCGCTAGAGAGCCATTCCGCACATTCCTCTGTTTGAACAGATCTTCCAAAGCAATCTCTGTTTGGGTGTCGGGTGCTTCCATCTGGAGACGGTCCTGGAGAGAGAACTTATTCCGGCCCTTCTGATCGCCTCCCTCCTGATTTTGCATCAAAGAAAGGTTGATGTAGCAGTTTTCGATAGGTAAATCGTCTCCTGACAACCGTTTGACGTGAAGAAGCTTTCCCCTAGTATAATGTTGGGCCATGATGACGTCGGCATAGAAGACCTGTGCTTCACTGCACTTTTCTAGCGCAGCTCGGAGAAGCTGTGAATCTCCGCAGCTGTCTTGTTTGTCATCTTCTGCCTTGCTATTCTGAGCAATATCCTTGAGCTTAGGCTCGTACTCCTTGGCGCGGAAAAAGCCTGAACGTACCCCACGTTTTCTTTGCGGCAAGATAATTTTCCAATCTGGCTTGTCCATGGAGTCTGCGAGTAAACCTACCCAGGCATGAATTGAGTTATCTTTTTTGCAGATCTTTCTCAACAACGGATTTTCGAACGTCCATTGAATGAATTTTTCAATACTGTCTCTAGTAGAAGGCTCGCGAGAGACCCACTGCTGTTCAAGCTGGGAGTATAGCCCGCACCAAAAGTCGGTTTCTGTACACCATTTCGGCGGGGCACCTTTGAATGGGGCGATGAACTCTTTCAGTCCCTCAAAAGCCTCAAGCTGGGTGAACATTTTTGCATGACGCAATGCAGCGTACCAGCCTTTTCTCTCTGATACATTGCGCATTCCGCTGATCATTTGCTTGAAATCCTCGCGTGTGTCCCAAATTTCCTTACCCCCTTTCAGAGCATCCCCAAAGAACTTAAGAACTGCGAATGCGTCGGGGCCTGCATCAATGAGTTGCTGTACATCGAATTTCGCCACGGCACTGCTTATATGTGCAATAACATTGAAGGTCATGCCACTGTAGCGTAGGGCCTCTTCCCACGGACCTTCATTGTCTGGTATCCGGCGCAGAGCTTGAAGGGCATATCGGGCGGCCTGAGCCATGCGTGATTCATCGTGATCTTTCAAGTCCTTGAGCTTTTTGACAAGCGGTTCATGTAGCGACTCTCGGTCGAGACCCTCAATTTTGCAATCTACCATTGCGTCTAAAAGCGTGCCAATCGTTTGAGTCAGGAGATAGCTATCCCTGAGTCGGCTTTGGTTGTTGCTACTGATGAGATGCTTGCTGAGACCAGGCAAGATTGATCCAAATATCTGCTCGCTGCGGGGAATGGCATGATGACCCCAGCGCAGACAACCGGCGAAGCATCTCAGTAAGTCCCGATCAATCGGTGTCTCATCTGCCGTGCCCTTTGTGATGGACTTTGCGAAGGCATAAATTAGGTCGTTAAATTCGGCACTGTCTGTGACTGGCGAAAGTAGCATTGCTTCCTTCCAATAGAGCGATCCGGGGTTATGTTTGAAAAGCACCAGCATTTCCGATTTGAGTGCCGTGAGCGCTTTAGCTTCTCTCTGGCTGGTCTTGCCATTTTCTAAAGATGCAATCAAATCAATGGTTCGTGTTGGTTGTTTGACCGAATACATGCCTTGAGGCATGATTTAAGCCCTGGAGGGTAGCCGTGCTATGAGAGAAAAACAGTCGGGAAATGATGGGAGGGGTTAGATTGTACAGATGTATCGGATAATGCCTAATGTCAGACTGGGATATGGCCCTAGGCCTTAAACAGGAACCTTGGCATTTGTTATGGTCTGGTAAAATGGCTGTATTATTTCCCACGGCTTAGCACTAGCACGTGTTTGGCAGAAGACTTACCCTTCCTCATCTCTTCTCCCCGCAACCACCAAGTCAAACTTCACATAATCGCGAATAAAAATGATCAGTTCAATATGAATGACCTCCGAAATAGCCTTTGCACTTACCCAGACTGGGGATATGTCATCTATCGCACTACCTACTCTGCTGAATCAGATACTCTATTCCCAGACGCTATCAGATACATTGAGGCCTGTGTTAAGCAAGCATTCTTCCAAGAAAACAAAGAAGATCCTACAAATGAGTCCAACAAACTTTGGGCCAAACACCGGTCGACTATCGTGCAAGATCCTGCGCAATTTAACGGGGCGTCTCTCGATGTAATTCGCGCTCATTTTGAGGCCTGGGTGAACGCTCAAGGTATGCGTGACGATTGGACCAAATGGCGAATGTGCATGATTATCGATGAAGAATCTCTGCAGACGCTGAAAGGTATATCAGTCGAGGACCTTGAAAATGAAAGGCCAGAGAATTCCGATAATGAGCTACGATGTGTAAAGGTTCTTGAAGCATTCCCATATACGGATCAGTATGACAAATTTCCGGGCTGGATGAAATGTTGGACATATGCGCTCTGGGATCTCTGGGCGATGATGGGAGATGGTGATGAGATGAGGCAGCTGTTTGACTGTATTGATAATTTTCCATTTGAGGGGGTGTACTGCGGATGATTCAGTGGGGGTCAATGGGTTTTAGACTGTCTCGTCAATAGTGAACAGAATAGTACTAGCGATGAACTAACTGAAGATAGCTAATTATATAGTAAGTAGTGGGCTCAATTTCCCTTTCATTGATCAAGCAAGTTTCTTAGGTCGCTTTCCATCGGGCTGCTCTGGGTACCCCAGCCTCTCCCTCGCCCATTCAGATATCTGTTGTTATGCTTGAGCTCTAGGGAGCAATTTTCTCGCTTGAGACTCTTGAAATTTCAGGATTATTCTCATAATGATGCCCTCAACTCTTTATGTTGGATGTTGTCTGTCTGAGCCGATGTTAGTTAGAGCTGTTATGATACTTCCACCGCAGTGACTGACCTCGGTAAACATTTGGATCGCGATCCTGTTCAGGGCTGCGTTTTCACGAGCGGAAAGAACCGCATATATCGTTCAGCACGTTGTCTTCGGGAGAGCTCCAGTGACAATGATACTATCCCTGGGGTGCTATGCTTTATTTTGAATGTTCCTCGAAGACCCACGGGGATAGTGTTAGGGCTCCACAATCTAGTTGGGATCTCTTCTGCGTACACCATGTGCATATCGCAGTTTAATACAAGATCCAATCGTTGCAAGTCTATCCTCGACGACGTAAGACTTGAATGGTCTGATATATTTGGCCTAAGGTATGTCCCCACGCACTACATGCGATCATATAAAAGGTACATCGGGTGAATTACACCTAGTCTGATCCTACCATATTAGCACGATTTTAGTTAGGAGAATCTCTACATAGAGCCTGCTCATTCGCAGTGAGCTATGAATTGGATGCAGGAAGAATATTGGATCTAATGCATTATCTGCGAAAGGCATATAAGTAGTTCTGCTTCCGTCTCGGTGATTTGACACCCATAGTAGTTTTGCTGATAAGAAATACTGTCCAAATATGCACCTACCCATGCCAATTTGTGCAGGACCACACTGTGGCCGTGTTGAATGAATGTAGTTTAAACCAAAGCCCACTATGTGCGTTCATGCATGCCAGCCGCAAGGACCGCAAAGAACCAGACGCCACGTATACAATAGAAATGAACATCAGAGCCGAAGCCTGGTCAAGCAGTCAGTGCAAAGCTGAGGCCCATCAACCCCATGCCTCCAATGGCAAAGCCGATTCCCATTCCGCGGTGATGGGTGAGGCTAAGTCCCTCGCTGAAAAGTTGCAGTGCAACTGAAGTCATGACTCCGGCGGTGGCGGCGAACATACCTCCATATATGCCCCATGAGGGACCTGTGACATCGTCGCTACCGTGTTGTCCAGTGCTCCAAATCCAGAGGGCGGCTAGGCCGGCACCAGCAGGTTGGCTGATACCTCCCAAGAGACTGGACCAGAACATTGCCTTCCAGCGGGAATTGAGGGCTAGATAGAGCGGGAGTGACATGGCGAAGCCTTCCACGATGTTGTGAATAAATAGAGCCAGAAATACTGTCATACCGAGAGTTGGGCTGGCGTGGTTGGTGGCGTAGGTGATGAACCCCTCGGGAAGCTTGTGCAGAGCAATGGCGAGTGAGGTCTGCAGTCCAATGGAGAGGAATGCATTTTTAGGGACGTGATGGTGGTGGGCGTTGCCAGCGGCAGATTTGGGACGGTCAGAACCAAGATCCTCGTGGTGGCCATGAGATTCGTCATGGCAATGATTCTCCGAATGGGAATGGGATAGATGACCTGAATGTGGCTCTAGGATCTGAGACGAAGAGGACGAAGCAACACACGGGTGCATGTGGTGCTGTGCAGAGATATTATCAAAATATCCCCCTTCCGGTACAATAGGCGTATCTTCATTACCAATTTCAGTTTCCGCGCGGGAAATCTCCGGTTCCAGCGGCGCGGATAGAGTGTCGCGATTGCTTGCTCGCGTGGTTTCATTGATGTTGCATGGGGGAAGCACTTTAGTGCATTCGCTGCCACATGTTTGAGAAACTCCAAAGCAAGGTCCGTCCTCGTCGCAGGTGGGTTTTACGCCACCCATGAGCGACGTAATGCTGCGGGTTAGGATTGCCCGCATTGTCTCGCGGCGTCTGGGTGCCGGCTCGGTATGTTGGCTCCGTTGAGCCACCGCTGGCATTGACTTGAATGAAGATGGGTTATTAGGTCGCAACAGCGGTGTTCGTTCGGTATGTCCGTTTGTATGGTTGTGGACATGGTCCTCGTGTGTGGGCTCGCCGCGCTCGGGATCACTTTCCGACTCGCCATGGGTATGGGCGCAGTCGACAACATGAGATGGGATATATCGGTGTGCGAAGGCGGAGACTAATTGAATGCCTGCTACTCCGGCAATGAAAAGACCGATCAAAATATATGCAGATACAGCGGGAGAGAAGCCAGCGCGCGTGAGGTACTCCTTTGAGTTCGGGAGCATGCTATAGAGGGAGGTAAAGAGCTGATTGGAATTAGTATAATGCGTGCATTCCAGATGTAGAGTGATAGCTCACCATAACTCCAGCACTGAGACATAATGATGCTGACAGGAAGTTACTACTGTTGGCGATCTGGAAGCTCTTGCGGCGGGAAATCGCCCGGACCAGCACATCGATACAGATGATAGAGGAACCAAGGACGCAAGCTAAATACAATTAGCGATTGATCGCAAAGATTTCAGACGACACTTACCGACGCCTGAGACGGCGCTCATCACCCACCCCCGGAGGTCGTTGGCAGACATGGCGTTGAGAGTTGAAGAAAACGGAAACGGTGATGTAATTGGCAATCAACGGGTTGGCGGTCAACACTTCGCCTCTCCCTCTCTCTCGATGGAAATAAAAAGACGACGATGTCCATTGATGGGGGTTTATATGTTAATCACCTGCGTTGTCTGACAACAATGCATTCGTCCCCAAGGTTCTCACTGCAGTTCTGCAACGCGCCCCCTTATGGCTGGGGCCTGGGCTGTGGAATAGACGGTCTGGCATTGTGAATCTTCAGTTTGAGAGTCCCTGAGACTATGGAGTATGGAGTAAACATTGAATGTTCTAGTCTCCGGGGTTTCATAAATACTGTTTCATTGCAACCGATCGGGTGATACTTGATACTTTCTTTTTTTCTCATATGATGAAGTGTACACACATGGAAGGGGTTTATGCAACTGACAGTATCTGGTGATTTGAATAATTTTAGGCTCATCAGACTCAAAAGAATCACGAGAATGCGAATTAAGAGAATATATATATACAAGACATCTCCCACACAGCACAATAGCAATAGTTCGGGGGATTCCCATGTGATCTGTGATTGGCCCGTGGCTCCCCGACTTTTTATTGTCTTTTGTCTTTTGGTTCCTGGCCAGGTCTTTCGACTCAACCAGCCCTAAATCTCAAGGGACACTTAGCCATGTCCAAAGCAACTCTGGCTGTCATCGCTGCCGCCAGCGCAGCCACCGGCGCTGGTGTCACCGCGTTGCTCTTCTCTGGCAAATCCACCAAGCCCCAACAACAAGAGACCCTTGCCCCGACACCAACAATCCCGGGCCCTAAGGTGCCCTCAACCATCCCGCCCCCAGCTCTGGCAGCTAAGCTAGCCACCAGTCCCGTCGACGCCGCAGGAATTCTCCAATATGGCTTCCCAGGCCCAATCGCCGACGAACTCTCCTCCCTCCCGTTGCACGGCGCCTACGACCGACGCACACGCAACCCATCCTGGGTCGCAGAACACATCACGCCACAGTCCCTGGCCATTAACAATGCCGACCGAAAGAAGAGCACCTTCTTCGAGGACACTACCATCCCATCGATGTTCCGCGCCAAACTGTCCGACTATTTCCGCTCAGGCTATGACCGCGGACACCAGGTACCGGCCGCAGACGCGAAGTGGTCGCAGGATGCGATGGACGGTACATTCGCGCTGAGCAACATGTGCCCGCAGGTCGGCGAGGGCTTCAACCGCGACTACTGGGCTCACTTTGAGACTTTCTGCCGTGATCTCACTAAGCGTTATCCCTCCGTTCGTGTCGTGACCGGCCCGCTATACCTGCCTCACCGTGACCCGGATGGAAAGTGGCGCGTTAACTACGAGGTTATTGGTAACCCGCCTAACGTCGCTGTGCCGACGCACTTCTATAAGGTTATCTATGCTGAGGATGGGACCAACTCGCCCACGAGCAAGGTTGCGCTCGGTGCTTTCGTTCTGCCCAATGCTCGCATTGCGAATGATAAGCCTCTGACTGACTTTGAGGTTCCTCTTGAGGCTGTTGAGCGTGCTTCTGGTTTGGAGTTCGGCTCTAAGTTGGACCTTGGCCGTCGTCGCCGCTTGTGTCAGGAGGTGGCTTGCAAGGTCACTGTGCGCGAGTTCAACAATGCCCAGAAGCGTTCTTGAGCTTGAGGCTGCAGGTAGGAGAGGAGAGAGACCGTGTTCGTCCGTTGACTTCTCGCATAGCTTCACTGTATATTTAGAACATTGTATTTGCATGGCTCGGGCGTTAATAACCGCTCCGGGCGGCAATATCAGGATATTATTTATCGTACACATAATTGAAAACTCTGGTGTTTCATGCTTTTCTTTCTTGTTGATTATTATGCAATTGTTTAGCACTGGAACGCAACTCCGGTCTTCTTCCCCATATTCCCACCTTTACTAGCAAACCCAGTCCCCTCGGAGGAGATCTCCACCAGACCAGGTTGAATAACATCCTTGTCCTTCTTCTTAGACTTCTTGTTGTTCCCATTCCCATTCCCATTATCGTCTGGTTTTGACTTTGCCGTAAGGTCTGTCTCACAGACGAAACATAGAACCTGACCATGGAGAGCAGCAGTTTTCTCCTGCTCCTCTTTCGAGGCATGTGGATCGGGGACATGATGTTCGTGGGGAGTCATGAATTTCGTTACACACGGAGAGCAAATGACATGCCCGCAGGGCTTTGTGACTGTCATGGGAGATAATTAGCAACATCCAATGGCTGTACTTTTATTCCACATACGCATCGCCTTGAGCCCATTACTCAAATTCTTCTTGCAACTCGGACACACTCTAGACACAGTTCCGTCGGAAGCCTTCTCCTCCGTGAAATTAACCTGAACAAGTGACTTGAGCGAGTAGCTATGCCGAGTCTCATCGGTCGAGCCAGGGCAGATAGGTGTCAGCTTGACAGTCTTGTTGGCGGCGATTTCATCCGCATCAGTGTTGGGCGTTAAAGACGGGACCCAGAAGGATGGGAGAGCGGATTTGTTAGACGACTAGAGCAATGTTAGTCAAAACAAGTCCCCAAATGAAGCTTCAAGCTCCAGCCCGAAGAAACAACCACAAACCTTCTCCACCTTCAATTCCCTCCTCAACCTCTCCCTCTCCTCCCCAGCAACACGAGCCATCTCCTCCTCCCCAAGCTCAAAAACCCTCTTCCTCTTCCCATCAACTTCAACCTCCCTAGCCTTAAACTTCTCCAAAGCCTCAGACTCCTCCGCCTTGCGCTTCCTCCCACCCTTATTCTCCAATCCCATCGAAACAAGCTCGAAATCCCTAAGATCTCTCTCTTTCATTTCCGCCAGCGATCTCTCCTCATCCTCCGCAATGCGTTTCCTCGCCTCATCGCGCTCTTTCTCGAGTCGTTTGATCTCCTGTCGCTGAGCAAGGAGGTCACTGATCGCACACTCGCGGCAGAAGAGGTCGCCGTTGGTGGCGCATGCGACTACAGGCGCCCGCGCGGGTTGCAGGCATAAACGGCAGGAACCGAAGGCTAGGAAGCTGTCGCGGCCGATTGCGCTGCGTTTTGTGCCCCAGGTTGAGCGTAGTAGACCGCGCTCGTAGGAGGTGAAGTGTGGGAGGGAGGTGTTTCGCTTTGAGTGCGCCATTTTGGGTGTGATTGGCGTGGAAGTTGATGCGGGTGAGGGTGGCTTTTTGTAGCTTGGATGGCGTAATGGGTTTTTGGTCGCGGGTTTGGCGGCGCGGCTGGAAGATGCGGGCTTGAGATTGGCGCGTTGGTTCACCGCTGGGCTTACCGCTTGTCTCAGCCCTATGCAAGTTCGAGTCGAGGTTATCGAGTCTATGAAGAGGAATTTTATGCTCATGGTACTATTGAGAATTCATTGACTCCAATACAAAGTCATTGGATGCAACCGGTTACAGCTACGCGTTCACAGACACTGTGAAGCAATAAAAAGTATAATATCAAATCATTGTCAATCATAATTCGCTTTTGTCTATCAGTGATTCCACAGCTTCGCACTCGAAAAAAGCATAATCGAAATGAAATGGCCAAGCCATCAGATATCAAAGCACGCCCATGAATGCAGCCTGTCATACAGATCTGATTTAACGATCTGACAGTAAATGAAATAGAGTTTCCCAGAAGCACCAACGCAGACGCAGATAAATGCTCGAAAACCAGACCAAACCGAAAGCCTGCCACGAAACCGAGATTCGCCAGATGTTAATGCAAGAGAGTAAGGAAATTCAACCAGGAAGAGACAAAATGAGCGCAATATTTGGGAAAGGGGTATAATAATCGTCAAGCAGAAGATCACAATGAGAATGGTTAGGATGTACAGGAGAAAGAAAATGAGGAGAGGCTTGAGAGTGAAAGGAAGCGGTATACCTAGACTCAGGCGCCTACGGCCTGCTCGCGTAGGTTTTCGCTGGATGGCTTATCAACGATTCGCTCGTTGATAGATGTGGAGGAGGGGGAAGGAGAGCCGTCGTGTCTTGATGCGGAAAGATGGCTGTTGTACATTGCGGATGTAGGGGGACGGGGAGTATGTTCGGTATCGAGAGGGTCTGTATCATTCGGGAGCGAGGTAATCACTGGGGAACCGGGGCTTCCGATGTCATCTTCCGGTTGCTCTTCCTGTGTATCCTGGAACTCTGCCAGATCGTCGGTGCGCACACTTAGACCAGTGTTGGTGCTCGGTCTGCGCACCGAGTGACGTTCCGGGCTGCGTTCGGTCATAATCGATTCGTCGCTGCCCAATATAGCAAGATCAGACCCTCGTGGCTCTTCGTGAGGGGTGGGTTTGCGGAGCTTGAGGCGCTCTTCCGGGGGCATGTTCTGCCATTCAGACCCGAATGTGACAATGGATGCTTTCTTGCCATGTACAGTGAAACTGGGAGCCTTGCGAGGAAGAATTTCTCCATCGCCGGAGAGGCGATCGTCCTCCTCCTGTCCAAGGCTAGACACTGAGCCCCGTTTTTTCTTTGGATGGGAGCGGTTTCTATGAGTATGCGAATCACGAAGGGTGCGATGAAGGCTGCGACGGACGCGACTCGGTTTGTCGCTCTTATCGTTTGCATTTGTCTCACCCTCGGTGTCTTTACCGGGGATTGCGTCAGGGGCAATCTCTTCATCCTTGCGCGCTGACGGGGACTCCGGTAGCTCCAATAGACCAGCTTCCCTTAGAGCGCGCTCCTCGCCATCATCAAGGCTCGCGTGCGATGTGAGTTTCGATGTACGAGACGCCATACTAGCTCCATCCCACCGGCTGACACGGCTGAGGACTGAAGATTCCCGTTCGAGTTTAAGGGTCACTGGATCGGGCGAGTATGACTTGGCACGTTCGGGGATGACCACAGCAGAGCGGCGACGGCCGACACGAGCAATGTCAGCCGAAGTGACAGACCCCGGGATACTAGGACGACGCGTTTCGTCATTTGAAGGTTTAGCCAGCAGTCCGGCCTCCAAAGGTTGCTCGGGTTGGGCCACATTAGGCTCAGGGATATCAACGCTAGAGACGGTGTGCACAATGCTACTTGGTTTTCCCACACTATGCTCTGATGCAACGGATGGACCGGAAAGAGAGGCAATGCGTGCTCCGTCTGACTGGGATGGCCTTGGTTCAGCGACCGACCCGACCCTGCTCTCCACTGCCTCTTCATCCTCTCCCAGGTCTCGCAGGAGAACCTGCCGATAACATTTGCTGCGCCAGATATCCTGTCGCACCCATTTGATCTTGGCAGACAGGCGGCCTGCAGCCATGATGACGTTCTCGCGGGCCCGAGCGTGAAGAGGAGTGAGCACTTGCAAATGTCGGGCATTTTGTAAAAGATCGTCCAGTTGTTTTTGTAACGTGGAAAGCTTTTCGTTTCTTTCTCGAATCTTCTCACTCATCAATTCTCGCCGCGCAGCAACGAATTCGGCAAACACGTCGGTGTCTATGCTGGGAGAGGGAGGCTCCATGTCCGTCGACAGGTGAGACTTTTGTGAAGATCTCGAGCCTAATCGCTGACTCCTGCGGTATCGTTGGCCTTCATAATTCGTGGCAATCATGCCCTTGGTGCGCACACCAGTGGTCCTGAAGGCTGCAGCATAGTTGAGATGTGCAAGCCAGTCATTCATCTCAGGCTCAGAGTCGGCAAGGAATGTCTCCTCCAACGCATTGTGCCGAACAAACATAAATGCATGTTTATGCTTTTTATAACTCGAGTCTAGAAGTGCAACCGTGTCACCAGTCGACACGATGTTGTCCGGCTTGAACTCAGCAAGGGGTGGCTTGAAAACAAGTGTCCCCCGACGGCCATTCTTGACATATGCATCATGCTGTGCCATGAGTGTGCGCACCCAGGTCACATTACGGAAGAAATAGAGCTGAGAGAATGTGAGAATTGCACCCCATTCCTGCCAGGGTGACCTGGCCTTCTTCTTCTTCGGGTCTTTCCGCCAAAGCAAGCCGACCTTGGCGACTTTGATATCTACCAGACCAGGATTCGAGTCGAGCGGACTATCCAAGCTAGCCGGCATGAACGCGTCAGGACGAGAGCGAAGAGAGATGATCTGCAAGATTCCAGACTTGGTAAAAGCCAGGTGAAGAGCCTCCATGTCTGGTGGCCCAGCGGTTCCAAAATGATTGTATGTGTCATCCAGATCCATGACATCCTTCAAGCTGGGTCGCAGGGATCCCAATTTTCCCTCCAGAATAAGAGAATATGGATCAACAGGCTCCCGAGCAATCCGGGCCAGATTTTCGGAGCTAGTACTTTTGAATAGAGTACGACGTGGTTTCGCCAAGTGACGGTCAGGCATATTGGCGTCTTCGACACGAATGAACGGAGTGTAAGAGATGTTCTCATAGAAACACTCGAGGATGTCTTCCGAGATTCCTTCACTCCGGCTTATCTTGACATAGTCCGCCTTCTGCATTTTGCGTTTGTTGTTCTTATTGAAGACGTCGGTGTGAAGAATCAAAAGTGAGAATGCAATAAAGTATGCGTTATCCGGAGCTGTGAAGATGCCTGGGTTGCATTCATGATAGCGGTCAGCGAATGCTTGCACGAAACGATCAATCTGCTGTGTTTCTTTTGGAAGCTCGACTTCCATCAAAAGCTTACGGATTGCCATATCGAGTGGGTCACCGAAGTATGAGAAGGTTCTCATGTATTTCCGGAGACAAATCTTGTAGAATTCCTCATCTGATTGAGCAAGAACACCCGCAATCATGCCACGGGGTAGAGTCTCTTCCAAACGTGTCAGATATGAAGCGGGTGTATCGTCTTCTTCCCGTTTCGGGATTGCCGGTAGCTCTTGCTTGATAGGGGTGGAGGCACCACCTATCGCGGGGGAACCATGACGAGGTGCGGGTGGGGAGGAGTTTTGCCTCAATCGCTGTGTGATATTGAACATATCACTGAAACTCTTGCGGCCACTGGTCGAAGTAGAGGTGCGCGCCGAAGATGCCAAATATGCGGGTACGGACAAGTCGTCCTGGTTCTCGGCCAGCGATCCCATGGTAGACGAACGTCCTCGGTTCTTAAACGAGGGGTTGGATCGAACTGATCGAGCGGAATTCGTTGAATCATTTCGATATAGTGGTGGTACACTCGAGGCAGCGAGTCCCACAGTGGAACGAGATGGCGAGGGTAATGGTGAAATTTGGTCTTGGGCATCTGAGGTCTCGGATTTTGGTGTATCTACTGGAGGAAACTTCGGTCGATTATCCGCACCTCCAGCCGAGTGGGAGACTTTGGGGGGTAAAGGAAAGAGAGGGGTGCGGTTGCGTTTCAAGCGGGGCATACGGAATCGCTTTGAGGTGTTGGCACTTTGACCCTCACGAGGGGAAACGCTGCGGGGGATCGCCTGGTCACCGTAACTCTGGTCTGATCGAGACGATTCGGAAAACCGGGGATCAATCACCGACGAGCGCTGGGAGTCGGTGGGCTGCGGGTTTCCGCTCCGAAGTGAGTTGGTTGATAAGCGTCCAGGCTCTTCGCTAATACTCTGGGACATGGAAAGTGTCGAGTCGGGTATCTGGGAATCGGTTGATCCGTGGCCTCTCCTACGAGGCTTGGCGGGTTGTTCCATTGATTTCCGAGACATATCCTCCATGGACTGTTTTCGAGACGATGGTCGAAAGCTGAGCTTGGGTCTTTGTTTCACGGGCTGATCGAGCTCGTGACTAGTCGGGGCGGTCGTAATGATCTTCGGAGCTTTATCAGGTAGGCACAGTTAATTAAGCCATCCTGATGAACGTGGGGGTTGTCAATGTTTCACTTACGAGGTAAGGAAGGGACGGGGGGAGTGCTCTGGCCCGCTTTAACGTAAGACTTGGATAGTTGGGGGTCGGATGCATGTCGTAGTCTCATGAAGCTGAATCGCTTGTGGCGTAAGCTGGGACGGTCCCCCGAGGATGGTCCTGCAAAGTCCGACGGAGCTTCCCCATGGTTTGACCCATTGTCATCCGGTACCTGAAGCCCTGTATTCACCGGGCTGTCTGATAGGCCAGAGCGGGGGATTGACTCGGATAGTCTAGGTTCGGCGGGGGGATAGGGACGAGGAAGGTGTTCACTGCGACGGGATTGGGCTTGGGGCTCAATGCTGCTCTGCCTCTTGCCATCGGCCACGAGACGCAGTCCTTTCCAATGCATGGTGAAGGACGGAGCGTGGCAAACCCCTAATAATCCATGAAAAGTAACCACGTTAGATGGAAATGGAAATAGAGATGGAGGACATTGGATCCAGAGTGGGATCTGGAGGTCAGCCCTGGCAAAAAGGGGAACGCCGGAAAGGGAAAGGTTCTAGATTTCTTGTTTCTGCCGCCACACGTATTTTTCTTTTTCTTCTTCTTAGATCTCACACACAGAATTAGATAGAATTAAAACATAGAAGAGAAGGAAATAAAATAAAATCTAGAGGGGCAAGGCAGACGAGTTACTATCTAGGCCTGAGCGTCGGGTAATTGACCGGGTTTAAGTATAGAGAGGATAGAAGAGGATGGGTTTTAATTGTATATTAAAAGGTACGGAATACGGAGTAGCTAGCTTGCATTTAAATTAAACAGATCGTATAGACCAATAGATCTCAATAATAGCCTAATTAAATTATATCTCGATAATGTTGGAGTACAAAAAAAAAAGATGTATACTAAAGCAAAAGTACTTCAGGGCTGGCCTGGCCACTGACGTAGAACCAAATATTAAAATAGAACCTCTAGGACTCGTAAGGCTGCATGTCATCTTCTTTTATCCGGATATCAATGGATAGGAAAATTCCTTCGCATTCTAATCCAATTTCTTATCATATTTGACTTGAGATATCTGTGGACTATATCTGCTAGTATCTTCCCCCACGCTTTGTCCGTTCCCGAGGTTTTTTTTCCTCTTCTCCGCATTTGAAAGAGAGAATTCCTGTGAACCTCCAAACCTCTGGACCTGCGAACACCCCGCCCTTCAACACTGGTTATTGTGACTCGGCATGCGTCTTTATTCTCCAATATTGGTCGCATCGACCTTGCTCCCTCTTATCTCTGCCGTCCCCGCTGGTTCGAGCATCACCCCGCCGCCGCCCTTGCGACCTGTTCAGCTCACTCACTCCACCCCACGCCCATGGACTCGACTCCGTGACTGGGTAATTGGCTCAATATGGGATACTGATTACAAGCGCTGCTCTTCAAAACACTCTTCGCCACCGTCAAATATTTACGATCGGTATGGCAGTGATGTCGTCCTTCGCTTCCATTTGCGCGAGCCGGACGATGCTCAAGCATTGGCTGCCGCTTCGCAGGTGCTGTTTTTGGACATTTGGGCCATAACCTCGAAGTTCGTAGATATTAGACTTGCAGATGATATGGTGAGAGCTTTCTTCTGAATGCTTTATGATCGTCTCACTAATTTGATCTTGTTAGATTCCTTCCTTGTTGGACCTGCTACCTTCAACTCTCCGCACCTCCTACACTCCCCTCATGGACAACCTTGCCGACCAGATATACGCTTCTTACCCCTCTCGTCAACGGACCGATTCAGACTTCGGACCAGGGAGTGTATCGGGTGGACTAAAGGCGATATCGAACGGCGACCTATTCTTCCAAGAATACCAACCGCTCCCTGTCATCACGCAATGGATGCGCTTAATGGCATCAATGTTCTCCTCACACGTACGGATGATTAGCGTAGGAGTCACATACGAGGGTCGCGAGATTCCAGCATTACGAATCGGCACAACTCCCGACGCAGAACCCACATCAGGCCCTCGCAAGACAATCGTCATCGTCGGCGGTACTCACGCCAGAGAATGGATCAGTACCTCGACGGTAACATATGTTGCATACAGCCTCATCACCCATTACGGCTATTCGCCCGCCGTAACACGGTTGCTGGAGGAGTATGACTGGGTATTAATCCCAACCCTCAATCCCGACGGATACGTCTACTCATGGGAATCAGACCGTCTGTGGCGCAAGAACCGCCAGCCAACGGGACTTCCACTGTGTCCAGGCGTCGACCTAGACCGTGCGTGGGACTATGAGTGGGATGGCGAGTCAACTCGCTCGAACCCGTGCTCAGAGAATTACGCCGGCGCAGAGCCATTCGAAGCACTTGAATCGCAGCGTCTGGCACAGTGGGCTCAAAATGAGACGGCACATGGCCGTGCTGAGATCGTAGGCTTCGTCGACTTACATTCCTACTCCCAGCAGATCCTCTATCCTTACTCATACACCTGCTCATCTGTACCCCCCACCCTCGAGAGTCTCGAGGAGCTAGCGTTGGGTCTAGCCAAGGCAATCCGCCAGACCTCCCATGAATCGTACGACGTTACCTCTGCGTGCGAAGGGATTCTCACTAATGGCGCTGCTTCCGGGATTACCGCGGGCGGCAGCGCGTTGGATTGGTTCTACCACAAACTGCACGCCAAGTTCTCGTACCAGATCAAACTCCGCGACCGCGGCAGTTACGGATTCCTTTTGCCTTCAGAGCACATTGTTCCAACGGGCAAGGAGATTTTCCATGCTCTGTTGACATTCGGCAAGTTTGTCTGGGGCGAGGAGGCATTAGATCTCAGCTTCGAGGACGTGATGGGTGATCAGATACCTCTATCTGATAGCCTGTAGGTTTTTTTTTTTCTTGATGATTGCATGTTGACTTTACGAGCGAATCTTCCCCTTTAATTACGGTACTTCTAGTGTTGAAGAGTCTTTGTACAGTATTTTGGCTATTTAAGCCTAAGAATGTAAAGAATTTAATGCAGAATATCTTTTAATGTGCCCCTGAGTTTGGATGTAATTGACCGGAACAATGGCTTTGTTTATTTATAGATTAAGAGACTAGCGTCGGAAAGTGATCTGTGCCATGAATCTTTCGGGAAAGGCACCGAGAACCCCATATTTGCTGTCTTAAATACTGAACAGGGTTCCGAGGATATAGATATTCTCATGTATACCATCAACAAGCAGACACTACAGATTTTGATCAATTCAAACAATCCTTCGTGAAGAAGAAAGACCTATATATATCACATGTTGATCCCTGAATATTAATTTCTGCCTGCAGATCATGGCACCTAATTTTGCTCAGACCCCACTGTAAGTTTCCGCTGTTTCCTTTGAGTGGACTGGGGAGATAGCAGCTGCCCTCCGCAGCATCCACACTTCTTGGCTGATATAAACCAGCTTACCTTTGACTCGTGGCTGATTTTCAAAAAATGCCAAACGGATCCAGTGTACGCCATGCCCTAGACACCGCAGTTACGCTTCTTCTCGTCCTTGCGCCCGCGGTGGATGCACCCTTTTATACTGCTTAGCTTCCTCAAATAGAGTACAACACACACAGATATACACCCATATATCCGAGTTTGGGAATAGGATTGGTCCCCTTAGCCCTGCCCTTCGCCTCAACGATAAGGACGTTGAGGCACAAGGCCTCGCTCTCGCCATACCAGACGGTGTAGTCTGCTCTCCCAGAGAGTATTATCCTCTTTTGTTTGAGGGTAACCGGGCCGAATTATAGCCCCTCTCGCATTAGACATTCAACGGCTGCGCGAAGAAAGAAAGATGAGATGAGAGGAGTATGAGAGGAAAGAAAGATGAGATGGGAGGAGAGAGTGGGAAGAAAGAGAGACGGAGAGTAAGGTGGAGAGAATGTGGAGGTTGAAAAGGGACGATCTTTAGGGCTAGGCCTTCGTACCTTTTACTATGCACTCTACCTATCGAAAGCTACGTTCGTGGGCCTTCGGTTACGACTCCAAAGATTGAAAAAATCATAGGCCAAAAATCATTTCTCATATTCGAAACATTGAAGGTAAAAAAAGATATTAAAGGCCTGTCGATATCGCAAACGACGGGCCAAACGACGCTCAATTTCCGTAACAAGATCTGGGTATATATCCCGCTTCAGAAAAGCCAGGAGACGAATTTCTGGTAGAACCAGCCTGCGTTACTATTCTTCTCCGCCTGCGCCTCCTTCGCAGCGAGATAACGCGCTTCCTCGCGATCAATCTCGTCCTTGCCAGTGAACAGATCAGCTGTCATGGGATCAACACCCTTGCAGCCGGTCGCGAACTTGTATCCAAAGATCATAATGAGATACAGAGGGATACCGAGGTAAGCAGTGATGAAGTTCTTGTAGTCGAAGTTTCCGTATGTTTTGGGGTTGTGGATGAAGACATCGAAGTTCTTCGTGAAAGCGATGAGGATGCAGAAAGCCAGAGCGAAGTATGAACCCGCGACGCCTAGGGGAGCCTTGTAGGCCAGGCTTTCCTCGGGGATGTTCTGTGCCTTGCGCGCGCGCACGAAGTAGATGTGAGTGACCAGGATCGAGATCCAGGTGAGGAGACCGAAGATGGTGACCAAGTTCACGAAGTACTTGAACACAGTCTTCGAGTCGCTGCTGACGTTCATGTAGCCGAGCAAGGCTATCACGGACGATATAGCTAGTGCGAAAACGGGGACGCCGCGGCGATCGGTGCGGGCGAAGATCTTGGGGGCTTTTCCTTCGCGGGCCAGACCGTAGATGGTACGGGTGGCGATGTAGAGATCGGAGTTGGCGGCCGAGAAGACAAAGAGTAGAATACAGGCGTTCAGGATGTGGGGTAGGATGGGGATGGCAGCTAGCTCGATGGCGACGACGAAGGGCGAAGCTGCGGCCGAGCCCTTCTTCGTGTTTTTATCTGAAAGGGCAAAGACAAGCAGTGGAGAGTTGTATGGGACAAGTGTGCCGACTAGCAGCACGCTGGTCACGTAGAAGACCAGGATTCGGTAGAAGGTCAATTTGATGGCGCGAGGGATGGTCTTGCGGGGGTTCTGGGCCTCGCCGACCGTCACTCCGACCAGCTCGGTGCCCAGGTAGGCGAATGTCGCGGAGACCATTGTGGACCAGAAAGCCAAGAATCGGCCAGCTGATCCTTCCATCTTATAAGTGTTGAAAGCACCTGGGGTCTTCCAGTAGCGGAAACCCTTGCGGTCATGGTCTGGTCCACCACCCAGCATGAGGATGAAGGATAGAAGGATGATGCCGAGGATAACAATGACTTTGAAGGACGACAGCCAGAACTCGAATTCACCGAAGAACTTCACACCGAAGTAATTGATGGCGACGACGATTACCAGGAAGATGGTAATCCACACTCCGGGGTTGACCTTCTCGGGCGATATCCAGAATGATATCACCAGTGCACCAGCAGTCATTTGATTTGGTGATAGAATAATATACTTGAACCAGTATCTATGTTTATTTGTGTTAGCGATATCATCTTGAAGGAGATGAGTGATACGTACGTCCAACCGAGAGTGAAGCCAAGCGCAGGGTCAACAAATCGAACGGCGTAACCAGTGAAACCAGAGGGCAGTGGCAGCCATGCCGCCATTTCTCCGAGAGCGCACATAACCAGGAAAACGATGAAACCAACCCAAGCATAAGAAATAAGAATTGCACCGGGCTATTCAAGTCAGTAAAATGATCACGGGTCATTTTCGGTGTTGGTACTCACGCCAGCCCTGCAGGAAATTTTGTTAGCCTTGGGATCTCGGAATAAAATGTCCAGGAAAACCAAACATCACTTACTTTGCAAGAGCTTCTCCCGTTCCGATAATCAAACCAGTACCAATAGCACCACCGATGGCTGTTGACTGTTAGCACGTGCTCACATTAAACCTCAAAAACAACACCTACCAATCATAGTAATATGTCTTGCCTTGAGTGCACGCTGCAGCTCAACATGGTTGGGGTCGTTCAGTCCACTCGGACCTTGCTCAATCTTGCCATCATCACTGATCTCTGTTGTGATAGTGTGTTCAGGGTATTCGTCGGCCTTGATAGACTTCTCCATGGTGTGTTCGACGCGCAGATGTTTGCGCTGACGAGAGGGAAAAGCCCAAATAAGAGGAGTGATCCCAGGTGTGAGACCAGGAAGATGGGGGGAAGAGAGATTTAATAGAAAGCCAAGAGTGGCAAGCTTGGAAGTACACAGCCGAGAAAGATAAGCAGTAAAAAGTAAGAGAAACCCCCCTGGAGGCTGACGGAAAACACAATTAAATAGTCTTGGAAGATACGGAAACCCTTCCCTGGCCAAGGCCTTTCGGTTTACGGGGTACGGAGTATAATTTACCTATCAAAAAAGACCTCAGACCATATCTGCACAGTCCACTTGGGCTTGAAATCCTTCCGGAAGAAGCATGTGACCCGTGATCTGACCTGTTCTGTTTCCGGGGGATACAGGGTTCGTACAATAGGGCTGTGCTTGTTATTTCAAAATGAGGCTCTATTAGCTCTAGTAGATCTCTACAGGGATATACCTTCGAGAGGTAATTACTAGTACGATTTTAAAGACAAGCTGTCTGAGTAGCTACATAGGTACATATGATAGAGAGATAAAGCTTGATATGTAACAGAAATGCAAGCGGAGACATTGACGCCAAGCACACCCTGCGGGGAGCGCTTTGCAACGGCAATTCGCTTGATTTTAGGTTACCCCATTTGCCCCAGATTCCCCCATGCTTGATTGTTATGGAACCAAAGTACAACACTTCATATATGTATGTTGATGATATCAAAAGAAAACAAATACAATGTTTAACCGTCTTACAAAACTAACTTGCAAAAAAAAAAAAAAAGAAAAAGAAAAGAAAGTCACACCCAAAAACCCCCCGCCACCCATATCTTCGACTCAGCCACCCGACTGATAGCCCCCATTCACTAAAAGACCCCTTATCAAGTGCAACCCAAGCAGTCGCCAAGCCGGAATTCCACACTTGGCCCGTAAACACTAACCTAAACCCGGGTGCGATGCACGTCCTGGAGTCTGGGCATCTGCGCCAAGACCATGTATGGTTGGTTTAGCCAATTGATGAGGGCGAATAGGAGAACCCCCCGGCTCAAATTGCAACTTATCTCTCTTGGCAGATGCACAGCGTGGCCTGGTCGTATCAAGGTTAATCAATAGGGCAATTTGAGGCTAGGGGGAAGGGTGTTCACGGGGAAGTTTTCTGGAAGGATTTTGGATTGTGGTGAGGCAGTGGGAAAGATTGGCTAGGGTGTTAGGGCTGCGCAACAAAGCGTGAATACGAGGCGTCCAAGACGTGTGGTTTCTTCGACCTTGAGAAAGTATATTTCATACGGATTTCTCCCTATGTAGAAAAAAGTGGCGCGGTAGATGTCGATCTTCTTGGCTTCGATTCTGATTCTGTGGATTCTATGTGCGTCAACAAATTGTCAATGTGCTTATCTCGCGCTTGTTCCAGGACAACAGTGGAAATTCCCCGCCTAGATAGCAAGTTTTTTTTTCAATTTGCTGCGCTTTTTTTGAGCCTTGCGAGGCACTGATGAAAGCTTAAATGTTGCATCGCTCTGAGCCACGATCGAACAAAGGTAAAAAAATCACCGAGGCTGATACAGTCGGAGTGATGTCGGTCGGAAAGTCCAGGACAACTTCCCTTGTGATTTGTAGCATCGGCAATTTGAACCATTTGAACAATATGCAAAAGCGTCGAGTTGTGGATACAAAATGCCTGCAGCCCACACAAGTCATTCTCGTTTTCCGATGTGGGCTGTGCGAGATAATCCTCTAAATCTCACGGGGCGCTGAAGTTCAGATTTTGGCTGGATAATCAGCCAAAGGAAAAGGTTTTGAGATGAACGCCCTGGTAGTTACAGAGATGGTGCCCCGATTCTGTAATGTGGGGTCTCGGAGATCCATAATCTGACGTGGAAGGTCATATGGAGTACTTGCAAGGATGTGATCAAGAGCCTAGGTGAACGAAATAATATAAGGACATCCAGAAGTTAGAATTTAGAAGAGTAAATAAAAAAGAGATAGGGAGTTAGTAGAAAGGTTTCCTCGATGGGATGCCTACACTATTCATATTAAATGGGAAAGTCACAATATCACCAAGTTGGGGGCGTAGTAAACAGAAAATCGCGCTTGCTGGACGTCGATCGGGGATAATCGAGCAAATTAAGCTCAATTTAAGTGATTGCGACATAATCTAGAACATGCAAAGGTGACGTGGAAGATGACCCCCAACCAACTAACACATCTACAAGCCAATCAGGTTTTAGTTGGGCTCGCATCGATAGAGAGAGGCTCTTTGTGGGAATCAGCCAGGATTCAGCCTCATGAGAATTCCCGAAGTAACGAAGCCACCGGTTAGATCGGATATCCATTCGTCCAGAATCGCGAGTCATAGATGCAGGTTGCGGCACACAGCGCTTCCATGCATGACTAGCAAGCTACGTGGCCTTGGAAAGGCAGAATCATATTACCTCATAACGGGCAATGTTTTGGGGGGCTATAGCCACTATCTACAGTATGGTTGGCTTGAGGAAACAAAGGATTTGGCTAAGTGCTGCCTCTCATATGCGAGCGTCAGCCGCCGTGTTCAGCCCCAAAGGAGCCCCAAAAGGAGCTGTGCGGGTTAGGCTTAGAGGTGAAAGAGTGGTGGGGGTTCCTATGTTGGTGCAGTTACGACTGACCGACGACTTGGTTCGTATTTACTTGACTAGGTGGCACCACCAAGAAGACATGCACAATGGGGGCCCCTGTTGTTCGACAGGGTAAAGTTCAAGCTACACAATAACGTGTACGCAGTGATGAAGGCGAACTGAGCCAGTCAAGATCTCATAATATCCGCTGCCACTTCGACGCTAGTGCAAGCTACCGTTATCAAAGGCATGTTCCTGTAAAGACGACCGAGGCTAGCAGCTGGGAGACATTCTCAGCCTATCGATGTAAGTCAAGGTTACCAACATCCGGGATGGTGGGAAATGTGATCAAGTTTAGGTGGGGGCCGTTTGGTCTGCAAATCCAATGTCTTGAAAATGTGCTGTGGCGTGCATAAGTGCGTTAGGGCAGCGATCAATGGAGGTTGTCTATTGGGTGGGTGAACGCCGCAGCGGTTACAATCTTGGAAGTATTTTTATCGTGCTGATCGAAAGATTATGATTGGTTCGTTGGCCATGGAATTTACTATCATTAGACATATTAAATAGTAGTTAATTTGATACTTTTCCCTTGTTAAGACTGAAGAGATGCGGGGGAATTGATGTTAGTTCCCCCTGAGATGGTGCCTATATCAGGCACTCAAGCCATCTGGATTCCTCAACTCCCAGCTCTTCACCAAAAAAGGGGATTTCCCCTATATCGGATCTCAAATCCCCAATTAATCACATCATGGGCGTTATGCGTCTCCCCCGCCCAATGGGCATATATGTCCCCAATTCACCAAGAACCCTCACCAACGACATGATCTCTCCACCACTATCTCCGGAATTCAGCTTCGATTCCGAGACCGTCACACCCTCCCTACTCCCAGCCCTGGAATACATCTCCTCCAAACTCCAACAAAGAATGATGCACGTCACCCTCCTCATCGGCCGCGGAAAGCCCTACCCGACCGGTCAACCTTCCGACCTAATGATCATCCCCATTCACCCAATTGAGCCACAAGCATGGCGAGTACTTGAACGCGCCATCGCCAAAGGCTCAAGAAAGTTCTCCCTCGGCCCCAGCTGGACAGACGCTATCAGCCGCAGTCAGTATGAACGCCAGGCAAACGATCACCTCGTCAAGCAATCCATCCTCCAGAACGAAGTCATCTTCAGCCAGGAAGGCCTAACTCTCCTGAACATGGACCGCATCTACACCTTCAAGCGCCGCATGTGTATTCTATCTACCCGCCCTTTTTCTCGCAGCGACGAACAGTCGATGTCATCCTGCGTTCGACTACTCCACCGCATCGTCGCAGATTTCTCCGGTCGCCCCTTTAGCAAAGCTTTCTTCCACCGTGTCTATGAGCAGCTCGATGTCCCAGACGAGCAGCTCACTGCAGTCGCACTTGCGTACAAGAATGTCCACAGCCAGGATGCTATCATCCTTCCCGTTCAGGCGAAAGCTCCAGCCCCGACTCCTGCTCCTGCTCCTGCCCCAGTTCTAGTGTCAGCTCCTGCTCCAGCTCCAACTCCAGTTCCAGTTCCGGCCAAAGTCGAGGCCATTGTTCCAGCAAAAACTCCAGCAATGGTCCAGACTAAGATTCCAGAAATGGTCCAGACTAAGACAATGGCACAGACTAAGATTCCAGTGATGATCCAGCCCAAACTCCAGCCCAAAATTCAGGAAAAAATCCAAGTAAAAGTCTTGCCCAAAGCTGCTGAGCGAATCATTTTGAAGCCTAAGGCTGATCCAATCCCTATCCGGGTGAAGGCGGAACGCCCTCGCGAGGTGAAGAGATCACCCATCCAGACTGTGCGCGGTCGGAGACAGCCTCCACCGTCGAAGATGCGAGGAAACAATAAGCGTGGACCCAAGACGCCTCTTTCTGCGTCGGACGTTACTCCCATCACGCGGAATGAGTGGAATATTCTTGTCAGCCAGGATATCCGTGTACAGCCTAAGGTTACGAAGTGGATTCCGTCGCCGACTGTACTGGCTGCTGCTTGAACTTGATTTTTAGTTCGGTTGATGCCAAAAAAAAAATTCGCTGTTAAATCCATAACAAACCCCCAGACCTTGTCGTAAAGGCTTGGTCTCGGTCACGGCTCACATGCCATCTCCCAGTCTTACTGGGGGTTGATTGAGCTGCACCATGAAGGCATATCCGAGAGCTATATCTGGCATGTGTTGCTGGATCATCTCCATGTCTTCTCCGTATCTGATTCCACCAATGCTGGACCTTTGTAGGCCATCTTGGTGAAGGACAGATTGACCAGTCCTGACATACCGGGTGCAAAAGCACCCCGGTATCGGGATTGGCGCCAAAAAAAATATCTCATCTTGGCAGTCTAATGATGGTATGATAATGATTTCAAAAGCTTTTCGCGGCAGAGCTTGGCAGGAAAATTTTTTTCAAATGTTGTGAAATTCAATTCACATACATATTCCGTATATAGTTCACTTCTTCGAAGTTATCCATACAAAATTTTAATTAACCAATCAAACAATATCCAACTATCCAGTTAGAACTACAGCTAATATAAACCAACAATCAGATATCCGCAGCCTTATATAAAACTCAGTTCACATGAACCGGTAGTTTGCCGAACTACCATAACACAGACCCGCCTAAGCTCGGCGACCGGCGAACTGAAACAGCTAACCCATCCAATCACAGGTACAGGAAGGGATTTATAGTGGGTGTGTCGAACATCAAAAATTAAAGTATTCAAGCCATTAGCATATGGGAATAGAAGCTGTGAATAATGAAGCCAAGCTTCCAGGTTTCCTATCAGCATCGGAACTCTCCGCTGCTCCGCTGTCCATAGTCCATGGCACACATAACACCGTGAGCTCTAGAAAGTCCAGGAGATTTGGACGTTCATCTCATCTTGAACACTCTAAGATTCGGGCAGCATTCTGATACAGAATCCTACGGCGATGTATACAAATGGAGGGAGATGCCTATAAGCACGGATACAATACATGCAGTAGTCTTGGCATAATTGGGCTTGGCGGGGTTATCTAAAGTTTTAGCTGCAAGCGTATAGAAAAAGCCCCTCTTCTATGTTTTGAAGAGTTTTTAAATCTTTTTAAAGATCATCTCTTACATCTAGATATTCTTACAGAAATTTATTCTGGCGAAATCTATCATGTCGGCATTCAATGAGCCTGCAGATACAGACTCACGTCTAGATAGCGACCGGAAATGGAGTCTGCAACCTCTTCTTCGCAGCGCTGAGCGCTCGCATAGCAAAATGCCCGGTATTAGGAAGATTCCCCTTCGCGCTATTGGAATTATTGCCTTTATTGCGTTGTTGAATATTATAGTTTGGGTGGCGGCGGCTATTGTGTTGGTATGTCTTGATAGCTTGTGTTACATTGGATTGATTCGCTAATATTTCTATAGAGCTATAATCCGTAAGTCTTCATTGTTGGATATCTGATAGCCTAAAGCTCATTTTATATACTAATTGCATGGCAGTTCGCTGGTTTCTACAGCTGCTCTTGCCTATTCTCTTGGATTGAGACATGCATTCGATGCAGATCACATTTCTGTATGTTGAATTCAGCCAGGAAACAGAACACATGATTAATCCGTCTATAGGCTATCGATCTAATGACTAGAAGACTTTTGGCAACGGGACAAAAGCCCGTTACTGTGGGAACTTTCTTCTCGCTTGGTCACTCAACGTGAGCACAATCACCTCATTCTATATCGAATCAAATCTGACTCAGCCCAGCATTGTGATCATCACATCTATTGTCGTCGCGGCTACAGCCGCAGCAGTCTCTGACCGCTTCGACAACTTCAGCACAGTCGGTGGAATCATTGGTACATCCGTCAGCGCTGCCTTCCTGATCCTGCTTGGTCTTATGAATGCGTACATCTTGTATAAGCTTGTGAAGCAGATGCAAAAGGTCTTCAGTCTCCCTGAAGGCTGCGAAGATGAAGCTTGGAAGGTCGAGGGTGGAGGAGTCCTTTTCTCGATCTTGAAGAAAATGTTCAAATTGATTGACCGGTATGTTCTCCGGTCAAGTTATTAATGTTCTGCATGTCTAACAAAGGTGTCTATTTGTGTCTAGTCCATGGAAGATGTATCCCCTTGGAGTTCTGTTCGGTCTTGGCTTTGACACTTCCTCCGAAATCGCTCTACTTGGAATCTCATCCATCGAAGCAGCAAAGGGAACATCCTTTTGGGTGATTCTCATTTTCCCAGCTCTATTCACGGGTTAGTAATCTCATAATCGAACCCATTACTTCACCGAATACTTTCGACTAACACCTCCCAGCTGGTATGTGTCTCCTTGACACAATCGATGGAGCCCTGATGTTCTCTCTCTACATCCAGCCCGCGGCCAATTTCCTCCCGCCAAAGCCAAACACCATCTCAGACACCTCATCAGCAGCCAGCGATCCAGATCTGCTCCCGCAATCGCAAGGCAACCACCGCGACCCAATCGCATTCCTGTACTACTCAATTGTGCTAACCACGCTAACCGTCATTGTGGCGATTATCATTGGCGTGATCCAGCTACTCAGTCTCATCCTGAACGTCACACATGCCACAGGCAAATTCTGGGACGGCGTTGAAGTCGCTGGTGAATACTACGACGCTATTGGCGGTGGTATTTGCGGTTGCTTTATTATCTTTGGTGGCCTGAGCGTTGTAGTCTATAAGCCATGGCGCAGGTGGATGGATCAGCGGTATGGGAAGAATGTCGTTAATGATGTGGAGAGATATAGAGATGACGATGATTCTCCTGCTGATACCCCTGGCGGTGGTATCATCGTGACTGAGACCACTAGTCGTACTCAGCAGGACGGTACAATTACTGAGGTTGTTGGGAAGGGGGGCTCGTCTCACATTGCTATTAAGGAGACCCGTGAGCCGAGACTTGAGGACCACATCGTGTAAGTGTTGCTACACCCTAGCTAGCTAGTATAAACTGGTTTATATAGACTGGTTGCTGTTCTTGAAATGCAAGAGTTCTTAATATACATACATCTTCTATCACATAGGCTCTACAGGTTGTATTTACCCAAGTTAACATCTCCCCGGGGAGGGAAATTACTGCCTGAAGGTTAAGGTGTATGGGAGTTTACCCCAGTGCCTTCCCAATTAGGAAGGGACTCAACTAGTCTCCGACTCCCAGGTCCCTAAGCCATTGGCAGGTTATATATACCCCCGTCCAGAAATTTTCTTTCTTCTTTTTTCTTCCTCCTTCACATCTCTTCTTCTCTCTGGGCTTCCACCTCCACCTTGGTCACCATCCACCATGACCCAATCTACTATGGACCTTCCACCATGGATCCATCCACCTCGGACCCATCTACCATGGACCTTCAATCTTTGCCATCCATCGAGTCCCTCCATCAAGGTTCGGGTATGGTCACCCTTCATTGTGATCAATGTCCATCGTGTCCACATCCATCATGGACCTCCCACCTTGATCTCATCTACTATGGACCTATCACAAATGTCTTGCCTATGCATCAGGACCTTCCACGACAGACCTTCCACCAAGGACCTTTCATCATGGTCACCTTTCACTATGACCAATGTCCATGGCCACCTCCACCTTGGTCGTCCACCTTGTCCTCCACCATGGTCACCTTCCACTATGACCACTGTCCATGACCACATCCATCTTGGTCATCCACCATGTCCTCGTATCATGGCCTTGCATCACCACCTTCCACCTTAATGGCAGCTTTGAACTATGAAAACTTGTAGTATTCATCTATCCACCCTATACGATGAGCCTTGCTAACTTGTTTCTAGGAACATTCCTACCCACCTCCATACACCTCTTTCCTCCCCTGCCCTTCCCCTGTCTCACTTCATCATGGCCACCCGGGGGCTGTCCTGGTTGACAGTCTTGCAGTGGAAGCACTACGGCCGGCAGTCTAAATGCTACACACTGCAATTCTCCATCGACTGGGCTCGGACTCGCAATGCGACTCATCAGCAGTCTTATGATGGAAGCACCCCAGCCGGTAGTTTAAATGCTACCATTGACAATCTTGCAGTGAGAGCATACTCCGGCTGGTAAGTGCTACCCATCATAAGTTGTCACCAGGCGTGGCTTCGCAAAGCGACTCGGACAAAAGAACACGATTCTATTATGGTCAATCACCTCTTTTTGCCCTTCATGTTCCCCCTCCATTCCATCACCACTCCACTTCGCCATGTTCTCAATCGGCCCTCACGTCAGTCCTCGCACTCAACCATGAAGTCAAATGGTTTCATCAATCTTCTTGGTCGGCCTGCGTCTTACCGGTGTCTACCTCATATCAAAAGCCAGCAACAATCAATGCGTCGTCTGCTTCTTCCACTTTCAACGCCACTGGCGATCAACACATCGACACAATGTCGATCGCAACACCACTCCAAACAACAATTCATATTGTGCAACAGGGTTGAACGTGGGGGCTGCTTCCTTTACATTCGAGTCTTCTAGTCATGGCTCCAAGCTCATGATTGTGTTCGTCTTAAAAAAAATCTTTGCATGTCTCATACATCCATAGCATTATCGCAGGACACTTCATAGGTAGCAAATCAACAAGGAACTCCCATGGTCATCTTTCAATTTCATCTTAATAACGACTTGGTCTTGGTAATTGATCAGTGCCAGCTTTTAGTTATGTTCAATGTAAGCTATGATGTATCTATTTGTACTCCCGTACCGTGTTTGAACTTTCCTTTTAACTTTTATACTCCATTGCTGCCTTAGGCACAACAATCCTGACGTCAACCCCATGTATCCCGAGATGCAATCCCAAATTAACGTCCCAGTACAACTTCAGCCAAATTCAAAGTAAGATGAGATGAACATGCCTCTACAGGATTGACTGTTCGAGCCGTTTCTCTCGCTAGTTCGCCTTGAAACCAATGTTTGCCTCAAAAGTATCAACGCCAGCAAAAGAATGAGCACGCTCCTCGAACAGACATTTTCTCACGTATATGATGATTACATGTTATAGTTCTAGCAAATAACCATTTTACTGGATCTACCAACGGCCATGATCGCAGATCCAAGCTCGTCTTCAAAAGACAAGGCAGAACATGTCTCCATCTTCTCATCCCACCCACCCATTTTCATTCTACCAACGCATCTCTCCCTGGAGGAGCTGGACGAGGTTGAAGGCCGCTTGATAGATCACGGTGGGAAACTAACCTACGATATTGCCGAAGCCGGCCTCATTCTGGGCAAAGTCGGGCGTGCAAAGCGTGCAGCGCTGGAACTGCGCACCCGCGGTACATGGACAGAGGAGCTTATACCCAGCTCAGCTTCGAAATCAATTGGTCGTGGCGTGGAGCCTCCTTCCAAGCGCAGGCGCACAAATCAGTATGACGGGACCAAGGATGTCCCAGTTGAGATTATCGATCTCAGTACCGAATCTGAGAGCGAGGATGGAGCTATGAATCGACATGACTCCCGTTCAAAACACCTTTCAGAGCAAAAGGTAGAGACAATTCAAAATTCAGTCACGGTCCTGAAGCTAGACTGGCTAGATACCTCTATCACATCAGGCAAATGTGTGTCCCAAGACCCATTCGTTGTCTACCGCGGGCGAAAAGTCCCTCCTCCTCCCCCTAAAACAGGAGCAGAAAACAAGCAAAGCCTACTCGAACAAACATCAAGTCAAATCATCGAGCGTGCAAAGCAAGATGCCGGTTTACCAACACCCCGAACTCCTCCAGACCATATCCACGCACGCCGCTCAAAAGAACCACCCGACAGATCCTCTCAACGCCCCCGACCAACCCTCTATCGACAAACGACCTCTGAACATGAAAAAGAAGAAACCGACACACCCCCACAACCAGACTGGGTCCGCGACCAGGTCATATTCGCGTGTCTACGCTCCGCACCGCTCCACCCTCCAAACGAAGACTTCATCGCCCAACTCGTGAAAATCAGACGAATCCGCGAACTCACCCTCGACGAGATCGGCGTGCGCGCGTACAGCACCTCCATCGCATCGGTAGCAGCATACCCGCATCCCATCCAGCGACCAAGCGAGATCCTGGCTTTACCAGGGTGCAACGCGAAAATTGCAGACTTGTTCGCCCAGTTCCAGCAACACGGTGGCTGCGGACATACCGATGACGACGGGAATGTCGCTGCTGCCGATGCGCTGGAGACAGATCCCATGCTCCGTGTTCTAAACGATTTCTATGGGATTTGGGGTGTTGGAGCGAAGACGGCGCGCGAGTTCTACCTGCGTGGCTGGCGCGAGCTCGATGATATTGTTGAGTATGGGTGGGATAGTCTCTCGCGGGTGCAGCAGATCGGAGTGAAATTCTACGAGGAGTTTCAGGAGGGTGTTCCCCGTGCCGAGAGCGAGGGTATTGCGAATGTGATTCGGGATCATGCTCGTCGGGTTCGGTCCCAAGATGGAAAGGGAGATGGGATTGAGTGTGTGATTGTTGGCGGATATCGTCGTGGGAAGGAACTCAGTGGTGATGTTGATATTGTCTTGAGTCATCGTGATGATGCGGTGACTCGCAATCTGGTTCTTGATGTTGTTGCGAGTCTTGAGGCTGAACGGTATGTCACCCATACGCTCTCTTTGCATTTGACTTCTTCGCTGCGCGAGCAGCAGACGTTACCTTTTCATGGTGATGATACGAGGAAGTTTGATACGCTTGATAAGGCGCTGGTTGTCTGGCAAGATCCACACTTCGATGCTGCGACTGTTGGGGATAATGGCCGGGGGAAGAATCCGAATATACATCGTCGGGTCGATATCATTATATCGCCTTGGCGTACGGTCGGTTGTGCGATACTGGGCTGGTCCGGGGATACGACTTTTCAGCGGGATTTAAGGCGGTATGCGAAGAAAGCTCGTTCATTGAAATTTGATTCGAGTGGTGTGCGAGATCGGAATACTGGACGCCAGGTTGACTTGGAACATGGTGGAGATACCTGGGAGGAGAGGGAGAGACATGTGATGGAAGGACTGGGCATAGGCTGGAGACCGCCAGAAGAACGGTGCTCGAGATAGAAAGTGATCAGGGTCTCGAGGAAAAGAGATGATTTACTCCGGGTATACGGAGTGTCCAAAAGATCATCGGATGTAATAACATACCAGTTGACATATATTAGCGATGTGTACTTTTAGATATGTATCAAATACCACCTCAGATACCATCTCAAAAGGTTTGATGAAAAATGAAGTGTGCTACGCTCCTCGGAAATATCCTAGCTACTTAGACAGATCTCCGATCCAACAAGTGAAAACACTGATGCATGAAGCTCCAAGTCACCCTGGTCAACGAGTAGATACACTAGCTGCCACATCTACACATACATCAATTATAGTCATGAAATAAATTGGAAACGGAATGTCACTGAATCATGTCATGTTCAAGTTTCGCAAGACTCAGCTAAAGCCACATCAAGTAAACAGGAAAAAAAAGTAATATGTCACAGCCTCCCCACCAATCGCATGGCTATGAGGACGAACCAGAGAAAAGGAAAAGAGCATAAGGTACACAAAGATACAAGTCTACCAACCTCTGGCATGAATGCATAAGAGCGAAGAAAAAAAGAAAGAGCACAACGAACCGCCATTGCAAATGCACAATGCGTAACCAGCCCACAGCGAATCAATCATCACACCATGGGCCTAGAGCTGGCCATCTCACCATAACGCCCACGACTCTGGGTAGTATCGTAAGCATTGAGAACACGCATCTGGCCGCCATCGTCGGCCTGGGAGAAGGCGTAGCCGCGCTGCTTGCGCATGCGCTGGACCTGGCGGACCTTCCGGATGGCTTTTTGGAACTGCTCCATGCGTGGACGGTAGTCCTGGACATTGTATTTCTGGATTTCCTGGACGTGGTGGTACTGTTGTGGGTAATACATGCGCTTGGCGTACTTCCAGGCAAAATCACGTAGGAGACATATACAGGGCAGGACGAGGGCCATCAGATAGAAGATGGGGGACTTGAATAGTATGGGAATGGTGCCGTAGTATTCTGTCGAGAAGCCCAAGGCTGGAGCGGCGTAACCGTATGCTGGCAGGAAGATCAGCCACAGCGCCATTGATCCCGGGATGGCAATAAAAGTCCATTTGGTCCAGATGTTGGTGATCAGAGCGGCTTTGCCGAGGACGGTCGCTAGCACGGCGGTGTACAAAGATTCACCCCAGACCCAGTGGCCAGCGACCTTGCCGTCTGCCATGGGAAGATCCCAGTAGTAGAGCAACTCAGACACAACGTAGAGGATGAGAGAGTGGAAGAATCCATTCAGAATCCAGGCCCAAAAGCTGTGCTTCTTGAAGAAGACACCTTTCTGGCCCAGCTGGTACAGCTGTGGGTAGCGGTCCAGCAATCGGGCGGAAATGAACTGGTCAAAGATTCCCATCGCGAATGGAGGTAAAACGGTGAAGAGCACGTTGTAGAAGGAAAGCGTCCACGATTCGTAGATAACCTGTCCAGAAAATGCGTTTTGGAAAGAGTACTGTAACGTGTCAGATACCACTTCAAATAATCCATCGAGGTCAAACTTACCCAGAATTGAGTCATGTACAGCGTAATATTCTTATAGTATGAGTATAGGATGACTCGACTGATGCGAGAATAGCTCCACGCTCCGTGAACCAAAAGCAACTTTCGAAGGAACCTGAACTGGCCAATTGCCACATCAGCAGATCGCGCGGCTTGGAGACCTTCGACACCACTAATGCCAACTCCGACATGAGCGGCTTGAATCATGGACACGTCATTGGCACCGTCGCCGATGGCCAAGAGGAGAGCCTTCTTATGGCGCTTGACAAGCTTGACAACCAAAGCTTTTTGAAGGGGAGAGACGCGGCTAAAGAACATATTAGAACAAAATGAAATCCTGCAAAATCCAATGCTACTTACCAGCAGACAACGGCTTTGCAAATGACAGCCAAATCTAAGAACAGCTTCTCCATATCTTTCTCCAAAGCAAAAGTCAACGACCGTCCGTCAATAACCAAAGCCAGAGGTTCCGTGTCCCCAGAGACAATTTGACTTTGAACGGCGTCCATTTTCTTTTGCAAACTGTCACGGGTGGCTTCTGACGACTCCTCATTGATGATGAGAAGTGTCATGTCTTCCGAGATGAGTTTGCAGGACATGCCGATGTTGATTGCAGTCTCCTGTCGGTCACCAGTCAAGACCCAAATCTTGATGCCTGCAGTCTGGAGGGTGTGAATAGTATCCGGAACACCATCCTGCAAACGATCCTCAATGGCCGTGGCGCCGAGAAGATAGAAATCCTTCTCAATCAGCTCGGCCGCTTTGTCCAGTTCATCCGCACGAGTGCCGTCAACAGTGGTAGAAGCCTTGTCATAGATCTGGTACCATCGCTGGAATTCATTTTCCGGGACTTCCCGCATAGCCAGACACAGCGTCCGTAGACCATCCGATGCATACTCCTCCAGGTGTTGGAGAGTTGCTTCTACGGTGGGATTCTCGGGATGCAACCGCTCAAGAATGACCGTATCAGCACCCTTACAGTAGACGCGGACCTTTCCATCAGGACACCGGAAGATTGTGGACATTCGTTTTCTAGTAGAGTTGAACTCGCACACTGCTAGCAGTTCGTATTCAAACTCCTGGCCATCCCTCTCAAAGATCACCGACCTAGGTCTTCGGTTGGTGAATCGGAAACCCAGAGAAGCGGCTCCGTCTACCAAGGCTCCCTCGTCCGGCGATGCTGCTTGGTACTTGATCATATTTGGGTTATCGGCATTTCGCTCAGGAATAACAGTGTGACAGGTGGCAAGGAGAGTGAGAAATTCGCGAATAGCGTTCTGGCTTGGGTGTGATTGAAGATTCGATCTGAGTTTGTTGAAGTCATGAATACCAAATTCACCGCTATCCTCCATGGCAGCACGTCGATCTTCAGGAACGTCATCGCCATATTGGATACCGGCAATGCTGACTTGCTTAAACTCCATCATGTTGCAGGTAAGGGTACCTGTTTTGTCGGAGAAGATATACTCAATTTGACCAAGCTCCTCGACAAGGGAGGATGTGCGGCAGATGGCCGGGGTGTCGGTCTTATCGTAGTAAATGTCGAGGTCAGAGTTGATGAGGAAGGCCTGGAAGTATTTGACAATTTCAATGGTGACGAAGAGGGAGATCGGAACCAAATTCGAATAGAGCACCCAGTACGTGAAAATGTCCCAAAAGAACTGCTTCACTACTTCGACCGACCCATAGTCGAGGTATGCAAGCTGTGAAGATTTGGTTTTCCGAATAACAAGATCACCGACAGAACTGATGACGCTCAAAACGACGAGAATGCTGACAAGCATCAAAATCTGCATGTTGACCGTTCGTTCCACAGCTGTTCGCTTGATCGGGGTTGCTGTCGCATTTCGCATCAGCTTTGTCTCGTGACCACTAAAAACAACAATGCCATGGATCCAGGGAGTGTTCCGCAGTGTTGCACCACGAAGTAGAAGTTGATCCGGAGCCAAGGGTAGCTCTTTCTCGCCACCTCCAGCATTCATAGTCAAGGTGGCTTCGTAGGTATACAGGCTGCTATTTGGTTGTTCTGACCGAACGCGTCCACTCAGACGGCTCAGATCACTGGGGCTGACTAGATGTGCAGTCTCCGGAATGGCTTGCTTGATTTTGAGATTGGTTTCGCCGTCCAAGTTGGCCGTCTCGATGTAGCATAGACCCTCAGGCTCAGATGACGCCAGTAGTACCAAGTCGGCTGGAAAAGGCTCCTCGGACTCGACCCGAACTATATCCCCGACCACAACGTCCACCCATTTTGCATCGTGGAACGAAGATCCCTTAAGAATTTGGGTTTTTGAGTAATTCAGTCCTTTGTCCGACATTCTCCGTTTGTAGTCCTCTACCAATTCTTTGATCGCTGACACTGCCAAAACTATAGCCAGCGGAACAATAGTTGTGAACTTATTCGTCGGCGATACATTTGGAATTTGTTGCAGGACGGCGGTAAACAAGAAGAACAGGTTGGCGTATTTAGAGAATTGCTCGAAGAGGAATTTGGGGACGAACGTGAAGACGTTGTACTTGGAGGTCGATACGAAGTTGCTGACGAACCTATGGGTGGAATTGGCGGGCGGGTTGTTGAGCTGAATCATGCGCGGACCCAGTGTCGAAGGATCAACCTTGCGTTTGAAGATATTAAGGTCAGACACCTGGAACTTTTTGCGTTCCTTTCGGGGTAGCACCGGAGAGGAAGCGCTATCGACTGTGGCCCTTCTTGCGCTTGATTCAGTCAACGGGAGATCCATTTCCGAATATTGAGAGGACCCCATGCCAAACATGTATTTCGCCTTGCCCATCAACCCACCCCCGAGTCCAAGGACGCTATTACGCTCATTTGCCTTGCGGACATGGTGCGAACTGGCAATTCGGTCTTCGTCTGCGTCAAGATCATAATAACCTGAATGCCCGTCGTCGAAGTCATCCAAGGAATACCGTCGATAATTGTCCAGTCCAGAGGTTTGGGAGTAGGATCGATCTCGCATGCCGGTGGCGTAGGGGTCATTTGGATTGAGGATGGGGTTGACAGGCGGATGCGCCGGTCCTGAGGCAGCATTGAGCTGTGTTGCGCCCTGCGGCGCGCGAGATCCTACAAAGTTATCGTAGGAGACGGAAGGGCGCGGTTGTGTTTCGGTGTACGGTTGTTCGGAGTCGTCAATGTTGTAGCGTTCTAATAGATGTTCGTCATTCACAGGGGGGCCTTGACCACTGTTATACATAGGTCCGGTATCCAGCAGCAGGTCGTCATCGCGGCCAGCGGGTGGATGCGACCCAGGAGGCCTACCGCTGGCCATGATGCCGCGGGGAAGCTGACAGCCTCACTGTTGTACTGCAATAGTAATGCCCCTGAGGCATTGATTGTAAGGCCAGGTCGACAGAAAGCGTTCTGCTATATCTGTCAGAAGCAAGGACGATCAAAAACGAGGTATGGCGAATAAGTGACAGATTTGACAGGGCTTGGACTGGAAAATGTGGGAGTTTAGTGAGAATGAGGTCCAAGGGTGGCTTAGCGGGCGAAGGCAGCAATTAAGCTATGTTAATTTGATGCGCGCGTAGGCGGTAAAGCGCTTCACAACAATCAAAGAGATACAGGATTCGGAAATATACTCTAATTACTACATATGTATTAGTAGATTGATTGTATACTATGTTACAATCTCTTTACTAATTCTATATTTTCTGTACAATTAAAACGCACTTCAATATTTATTGGCCGCCTCCGGTCTACGAATTGAGCTAAGAATAGGGGGCTCTTGGCAGCCGGAAATATATTAACCGCTTTGTCAGTAACGATATGTACTCCGCACAATAATGTACAAAGTAGTACTATGTACATAGGAATCGACGTTAGTCCCACTTTAGAAACAAAGATACACAATAATAGTCGACCACTCATGTAGCTTCTGTCCTTGACGACGTAGGTACATATATATGTATACTTGGGACGTTATATATAAGTACACTCCGATAATGTTTTTGGATGTTCTCTTTAGACTTCGTTTTAGATGTTCAAGGCGGTAAAAAGCATAAACTGTGGACAATGTATAACTTGTAGTATATATCTTCACCAGAGAATTGAAAAAAAAGTTAAAAAAATTAGGCACGAAGAGTAGTCAAGTTCATTCATTTACTGGCACCCATATGTCGCCCATCATGTGGCAATCAAGTATCATTGATGTAAACGCCATGCGAAACTCCAGCCCCCCGATCATCAAGTAATGGTAGTACATGCTGTTCATTCGATTTGGACCATCCGGTCGTTTTCTGCCCGAGACTCGTCGGCCATGCCAATCTTCGCCCGCTTAGCCAAGTCGGCCTGGAGGACCTTCTCAACAGCAGCATTGATCACTTTGACTTTTTCCCATGCCACATTTGTCTTAGTCACAATCACCATGGCATCTGCTGGTGCACCTGCGTACTTCGAGAGGTAACAGACATCGCCTGCACTGTTAATGCCGATGACAATATCTCCCTCGGCAGCCTGCTCCTCCTTGAGGGTAGCGTCAACAATGACATGCTTGCTATCATTGAAGGTGTGGAATGTGACTGATAGAGGTTTGTGTGTAATGTTAAGTGCGACAGGCACACGCTGTTCAACACCGTAGACTATGACACGTCCGTCTCTCACCACAGCATCCGGCCGGCGGAAGTGTTGCAGTCCAGTCATGATCGCAATGCAAGCGGCATCAGTGAGGTTTCCATCGTAGTCGATAATGTGAACATCAGCTCGAATCGCCCAGCAGCTCACACCCTTCAGAATGCACAAAGATTCAGTATCGAGGGCGTTAGAATGGCGGATGATACGGTCGAGGATGTTGGTGGCGTATGCCTCGATGTCGTTGGATCTGCAGAACCGATTGTGAGAACAAATCAATGTCTAATGAAACGCTAGATGGTAAATACCGTCCGTTTTCCCAGGCTGGTGAGCCCATTGCACTCAACTCCAGGTTGATGTTGAAGAGACCATCGAAGGGTCGGTCTTCACGTGGTTTAGTAACCTCAGCGGAGATGCGAACAATAATGCTAGAGAGCCAGTCAGTGATTGTCATTTGTGATAGTCAAATAGACAAAGAAAAGATATGGAGCTCACTTCGTTTTCCCAAGCTGTAGCTTCACATGTCCATATTCTTCACCAAAGGAGATATCCAGAGGACGATATTCGTCAGGCTTGCGACCATCAAGACGCACATCCTCACGGAGCGCCTCGAGAATAAAGTCGCGCTCTGCGATTGAGAGTTGCGCTTCTTTCGACATCGTTGAGCTAGGTCTAACAGCCCCGGCGCGGGGATCAGAGTTGCTTTCTTTTTTGGGCCATTTTGCCCGTGCAGGCCGCATTGTGGTTATCCGGATTATTATTAGTCCGAGAATTGTACCAATGATAGGGATTTATCTTAGGCGGTGAGAAGAGCATGGGGAGAATATTAGTGCCTGAGGCGACTACAGGCATCGAAAGCTGGAAGCCGCAACGTCTTGGGACTTCCAACTTTCACTTAGCAACCACACCACAGAATGACTACAGGTATGCTACTATATACTGAATTTGGGGATTTAAATAGACACGGCTAACATTTTTTTTAGCCCACAGACCTACTTTTGACCCTGTACGACACTTTTCTCAGCACGACTCTTCATAGACACTGACTGACTTCAACAGGCGCAAGGCAAAGAAGCCCTCCGTGGCCCAGCCTACCACCAGCGGCTCCTTCCTGCGCATAAACACCTGAAAGTTCGGTATGTAGAACGATATTTGACCAGACTGCGCCGATCACTGACGTTATTCTAGCCAACCTGGTCAAGGCGGCGCCGCCGACGCTGAGCCATCGCCCCGTGACCTTCGCGCAGAGCTTCTCAAGGCTGAGGCTGCACACTTTGCCAAGAAGAATGGCGTTCCGGTCGATCAGCCAACTATTGCTGAATCCACAGCCCCCAAGCGACTACTTGAAGCTGCGCCCCAAGATGGAAGCGATGGCGACATTCAGGAAGAAGATCCAGAGGCCAAACGCCGGCGCATACTGGAGGAGACACGCGACATAGATGCCGATTCAGACGCGTCAGAAGAAGACAGCAGTGATGAGGATAGGTGGGTTGAGCCTAGGATCTCGTGCTTGGAATGAATAAACTGACTACCAACAGCGACGAGGAAGATGAAGCAGCCGAGTTAATGCGGGAACTTGAGAAAATCAAAAAGGAGAGATTGGAACAAAAAGAAAAAGAGGTATTTCGTTTTCTCACGCCCTGGGTTCGATAATGGTGGCTAATACATAACAGGAGCGTGAACGGGCAGCTTTGGAAGAAGAGCAGCGAGAGGTTGATATCGCGCGTGGCAATCCTCTGCTCAATTCCCAGGATTTCAGTATGAAACGGCGCTGGGACGACGATGTTGTATTCAAGAACCAGGCTCGAGGAACAGAGAACAGAGACGGCAAGGAATTTGTTAACGTATGCTTACTTTCCCTTCGCTTGTTTCTTATGACGTTGAACTAATTTCTTCACAGGATCTTCTTCGTTCTGACTTCCACAAGCGCTTCATGGTATGTACCTGTGTTCACTATCATTTTCATACAATCACTGACCAGCCTTTTAGGGAAAATACGTGCGGTAGAGTCTCATGGGAGGGTTGGGTATCCGATGTCAGTTCAAGAGATATTTCAGCTTAGCGAATGGATATATATTATCTTATGTTATTTTCAACGTTGTAGTAAAAGAGCATTATAATTGTCAAGGATTTTACCCAAAGCAATGCTCTCAGTAAACTCTTCACAACATTCCATAAGTATTTCAGGGTTATTTCTTCTATAGCACTCGCAGACAATGATCTCTACCAGATGTATCACATGTTATATATGGAAAGGGCCATTTGCACATTTCACGCACTTTTACTATGTTCTATACTTTGCGACTAGGTATTCTCATCCTTCTAACTATAGAACTAATAAGGGAAGAAAATGTCTAAAAAAAACGACATCTACAAAGGCGAATAAAGACACAAAAAGGCTGCATAAGCGTCCGACTATTCTTGTAACTCTCCGTGTTTATTGTCTGGTGATATACCGAGGGCATTTCATTCAAACTTTTTTCTTTCATGGTCCCGAGGTCCTGTTATCTTTATATCATCAGAAATTGTTGCTACCTATGTAAATAGGTAATAGCCTTTAATTTTTTGTTTCTCAAAGCATATTCTTTATCTACGTCGCATGGTCATTTTTAGTAAGCAATGGACGTATGACTATTAAAAGCTTTAAGAGTTCAAACAAAATTGTTACAATCAAGGGCTTTATCAACTTATCCTTTTTGTTTGAATCTCGGTTTTCTCCATATAAAAAGGACTTCGGTTTGAGCACTATCCCCTTCCAACCATACACAACTCACAATTTTTCAAGGCTCATACATACACACATACCACCGACAACATGCTAACACGACGGCATTCTCTCTTTCGCATATCCGGGACTAATAAGTTGGTAAAGGACCCCAAAGGCAAGAACATCTCCTGGGTGACTGTGGAACTTCCTTCTAGTATGAATGCTATGAGCACCGATCAAATGCTCTTGGAGTTTGTGATTCGCGAGATCAGGAGCTACCGTGCTCTCATTTATGACGAGCCACAGCATTGGATTAGGCAAGAGTGTATCTCATTACCGGTGATCAATCATCCAGACCCGCATCCCCCGGCGCAAGCGGTCCTGATGACTCTAGCAAAGGCCGAGGATCTGGTGGAATGTCGGCTGAAGGAAGTATGTGCTGGTCGGGTTACTCTTGACCGAAAACGTCTCTTTTATATTCATGCTAAATCTATGCATGCTCAAAGGGAGAGGTAAATCTGGCACTAGTTGCATCTTTGGCCATACATAGAAACCTCGTCTGTGCTGTTCACACTTCGTACTTTTTTCGTCCTTTATATGATCTTGATATAGATAAGTCGATTATTGTATGTCCTATGTTGTTAAGGGTAGAGGCCATATATTTGTACGCGGCCTACTATTCCTACATAGTACTCGGTATTGGGCCTCTAATGCAAAAACTATGACCTACACAGTGTGATGCAGATCTTTGATTTATATAGGGGTATATATCAGCTAAATTGGTCTTTTTGAGCTTATTAAGATTACTGGGTGAGCCCAAAGTAAGATAAAGTAGATGAATAAATGAGTACTCCCTACAAGTGTGAGTGAGGTTGATTGATAGTAGTACTTGAGGTGAATGACCTAGTTTGGGGTGTAGTCTTTCGAGAAGGAACAAAGAACAAAGGCGGTGAGGAAACTAAGGAAAAAAAGGTAGCCCGGGTAATATCGGCTGCTCATCCGCATTTATCCGCATTTACCCGGACTCACTTATCGCTCTTTTTCTTATCGAATCATCACGATGGCGGATTATCCCTCTTCCGATATACCCTCTTCTCTATCATCATCAGAAGACAATAATACCAAAAAGGCTGCAACCATGGATTCGCGTCCAACTGCAAAGGAACTGCTTGGTACGTACTAGATTTGAGCTACTGTAGCTACACTCTGGGTTCTCATGCCTTTTCACTAACAATTCATTATGGTAGACCGCGTCGACTATGATATCTCCCAGCTGCTGCAGCGGTTCGAGAACATTGTCGCAATTGCTGCCAACAAGTTTGACGGAACGAGCCACGTGGATGCTGCTGTTGAAGCATTCCAGATCGATGTCGAATCGACTGCATTGGTATGTTGATATGCACCCTGGTCTTACTAAGCTACCTGTCGCGTTCCCAGAAATTGCGATTGAGCTTCCAAATTGGCACCAAAGCACCAGACTGACATTCTGCTACCTTAGATTCGCGCTGCTGAAGACCTCCTCGCCTTGTCTCGCCTCATGAAGGAGCTCTGGCTCTTCGGCCCACTCGACACCCTTGGCGAAGACGAACGCGATGTCCAGCGCCGCGAGAAACTCGAGGAGGATATCCAGGCCATACAGGCGGCCCTTGATGGAGGACTTTTGATGCCATCACTGGATGAGCCCACCGAGCCTGAGAAGTCGGACGACGCTAAACAGTCCGAGTCTAAGTCCAAGGCTCCCGAGCAGCCCAAGAAGTCTGAGAAGGCCGAAAAGTAACGGCCATGGCCCAATGATCTCCTTTGAAGCATTTTGCTTGTTGGCCCTTGAAACTGTTTCGCGATGATACCCCCTTGATTCTTTGAGTCTGGCGTTCGACCGGTGTTTATGGCGCATTCAGTTTACCTGCGATATTGAATTCATTCAAACACATTTTTATCACATTTCTGCCTCGCTCACTAAGTTAGAATAGAGCAATAACGTAATATTTCCCCCAACGCTGAATCAACTGTGACATGAATACCTTGGGAAGCTAAAGAAAAACGACCATTGTCAAGCCCACCCTGTAGCTGTATACATACGTAGTATACATACCAGATTTTCCCCTGGCGGGTGGAGCTTTCCTATTTGAGATGCCGCTGCTTTTATGAGGGTGCTCAGACTCAGGCTCACTGGGTAGATATTAGCACGAGCTTTCTATCACCCAGTATTCCGATATTTTATAAATGGAGATCACGGTGGAATAGCACGAGCTGATGTCATCTAGAATTGATCTTCCAAGGTTGACTTGGTGGTGTTCTAAGCGGGCTCGAAGACTAATACTATTTCATTAGACCGAGTCCCACAGCATAATCCGCAGCGGTAACTCAGCGGTAGAGTGTGAGATTGCAAATCTTGAAGTCCCGTGTTCGATCCACGGTCGCTGCTTTTTTTCCCCTTCTTTTTTTTTCTTGTAAAGAAACCTTGATGATCCCGACGAGCCTGGCAGGCGCGAATGTACTTCGTATATGCAACCATTTTTCATTCTCTGGCTATCATTCTAATAATGGATTAGTATTAGTTATTAGTGTGGATGTAACTCATGGATGGATAGCTTCTTCTGTATTTAATTTGCTATATGCATTCGAAAAAAAAATTCCTGTATTTAAAATCGGTGGACTTTAGCGTCCCTTCTCCAGAGCTATCCAAGGGCATTCGAACCAGCATTTACATGGATGTACATATGTATACATATGTAGTAAGCTGATCTAGATCCTCCTCTAAATGCCTAATTGGTATAGTTAGTTAACCTTGGAATGCTAGTTACCTATAATTAGTTATTATCAGCTAACTCTGCTTACTAACCTCTTAGGTAAGGCTCAAATACATAACTAGTTAGTTACACACCTGGGCATATTGAATAATCATGTGCAGTGACTACATATTCATAAATCCTAACACCCTTCCTGGCCCCACCTACTCCGTACTCCGGACCTACTTTAGGGATAGATATGTAAGATTTGCAGGCCTAGTATGCGATCAGATACAAAACTAGAAGACACGCACACGCTTAATTGTCATCCCAATCATTCTTCCGAAGCCCTTAGTTACATGGCTTCCCCTCGCTACCCGAAAGGTAAAAACCACTTCTAATCTAACATATAACTATGCTGTAGGGGGCAGCGCAGAAAATTAAAACTAGCGGGATCTGCCAGGTAGAACCTTCAAGTATTGAATTGAAATAAAACAATATGCGGTGCTAAAATTTCCTCATTCAACCATTAGATACATAGTTAGTTAGTTATTTAATATTCTAACGTATTTCACCACCGAGTGGTCCACCACAAAACACATAGTAAATGCGATAAATTACAACATCATATCTCAACAACAGTAGTCTATATAGCAATTTACTTATAGCTTTATGCTTTTGAAGTAATATATTGTCTCTTTACGGAATTTTAGGAATCTATATAACTTGTTGATTGAGGTATATATATTTTGAGCTTTTTGCAACGTAATTATCGGTAAATTTTGAAATGATAGGTACATAACTTTCCACTTTCTTTAAAATTGATATAAAATACTAATAAGTCTTATCAATGACTATCGACAAACAAAGAGCCAAAATACAAACATGGTTGTTGAGATATAAATATTGAATATGTTGTATTTACTATGTGTTCTGCGATGGACCACTCGGGTGTGTGGACCACTCGGTGGTGAAGTACGTTAAGTAATAGTTAGTTAACTCCCTTGGCTCAACCTTGGCCCTAAGAAAGGGGATAAAAAAAGGAAAGCAGCGACCGTGGATCGAACACGGGACTTCAAGATTTGCAATCTCACACTCTACCGCTGAGTTACCACTGCAGGTGATGAGATATCGCAAAGATAAAAAGCTATAATACCCTGAAGCCTTACCTCTGGAGGGAAACCACCTACCTAGGTACATCCATACATAATGTACATACAGTGACTATTCATAAATCTTAACACCCTTCCTGGCCCCACCTAGATACCGCCTTCATATGTCGTTTACACCGCCTTACAGAACTCGCAAACAAAAGCTATTTCAGTAGCTACAGCGCAGATTTCACGGTCATAGGGATGCTAGCGCACTGGGTGGAAGTTATATTGAGTCCCAGGGGTGGTATACACCATGCTAGATTTTATAGTATGAATTTCATAGAGGTTTTAGACCGGCAGCATATTATATAATCAGGGATATGGGGCCGGAGGGTGTTAAGATCTATGAATAGTCACTGTATGTACATATGGATGTACATAAGGTAGTGCGGGGCGATAAGCAACTACCTAGATCCGATAACGATTTTCCCCCTCGTCGCGATGCGAACCTTTCCCACAACCTAAACCTCGCGCCCTTGTCTTTGAATACACCATTTCTACCTCGAACCGCAAACTGAAATCACCTCGCAAACCAAAATGCCACCCCACAACCCTCACTCCCTCCCATCCCTCACTCTAATCGTGGCAACGACCCCGATCCGCAGCGCGTCGTCAACAACAAAAGACGAGATAACGCGCCTAGGCATCGGCCTAAATGGCACACTCCCATGGCCACGCATAAAAACAGACATGTCATTCTTCGCTCGCGTGACATCCCGCCCACCAAGCCCAGGCAAGACAAACGCGATAATCATGGGGCGGAAGACATATGTTTCCGTGCCAGCGTCGCTGCGGCCACTTGCAAAGCGAATTAATGTCGTGATCACGCGCGACACCTCCGGCTCTGTTTGCGAGAGCGTAAATGCGGAGTTGGAGAAGATGAAGGGAAAGATTGCGGCCAAGGCTGCCGAGGCACAGGCCACGAGTGCGGAGAAGAAGGCTTTCGACCCGCCCCAGGAAACTGTGCCGGCTCCGCCGGCGGTCCCGATGACGGATGCGCTTGTTACGCCGAGTCTTGGCGCGGCATTGGAGCAGTTGGACTCTGTGTATGGGGCGCAGGGGACGCTTGGCAAGATTTTTGTTATTGGTGGAGCGGAGATTTATAATGCTACATTGAAGATGGGTGCTGAGGAGCTACGGGGTCGGCCTGTTAGAGTTGTTATGACGAATGTTGTGCGGAAGCGGGCAGACAATGCGCCTGCTTCGTTTGAGTGTGATACGTTCTTCCCATTGGATGGGCTTCATGAAGCGAATGGGTGGCGGGCTGCTAGCCCTGAAGAGGTTTCTGAGTGGGTTGGGGAGGAGGTTGATGGACAGTGGAAGGGTGATGGAGATGTTGAGGTTCAGATGGTTGGATTTGAAAAATTGACTTAGACATGGGTATGATAGGTGTGATATGGTCCATTGGCTAGGAAAATATGTTGAACGATTCGTACTATGTGCGTGTCTGTCCAGACCAAAAGATATGTACAACAAAATTATGCACAGTGCCAATGTTAGTTGGGTAAGCCCACAGAATAAATAGACATGAAATGAGAGGATATGTGCAAGGCTATGTGAATGATTGAATCAGAGTGCCTCGACAACGCCGGAAAATGCAAATGGAAAACAGTGCAATGGTCAATGAATGTTCATGGCCTAGTCACTGTTCTCCTTCATGAATTTCACGAATGATTTCTTGTGTACAAGACCGACATATTTCCCGTCCTGAGTAACGCAGAGGTATCGAAGACCCAGCTTGGCGAAGCATTGGTAGACTAAATCGATAGGAGAATGGACATCAAGAGCGATTGGAGCCTATAATTAAACTCATTAGTATCGGCCAAGATATTGGAGAGGTTAACCAAGCTTACAGGGTCAATATATTGACTGAAATCCACCTGTTCCATATCCTCGTTATCGCTGTCATAGACGGCCGTGGAAGCATCCATAGTCATTAGACATATCGTATTTTCTTCCCCGTCGCCTAGGGTATCTAGTGCGTACTCGAGATCTGGTGCTGGGATTAGACCGGCGAGGACACCGTCACGTAGAATGGGAAGTCCGCTGTCAAGCTCGCCTGCCATGAGCAGGTGTTCCAGTTTCGAACGGAGGTTCGTGGCTGGCACAAATGGCGATGCAGAGATATCGATGAGACGATTCTTCCGCACTGGCCGAACTATGTCTCCTAGCTCGGCATCGGTGGTCGGTTGAAGTTTGTTATCAAGGAAGGGATAGGAGTTCATATCGGTCAAGAGGTCCTGGTTTCAATTAGCATAAGGGCTTAGGTTACCAGGCGGACGGCAAGTCTTACATAAATACTGCGAGGTTCAATAGCATCCGCAGTCCACTTGGCGCAGAGGATTGATAGGGAAAATGGAAGCACATGGTTGAGACTTCCCGTCAATTCAAACAGGATCACAGCCAGAGTGACCGACAGTCGTGTCACACCGCACATGGTCGCTCCGGCGGCAATCAATGCGTAAACTCCTGGAGTCACGCACGACTCAATTCCAGCAGCCGCAGGGCAAGAGTCGAATAAGAAAAAGGTGGGATGTCTGAGAGCCCAGTACTGGATCAAATGGCCAACAATCCGCCCCATCAAGCCGCCAACAACCATGGATGGCACGTAGATTCCCGCAGGTACTTTAATGCCGAATGTAATAATGGTCAGGAAACTCTTGATAACAAACGCTACCAGAAGGTAATGAACAACTTCAAGAATGCCGTCTGTGCGGGGACACAGGCCTGTATTTTCCACATTTGATTCACAAGGAGAAGCTAGCTCAAATAGAAGTTCGGTGACAGGAAGCTTGGTGTATCGATTCCAGAAGCTAAGAAGGCCTGTAACCAGCGCAACGAGGAAAACTTCAAGCATTGGCCAACGCTTGATGGCTGGAATGCGACGGAACGATCGTGCCCACAGGCTCGAGGCTTTGATGAAGAGCGCACCAGCGGCGCCTCCCATAACACCGAGAAGAATGAAAATGAAAAGCTCAAAGATCTGCCAGTCGGAAAGGTACCGGACTTCAAATAGGACGATCTTACCGGTTCCATAGGGGTTTAGGAACTTGAGGGACAACGTAGCTGCAATACAACAAAAGAATGTCCGGAAAAGGGTCTTGGGTGGGAAATAATAGCTAACTTCTTCCAAGCTGAAGAGGACACCGCCAATTGGAGCACCAAAGGCAACAGCAACACCACTAGCGGCGCTGGCGCTCAAAACCTCTCGTCGCTTTCCATCGTTTTGGTTATACTTGGCGAACAGACGACAGCAGATATTGCCTATGCAGGTGGCAATATGAACGTATGGGCCCTCTTTGCCTAAGCTCAAACCAGACGAGACACTAAAGATCAAGCCAATAGTTTTAATGACCAGCGTCTTCAGCCCCATATATCCGTGGAGGACAAAGCCACTATTAATGACTTTGACTTCTGCCACTCCGCTGCCAGCAGCAGAGTAGTAGATCATAGCTGGACGGGACGGATTATTAGGCAAATTTCTATGCGGTGAGCTGCTTGTATCTGTCTCTGAAAGAGGAGAGCCCAAGGCACCAACTCCATTTCCAGATCTTGTACCACGGGACTCGGCACCCAGGTTTTCATCAAGCGTGGCAAGAGAAATGGACGAAGGAACGACAGTTTTTGTGAGTAGAGTCAAAGCGCACGATATGAGGGCCAACGTCATAACCCAAAAGACAAACATGACGAAGTCGACCCACTGGTTTTCTGTACCCGATGGCGAGAAGATCCTGGACCAGGGCCGCCATGCTTCACAGCTAGCCCGCCCTTCACAGCAGGTCCGTCGATTACGGAAAACTCGGGTCGTGCAGAAGCCTTCTTTCAAATCAAAGACGGATCCTTCAGTAACGTCAACGAAGTAAGCAATGGAGGCCGTGATGCACCCAATCAGCGCGACCAAGATCCATCCTTGCGCGCCATCAAAGGCCGCCAGCAATCTGCCTCGCACATCTTTTCGTTGGCGGAGTAACCGAAGTCGTGCTCCATCGGCGATACTGTCATGCACCCAATCTGTGGAGGTGAATTGATCGTACCAAGTCCGCTCATCCAAGAATGAAGAGGCAGCAAGATTGTCCTTTGTGGATGGAGGAAGGCTGGCGGGTCTGCTATCGCCGTCTATACTCCCTCGCCGACTAAACCGCTTGCCGGTGGAGTTGGCGCGGCTATGATTTCGTGTTCGCCGCAGGTTGCCGGCCGCCAGAATGCGTCTAAATGAGTCCGGGCCGGTACCTGACAAACCGGAAGTGCTGGTGTAAGACCGTCGTGGAGCTCGTCGGCGGAAGTCTTGAGCGGGGCCGAGGAGGCTCGTTGTTTCGGTAATCTCCAAGGGCGCATCAAGGGATTGGTATTCGGTATGTGTTTCGGAGAGGTAGCTTTGAGATCGTCTGTAGGCATTCGGTGAGGGGGGAGCTGTTTGGGCATTGCGTGTGTTTTCGATGTCCTCTTGCTCGCGCGACGCAGAACTGAGCTTTGGAAGGGACCGAGGCATGTTGCCGAGAAGTCTTTATGCTTCAATTATATACAGTGGGGCTGGCAGGGGTCAGTGTTGGCAGAACTTGGGGGCATGCCGATCCACATCAGACGTAAACACAGCGAAACAGAGCTCGCATGAGCAAAGGGATCAAGGAACTTGACTCACTGGGTAGCATATCTCTCTTCCCAAAGCCCAGGAAGATAGAAGCAAAAACAAAAAACAAAAACAACAAAGAGATAACGGTGAGAAAAGAGGGTCCGAGTTTTAAGATGAGGTGACCGATCACAGATGATCGACCTAACGGCGGGGACGCGTCAGGCGGAAGTTCAATGCTGACCCATCAGCCACTAGAGTCATTTTGTCTATCTTTAATATGTTTCACTCGTTGAATGTTCAATGCTCAGTATTTTGTGGTGATTTGATGGTTTATTTCCAGTGTGACATTCTTCTGATCATCCCCACGTTTTCCGCCGATCAACATACCTTACTGTATGAGGGGCTCTTTTGTAGGGATATAAGTATAACCGTGCTCCCCTTGCTCGCGATGGCACTCTGGACTTGAGAAATGGGAGCACCGAACAGTGTCTGTATTACAGCCCTGGAAGCATCTGCCTAAGTTATTAGCCTAGGTTCGGATATTTAAAATCCCCCAAATTTCCACATCCTAATAGGGATGCATGCGCCTCCGGCTGAAAAGATCCTTGCGCCAGAAGCCCAATCTGATCATCATGCGACGCTGATCTCTTGGCATGGACAATAAAATATACGCCACCGTGAGAGGGCCCGGGTGTGTGACTTGAAGAAATATGTCATGCTTGGGCAACCAGCGTTGGCCTCTTTCGGATGTCTGACATTGTAGAGATATAAATATCAAGTCTAGCATGCGCCTGACTCGAGACCTAGTCAACAAAGTACTTTGGGGTCTGTATAAAATTTTGACGCTGTCAAACATGTATGGCATGCAGAGATCGCTTGGTATTTTCCGATTCCACGCGGGTTAGTCTTAGCTTCACGTGTACTATGTTGATATATAGGCATTGAAGCGAATATTGCTTCTTTCATCCTTTGGAAAAGAAGTAAATCACACGTTCTGCGGCCATATCTAGGTATACATTTAGGTGATCTAATTACTTTTGATATTTTTTGAGAATCATTTTCCACACGATCGCGTTTACCGCTCTTTCGGACATGTGGGGTTTCGACGATGGTCTTATAATGTTGGGATTCCTACGGAGTAGATATGGAGTGGGTCTATGTCAGGCCACCATAGTTATCATTTGTTTCGGCGCTTTGCTGCTTTCTTCTTGACAGGCTGATACAGAGCGGGGTTTTGTAGCGAGCGTCTTTTAGATGGCTTTACAGCCCTAAGTTGGCTCATTCCTACTTCCTTAGTTTGAGTGATTCCAAGGTTGGCCGTTCAGGTATCTGACTTGACTAACATATATGTATTCTTATAGAGGAGTACATATGCACTCTCAAAGATTGTTGTTATGGCTTGAGGAGTCGTGACATGACTCTGTACACTTTTTATATATTCAGGTAGACACGTAAGAGCTACAGCTTTGTGGCCCTAAAGACAACCCACCTTGAAGGAAGAACTATGCTCAAGAGTGGAGCAAAGTTGAGCATTAAAAGGTCTTGTGGGCAATGAGTGACTTGTGTCGAAAGATAAATTGCTTGTTCGTTAGCATGCTATCTCTATTCTCTCATAGCCCATAGCTCTTAATTTACATCCATCCATACACATATCATTTAGTTCGATGTTAATGCCCGTATAAAAGGTCTATTAATTGTCTATTCCTTGGCAACTTTGCTTAATAGGCGAATTAGACCAGGAGGAAAAGAGCTGGAATGCGGTTTACACCTCAACTATCCATCAAGGTAGATATGTGGGACTTTTCGCACCGGCTTTTTCTAAATTTATATTTATATGAAACAAACTGAAAGAATTGCTAGTTTCATCCAAATTCAAATATCATAAGATAACTACACGCGCTTGACTACCCATGTGGAGAGTGAGAGATTGACCCCTGTCACTTTTAAGCGCGGGGAACCAAACCTCACTGATCTTCATCTTCCTGAAATTTTGTCCTCTCTTCTAGTCCTTGAATTCATGTTAACCTAGAGGGACTTCGATTTTTATATTCGAAGTTTGAGATTTCAAAGATTCCAAATCTCTCACCAAGAACTGTGGCCCCGTTTCATCCTAAAGCTCCTATGTGATTACTCTTCCTCTGGTACCCTCTCTGATCAACCATGGTTGTCGACTATCTTTCGGTAGTTGTTTCAGAACCTTGGAAGGAGTGAAAGCCAGCGTCTCGCAAGTTTGGGGAAATGAAATGTGCAAGGTTACCGAGCCTTGCAAAGTTCTTCCCAACAGACGATTGTAATCAGATTATGAAAACCAGTTTCAACTAATGATTCTGCTCATGACAAATCCAGTTATACTCCCGTAGGTACCTCGAATGCCCCATGTTATATGTCCACGGGCATATTGCTATATGTCAAGTACATACTAAGCGTTTATTTCCTATGTACAGTGCGGGGTTCAGATCTGGCCCCCCACTATTACAAACGAAACGATTAGTGGATAAATTGGAGATTAGGCAGATTGAGATAAGAACTAATATCCTCCGTACGGACTATACGGATAGTTCTCATAACATATGTATTCATTCTATCGACAACAAGCGAAGATCCACCCATTTCCCTTTCGTCCGCGGAGTCGCGGAGTGACTTCCCCACTTCCTTTTCTGTCCACCTTATAAGCCCCCAATCCCCCCAGAACTTCACTTTCAAACTTACAAGTAATTTGATATCCTCATCATGGCTGCCACTGAGACCCAAGATGTGTACACGCCGTACGATCAGTTCTTTCTCTTCGGAGACTCCATCACACAGATGGCTTGCAACCAGGAGCTAGGTTTCGCATTTCACGCTGCACTCCAAGAATGTGAGTCACTTTTCTGATATCCAGGAGATTTGAATGATCAATTAACTAATGGAAAAAAAATAGCCTACAGTCGCAGATTGGATGTCGTTAACCGTGGCCTCGCGTAAGCTCATTCAAGGCTGTACTAGACTGAGATATGCTAACAAGCAACAGTGGATATTCGTCCGCCCATGCTGTTAAGGTCTTTGAGAAGTGCTTCCCTTCGCCACAGATCGCTAATGTGCGATTCATGGTAAGCCCCCCTTTTGGCAGGGCCATTTGAAATCTCGAATATATTCGAAAGACCAATTATCTAACATCCGATAGACTATCTTCTTCGGTGCCAATGATGCATGCGTTCCAGCCCACGACCAGCATGTGCCTCTGGATCAATATAAAGAGAACCTGAAGACGATCATTCAGCACCCAGCGACGCGCGCACAAAACCCGCGACTCATTTTGATCGGCCCACCTCCCGTCAATGAATATCAATTGGAGGAATTCGATGCGGCAAAGGACACCATATCCCCAAGCAGAACTGCCCGCCACACCAAGCTGTACGCAGCAGCTGCCTCAGAAGTTGGTGCATCGCTCAATATCCCGGTCGTGGATCTATGGTCCACTTTCATGAAGGTCGCTGGCTGGAAGGAAGGAGAGCCTCTGATTGGTGCTCGCGATGTGCCAAGCAATGAGAAACTGGCTAGTCTTCTCACTGATGGTGCGTGGAATTTTGCATATTTCCCTTTATTTTTCTTATACTCACTCATCATTCAGGTCTGCACCTCACTCCCGCTGGTTATCGCATCGTCTACGATGAAGTTATGAAGGTGATTGAGGCCAATTGGCCGGATCAGACTCCGGCCGCTCTTCCAGAAGTCTTTCCCACGTGGGGCGAGGCACCGAAATGAGTTGCATAGATCACATATTGGCTTATTAAAATCGGTATAAGGATCAACGGGGTTCAGGTTGGTGGTCAAATACATGGACATGAGATCTTTAAATAATGAATTCTCGAACTTACACGTGCAACTAAACGTACCGGATTTTCCCTGGCGGGTAGGAGATCCTTATTCCACTGAGGTTGTTTGATCCTCCACTACTGTCTAGCTCATCAAGAGTACCGATCTCCCTAAGAAGGGGTTCATTCCCATGCTGGGCATCTTAGAGAGGTGGTGGTTATGTGATAGTAATAATATGAAAAGGCGCTAAAAAGACAGTCGTAACTTTTTTTTCGTCTTCTTGCAACATATACCTTGCGCCCTCGAATTCTACGTATACTTCTGTACATCCAAGCTCTCAAAAATCTCTTCTACATGAAGGTTCTCTACACAATTGAGAATTCCAACATGGCATTACTACTAGCATTGCATTCTCTATCACGAATCCCCAACAAGCACATCCACCATCATGCTTTTCAAACAGCAGAATTTGCGTACGATAGAAGTGTCTATTGCACAGCAAACAATATTCCCCTCTCTGTGCGGCTGGTTTCCCACAACTCTTTCATTCGCATGACCAGTGAGGGATTATGAGACTTTGCAATAGTCAGACGATCAGAGAAATTTGGGGCAGCAATACTTTTTGATGAGAGGCAGGCATGAATGAAATAGAGGAGTACAAAGACAGCCAATAATCCATTCATGGATGTTTTTTTAAGCCATCAGGCGGTGTGGAAGAATTAGTACTAGTCTGAGGTTCCACAATAGTATAGCAACAGTTACCATATAGAATAATTGTTCTCATGCCCAATCTTGCCAGTTGTTGGACGTTGTTTGAGATAGTTATATAGTCCACTTGTGCTAGGCATTAGTATCTAGGAGTAGTTAGTTAGTGGAGCATACTTAGCTAACTACAATCTTAGAATGCATAGTAAAAGGTACGAAGGCCTAGCCCTAAAGATCGTCCCCTTTCAACCTCCACATTCTCTCCGCCTTACTCTCCGCTCTGTTGTGCGTCACCGCCTACCATAAACATGGGCCATTCGGTGACAATAATGGTGTTTCTCCAGACTACGCTTCTCACTCTCAATAATAGTCATTTCCTCCTGTTGCTAGGTTTATTACCTAGATATTTTCTTCGTGTCTCTATCATTCTATTAAGATCTCCATAAGCGGAAAATTCGCAAGCTTGGGCTACTTTGCTCTCGATTTCGCATCACTCTGCTCGCACTTCGACGGCCAAATATTCCGTAACTCAACTTGTGCCTGGCACATCACATATTCTACGCCAACGAATACTTCGTCGCGTCTTTCTGTGAATTTGGAATCCTCCGTGAATCACCTAAACTCCAACAAGGATCCCTCATTACGATACCAACCATCTTGAAACGCGATAGCTTCATCTGTGTCAACCATCGTCTAGCTCCCCTAAACTCGCTGCTGGATGTTTTGATCAGGTCTCCAAATATTTGTGCTTCTAAGACAGGGTGGACGGCCGGTGGGCCGTCTCACAGATCGAAGGCGGCAGGAGATATTGGAGAAAAGGTGTCGAAATAAAGTGACGCCGCCTTTCGCGCCGCTGTTGTTTCTAGGGTGCGCCGACTATTCCAGTTACCCCGCGTCGCTTTTTTTGCTTTCCTTTTTTAACATTGAATTCTAAACACTTGACTTGCTATGGATGCGCAGTATCCTTTTGCTTCCCGTGACGACATCTGGCGTGTTTTTGAAGAGCTGAAGGAGCTCCATATCGCCCAGTACGAGCAAGGAGAACGGCTCGCGCAACTGGAGCGTCGCCGGGACGACGATGCGCGACTGAGAAGTCCTTGGTGCACTGTCTCGGCGTTTCCGCACTCTGTCGGGGCGATTGCCCCAGGTAGTCCACCTCTGCCCTCCGGGATCAGTTCACCACTTACGAAGACATCCCTTCCAGACCCTGCTTTCCACTCACCCCCAGATGCTTTTAAAGGATTCGATCAGAGTCACCATTCCGCAATGGCTAGTTCTGCAGTGGGGTTTGATGGCGAAGATGAGCCCAGACGGGGTACATCGCGAGCCAACAGTGTCCGTTTCGACGAAAGTGCTATCCATGGCAATGCTCAGGGTATGCGTTCCGGCAATGATCTTCCTCTGCGAACCGGCAGTGGCTTGAGTACCCACCCACTTCTTGAGCGGACCTTTTCTCACCAATCTGATGGACGATTGAGCTCTTCTGGTCATTCGCTCCATTCCGCTCGGACCAATAGCTTGCGCCTGAACACCACTCGGCTGCTTGGAGCCACGCCTATCGAGTCCCCTTTGATCCCCCCTCCTGGACTCTTCTTGCTGGGACCGGTCCCATCCATCATTCGGTGCTGGTTGACTGATACTTTCACCAATGCTACTCTCCTGTACGCAGCCGTTTGCTCTGGCTCTTACGTCTCAACTCTAGGACTCTCCATAGTCCGCGATCTTGGGATGGAGAACAAGATCGTGCATGAGGGTGATGTGAAGTACATCAAGCTTCCGCTCTATCTTCCCGAAGCACTTATTCATCCGTCTTCGTCACGCCCCGGAACCCCTACCCATCAAGTTCCTGCGGTGATCATCCGTTTTGTTGTTTGCGAGACAGAGGTCGGCAGTAACTCGATTCAAATCATCATTGGAAGTGATGTGATGCGTGCACACAATGCCGACATTTTGTTCTCGCAAGATAAACTGATCATGGTGGACGATGAGCACAACCGCATATCCGTCCCCCTCGTGCGCCCCGAGAAGGACTCCGTGTTTAAATCTCTTTGCACTTTTCCTGGTATTTCCAGTTCTGGAGACTTACTGGGACCTCCTACTGACGGAAATCCATCCGTGGGTATCATTGGCCGGCCTGCCAATATTCAGCAAAAGTTGGCATCTGCGCCCCCATCGGCTCGTCTGCCTGGCAGTGAGAATAGCGATCCTCACAATTCCCACCTACAGAGCCAGCAAGCTCATGCCCACAACTCAGCTGAAACACGCCCAGCCGCTACCATTCCCCCAACTTCTGAGCCCACCAAAACCGAGGATCCCCCTTCCTGGGGCGGCTCCTGGCGTCGCGATGCCAAGAGATCCGCCAAAACTACCCAGAAGGCGACCGAGAAACGCGAGATGAAAGTCTTCCGCACTGGAAAATCCAGCAGCCATGCGAACTCCACGACTTCGGTCTCAGGTCCTGGAAGTGCTACCACTGAGCAGGCCGACAAATCGTCTCTGCCGACTACTTCTTCCCACCACCCAACTACTCCTTCGGACAAGCAGAATCCCGTGGGTAATGCATCGGCGTTTGGATGGCTCAACCCGGCACCTCACAACGCCTCGTCCTAGATGAAACAGACTAGGCTTGGCTTTTGTGTTTGATTACATCCGAATCTGAAAAGATATCGGTTTTACGGCATGGTATGGAAGGGTTGTGATTACCCGGGAATCAGAAAAAAGTGAGGAATGGATCAGGCGCTGGGTTCCGAGGCTGCCGACAGGGAAGGGATATCACTTTTTCTTTTTTAGCTTGTAGCATTGCCGGACTTGATGGCAGCGGACATGACCTACCAAGTAACAAAAAATAAGAAAAAAATTGTTATGATTACCACTTAATTCACGTAGCCAACACCAATGATATGAACTAGGATTACATCTCACTTAGTAGTTATATCTTCACCTGTGCCGCCTGGAGGTCTATATCCACTAGTAAGTATTAGCGGCCAAGAGAACGAGACTCAGATAGAATCCTGGAGTCTGAAATTCAGCATGGGAGCCTGGAACCTAGAGTGCAAAATTTATTATGATAAAAAGTGGTAGGTCAGCCCCTGTCTGGCGAGATTTTCTTCATCTTCATCTTCCTCGACCTTCGTTTTAATATCACTATCAAATTCGCTGAAATTGATCCAGTACCAGTACCAGTACCAGAATCATTACTTTTCGAGAGTAAGCATAATGGTACATCTGTTGGATCTTCCAGCGGGAGTGATTTTATCCATCGTTGACTACCTACAAATGGGCACGAATCAGGTACCACTGCTATTCTATGAGCTTGAAGATCCCTATAGCTACGTGATAAGCCATGATGCTCCACCGAGCGTCAAACACCTTCATTCTTTCATGGCCGCTACTCACCGCCTGAATAATCCTCTTCTACAGGCAATATTCTATCGTGATATATCCGTTCGCAGCCGCTCCAGCGAAAAAGCTCCGTTGCAACAGCTAAACCAGTGACTTCAGGAGAGTCCAAGTCTCCAGGAACACATCATTTCAGCGACCATTCCACGTGATGATTCAATTTCCGATTTCCATCATTTCTTTTGGCTCCCCAACATCCGAACCCTTACTATTATTCAGTCCTTCGGCGGCGAGTGGGAGTGGAGTTTGAAGATGACACACATATTGGCACCTCTCCCGTTGAATGTCTAAGGCTGATCAAGTGCGGGGCGGATAAGGAGGCTCTAGCCAATATCTTAAGCTAGCCGGCAGCGTTGAAAACGCTTCACTTTGATGTCGAGCAAATTTAGTGGGATTCGACGTGTGTTGCTTTTGTGTGCACTCTGAAATCCCAAAAAGCATCATTGGCAGAACTGACAATGACACAGCCGACGGTTGACCCTGAAGGACTGGCTGGGGAATGCACCTCGCATTGATCTGAGCGAGTTCACGTCCCTTAAAGCCCTACGCATCTACCGTGTCTTTCTCTACGGAGCGGATGGTCAGTATGGAGTCTGAAAAAGCCTAACGCGCAAACTGGAGGTGTTGGAGGTCTTTAACGACGATACAGGCCTCACCTCAATCCTTACGGGAGACTGATAATACGCCATACGATACTTTTCTTCTTGGTTTGATCACGCATAAAAGGACACATCTTCCAAGCTTATACACCGTGATTATCCACTCGCCTGAAATAATGTATGATTCCGAAGAAGGAGATGACCTGCCCGCAGGACCATGGGCACTACCATCTTCACCCGCGCGCGAAGCTGAATCAGCCGGAATAAAGCTGAATGTGTGGCTAGGACACCCCTCTGCAGGAGGTGAAAGTGAACTAGATTTTGGGGAAACTGATGTTCTCGGGTCACTGAAAATCAGTTCAACCACACAGTGTATCCAACCAAGCGAAAGGTGGCAGTGAGACGTGGCTATGTATATATCACAGTGCATTCTTTCTTAGGACCTCTAGTATGGAATGTCAAGTATCATGCACTAGCTAAAATCAAATCCCATCAGATCAAATCTTCGAGAAAACCCCCAAAGCTCCCTTTGTGCTGTCCTTCGTCTCCTTAACAAGCCCACTGATAGTTCGGAACGCCTCATGCGAAGCATCGCCAAGAATCTCAAAAAGCACGCTCTCACTACTCGTAACAATAGCTCCAGCATCCCTCAACCTAGCAAGAGCAATTCCCCTCTCCTCAGGGTTAATGCTACTCACGCCATCAACGAGGATGTAAACACGGTGACCGCGCTCGAGGAGATCAAGCGTTGTCTGCGTCACGCAGATGTGCGTCTCGAGCCCGACGATTATCACGTCAAGGGGCGCTGAGTCTGCGGCTGGGAGCAGCTTCTCGACCTCCGGGGTTATCATTGAGAAGAGGGTTTTGTCTACATCTGCTCGGATGTGGGGGCCATTGAGGTGTTGTTGGAGTTCTGGTACGGTATTTCCGAGTTTGGCACGGTTTTGGGTTGTTATGAATACAGGGATTTGAAGGGTTGAGGCTGCTCGGAGCACCTTTTCTGTTGTTGCGACGCTGTTTGATTGGTTAGAGTTTTGTTTTGGTTGGCTTTGGCATATGGGGGGATGCGTACAGTTTGGGGAATTCGTAGATTCCATTGCGGAATTTGTCTTGAATATCACAGATGCTGTGGTAGGGATGCATTGTCAGTTTGGGTTTTGAGGTTATCTTTGTTCTTTTGATACCAAGTGTTCTGCTTACAAGAGGGCGGGATTGCCTGGCTTAATGTTAGTGGCTTGCATTGCGTGGGGTTTTGGGATTCTTACGGATCCGGGATGCGCGCGTAGGGGCAGCCATGATTGAGACAGGTTAAAAGTGGTTTCTGAGGATTGAGGGATTCGGGTATGCAGATGCAGAAGAAGAGAAGAAGAAAAGAACGACTAGCGGGGAAACGCGGTGAAGTCGGAGATGCGGGGAAGCCGGGAAAGATGAGAGGGCTTGTAGTTATATGTACCTGTACACAAGATTGTCTTTGATCTTTTTATTCTAATCTTGAATCAAATTTGTTAAACTTTTACATCAGAATGTACACATCACTCATCTACTAATATAGGCATCTAAAGCTTCACCTCATGCACCTTGGCCCGGCCGGCAAACCAGCTGTCATCACCTTTTGCCGCGGCTGTGCGGATGGCGTAAAGCTCGTCGACGAACGCCGGGACGAAGCTGCCCGGGCCACGAACATACTCCTTAGCCGCTGCATTCTCTGCTGCGATTTCGTACATGAGAATTCCGGACAGTACGGCTAGGAGTCTGTCAGAGCGGTGGGCAGCCAAGAAGCAGCCGGAGATTGTGCCAATGGCACAGCCAGTCTGTAAATACATGTTAACCATATAGTAGAAAGAGGGAATCGAAGAGGTTGCTTACTCCGGTCACTTGGCCCAGGTATGGGTGGCCGTTCTCGACGGCAATGACCCGCTCGCCATCGCTGAGGTAGTCTGTTGCTCCGGTCAATAGCACAACGGTTCCTATATAAAGTTAGAAGGCAGTAACCACAATTAGAGACTCTCGGGTGCACTTACGTTCCCTGCGAGCCAAGTCCCGAGCTAATGTAGCTTTTTGATTGCCGTCAAGAGTACTCGGTCCGCTGTCGACACCGCGCTGCTGAACAGTACTCTTACCCCAAACCTGGCGAATCTCTCCCTCGTTACCCTTAATCAGATCAAAATAGCCCCCGGCCATAAGCTGAGTCACTGCATTGCGGCGAATGTGTGTCGCAGCAGCACCGACTGGGTCGTATACTACCGGGTTGCCCCGCTCATTGTATGCCTTGATGGCTTTTAGGTAGTTTGATACACTATCGCTAGTCAAAGTTCCCATGTTGATCAGAAGGGCGCCATCAAGCTTGCACAGGTCTGTAGCTTCATCTCCGTACGGAGACATGATTGGGGATGCGCCACTGTGGGGACAGTTAGCATGGAAAACGGCGTGGCTAGGTGCAATATACTGACATGGAGAGGGCAACGTTGGCCACAAAGTTCGACACAACGAAATTGATCATATTGTGTACGAGGGGATGCACCTCTATCATCTTACGAATGATTTGGGGAGCCTCATTCAACAAGGCCTCGACCTCGTTAGTACGAGGAGGCTTGGAAGCCTGCGCAAACTGGGGAGCATTTAGGATGAGCTCAGCGAATTTCTCGGCAGATGCTTTAGGGTCATCGGCTGCTATAATAGCGCTGACAATAGCCACTCCATCTAGTCCTTTCTTTGGTGACTGAGACTGATAGATCACTCGTTGCACGTTGGAGTGGTTGATGCCGCCGATGGCAACAGTTCCTATAGCGGAATCTTTGATGGCATCCAGGATGATTTGAGTACCTGCCGTCCCAATGACCGACTTGGTATTGGTTTTTCTATGGATGGTTAGCGCATATCACTGGATGGTGGGATACTGGAAATTCGGACTTACGTAGAGGTGGCAAACATGGTACCAACTCCGATATAGTCGGCACCATCTGCGGTAGCCTTTTTCGCCTCCTCGACCGAGGATGTAGTGATACCAATAATGGCATTCTCGGGAAGAAGCTTCTTTGCTTCCTCAAAGCCTATATTGAACATGAGTACATGCGTCTTTGTAGGATGGTAGCGACGAACTCATATCATCTTGACCTAGATGCACGCCCTCGGCACCGATAGCAAGAGCCACATCGACCCGGTCATTGATCAGAAGAGGCACATTGTATTTTTTGGTTACCTGGTGTAGCTTCCGGGCAGTTTCTACCAGGACACCTGTGTCGTTGGTTTTGTCCCGGTATTGCACCACGGTGACGCCTGCAACGGGGATTAGTTGAATGAGTGGCAAGGCTGCAGCACCACTCACCTCCTTGTAAAGCACTTTCTACCACTGTGCATAAATCTCGGCCCTTGAGAATGGCTGGGGTCGAATCCGTGACCAAATAGAGCGATAGATCTACAGGCATGGTGTCTCGGCCGGATAAAGGTAGAGTAGGGGATTTCGGAGTAATAGATCCCAGGTCTTTTAACAGAGGTGAATCAAACTGAAATGAACAGTGAATTAAACAAGGTCAGCAGGCTATACTCGTACAACACAAAACCCCGTATTAAGTGATCGAAGGAGATTGCCGTTTGTCGTTGTGTGCCCGTGGTGGGGTCTCTTGGAAGGTTCGGCATGTACTCGTCCGGATGTATACAACACTGTAAAATTCACTTATATATGTTTCAATATTGAATAAAGATTTATTTTAAGGCACGAATAATCTGAGGTTTGAAAGCTGTTCCTCAACAAATTATCATTCTGAAACATCTAGGATCCCATGTACTACTTTGTATGTTCAATTGTCAATGGTTCTTTATAGTACTCCGAGTTATTCCCGGCACGTGCTGGCTGACATAACCATGATTTGTCAAATTCTGCTTTTCCTCTTCTTCTTCTTTCTTTTTCCCCAACAACACACAAAACGCTTTCAGGCATCGAGTTATTTTCGAAGCCTTTATCTATTTACCGCGTGGACTTTTAGTTCTACGCTCTTCATTTTTCATCACTGGTTAGTTCGGTCTCGCCAACATCACTTGCCACCGTCCGCCAGGTCTCCGACCTCTGACTCGGATTCCCCAAAGAACTTCGATCTTTCCCCGAAAGCAACACGTTGAGAAGTTTCCTGCGAACTTGTCTATGTATTCGTCCTCCGTCCAAAATTTCGAACATCACCTGCCGCTCAAGCTGCAAACGTTTCGCGCGCCGAAACCTTGCAGCATACACCTTCGATCCTGTGGCTGAATACCCCGGATCTTCCCTCGATCTGCTGTGACTTTTCCCTAAGAAATCACACACTATACCACAAGAAAAGAAACTTGACACGCATGTCTTGTCTCGTCAACAAAATCATCACCCAGAATCTTCCCAGCTTTCCCTTAAGCAAGCCCACTGTTCCATTCTAGTGAACCAATCGCTCAATTAAACCGTCATCATGGCCACCGTCAACATTCGCCGGGATATCACCGATCCCTTCTATCGTTACAAGATGGAGAAGCTCCAGGCTAAGGTCGAGGGCAAGGGCAACGGTATTAAGACCGTTGTCGTCAACCTGAACTCGGTTGCTCAGTCCCTCAGTCGCCCCCCTGCATATCTCATCAAGTACTTTGGCTTTGAACTTGGCGCCCAAGCCAACGCTAAGCCCTCTGACGAACGTTGGATCATCAACGGTTCTCACGATGCCCCCAAGCTCCAGGATTACCTCGACGGCTTCATCTCCAAGTTTGTGCTTTGCAAGAAGTGCAAGAATCCCGAGACTGACGTCTCTATCAAAGATGAGAAGATCACCCTGGACTGCAAGGCCTGTGGTCAACGCTCCGATGTTGATCCTCGCCTCAAGCTGAGCACCTTCATTGTTCGCAACAATCCCAAGGGTGGCAAAAAGGAGAAGAAGAAGTCTCGCCGTGAGCGAAACAAGGAGAAGGCTGCCAATGGCGAGGATGCTAGCCCCGGCGACAGCAACAACTCCGAGAACGGCGACGATGATTATGCTATCGAGGCTAACAGCGATGATGAAGTCACCCGTCAGGCCCAGGCCATCGAGGCTGAGGTCGAGATCAAGGATGATGAGTGGGCCGTTGACGTCTCCGAGGAGGCCGTGAAGGCTCGCGCTAAGGACCTTCCCTCGGATCTCAAGCGTGCTCTTGTCATTGAGGATGGTGACGATGAGGGAGCTGATGGACCCTCGTCCTACGAGCAGCTGGGCAGCTGGATCGTTGAAACTGCTGCTGAGAAGGGCGGTGTCACTACCGTCACTGATGTTGAGATCTACATGAAGGCTAAGGAGTTCGGCATTGAGACCAAGCACAAGACTTGCGCCGTGCTGGCACAGAGCATCTTCGACGAGAAGATCGCCAAGCAGATCGAAGCCCGCGCTGGTTTGCTCAAGAAGCTGATTACCTCCGATCGTCATGAGAAGGCCTTCCTCGGCGGTACCGAGCGCTTCGTTGGTCAGGATCACCCCGAGCTCGTCGCCCAGGTCCCTGCCATCTTGCTTGGCTACTACCAGAACGACCTTGTGTCTGAGGAAACCCTTAAGGCGTGGGGTGCCAAGACCAGCAAGAAGTACGTCGACATCTCAACTAGCAAGAAGATCCACAAGGCTGCCAAACCCTTCATCGAGTGGCTCGAGAATGCCGAGAGCGACGAGGAGAGCGAGGAAGACAGCGAGTAGACAGCAAAGGTTGCGTTCGGTTATGTATACTTCGTTATTAGCTATCTGCGTTCATTCTTGGATTGAACACGCGCATTTTTGGACCTCCCCCTGATATGACCATCTCGCATGGACTGATCAGTCTGGCTGTCGTTTTTAGTTTAGCTTACCAGTCGCCACTCCTTTACAATGAATATCAATATGGCATCAACGCATTGCCACTTATGTACCTATACAAGAGTAGATATCAAAATACAATATAGTCATATCTCATGCCATGCAATAGTTGCTACTATCAACAATCGACAAGCAAGAACTAGAACACCACTTCAGCAAGTCTAACCTGCTCCCCATCGCCATTGAAAGGGAGATTAGTAGCACCGCCATAGTTCCCAGCATTGCCTGTAGTAAATGTAGTAACCACATCCGCTCTCACGCGATGTCGCATAAAAACAAACCATGTTAAATCCACGTTCCAAGCCTCCATCGCTCGAATCGCATCCTCAACAGAAACCATGCCTTCACCAGCTGCAACATCATTCACAGACAAAGAGGCCCTTGAAGAAATGAAATAATATTCGGGCCCGACAAACAGCGCAATCCAACCACCAAGCATCTCGCAAATTCTATCACCCACTTCCAAAGGCAACCGGACATGCGAGAGAACCGTAATAAAGAGGGAGATCAACGCACGCCACAGACGATGGTGGGGTGTGAAGAATCTCGACCCTGGCGTTGAGGGCGAGAGCGAAAGGGACGAAGAGAGGGCGAATTGTAGAGTGAACGCCATATCTCCTGATCCAGCAATGGTCGGAGCCTGAGACTTGGCACGGCGCTCGTTCGCGGCCTCGGCGTCAGCGCGCACTTTCTCCCACACGCGACGGTATAGCCGGTCCCAGCGGGAGAATTCGGTTTCGACACGGGTAGCCATGAAATCACCTGCGCCTTTGCACATTGCTTCGATGGCCTCGCAGGCTGTTACCGTAACGAAGGTTTCTTCTTTGTGGTCTGGGGTTTCAGGGTTGCGAGTTGATTCTGTGGATGAGGTGTTGATAAGGGACTTGGAGGTGTCGTTTGCTTGTGATGAGGGGAGTATTATTCGGCTTGCTACTGTGGGCCAGAGTTCGTTGATGAGAGGGAGGAAGCTGGTTTCGTTTTGGGACAGGGCGGGTAGGACATCGATGAGGATTGAGAGGAGAGAGCGTCGGAGATACGGAGATGGTGAGGTTAAGTGGGATGGTATGGATTTGACGATGTGGAGTAGGAGGGCGTGGGTTTTGTTGAGTGGCTTCTCGGCGTCTTCTGGTTCCTTCGGGGGTGGGAGTGGAGGCTCGTCCGATTCGGCTTGATCCAGAAGCTCTTCAATGGACGGCTCCGGAGGAGGCTTTTCGTATGTTTCTGACCATGGCTTTTTGGGATGGGGGATCTTGCCATCACTATCTGCTAGTTCATCTTCAGCATGCCGTTTGGCTTTGCGGCTGGCAATGTTTGCGGCGATGCTTGAGATTGAGAGATTCTGATATTGAGATTTCCGGGTATCGTGAGAGCCATCCTCTTTGCTTTCGTCGATTGTGAGTAAAGACGGTTTCTTCGCCCCTTCCTCGACGACTGCCGCAAGGGTTTTGAACATCATCTCAACAAGTTTGGGATACCCATGGTATAGATCCAGGATACCAAATACAGAATCAACGAGATCATCCAGGTAAGGGATCAACCGGGCACCACAAAGCTTGATCATCATAAACAGGACCTGCGGTGGATAAGGTGATACGTCGAAGGTATTAAGTTTCAAGGCCACCGAGTTCACCAGGTAATCCACGTTTTCAATGATCATAGTACTCGTGTCTGGGTAGTTGCACGCATTGGTCAAAATATTGAGGCATGTCATGGCGTGACGTTGAAGATTAGGGTTCTGTGATGCCAACAGCTGTAAAGTTGGGTAGAGCGCGTCCATGAGTTCAGGTCGGAAAGCCTCACCGAGTTGTTGCGCTTGGAGAGCCACCGATTCTAGAGCGAGCGCTGATGTACGCCAGTCGCCCGTTCCATCAACTGACAGTTCGTTCAGTATATTTAATGAGATATAATACAACTCTTCAATCATTCCGCCACGGTCAGTTGATGAGACGGACCCCTCAACATGATCGAGGGAGATGAAATCATCAAAGCTAGCTGTTGCCGTAGTGCTGTCCCGCAAGAAAGTCATTGCCAACCAGAAAGGCGCAATGACAGAATCACTTGATGTCGTATGCATACGGTTGACAATTGATCGAGTGATCTCATTTCCAGACTCGGACAAGTTCAATCTAGTAATCATTGACCGTAGATCATTGAGAGTTTGTTGCTGACTTTGATGTTCCAAAATGATGGGTGAAAACGCATTAGATCTAGCATCAGTGCTGAGCACATCCCAGTTGAAGCCAGCATCCATCGAGGCCAACGGCTGGAGAGCATTGGTGTTTTGTTTGACAACCGCGCCGACACTATCACATAGGCCGGATGCCAAACCGCTGGTGAGCAAATCTGACCCAGATTGAACTTGGGACAGAACCTGGAAGACGGTGGAGATCTGACGAAGCCCCCACTGCTTAGCAGTTTCATCATTGCCTTGCATGATTCGAGGGAAAGAAGTAAGCCACGTATGCAGCGATTCTTTTAAAGAATCTAACACTGTAGGATATGTTGTGGCAAGATGAGTTACATTCTTATAGGCTTCGTTCACTCCTTCGTCCTCTTTATCTGCTAGGACAACAACCGTTTCAACCATCATAGGGAGAGACTCTGAAAGGGTGGTCTGGCACTCTTCGATTACCATCAAGGAGAGGTCTAGGACGGCAGACTGAACCTCTGACCTCTGATGACGGCGAACCTTGATAACATTAGCCAACGCAAGCTTGATTTGTGTTGCGGTGGCCTTCAACCAAGCTTCGTCTAGAGCTATCTTATCGCTTCCTAGCGCGGGCGGGGAGTCTTCCGAGGCAACACGGTCATTGAGAACAGCTCTTAGAAGCTCTTTGAGAATCTGCAAGGAAGTCTGAAGGAGCTTGTATGACCTGCGAGTCTGTGTCGATGGTCTGAGAACCTTAGCCAGTGCTGACACAGTTCGCGGCATGATGCTGGCAAGGACCACACGGTCTGTGACTCGAGCATAAAGTGCCTGCAAAGCCCTGGCAGCTGCCAGGCAAAGCTCATCTGATCTATCATCGACAATTCCCTCAAGCAGAATATATACTGTTTGATCGACAACCGTCGCTGTGCCGATCTCGTGATAGATTGTCCGTTCTGGAATATCTCCTTCCAAGACAGTGAATATAGCACTGAGGCAGTCAAATCCAGAGATACACAGTTCTTCCGAAACCTTAGGCTTCGGTAGTTGCTTTTCTTCGGCTTTGTTTGGAGATCCCCCAACGATCAACGTCAACAAAATTATGAGTTGCTTGCCCATTACAGGAGACAGCCGTTGCCGCCATCCATCAGCGACTAGTATCCGCAAACAGTGGATGGCAGACTCCAAGCACTGTGCGGGTAGTCTTTGTGTCTCATTAAAGATATGCGACAAAGGAAAGAATGCATATTCAGCTAGCTTTTCGTCGAGGGTATTGTTTGCTGCAAGTTCCTTTAAACAGCTGTGCACCGGCTCAAGGACTCGGGATACATCGGCGGCGGAAGCTTGATTTCCTCTGAAACGAAGGCCTACAGAGCTGAGTTCGATGCATGGCGCTCGAAGCTGTTCAGAGATCAGTACTGTTCGCACCAAGAGCCGAATAGTCATATCATACCTGCTTGAAAGATTCCTGCCGGAGGTTGTCCATTGCAGCCGAGCAGCGCCGTGCGGCGTCAGAGTTGCACGATAATAGGCTAGATGTTGAGTAAAGTAGCAGTAGATCAGTCAAACACCAAGAGCCCCATTGTAGACACCGTCTAGCGGACCCATCGCGATCGAATACAGCGGGACTACATCCCAAAACTGCACCGCTCTGTCATCATCTGCCGGCAAAATTGAGCGGTGAAACTAATATATCCTAAACAGGCAAGATAACATTGCACGTGATACATTAGCGCGTCTCAACGCGTGGGAATCCAGACAGCTGCCTGCGACACGGTAAGAGCGAGTATTGCCTTGGCTATTTCAATTGGGGCTCTGGTCTATTGGAATATATATTGGACCATATTCCGGGTCTATTTGCCTCTGAGAAAAACCGCTCTATGCGGGTTTTGCGGATTCCAGAGCTTGCGCTATTATCGCCCTCGCGCTCGAGACCTAGCTCCTGCATACGATTTGTAGGACAACACAATTTCTTGACCACACCAATCTCGAAGCTATCTACAGGCCTGCTATCTGTCAGCCTTAGAACCCAGCAAAACTCTACTTTGAACAAAACAACGTTCTCACCATCGCGAATCATGGCCGATGATAAGAGCGGGAAGCAAGCTACCTTGGGGTATGTACGGGATGGACAGCAGACGATTGGGTGCGTCAACAATATTTGATGGCGCATGCGCCCTCTCTCTCTCTGGCATCTCTCGGCTCTTGATTTGGTTCATTCTACTAATTATTTCTATGTCTTCTAGGAGGTTTTTCGGCTCGGGCGCCAATCAACCGCCGAAGAAGCAAACCACATTATCTTTTGGTGGAAAGAGACAACCAGCACGCAGTGATGCTACTGCTGATACGGAGACCAAGGATAGCACGGACGGAGTTAAGGTAGAAGACGCGACCGACTCAATGCCAACTACTACCCTCAATGGAACAGAGCCAGCGAAGGGTGTGAAGCGGGAAAAGAGCGCCGAGGCGGAAGACAGCGATGGTTCTGATATACAGCCTGTCTCTAAGAGGCGACGAAAGGCCTCGGTGAAGACCTCTCCAACTGCCAAGAAGCAATCGGCATCTCCGAAGAAGCCCGTGTCTACAAAGCCAAAGGTTGAATCACCACCACCAAAACCAGTCATGGAAAAGCCTTCCGATATTACCCCTGAAGAGAAGTCACCATCGGTAGAAGAAGAGGAGGACCCATTGGAAAGCGAGGACGAAGATGACCTCAAGCCGGAGCTCACGAAGAAATCAATCGAAAAGTTTCAAGCCAAATTGAAAGCCAGTGGTAAAGATCCGTACCCAGACTGGAAAGCAGGTGCTCCTGTTCCTTATGCCGCATTATGTACCACATTTTCTCTGGTAGAGATGACCAGGAAGCGGTTGGAAATCACAGACCACTGTTCTCTTTTCCTTCGCCAGGTTCTTCGACTGACCCCTACCGATTTTCTACCCACTGTTCAGCTGATGATCAATAAATTGGCTGCCGATTATGCCGGAATTGAACTGGGTATCGGAGAGTCACTCATCATGAAAGCTATTGGTGAATGTACCGGCCGCAGTCTTGCCGTCATCAAAGCTGATCAACGGGAAATCGGAGATTTGGGACTGGTTGCTGCCAAAAGTCGGTCAAACCAACCTACTATGTTCAAGCCCAAGCCTTTGACTGTTCGAGGTGTGCATGAAGGCCTTCTTGGAATTGCCAAGGTCCAGGGTCATGGATCTCAGGACAAAAAGATTTCAGGCATCAAGAAACTACTGGCTGCAGCCGATGCCGATACTGCTGGCAAGGGAGGTAAAGGGGTGGATATCACCGAAAACAAGGGTGGCCCTAGCGAAGCCAAGTTCATCGTTCGCTTTTTGGAAGGTAAACTGAGACTGGGACTCGCAGAGAAGACAGTTCTCGTCGCTGTTGCGCGGGCAGTCCAAACTCACGAGGCTGAATCAGCTGGCAACAAGATTCCGTCCGCAGAGCAGATGGCCGAAGGTGAAAATATTTTCAAGACTGTTTACAGTGAGCTCCCCGCCTACGAAGTAATCATTCCTGCTGTTCTTGAGCATGGTCTCCTCAAGCTGCCTGAAGTGTGCAAGCTTTCTCCCGGAATTCCTATCAAACCTATGCTTGCCAAACCAACCAAGTCTATAACCGAGGTCCTTGACCGATTTGAAGGGAAGGAATTTACTTGCGAATATAAGTATGATGGAGAAAGAGCGCAGATCCATTTCGTGTCTCCAGATTCTATCCACCAGTATCCTGGAGCCTTGAACACATTACAGCAGGACAGCAAAGGCCTCTCCTCTATATTTTCACGCAACTCGGAAGATCTTTCGAAGAAGTATCCCGATGTTCTAGGCAAGCTTGACACATGGGTCAAATCTGACGTTAAGAGCTTTGTTCTTGATTGTGAGACTGTCGCGTGGGATACGGAGGCCAAAAAGGTTCTTCCATTCCAGCAACTGATGACTCGCAAGCGCAAGGATGTCAAAGCGGAAGATGTTAAGGTCAAGGTCTGCGTGTACGCCTTTGACCTGCTTTTCTTCAACGGAGAGGTAAGCCCATTTATCTCCTCAATGGCTATGTAAGAGCGATTTGCTGGATCCTTCTTGCTCTCTTCTCCTTCCTCGCGATTGAGTGTTCTTTCCAATTTATGGTGAGGATGATGAGAGAGAAGAGAGACACAGCGAGTCGCTCTTAGCCATACATAATTGTTCTCGCTAACTTTTTAATAGCCCTGCGTGAAGAAGTCTCTGCGGGAACGGCGAGAGCTTATGCATGAATGCTTCCAGCCAGTTGAAGGGGAGTTCCAGTTTGCCCAATATGGCAACTCTAATGTTCTCGATGAGATCCAAGAATTACTTGAGGCTAGTGTTAAGGCTTCTTGTGAGGGGCTGATGGTGAAGATGCTAGACACAGCAGAGAGTGGCTATGAGCCAAGCAAGCGGAGTCGCAACTGGCTGAAGGTATGATGCTCATGTTCATTGATTACGACAACCGTTCCTAACTTTTATATAGGTCAAAAAAGATTACCTCGCCGGTGTTGGTGACTCTCTTGACCTGGTCGTGCTCGGGGCCTACTATGGTCGTGGAAAACGTACTTCGGTTTATGGTGCATTCCTACTCGCTGCGTACAACCCTAGCAGCGACACATATGAGACCATATGTAATATCGGCACTGGCTTCTCTGAGGTTCTACTTGAAGAGCTACACCAGACGCTAGTTCCTCTCGTAATTGACCGCCCTAAGCCATTTTACACCCACTCGGCCGTCCCTAAGGACCAACCGGATGTTTGGTTCGAGCCAAGGCTGGTGTGGGAAGTCAAAACAGCTGATTTGACCCTCAGCCCACGCTACCAAGCCGCTGCCGATGAGTTCCAAGGAACAACCGACGGTGGAAAGGGTGTGTCTCTGCGTTTCCCGCGATACATCAAATCCCGCGACGATAAGAAGCCAGACGAGGCTACTACCACACGCGCTGTGGCGGAGATGTATCGGAAACAAGAAGCTGTCACTAAGGAAACTACGAGCAAGGGAGGCGTGGACGATGACTTTGAGTATTGAAGCGATTTTGTCAGGCGAACCATAGCGAGTGTCATTGAATTCATTGGATGTCGATATTACCGCATCTCCCAGTCACACGCATTTTCTAGAATAGGACAATTGCTTAGGTGGGGTGCATCATCAGGGCTCACCATAGTGTCACTTGTTGCACTATGGTCCCACTTGTGGCCTTCCTGTACCTCTATATGATGACGGGGCAATGGTAACCCGTAGGCACCCGTTTATTCCTGTACTTTTAATCTACCATCTCATTCCGAGACAAAGCCCCTGTTGATCGGCATCTAATATCATGATCCTGCCCTATAATTCCGGTTATCAGCGGAATATCAGCGGACTCCGGGATGCTTGGCGCTGTGACCCGAGCAGGGCCCCCCTGCTCAACCCTTATGTCAACTACTACGTCCGCCTTTCCTTGTCCATAGCACGTCTTGCTAGCGGCTTGGAAGTACCCGACAACACGAAATAACATCATGTATATCTTTCTTGGCATCGCGGAATGTAACATGCCCCCCTTCGACGGCAAAGTGCCATCTCTGCCATGGCTACTAGCTCACTGCTCGTGCGGAGTCGGAGCACTTATATTCCAGTGTCAGTCCACAGTGTAATCCGTCTGGTTATCTACACGTTTCTATTGAGCTGTGCGTGTGCGTACTTAATTGTCGATATGCGTGTGTTTCAGTTGACAACGGCCCTGGGGTCGATCGTCGTTTCTGCGGCAGCTCTTACTCCCGAGTTAGTGCTGATCTTCCTACCGGATTAGTTGACTGTAACTCTTGGATGGTTGCTGATTTTTTTGTAGACAGCTTATTGAGGCTCCAAGGCGAAGTGACGCTGTTCCCAATCCATCTGGAGTAAGTTGCACTATTATTGTACATAGGTATCGATCAATGTGATTGACTTAACATAGGAAGTCGCACTCTTTTCCACCTCTGAGTACTCCTTCGAGACCCATGTTACATCATCATGGTGGAGTCTGCTGGATCTGAAGACTGGAAAAGTGACTCAACTTACCAACGATAGCAATGTCTCTGAATTGGCTTGGCTAGGGTCTACTGACTCGGGTTTGTTGTATATCAATGGCACTAATGCCGAAATTCCTGGAGGTACCGAGATTTGGGTGTCAGATACCTCTGATTTTGCCAACTCGTGAGTTACATGCAAAGTTGAATAAAACATTCCTAACTTCTATACAGTGCCTATCAAGCAGCTTCACTGCCAGCGCCACTTTCTGGTCTCAAGACAGCCATCACCAAGTCTGGAGATATTAACTTCTTGGTGTATGGAGAGTCTTACCCTAATGGAACAGCATATAATGGAGAGCTTGCTGCCACGCCCCTAAGCTCTGCACGTATCTACGATAGTAGCTACGTCCGCCATTGGGATACATGGCTCACGACGAGATTCAATGCTATCTTCTCGGGAACTCTGAAGAAGAAGAGAGCCGGGCATGGAGCGACACCCCGCTACACTTCTAGTGGATCTCTCAAGAACCTCGTCGCAGGAGTCAAGAACCTCGAGTCACCCTACCCGCCATTCGGCGATTCGTCTGACTATGACATCTCCGCCAACGGAAAGTTGGTTGCATTCAAAAGCAAGGCCCCTGAATTGCCGCGTGCAAACAACACTGCTTCATATATTTATCTTGTGCCTCATGATGGATCCAAGAAGGCCGTCGCTATCAATGGCCCAGACAGTCCTGGCACACCGAAAGACATCAAAGGTGATTCGAGCAGTCCTGTATTTTCCCCAGATGGCCGCTACCTTGCATACCTCCAAATGCAAGACGTCGCCTACGAGTCTGATCGCCGCATTGTCTATGTTTACACCATTGACTCCAAGGATACTATTCGTACATTGGCCAAGAACTGGGACCGGTCACCTAGTGCAATCAAGTGGACTGCTAACGGGAAGGACTTGGTTCTGAATACAGAGGACTATGCACGCTCTCGCCTCTTCTTGCTGCCTGCCAATGCTGGTAACGATTTCAAGCCTAAGAACTTCACCGACGGTGGCGCGGTGGCTGCATACTACGGGCTGCCTAACGGAGACTACTTGGTTTCTAGTTCTGCTATCCATACTAGTCGCACTGTTTACACCGCGAAGCCTGGCAAGGGCGTCACAGGTGTTATCTTCTCTGCTAACGAAGTTGATCCCGCACTGAAGAGCATGGGTCCATCAGACGTTGATGAGTTCTACTATAAGGGCAACTGGACAGATGTAAGTCTATTGTTCTCTCGTTCAACTGAAGAGATACTAATGTAATAGATTCATTCTTGGATTATTTACCCCCCGAACTTTGATAAGTCGAGGTCATACCCGCTCCTGTTCTATATTCACGGTGGTCCTCAAGGTTCTTGGGCCGACTCCTGGAGCACTCGGTGGAACTACAAGGTGTTTGCCGACCAAGGATATGTGGTTGTCGCACCCAACCCAACTGGTAGCACTGGATTTGGTGATAAACTCACGGATGAGATTGCGAACAATTGGGGTATGTCATCTCCATCACTCATTCCTATTCTTACCTTCTAATGATCAACAGGAGGATACCCTTATGACGACTTGGTCAAATGCTGGGAGTATGTCCGGGACAACTTGGACTTTATTGATACCGATCGTGGTGTGGCAGCTGGCGCCAGCTATGGTGGCTTCATGATCAACTGGATCCAGGGTAACCCTCTAGGCCGCGAGTTCAAGGCGCTGGTTAGCCACGATGGTACATTTGTGGCCGATGCAAAGATCTCAACCGAGGAACTATGGTTTATGGAGCATGAGGTATGTATCTTATTCGTGGTATTTGCTATGCTCGTATACTAACTCTTTCAAGTTCAACGGCACGTTCTGGGACAACCGAGACAACTATCGTCGGTGGGACCCATCAGCTCCAGAACAGATTAAACAGTTCAGTACGCCACAGCTCATCGTCCACAGTGATTTGGATTATCGGCTTCCTATTTCCGAGGGTCTGTCGCTTTTCAATATCCTGCAAGAGCGAGGTGTTCCAAGCCGGCTGCTTAATTTCCCTGATGAAAACCACTGGTAAGTAAAATGGATGCCTTCGAATGGGGATACCTCATAGAGACAATGAAGCTAACCCAATGCCATTGAAATAGGGTGGTAAACAAGGAAAACAGCCTCGTTTGGCATCAGCAAGTCCTAGGATGGCTCAATAAGTACTCTGGCATCGACACTCCAGGCTCTATCAACTTGGATCACACTACAGTTCCCGTCGTGGATTATAATCCTAAATTTTAGGTCTATGTAGTCTGCTGCGAAGGTCTTCTGCCTGTTATGTCTCAGATAGTGAGACAGTTTGTTTCAAGATGTTGGTTTCATGAATATTTCTTTTTTTCACGGTTTCTATGATGTGTCTATTATGTGTCTAATGTCTATACATGAACAATCATGTAAAGAGCTTTTGTGTGCTTTGTGTAATAGGCTACTCTGTCTGATGCAAACTAGCAGGTTAAAAACAGAGTATAAAAAGTTCCTGGTTGCCTACAAACGCTTTCCAGCAAACGCATCTACGCATCTACGCGTCAAATCTCTTCCACCTCCTCCTTCTTCCCAAAATTCTGTCTCTGTCATCTCCCAGTTCCATCAATCTCTTTTTCCATTCATCAAAAGCTATCATGCCGCCCAAGCCTTTCTCTCGTAAGGGGGTCAAGAAGGGTATGTCGCATCCTTTATCCCCTCATCCATCATCATCGCCCATCAAAAAGAAGAAAAAAGGTATACAACCAGCCATCGTAGAGCGAGCTAACAGCAGTACCCCGCCAGGCAACCCCACGACAGAGCCCTCTACCCCAAGTGAGTACTCGAACAGTTTTGGACAGCCTCAACAGGCTTGCTTCAATGGCACTACACATCAGACCTTTTCTAGCCAATATGCGCTTGGCGCAGAGATCAAAGCTGAGATGCCTTCGCTCACTCCCGCTTCTGTCTCTAATGATGAGAACGAGAGTGAGTACAGTTTTGACTTGGCTCATGTCCCGAGCCCAATTCTATTTCCATCTACCGAGGATGATCTCACCCTATGTCACGCTCCTACTGCTGATTCCACTGGCTACCCTATCTTTGTTTCCCGAAATGGACGCTGGGACTGGTATTACACTGCCTCTAACAACAAGACTACAGAGTCTTCCTCTACCCCTACCGACGGCACGACCAACGGAAATTCCAAGAACGCAAAGAGTGAGTCTGCCGATGGTCTCAGTCTTTCCCCAAATGAATTTCCCTGCACCGAGGACGACATAACCTTGTATCCTTGGCCCAACCCTGGGGCCAATCCAGCCGACAATCCCACCTTCTCTTCTCAAAACGGACGTTGGGAATGGATGTTTCTCCCATCTAACATGGATACAGAGTCTTCCCCTTCCAATGTCAAGATGGAGGATATCCCTGAGGCCAATCCCAGAATGCAGCGACCGAGCAACCCCGTCTCCACCACATTCGCGGCCGCCGACCTGGACCGCTTTGTCTACCCATTCGGCATCCCCGACAGCGACGATGATATCTCCACCGTGCCTTCGCTGGTTGAAAACATTGCCGAACAAGCCAGAACTGCGAAGCATGTGAGATTCTTCATGAACACTTCCCACGATAAGCACTTCGTCCCCATCGAAGTCCCCCCTCTCACTGGCAATGAGAACTGGCAACCCTGGTTGGCCGCTATGCGCCTGCTCTTCCGCCAGCACTCGGTGTGGCCTATCGTGACTGCGGAGCTTCAGCCACTGTCGCCTGGCCATAATCTGTATATGTGGTACCAGCGCATGCGCGATTGTGCAATTGGCCTCATCTACGCCAATGTCTCTGAGCAAGTCCGCAAGACATCTTGTTTCATGACCACCGCGAGCGAAGATGATCCTGATATTCTGATGTCTCACCTGTACGCTCACTACTCCGAACCTGATTCGGCTCACGTTCATGAGGAGGATGAGCTTGATTAAGTGGGTTTTGCTTGGGGTTTGACACGATTTGCGAGTTTTAGGGAGTACATATTGCAATATGTACTTTGTCCCGAGGTTCCCTGGTCTCTGAGGATCTTTTGCCCGTTTCACCTGGACCTTTTGATATGATCTCTGGTGCTCCTTTTTTCGAATTTTACCAAATCACCTAGTTTTTATTGTGTATTTTTACCTTAGTAGTTCAATATTCTTCTACTACATTCATAAGTTGTCAATTAAATGAAATTTGTGGCAAGTCCAGACGTTCTCTCAGTAAGGACAAGGATAGACACTTCTGTAGGTATTGTCCTTCATATTTCTGATAGTAAGTATACAAGAATAGCTCCGAACAAAACCTCTCAAACGTACTTGGCTTAATGACTCTTCCTTTTGCTTCCATATTATTTTTTTATTTTTTTCCAATTCTTAACGTTTCAGCGTATCTATGTATATCTCTCCAATAGGACAAATGACTTCAAGTTTGCAATATATTCAAGCACCAGACTATGTAATGATATATATGTATATTTATGGACACCATAGCACAACAGACACCAAACCCCAATCTAGAACCCATTCGAATTCTTCTGCGCCGTAATAACATCCCCCTTATCCACAAAGTCCGCTAGCACCACATTCGGTGCACGCCCATACAGCCCAGCACATAGCGCCGCCTGGGCGCCAATGCTACCATATCCCGTCGCAGCATTAGTAGTGCCTGCCTTGTGGCGAGCTGGAATCTTTATTCCGAGAATATCGACGTCGAGGAAGTGGTTGACAATGCCCATACGGCCTGTAGCGGCGGCGCCAGAGGGCCGGTCGATGCTGCAGCTCGAGAACGAGGCGTCTGTGACATCGTAGACTGTCTCAAAGTAGTAGGCAAACTCGTCTTGAATGTAGTTCACTTTTTTAGTGTCGGCACCGTAATCTGGGAATCGTTAGCCTCGATTATGTAGGTCTTGGTCTTCGCAGGTGCTGCTTTTTACCAAGGAATACGACCAATCTCTTTCCGCTAGAGATCATATCACCCAGTGTAGGCCATTTTCCAATTGGTAGCGGATTTGCGGGAGGAACGTAAGCATAGTGGGAAATCCCGCTGCTGGAGAAAGTGTCCCCAAATTCGGTGATTGATACTGAGTCTCCGTTGGTCAAGAGGAGAGTGATAACTTCGTTCGGGTGTGCATCCAGCCAGTTTTTGATAGTCGTCAAAAATGAATTGAGTGGTCCTGCATCTTCAAGGAGACATGATGTATGGCATAGCTCTATGACCTTTTTGTCGATGATGGAATGGTGTGTTTGTGCTTGTAGGTACCGGATTCCCATGTCGAGTTGGGCTTTTATATCGATATTCTGGTTCTGCTGGGGTAAGGGTCCGACAAAGGCTGAGTCGTGGGAGCCTACGAATGTGATATTTGAGTAGGACCGGGTACAGTACTCTGAGTGGCCATTGCAGATTGTTGGAGCTATTGTTGAGATCGACGGAGTGGGCGAGGATATAAATACGGAGGACTGAGATGCTTGCGGAACTAGTGTTCCTGACCCAGACAATGCGAGCGCAGGCTGTAGAAACAGGAGAGCACTAAGTATTACATGTGTCAGTCCTTGGTTAGTTCGGCCCATTGTATTATAAGTCGCTTTGAGCTATACTTGGTTCTGAAGAAGGCGCAAATGGGCGTTATTTCTTCTTTTATGCTCCTAGACTTGGTTCTTGTCCTCGCAGACATCGTGATAAATATCTTGTGTCCTATGTCACGTAGGAGTGACAGCTGCTCCCGCAAGAGTAATATCAGCTGCCCCAGTGGGGGTAATATACCCATGTCGATTCTCGCATTCACGAGGCCCACATGTCGATCTATGATCAAATGAACCCTAAAGCAAAGAAAAAACTGACCATAATCACGTCGGCTGTGAGATATACCCATGGTGATAGGACATGATGACTGGAATATCCCAGTCTCCTCGTGACCGCAGGCACGCACCAATAGTAGGCCTCATAGACGGTCATCACTGATTTTTTTCCGGAGGGTGTCCCAGATATTTTGATCTGAGAGGGATTTGCCTATACATGCAAGGGGATTGAGATAGGTGAGCTTCTTAAATCTCGCTGGTGTTGTGTCTCCTATATGGGCAAGGTTTGGCGATTCGGCAGGGCCGAGGGGATTTTGGAAGTGAACACAAATGATCTATCATTTTCTAGAGTGACAAATTTTATGTTAGTGAGTCTTTTCCTTTTTTTCGTCTGTATTTTTACTACGGAGTACCCCGTAAGCTTTTTGAATTCTCGGAAAAGGTACGCATTGCAGGCGCCAAATAGTATTGACCACATAGCTTTTCAGCTTGAGATTTTGGCAAGCCAGGTTCTCTCTATTTTGACTTTTACATATGTATTTATATGTAGTGTCTCAGTTGAAGCCCTTCATGGGTATTGCATCACTACATTAACACCGCTTGTTGCGAATCGCCAATCGAAGTGATACCACAGGAAATCAAGTTTATCATACATATATTCATGCAGTGCTCAGTAATCTGTATGGAATGCCCATCAAGGTTCATTGTATAGTGATCTCATGCAATTTTCTCTTCTCTATACAGGAAAGCTAAAGGGTACCAGTACAGATTCTCTGAGCAAAACGATTTAGAAACCAAGCTTTCTTCAAAAAGCTGTCAATGCTACAATATTAAGGGATATGATATTGAAGTAATAACTAGGATCTTGTGTATCGACTTTGGAGTTACACAAACAGTGGACTGCCACTCACTTGCAGAGCCCTCACTTGCAGAGCCCTCACTTGCAGAGCCCTCACTTGCAGATAACCCTGCATTAGATGTAATGTGTAGTACAGAGGATCTTTCAAGTTTTCCAGATCTATTTAAGTATGAGACTGCTCACTTCCTCTTTTATTCTGCTTTTATCATTACAATCTGGCATAGTCTCGAGCTTAGATCCCGAATCCCGCAAACATGTTCCAACCCTACAACCTGACTATGTTGGATCATCTTCCGCCTAGAATGCATCTCAATCCATATTTTACATTTAATTTAATTGGCAAGGATCGTGTGCAGGTCTTCCAGCGAGTCGAGGACGCAACGTCTCGTTTGGCCTCCAAGTTTCCCTTCCTGGCTGGGGTGGTGGTTCCATCCACCCAACCAGTCGGTAGAAGCAACGCGTTTCAGGTGCGCCCTGCTACTGCTGCCGAGCTTGAAGAATGCCCTATGTTGGTTATTCAACATCATGCAAACTCCACTGCTCTAAGTGTGGAAGGGAAATTCAACCCTGCTTTGGTGCCATTTCCACTCATCTATCCAAATCCTAGCCCTTCTCCCGTGCTACGGCTAAAGTTTAATGTCATAGGAGACAAGTTGCATATGGTGTGGTGCTTTGATCACCGAGTGGTGGACGGGTCAGGAGTTTTTTTTCTGTTCTATACTTTCGCCGCCTTCTGCCGTGATCTAAATGCACCAGAACCTACAACTATACATGCACAAGAAAAGATAAGGCAGCATATCGAGGAAATCGCAACTACAAGTACACCGCTAGATCTTCAAATGCCTGCCTCACCTCCCCCAACAAGCGAAGATGAAGTACCCACAGGGTTTAGTCGAGTTCCCATCAGTTCCCGTTATGTACTCGATGGCCAGAAGATAGAATTGCTGCACGAGGCCTGCAATTCGGCTATACGATCTCTACCTGAGACATACAAGAAAAATATTCCCAACCTGTCCCTCCCACCGAGTATGGTCGTCACCGCACTGGTGGGCATATGTAGTACTCGCGCCCGCTTGAGAGCATTCCCCGACGACCGGGAACTCACATCCGAGATAGCTGTTGCGGCAAACATTCGAAAAGCAATCGATTTGCCTCCAGCATATCTTGGCAACGCCATCATGAACTTGCAGAGCACGTGTGATAGCTCTGCGCATCCTCCGCCTGACATTTTGCAAAAAATCCATGTCCCAGGGCCTCTCAGTCCGATAGGGCCGGAAGATATCTGGCAGATCTGCAACGTTGTCCAGACTCTTCAGGAAGGATCCAGACTCCTAGACAAGGAGTTTGCTCAGAGAAAAATAGCAACAATGGTTCGCGAGCATGATTGGAGTTCAATCGGACCCAAGACTGGGGCGAATTTCATTGTATCTGATATCAGCGCAGCAAAACCTTATGCGAACTTTGGGCCACTCGGAGACCTTCAGTTATTCGACCTGCCTTTCGATACATTTGCAGGCATTTGCTGGATAATGCCTAACCTACCATCTGATCCTAAGTCATCATCATGCTGGAGATTGCGAGTGGCTTTGGAACGGGCGGCGATGGAGTGTCTATCGAGTGACCCTCTCTTCCGGTGGGCTTCAACTCCGAGTACAGCGTCCAGACAAACTAGAATCTAAGCCAAATGACCTGTTCTTTCTCGTTGGCTATACTATTAGTTCAATTTTGACCCACAATATAGGGTCGGCTTTTGGTTTTTGATGAATGTATACTCTCCTCGAGAAAATTTCTATACCTAAGTGGTTTATGCTCACTCTCCGCCAGCATGAGATAGGTGTATATTTGTTGTAGTCTTTGTAACAGATGTATAGGGGATTATCAAATTCGTTCATACCTCATAGTTATCTACTTTTCATATGACTATAAGCAATAATATTTAGCCGCTTACGCGGCCTCTGTCCTTGGCGGCGTAGGACTATGAATCTGCTTCATTTGACCAAGGATGGATGATATAACTGATGTTATATGTGAGAATACTCCGATATGTTTTTGGAAGTTTTTTATATGTCATTTTAGATGTATATCAAGGTGGTAAAAAGCATAGCCCATACAGGACTTTTCTATGTATAATCCGGGGAAAGAAAGAAAGAGAATCAAGATAGAGAGTACTCCGTATGGCAAGTCGTTCCATATATCGATCCCAGTGAGTCGAGAATGCATGATCATTGTTCAAAGACCTAACTAGCTGTTATAAAATACGAGAACACTCATCATGCGAGGCTTTTATAGAAACTCTCGATATCAAGATTATTGTTTAGAGTTGAGAAAATGTATAATTACCTCACTACTCGATTGTCCTTCGACCACGATACTTCCAAGGTAGAAAACTGAGAAACACTATATCCTCATCAGAGAATATCTAAAAAATTTTTTGAATATCATCATATAATAAAGCGTGAAAGCGTACCTGGTAGTACCTGGCAGCCACTTGTGGCTGGTGTTCGGCCCCTAAAACGGCCCCGACCCAGGTAACGGAGCTCTGAACTCTCATTCTCCACTGTGTTCATACCCCTCGAGCTCAACACTCCACGCCTTTACTCTATATTATACTACCTCGTAATTTCCCTCCTATTCTCCGAAAGAACCGCCCGATCAATTCCACAATCGTCCTCCCCCAGCACGCCATCGCTGATTCGGCTCTCCACGCAATCTACATAACGGGGAGCAATGGTCATTCGGAGATCTCGCTCATGAGCTCGATGGCTGAGGGCAATGAGGGTTGGTCGCGCGAGGACGAACTTGACCTAGGCCAGGAAGATGATTCCCAACAACCCGACCATGGCGCCCTTGACAAAACATTACCTTCCCCGCAGGAACCAGTGGAAGAGGAATTGGACACAATAGACGATGTGGAGGATCACGATTCCGAGAAGACAGCGGGACCGCATGATTTCAAGTTCCCAGAAACCCCTCCGCCGCGACATGCGGACTGGGCCGCGACAGGGAGCGTGGATGGAACAGGGTCAAACCCCGACGACTCCCCATCGCTACATGTTAGTGGTACAATTGGCGCATAACCTGGATAGCTAGCTGATAATGACAGGGCTCTCTTCCTTCCTCTCTGAGTAGCAGTGCTCTTGCGCTCCGCGGATCTCCGCGGGTTAGCCCAAGCCCGGCCCGTCGCCCCTTTGACCTTCGCTTCCAGTCCCGGCTATCTTCCTCGCCGCAAAGTGTGCATAGAGCCGGCTCGCCATTCCTAGCGCACCTTCACTCCCGGCAGTCTTCAATAACCAGCCAGATTTCCCCGACCCCAGAAATAGAAGCCGAACCGGTCCAGGGGCCTTGGGAGGTGGTGCGATGGACAAAGCTGCGGAAGATCAGTGGGCAGGCGTTTTCGGAAATCGGGATGCGCAATTTCGGAAGGCCAACTTGCCTTGCAGTGTCCACATCTATTATAATAGGTACATCCAAGGGTATCATTCTCGTGTTCGACTATCAGCAAAGCCTGAAGACTATTATTGGAACAGGCACACCAGGTTTGTCAAAAGAAGTGTACATCCTCTGGCCCATTTTACTGACGATCACCTAGCTGTTGAATGTGGTGCTGTTACATCTCTAGCAATTTCCGCAGACCATTCTACCGTTGCAGGAGGCCATGACTCGGGCGATATCTTTACGTGGGAGATTTCGCGCTCAGCAAAGCCTTTCCTTCACATCTCCCCAATTCCGGTCAATCAAGTTGAGACTCGAACATCTGATGGCCATCTTTCAGGATCCGCGGTCATTCATATCGGGTTTCTTGGCACCAGACGAACCGCACTAGTCTCGGCTGATACACGGGGCATGTCGTTCTCGCACCTGGCAACAAGAGGAATGGGTGCAGTAGGGCGAACAGTCAAGACAACTCGAATCCTGGGTCGATATCCCCAGCCTACGGCGGAGATCAAACGACGGAAGCCTAGCTCTGTCCTTGCTTTCTCTCCTCTGCCCCTTGGCAACGTAGAGCAATCCACTGATTCTTTGGGTCTCGTTGCTATGCTGACACCCTATCTTCTTGTTATTGTGTCCACCACACCAGTGGCGCAAACCCAACACAAAGCGCCGAGACCCAAAGAAGTTCCCGCTCACAGTGCCATGACCGGCGCCTTGGCATGGTTTCCAGCAATTCGACTGAAGGGCAAAGACACTCAAACTTCAAACACGAAGCTTGTCTACTGCTGGTCAAATGTATTGACCGTGCTCGAAGTCTCAGATGCCGAGTCTGACGAGCATGCAGACAAAGACAAGCCTCCTAGCCTCGTCTTTAGAGCGCGCAGCAGATGGAGAGCAGATGAAGCTATTGTGGCTGTTCAGTGGCTCAGTCGCTCGGTACTCGCGGTGTTCACAATAACGCAGCGGCTACTGATCATCGAGGATTATTCTATGCATGTGACAGACTCGGTCGATCTCGCCAACAGACTCGTATATCACACCGATCTCTTTTCGTCACAGCTTCATTCGCTAGTTGAACAGCTTGACGAAGAGGACGAATCTATGCACGGAGTAGTAGCAGATGCATTCCATATGAGTTTTCGTTCTTATAAAGGGCGCTTGTTCTTGCTTGGTTATAACGAAGCCTTGGTAGGCAATCTATCAAATTGGGCTGATCGCTTGCTAGCGCTTATGGAGGCCGGTGACTTCATTGGGGCCATTCGACTAGCAACCTCCTTCTATACGGGAGAGTCGGAAAAGCTGACGGTTGGGCTTCCAGAAGAGGATGTTTCGAGGCAGCCTATCGTGCAGGAAAAGCTTTTGGAAATGATATCCGCATCGCTCAAGTATGCTTTTGGTCGAAACTACCAAGCAACCAGCAGCCGAGTTGAGAACCAGCAGCTAGAGGAGCTCGCAGAAGTTTCTATCGCGGCTTGTATCTACATGGCCGACGAAGAGTTCCTCTGGGAGGAAGTCTTCAACTGGTATGAGGAGCAAGATTCGGCAGGCATTTTCCTGGATGCCCTCGAACCACGCATCGTTGATGGAACTCTCCGATCACTACCTCCGACTGCGGTCAAGGCCTTGATTAACCATTTTATTGGAACTCACTCGGCCGGTCGCTTGGAGGAGATCATCTGTCTCCTTGATACTAGTACAATGGACATCGATCAAGTCACAACGCTGTGTAAGCAGCACAATCTTTACGACGCCTTTATATATGTATGGAACCGCTGTTTGATGGATTATGTGGGACCTCTAGAAGAGCTACTAAGTCTCATTCCCTCCCACTCCGAGCCCTTGGTCAACGGTGACTATATGGTTGAGATGAGACGGCAGAACAATGCGATGAAGATGTTCCCCTACCTGTCATTTATCCTGACGGGTCGTGTTTATCCCACTGGAGATGACATGGATGAGGTTGAAGCCACGCGAGCCAAGACAACCTTGTACCAATTCCTCTTCTCGGGCCGTGGATCCGGTACTATGCCTGGAGATACCAACGGGGCAGACGACTCCTTCTCCCAACTTCGAGCTATGCTCAAGTTCGATGCTTCCAGCTTCATGAGCATGCTCAACGAGGCATTCGAGGACAGCTTCCTAAATGAACCCGAGGGCGAGGATATCTCCGCATCGGGCATGTCAATCAATCGACAGTACCTCATTAGCATTTTGCTGCAAGTCATGGGCGATGCTTTCTTCACACCTTTTGACACCATCTACCTGGATATGTTTGTTGCGCGCAATCTTCCCAAATACCCCCAGTATATTCTCCTTTCTGGCACGATCCTCCACCAGGTTCTGGTCCGCGTATGCCAATATCCCGAGCAGGAAATGGCAGACGATTGCGAATTGAGTGCAGAGTATCTGCTGTCTTTTTACCGCCCACCGGACATCGATACCATGATTCCTTTATTTAAAGAGGCACGCTTTTTCCGGATTCTCAAGTCGACTTACCGTGCAGAGAAGCAATATCCTCTATTGGTTTTGACTTATCTAGAGGATCCGAATGACCGTGATGCCATCTTCACCTGCCTGCATGACTGCCTCCGTCCAGGCTCTGGGCTTGGCAAGAAACAGAGATGCGACATAGTGGATGTAATCAAGGAGCATGCCCTGGAGATTGCTACAATTAACGTGACACACGCTGCACAGACGATGCAAGCCTTGGTCCCTGAAACACACTCTACTTTTTTGCGGGTTCTAGAAAATGATCCCCAGAACCAGTATCAGTACTTGTTAGTCCTGGTTGAGCCGCACGCTCAAACTGCGGACACGCGATCTTTGCCTAGTATTGAGAACTGGATGATCGAGCGCTACGTACAGCTTTTGTGTAAATATAACCCTTCTCATGTCGCGGACTTTGTCGACGGATTGCGAGTCGGCGACATCCACCTGGATGAACTGCTCCCGTACATCGAGGAAAGCGGAGCCATCGATGCTGCCGTCATCCTCCTCGCCCGACAGGGCCAAGTCCGCGAGGCCCTTGACCGTCTTGTCGCACACCTGAGCACCCTCGAATCTGGTCTGATAGGCATCCTCCAGAGCGTGCGCGAGAGCCCTGACTCAGCGACCACCGCCGAGGCAATTGACGACCTGATCGAGTCGCTGAACAAGTATGCGGGTGTCGGAACGTGGCTCTGCCAGGGCCAAAGCAAGACAGCCAAGCAGTCGCGCGCAGGCAGTGCCAACGGCAAACGCAACGCGCCAACTCTCGACCAGCCTCTGGCCTTCGATGAACTCCTCTGGCTCGACCACATCGAAGCCGTGGTCCGCATTGCAAGCAACGTCTTCGCCTTCATCCAGGGAAACAACACCCAACTAACCCTCCCCGCTCAATTACCAACATCCCTCGCCGGTGAAAACGGCCGCCTAACAACCTCCTTCCGCACCGTCGTCCAGCAAGTCTTCACAGCCCTCCTAGCAAGCACGGTAAAAAGCAGCCCAGTCACAACCACAACCGAAAGAACAGACATGTCCTTCCTACGCATCCTGCGCGCATTCCTCACCCGCGCCGCAACCTGGTCCTCCTCCCTCCTCGAGCTGCGTGCCGTGCTAGCCTCCATCTTCTCCGCCTACTCCTACGAGAAATCCCTCCTGACCCTCGCAAACGGCATGCTAGACCGCGACCTCTTCATCCACGTCGACGAAGTCTCCCGTCTACGCCAGCAAGGCTGGCGGCCTCGCGGTCACGTCTGTGAGATCTGCCGCCGCCGCATCTGGGGCCCCAGTGTCGGTGACGCGCATTGGTCCGCATGGGAAGCGCGAAGCGCTGATACCTATGCGCGCCGCATCGCAAGACGCAATGAGGATAGCTATAACCCGTCCGAGCGCGGGAAGGGCAAGGCTGCTGATGTCGGGATCGGTCATCTGTCGCGGCTAGATGCGGGTGCGCATGCGCATGCACATGGACATGCCCACGTTCACCGCGAGCATGGCACTCATGGTGGTGGCGGTGTGTCTGATGCGCACGCCGATCATGATCACGACCATGACCACGGTGAGGCTGAAACTGGGTCTGGATCCGGCGCTGTGGCTGTGGCTGCAGTCGCGGACAGTCCCCCAGAACCCGTTGTCGTTTTCGCCTGCCGACACCTCTACCACCGACGCTGCTTGCTGGACGCTGTCAGCGCGGGAGCTAGACCCGCTGAAACCGCGTTTCGGCGCGACCATTTGCCCGACCTGTTCTGCCCGGCCTGTACATAGTTTTTCCAGTGGATAGCGGTGATGATTATTTCCTATGTGTCTAGGGATATTCCTTTGTTATTTTTTCCCCCATCTCTTTGCTTTTTCCTACTTCAGGTGCTGTTCGGGGAATATCCCATGAGACACGCGATCGTCTTGCATATAGCCATTCTCCTTTTTCCCTGTTCATCTTTTTTAACTATTTTTAACTATCAACGAGTGTAATGTAATGTGATTTTCAAACCAGGTCTATCCCTGTTATAGTCCGTCTTCACTAATCACCCATGTATTCTGTGTGAAGCAGGTGATAGTAATCGTGAGGTTCTCCGCTTCAGCTGTTCGGCTCATTCTCCAAGACATGCTCTTGGCAGGATCTGTACTCCCGATGTCTACTCCGGATTATCATTTGGTCTCGTTGCAGGGGTTCGCGGGGAACACTAATATGACACGGCATCTTTTTTCCGTGACATGCTGGAATGTGTGACCGTGGTAGTATTTGGATTTAGAGTGTCTGGTGTCTGTGCTTTTGCGGGCAGTGATCTACAGTACCTATATAGGGTATGAAGTAATACTTTGCATAGATGTGATAAATGTGATGGATGTAACTCTCGAGATGACACTGTCATTTCAAGGTGTTCTATATCAGTTTTAGGCATGATCTCCGTGGGAACTAGTTCCACAATCACAATATGCCGGGGTACATGAACATAAGTACTGTCACGGGCCTATATGTAGGTGATGGTACTTTTGTCCCAAGTACCTTAAAGGGGTTAGAGAGACCTGGTGATTGGAATTGGATTTCAATAGATTCCAAATTCTGTCACTTCATATTTCGACTTCTCCTCAGATTCTCCATCGAAACTCTTTTTCACGAAAAATCAACTGATGAACTTTTTACCAGGGAAGGGTAAAAGTAGAAAAAGAAAAGAAAAGCCCCCAAAGCTTGGCTGAAAATCTCCAAACAGCCCATGTGGCCTATCATCTTCTGTCTCTTCCCTTGTCTTCCCTTGTCCACTCTATAAAAACCTTGGATGTCGGCGGCAACCACTCTGATTGGTCTTGTTAGTGCCTGCTTTGATCCCTTTTCTTATATAAATTCGAAACATTCCAGTGTTATGGTTAGTGTCGGCGCTTATATCCGTTTTATATATTGTTCGCCGTGATTAGACTGCTATGTTGTACACATTCATACATTGTAGAAGAGTTATGTTGTTGTCTAATCTACTCTAGATGCTAATACGAATACATTTTAGGCTAGACCAGTTCGGCAATCAATGATTTACATTGATCCAGGGCTCGGAGATGTCAGACTCTGATATTGCGTAGATGTTTCAACGTCGCCCCCTATTGCCGCATGTCTTCGATTGGTCTGGTGGATGTATCACGTTGTTCTATTCTTTTTCTTTTTTTTTTTTTTTTTTCTTTTTTTTCCGTTTGTCATTTTTCCTGGGGAGGGTGGACGCGCCTCAAGTATATAATTGATCCCATCTCCCCTTTTTATAAGGCAATCAATTCTAGTCCTTCCTTTGTGCATTTTCATATTTGCATATACCTATTGTCTCCCTATTCATCTGTATTTATTCCTTTCCTCCCATTGTTCATTTACCAGTTTGGTCAGTGTATGTGATACTAGACCTCCAGTGTTTGACAGACTCCCTCTTCCCAATCCCTCTTCTTCCTTGCAAATATTCTGCAAAGATCTTAGCATTTAGGCAAAATGCACGTTCTCTCCACCATCCTGCCTGCTCTGGGCTTGCTAGCCCATGTATCTTCCGCCGCATACACCCTGCGCGATGACTATGGTACCTCGGACTCGTTCTTCGACCGGTTCAACTTCTACACAGTATGTCCTCCACTAATCCTATCTCTTTGTCCCAACTGTAATACTCATCCAATATATAGGACAGAGACCCTACCAACGGCTTCGTGAGCTACGTTGATCGTAACACCGCCGTAGCCAACGGCCTCATCAACACAGGTAATGGCGTCTACATCGGCGTCGACCATTCCAACACCGCCACCAGTCCTGGCCGCAAGAGTGTCCGCCTGGAGGGTACCACCACCTACAAGCATGGCCTTGTTATTCTCGATCTAGCCCATATGCCCGGCAGTGTATGTGGCAGCTGGCCCGCCTTGTAAGAGCCTCCTTCTTATCCCTTGTTCTAATATAAACTAACCCCCCACAGCTGGATGCTTGGCTCGAACTGGCCAAACAATGGCGAAATCGACATCATCGAAGGCGTAAACGAGCAATTACAAAACCAAGTGGCCCTGCACACCTCCAACGGCTGCACTATCAACAACAGCGGCTTCACAGGCTCCCTCCTAACACCAAACTGCTACGTCGAAGCCCCTGGCCAATCCTCAAACAGCGGCTGCACAATCCAAGACGGAAACACCCAGTCCTACGGCACAGGTTTCAACAACGTCGGCGGCGGCGTCTACGTTACTGAATGGACCAGTTCAGCCATCTCAGTCTGGTTCTTCCCTTCCTACGCTGTGCCAGGTGATATCTCGTCTGGAAATCCTAACCCGGCGGCTTGGGGTGCGCCCACGGCTCGCTTTGCCGGTGGCTGTGATATCAATTCGCATTTCAATGATCTGCAAATCATCTTTGATATTACTTTCTGTGGCGACTGGGCGGGCTCGGTTTGGGGTTCGTCGAGTTGTGCTAGTCGGGCTGGATCGTGTGTCGACTTCGTGCAGAATAACCCTTCGGCTTTCCAGGAAACTTACTGGCGGGTGCGCTCGCTGAAGGTTTATCAGGATTCGACTATCATGGGTGTTCAGGTGGGGGATGTGGACGAAGAGGTTGATGTGGTGGAGGTCGATGTGGAGGTTGATGCTGGTGGGGATGACTCGGAGTTGTTTGAGCATTCTGCCCCTAAATCCTCTATGAAGCATCGTCGCGGACATCACCGTGTTGGACATGGTCATGGTCATGTTTAGATGGCGATGATGACGGTGCTGGCTGGATGGATTGTTTTTTGCTTTGAGGGCGATATGGGTTCGATCTGTTTTGCATTTCGATTGTGATTCCCCCTTTTTTTTCAGCCTCTTGATTCCCATCTGTTTTACGGTCTCTTTACTCGTCTGGGGTCCCCTGGCCTGTGCTAGCGGCTGTGGAGGGACGAGCGCGCTTGATACGCTTCATGCTTTACGCTTTATGACTTTGTGAATACCGTTTCTATCTCGATAGTGATATGAGAAATCAAAATCTGCAATGAGGATTATGAGCATAGTTATTGTTTTGTAGATATTTCGTCTGGACTGTAAGTGCCGAGTAAATCTTCGATGGCTATACAGCCCGTAGGATCTTCGACTTTAGGTCCGACAAGATGCTACTAGAAATAACAAGTAAGACGACATCATTCATTATGTACTCGAACATATGTAATATCTAACAGTCATATTAACATTATTATTAAAATCTCAATACCCAAACCCAAGAACATCACGCTGATCATCCGTAAGCCTCCCCCACTCCAGAAGCAGCCGGAAGAAGTAAATCTCCATATCCTCCTTTCTCAACGCCGTACCCGCCCACTCCCGCCCTTCCTCCGCAATCAATTTCCCCTCTCGATGATGCGCCTTCATTCGCACCTGACTCTCGGGAGCAGACACGCCCGCAAAGTACGCAAGCGTACTCCACAGCCCATGAAGACGGATATCAACAGGAACGAAGTGCATCCACGAAGTGACACGGGAGTCGAACCACTGGCGGAACAGACCCGTTTTGAGAGGTAGGCTGTGGCTGTGTAGGAAGGGGAGGAAACGGCCGCTGAATCCAGCGCCGTCGAGGTCGAAGAGGAAGCGGTGCGACCAGTGTGCTTGGAAGTCTGCCCAGCCAGCGGTACCCAATTCTGCGGCTTGTTCAGCGCAGTCCTCGCAGCGGACGATTGGGTTGGCGAGGTGGACGGCGGTTTGGAGATGTAGGTTTGAGGTTGGGGCGTTGCCGTCCATTATTTTGTAGCGGAAGAAGTTTTCGTTCGAGTCTGTTGGGAGGAGGACGGAGACTTTGTTGTTTGTGTTGTTGTTTATTAGGTGGGCGAAGCGCTGGCGGGGCATTCCTTTCCATTCGCCGAAACGGCTGATGCCTTCTGATGTGCTGCCGAGCCAGTAGAGGGAGTTCTGTTTTTGGCTGTATTCTGGATCTGGGTGTTCGTCTGTGGGTTCGTATTTTGCTTTTTCGATGTAGTTCCATGGGCTTGGGAAGAGGATGTCGTTAAACCCAGTTATAGCACTCTGGCTGAATACCGGGATGAGTTCCTGTGACACCTTAAATGAGGCTGGGGAGATTAGAAGACCGTGGAGAAAGGCAAGGTCTGGTTGGTGGCAGATTTCAGAGGCGATGTTGTAATCGAGGGGGAATTGGCCCATAGAATGAGGAGCTATGCAGGATAGACAGGTTTCACGACGATTCCAGATTCGCTGAGATCGAGCCTTTGATGAAGGTGGGCAGACTGCGCTCACGTAAGGGTCGAAAATGCCCCTCCACGCTCCGTCGGTGAATACGGTAATGTTGGTTTGATCGGCTGGTTCAATCGGGGCCCAGCCCTCTTCTCTGTTTGTCGACCAAGTCTGCACCAGGCGCTCTTGAGGGATCACTTCTTGCATTTCGGTCTGTCGGTTCAGCATTGAGATCTTCTCCCAAGGAACTGCAACACGTGGTTCATCATTCAGATTGAAAACCAAGTCCATATCTGGGAGATATTTGGCGAAATCTTTCATCATATCCGCGGCACCCTGCACCATCCACGCATGAGTCGGTTTGATGCCTTCTTGCACCATGGCCGTGCCGTTGCGAATAATGATACCACCGAGATCATTGAAAGGGTTGGTGGCCAGTTCGTGCGTCATTGCACGGATGTGCTCCGGGGCCAGGGCTCGGAAGGGAAGTAAATCATGGTGTATCTGGTCGAAATCATCAATGATAGCTGATGATCGGTTAGTGGCATATCGATACCATTCGTCAAAGCCCCTAGACGAAGATTAGTTGAGTCATACAAGAGACATTGTTATACAAAACATACGGTGGTGGATGCTGGTTATATCGCCTCCGGTATTCGGTAACAGCATCTCCGAGATTCCTGCTCATAGCTGCCTGAGCGAGATAGTTCTCATGCTGAATTTTGCCATTGTTGATGAGGAACTCAATCGGATGTCTATCAACAAGGCTATGATTGCTCACTGCAAAAACGAGACTAATTCCACATAGCACGGCGAACAATATTTGCATGGCAACGTTAGTGCGGTATAATCTCGGCTCTTCGTCATGAACCACTCGCGCAAAAAGAAATAGGAGGGCTCCCGTAAGCGACATAGCGAACGGGAGGACAGCATGAGCTAGGGAGATGAATGGGAAGGACGATTGTACCCCGGTGAGGACCGATACAGAGGAGAAGTATACGATCATGAAACCGCCAATAATTGAGACTCCCAGGATATCGAAATGTGGTAACTAGGAAAATTAGTACTGATGGAGAAATAAATAAGGAGAATTGGGAAGACTAACCATATACCAGGCCGACAAGACCAGTATCACAACCAACACAGACTGGCTGAAAGCACCGCGCGAATACTCTAGGTCCAACATAGGTTGACCAGCAAGTTCAGGAGAGCTATCTGGTAATGGTACCAACATTGATAAAAGACTCCAGACTAAGGAAAGACCCTAGAAGGACTGTCAGAACATGTATAACCAGCACGATCGTAGACGGCCACTTACCAAGAGGCCAGCGCCAAGGCATGTCAAAGCTCGTTTTCTGCGCGCATCATCAAATTGAGAACCAATCCGACATAGCTCGGTGATACTAATAAGTATAACAGAGTCAGCAACCAGGTTGAACAGCCTGTATGATCGTAGTCGCGATGCGCCATGCAACACAATGGGACAGATGTATGTTGACCGAGTTCCAGCCGAGAAGGATGAAGCCAAGAGCCCACCAATAGACAAAAACGCAGCTGCAATTAAACCTCTGGAGCGACTTTGCGTAAGATAATAGAAGCTCCGACGGGAAACAGAGTAGACCACTTGCAGCGGCAGCTTTTCGAATTGTTGGATGGGGACATATCTGTCTACTTGTCGCGGTCGCTGGTTGCGCCAGTAGTCATAGAGCGAAATCACGAAAGGAATAGCGTACTATTCAAGACAGCGCGTTAGCCGCATGCAAAAATTGAACGATAACCAAGGTATTTGGTCACTCACAGCGTATCCAGCAGGCGCGCATTCGGGATTCCGAGTTACCTGGCGGAATGATTCAAGGCGCAAACCACACAACCCCATAAAAAGACCTATCTTTATCCACCACGATTGAAACCGTAGCCGAGGGCGAGTCTCGCCATCGCCCAGTGAGAAAGATGAGGTCGATACACGGGAAGGAAGCTCAAATTGCTCCGCGAGAGGAATAGCTGGTCGTTTACTTATCGGCGAGGATGGCGATGACCCCAATGAAACGAACCGACTCCATACTAGTAAAGTAATCCCGGTAAGGAAACAGACCAGAACAGATGTACTGACGGGGCGGTCTTTATCGGCGCAACAGTCAGATCACGTTCTATAACTATATTGATATCAACGGCGGCGACTCACCAAAAGCGAATGTGGTATTGTAGGAAGTAGTAAGGAATAGCGAGCTCAAAAGAAACGTGCTACTCATAGAATGCGATCGTGAGCTTGAGTTTTTAGTAACATAGCTTGCTAGGTACTCACCCCACACAGGCCTTCGGCCCAAGGTCGGAAGATAAATGTATCATATTGCGCCCAATCGTGTTATGGTCGTTAGGAAGCGTGATAGGCCATCGCTATGATTTCAAGAATGAACTGAACGATTGAAAGGGCGCAAGATCAAAGAGCAGAAGATTAACCTCCTGTGGGTCTCCAGGAGATTGACAGTGTTCGAAACATGGGAAAAAAGCAGGGCAGGGAGGACCAAGAGGGCCCTTTGCTCCATTATTGACGACTAATCAAAGCCATCCCCGGGGCCGGAGTGTTGATCCATTAGGGTTGCGTCAACGGACGGGCGATGATATCTTTGACCGTTGGACTTTTTTTCGCTGTGCTCGTAACCATGGACCCTACCTGGCACCGCTTGTATTCCTGGTAAGTATCTTGCCAATGATAACGGCGGAATGTCTGCAGCCACTGCGCCCAAATGTGTTAGCTCCTAGTAGTTAGCCGGTTTTGTACTGGAGTTATATTGCCAAAGCTCGTAAGCAAGAAATACCGAGCTGACCAGCGGCCAAAATCAAGGCTTGGTCTACTTCAAGCCCCACTTCTACACGGGCGAGCGTCATGTTGGACCTTTCAGTGCATACAACATATGTATGTTGGACTTTGGGCACAAAGTATATCATGCCCAGCCCTGTAAGCAGACACTGCAACTCTTCCAATACATGCCCATAAAGAATGTTCATAGGCAGCAATAAGTAGTGCACGCGTCATCTCGGTGAAGACACTATATTCTATCGGCTCATTCGGCTGAGATGTCGTGAAATAAAGATGGTCTGGGCGACCCATGGTATTGCAACCACTTAGACTAAACTCAAAAAGGCTAGTGTATGTACTAATTGGGCAGGTTTACGTCACCTGGTAGTCATGTGACTTGGCCAGGGTCCAGGGGATACGTCGACTGTCTGCCCAATAAAACTGCATTCGCGGCTAGTCTGTTTCGACCCTTCGATTTTCAACATATAATGCACGTGACTTCCCGCCTAGTGTTTACGGGACCAATCACACGATATAAAAAGACCCGCACCGTGTAGCTTCAATAAAGAACATTTCGAAGAGTAAAAAAAAATATGTGCTTCTCTTTGATTAAGCGTGTCATCCTTAGTGCAGGGGCCATGCTAATCTTCTCTGTATATTTTCATTTGACCATATGCCCCGAAGGGCGAAATGTTTATTCGTTCTGTACTATATAACCTCACTTTCTGGCAGAATTATACCGCCTACCTCTTTAGACCGTGGCTGGCAGATCCAGCCACGTGATATGAGATAAAAAGGCCTGGGCGGTGGAATGCCTCAGGCGGTGTCGGACAGCAGTATCATTTTTTCTAACCGCTGGGAAGTTTTTTGGTCGCAAGACGAAGTGAAGTGTTTTTTTGCCAATCAACACTAATCCGGAATCGCCATGCCTCGCAAGGCGATTGACTCGCGGATTCCCGCTCTTATTCGAAATGGTGTGCAGGAGAAGAAGCGCAGCTTCTTCGTGGTTGTTGGCGACCATGCCAAGGATGTGATCGTCCATCTTCACTATATTATGTCCAGCGTGGACGTGAAGCAGAACAAGTCAGTACTATGGGCTTACAAGAAGGATCTTCTCGGCTTCACCAGTCACCGCAAGAAGCGCGAAATGAAGATCAAGAAGGAGGTCAAGCGTGGCATTCGCGAACCCAACCAGGAAGACCCATTCGAACTTTTCATCACCCTCAACCAGATCCGCTATGTCTACTACAAGGAAACCGAGAAGATTTTGGGTAACACCTACGGCATGTGTGTGTTGCAGGACTTCGAGGCCATGACTCCCAATTTGCTTGCACGAACCGTCGAGACCGTCGAGGGTGGAGGTTTGGTGATCCTGCTGTTGAAGAGCATGACCAGTCTGAAGCAGCTTTACACTATGTCCATGGATATTCACTCGCGATACCGAACGGAAGCACACGATGATGTTGTCGCTCGTTTCAACGAGCGATTCATCCTGTCCCTCGGAAGCTGCGATTCGTGTCTGGTGGTCGACGACGAGCTGAACGTGTTGCCCATCTCCGGCGGCAAGACCGTGAAGCCCCTCCCCGCTCCCGAAACAACCGACGAGTCAGCTTTCGGCACAAAGAAGGAATTGAAGGAAATCAAGGAGAGTTTGGCGGACTCAAAGCCCGTGGGCCCTCTGCTCAGTTTGGCTCGCACCGTGGATCAAGCGAAGGCACTCCTGACCTTTGTTGATGCTATCGCTGAAAAGACGCTGAGGAGCACTGTTACACTGACTGCCGGTCGTGGACGAGGAAAGTCCGCCGCTCTCGGTGTCGCCATTGCCGCAGCTGTCGCTCACGGCTACAGCAACATCTTCATCACTTCTCCCAGCCCGGAGAACTTGAAGACCCTCTTCGAATTCATCTTCAAGGGCTTCGATGCACTTGGATATCTCGACCATGTTGACTACACCATCCTGCAGTCGACCAACCCCGACTTCAACAAGGCCGTTGTGCGTGTCAACATTCACCGCAACCACCGTCAAACCATCCAGTACATTCAGCCCCAGGATGCGCAGGTCTTGGGACAGGCAGAGCTTCTCGTTATCGATGAGGCTGCAGCTATCCCTCTCCCATTGGTGCGCAAGCTGATGGGACCTTACCTGGTGTTCATGTCCTCCACTATCAATGGATACGAAGGCACGGGCCGGTCCCTGTCTCTGAAGTTGATTCAACAACTGCGGGAACAATCCCGAAGTGGAGTCAAGACAGAAGATACCGATGTCGCCGACCGCAGCACAGGCAAGTCCGCCAAGGGTGCCGACAAAAACCTCACCGGCCGAACCTTGAGGGAGATCACCCTCTCAGAGCCCATTCGATATGCCCCGGGTGATTCTGTTGAGAAATGGCTGAACAAGGTCCTCTGCCTTGACGCAACTCTTCCCAAGTCACACGTGAACACACAAGGATGTCCTCACCCCTCGCAGTGCCAGCTGCTTCAGGTCAACCGTGATACCCTCTTCTCCTTCCACCCTGTTTCCGAGAAGTTCTTGCAGCAGATGATGGCGCTCTATGTTGCCAGCCACTACAAAAACACCCCCAACGATCTTCAGCTTATGAGTGATGCTCCCGCCCATCAACTCTATGTGCTCGTCCCGCCTATTGACGAGGAGGCCACCAAGTTGCCCGAGCCTCTTTGCGTCATTCAGGTCGCTCTTGAAGGTCGCATCAGTCGCCAGAGTGTGCTCAACAGTCTGAGCCGTGGTCAGCGCGCAGGAGGTGATCTCATCCCGTGGTTGGTCAGCCAGCAGTTCCAGGATGAGAACTTCGCCAGTCTCTCAGGTGCTCGTGTTGTCCGTATCGCAACCAACCCCGAATACGTGGGTATGGGATACGGTTCCCGGGCTATGGAGCTTCTCGTCGACTTCTTCGAGGGCAAATTCACCAGCTTGGAGGAGGAGCAAACCTCCACCGAAGAGCAAATGGTCCGTGTTACAGACGAGGAGCTCGCCAGCTCTAGCCTTTTGGATGACAACATCCACGTCCGAGACATTCGCTCCATGCCCCCGCTGTTCGGCAAGCTGACCGAGCGTCGCCCTGATGTCCTTGACTACATCGGTGTCAGCTACGGTCTCACCCCATCCCTCCACAAGTTCTGGAAGCGCGGCTCTTTTGTCCCCGTATATCTGCGTCAGACCCCCAACGAACTCACCGGAGAACACTCTTGTGTGATGGTCCGCACTCTGTCCACCGGCGAGGCTGACGACGCCTGGCTGAGCGCCTACGCGCGCGACTTCCACAAGCGATTCATCTCGCTGATGTCCTACCAATTCGGGCAGTTCCCGTCCGTCCTCTCCCTCAGCATCTGCGAGTCTGCCAACTCCGGTGCCAAGAAGGACCCCAAGTTCAAGCCGCGCATGCTGCAGAAAGCCGATCTCGATGCCGCTTTCTCACCATTCGATCTCAAGCGTTTGGACAGCTACGCCAACAACCTCTTGGACTACCACGTCATCCTGGACCTTGTCCCCGCTCTCTCCGAATACTACTTTGGCAACCGTCTCGATGGCAAGGTCAGCCTCTCAGGCGTGCAGCAATCCATCCTCCTCGCCATCGGTCTGCAGCACAAGAACCTTGACGACATCGAGAAGGAGCTGAACCTCCCCTCCTCCCAGCTCCTCGCCATGTTCCTCAAGATTGTCCGCAAGATTTCCACCCACTTCCGCAATCTGATCGAGAGCGATATCGAGCAATCTCTGCCCGCACAGAAGGTCCGTATCGAGACCTCTGCCGCTCACGACGATGAGCCCGAAGTCAACCTTCAGCCTCTCCCCGTCTCTCTCGAGGATGAGCTCCGCGAAGGAGGCAAGCAGATCGATGAGGAGATGCGCGCCAAGCAGCGTGCTCTGGCTGCAGCTAACCCGTAAGTTTCAATCACGTCCCCCATCTATCGAAACAACAATAACTGATTTCCAGCCCACAGTGATGGACTTGACGGCTCCAAGCCTTCTAAGCGCAAGAAGACTGAGACTGCGCGCGATATCTACGACAAGGAGATTGACTCGAAGAGACAAAAGATGATCAAGAGGGGCACTGAGGGCCGCAAAAAGCGCTGAATGATTTAGGTTCTGGGCAGTTTTCTTTTTGCATTAATGTACGGTGTTCGGTCTGGGTCTAAAAAGACTTGCTTGTGTCTAGTGTTTGTCTGTATTCAAGGTTCATCTTTCCACAGGATATTCGTCTCTTGTACATACATATGAATCATGTGTTTATTATGCCTACAATAATCTGGCTGTTCCGTAGCGATAGATGGGATATTCCCTAACAACTCGATACATTGGGTACATACCTAAACTTATGCGGACCGCTCTTAAAACTTAAAAAAAATGAACTTAGATAGAGGTCACCAAACTAGCATCGGCCTCTTCCAGGGAGTGTGAAATGATCACAGCTCATCATGCTCGACGACGGGTTCCTCGGCCTCAGCCTTAGTCTCAGCTTCGGGTTCAACCTCAGCTTCAGCCTCAGCCTCAGCCTCAGCCTCAGCCTCAGTCTCAGCCTCTACCTCGACAGTCTCAGTTTCAGGCTCAACCTCAGCTTCCGCCTCAGCCTCAACGCTGGCAACAATACCCTCAGGCAACTTCTCCTTAGATCCCTCACCCAACCGAATGCCATCAATCCAAGACTCGACAGCAACAGCTCCAAAGTCCCCATCAGCACCGCTGAACCGACGCCACCAGCCGCGACGCGCATTCAATGCGATAATCTCAACAGTCTGGCCATCAGCCAATGCCAATGCCTCACGCAGAGTCTTGGATCCAGTGTTGATAGCAGGGACAGCATACAGCGGGAAGAGATGTGTTCCGCGCTGGGCGTGCTTATGTCCGATTTCAGCGAAGCTCGCGAGAGCCTCGGTAGCAGATGCTGGAAGCGCGGCGTCGGGCTCGCTCGCCTCGGGAAGGATGACTAGCACACAGGTGCCGGACTTCGGTGCGAGACAGGCTGACTCGAGGGATTCGGCGGTGGAGAGGGTTGGGATTGGGGGTACGGGGATGGGAACCTGAACGGGCTTTTCAGAGGGGTCTGTTTCGTCCTGGTCCTGGGAGGCGCTTGGCTTGAGGTCTTCGGCGTCGTCGACGACAGAGGTAGGCTTGGAAGCGGGCTTGGACTTTGGTTTCGGCTTGGGCTTGGAGTCGGAGGCGGAGCGGGGTGACGCATCTGGGTTGGGTGCGGCGGCTTGGCTCAGGAACTCGGTGATGGGCTTCTTCTTCAGCTCGCCGGTGTAGAGCTTGTGCTCGGCGTCGGCGCTGGGGACGAGGACAAGAGCCGGGAACTCAGTTACGCCGAACTTCTCCACAGACGCGGATTCCTTGTCGCGTACTTGGGCGATGTCAATTGCGCCGAGGAAGTCAACTGCCAGGGCGCGGATCAGCGCGCCGGTTGTGCCCTTCTCTGTGAAGAGGATGGCTTTGGGCCAGTCCTCGTTTTGTCCGAGCCATTTGTCCAGGTCCTTGTCTGTTGCGCGCTTCACGTGGTTGGGGATGCGGTCGACAACTGCGTCGACGATGCCTTTGGCGGTACGCGCGCCTTGATAGTCCTCCACGCGGGGCTTTCCGGGCTTTTTGGAAGGTGTCACGATTTTCAGGGTCGGGAAGCCCTGAACACCCATCTGTCCGCAGAAAGGTTTATTTTCGTCATCGTCGCAGTTGATTGCGGCGACTTTCGCGAGTCCGTCGAGGTTTTTCGCGGCTTTTTCATAGGCAGGCTTGAGGTTCTTGCAGTGGCCGCACCAGGGCGCGTAGAATCTAAGAGAAAATGTGAGTGAAGGTCGGAGGGGAGAGGCAGAGAGGTAGATAGCTCTAGTGCGGGACAGCTTACTCGACGATCTATAGAGTAGCCAACCATTAGTCGATTGTGGGCATTCAAGAAGATGATCGACACTCACCGAGGTATGATTTGAATTCGCAATGAGCGACTTGTAGGTTTTGGGATTCAACTGGATCACCGGCGAATTCTTGGTGTATAGTCCATCGGCGTTAACAGGTAGTGCCGCAAGGAATGCGACAAGCAAAAGACTGGCGCTGTGCAGCATGGTGTATTGTAATTTGAATGCAGAAATGAGATTCAGCAAAGAAACTAAAGAAGCATAAAGAAAAGACAGAGATGGTCCGAAGCTTTACGCAAGGTGTCCTGAAGCTCTTGGCATGCGGTCTTACTATACTGGTCTAGGTACTAACAATGAATACATATACGTTATAGTAAGTTATCAAAATACCTCAATATATACGATATATGCGTATTATACGTCATGAATTATTATAAAAATGGTCCGCTGTCAAAAGTATCTATAGCTCTTGAAACTCCAGGGATATCAAAAAGAATTACTTAAACATCCTATGGACTTAATCAGAACATCTCCAAATCCCGTCCCTTTTCTTTGTGATAAACACAACCCAACAATGACTAGACCAAAAGAGAGCCACGATGTAGCCTTTCTTCCTCCTGAATTATTCTGGATGATTCTACGTTACCTACAACCAAACGAACTAGTCCGTTGTCGCCGCGTCTCACGTGCCTGGAACGAAGCTTTTACCAACCCAAATATCCTCCTCCCACTCCTAAAGAGATGTTACCCATGGACAAAAGAAGCCAAAAGCCTACGCTCAGAAATATCGAATGAAGAAAAAGAAGACGAAGGTTGTCGGCTTTTTGACCAAGTCGCTTCACGATACTATCACTTAGGACAAGGCAAACCCCGCTCTATCGAAAAGTACCGCCTCTGCGATGACTTTGGTAGCACCGGAGACCGGGAATGGTATCAGGTCCAGCCATGGGAGTCACACGCTAGTCATAAGAAACGCTTTGTTGACCGCCAGTTCTCTGAGGCTTTATGGACTTTCGAGGATGGCCTACTCGTCTACCCCAGCGCCGATTATCAGTTTCTTGTACTTATGGATTTGGAAACGGACGGGCAGTTCACGGTGCCGTTTATTATTCGTGGCAAAGTTGTTCGTCGGGTACGGTTGCAGAAGAGGTTGCTTGTCGTTGAGTGGGCTGAACCGAAGGCATTTCACTGGTTGAATGATAGCGATGGCGTGCATCGACACTTTGCATCCTCCTTTGATGTGACGAAGGGTGAGAATCAACGCTGGAATATTGTCCCACGCAATGAATGGAAGATTATGTTTTTGGGACATCCGCTGAGCGAGCGGGATCGGTTCTTCTCCTCACATAGCAATACTCACTATGTGATTTATATATGGCAGCCAAATCGAAGCTTGTACACCGCCGACGAGGATGCGCCCATTGAGTCGTTATCTGTCTGGGACATATCAACCCCATCATCATATCGACCTTCATTGGATCCTACAGGACGACTGAGAGACTATTCACCTTCTGACTCTCCATCGATGGTGGCACAATTCGGGTTCCGAGACCTGGAGTTCTTCGGCATCCGACAAAGAGGCTGTCCCAGCATTCAACGATTGGAGATTACGGATGATGCCCAGGCAGTCGAGATTACAGAAAACTTTTGCATCCGGCTGGAAGACCAACCACCGGAGCCATACGGGTTTCCTCAGCCCATTACTACAAGCATTCCTCTAGGAGATGGGCCTCACCAGCGCCGGGATTTTGCAGGGATTCTGCCACCTTACCGCGGGAACTGCAGTATGCAGGCGGAGGCTATGAGGTATGATGGGTTCATCATGGACCCTTGGTATGGCGTCATTGCTCAAGTGAGTATACTCGAGCCCGATGTCGGCTTTTGTCTTCACTTTGATCCGTGGACGTGGATCCAAGACCAGCTTGTCTATTTGACTATTCAGACACCTCACTCGAGCACCACTTGTGTTAATTGGGATTTTATCGGCAGGGGGAGGCTGGTCGGTTGTGAGAACTATTTGGTGGGTGAGAATTGCAATCGAGAGCTAGTTATTTACCGGTTTGATAGATGATTGAAGATTTCAAGATGAATTGAGTGTGAATTGAAGTTGAATTGAAGATTAGTTGAAGAGTTTTTGCTACGCTACGAATGACGGTGTAATAGATACAAGTTTTTATTTCTATTGAGCTGTGGTTCACCTCTTAAAGCCTATATCGATCCCTCATTCTATTTATTATGCACTTCTCTTGTTATGCCGGTGGGATATCGTGCTGATCGCAGTTTAGACTAAGCCAATCCATAATGGTGACAAAGCTTGGACCGCTGATCGTGTCAATGCTATACCGAGCATGCAGATCTGGAATCATTTGACTATTTGAAATTATTTTTCCACCAATTGTACACTCTTCCGAGTTGATATGGATATTTGATTTGGATTTAGACTTGTCTGCTTCCCCGCAAATTGAGATCCAAGTATATATCTCAACATCAAGAAGCTGTAGTGTGTAGACTTATTTTTTTTTCCAACTCAGCTACATTGATTACCGCTTCTAAATACTCTCGTTACTGCAATCCCTGCCACCCAAGCATTCGAACATGGGTGATATTGTCCCGCAGAAAAAACGGTATGCGCTGATTGGCACGGGGGGAAGATCGGCTTTGTTCTACACGAGCATTGCGAAGGATTACAATAAGACCAGCACTCTCGTTGCAGTCTGCGACACCAATCAGACCAGACTCAATTATGCGAAAGCCAATATCGAGGCCTTGGGCCACGAACCCGTCCCAACCTATCTCGCTGCCGATTTTGATCTCATGATCAAGGAAACCAAGCCGGATGAGGTTATTGTTACCACCATTGACCGTACCCATCACACTTACATCGTCCGTGCCTTGGAGCTTGGCTGTAATATTATCACCGAAAAGCCAATGACCATCGATGTACCGCAATGCAATGAGATCCTTTCGGCTGTCGATCGTACCCACCAGAGGGTCAGGGTCACGTTCAACTACCGTTACGCGCCGCATAACACGAAAATATTTGAACTCATTCGATCCGGTGCTATTGGTACCGTTACGAGCATTCACTTTGAATGGATGCTCAACACATCCCACGGCGCAGACTACTTCCGACGTTGGCATCGTGATGCTCGGAACAGCGGCGGCCTTCTGGTTCATAAATCCACCCACCATTTCGACTTGATCAACTTCTGGCTGCAGTCTCGACCAAGGACAGTGTACGCACAGGGAGACCTCAAGTTCTACGGCAAGAAAAACGCCGAGGAGCGGGGTGTGACCCAGTTCTACTCGAGAGCTCATGGCAGCGAAGCTGCGAAGAATGACCCATTTGCACTGCATCTGGACGAAACCCCTCAGTTAAAGTCTCTCTACCTGGACGCCGAGCATGAAGACGGCTACTTCCGTGATCAGAGTGTCTTTGGTGATGGAATCAGCATCGAAGACACGATGAACGTGCTTGTTCGATACGAGAACAACGCAGTTTTGACGTACTCTCTCACTGCTTATGCCCCCTGGGAGGGCTTCCGTGTCAGTTTCAACGGAACAGGCGGGAGACTGGAGGCAGAGATTGTTGAGAGCAGCTATGTCAACTCTGGTGGAGAGCAATCCTTGGAAGGTGCAGCCGAAAGTACAACTCTTCTTCTGCGGCCTCTGTTCCAAGAGCCGCGCAAGATTGAGATTGTGCAAGGTGCAGGTGGGCATGGAGGAGGTGATAATGTGCTGCTTCGTGATATTTTTGGAGAATCTGAGCCAGATGAGTACATGAGAGCTGCTAGTCATATTGATGGTGCTGCTTCTATTCTGACTGGTGTCGCTGCCAATCGCTCGATCCGTACCGGACAGGTGGTAAACGTCAAAGACATACTCGACCTTCCTTGATTAGTGGGTTTTTGAAATTTAAGCTCCATAGAGTATTTTTATTTTTACAATACACGTGTATGAATCGAATTTTGTTCATGAACTAGCAATTCGCAAGACATCCATTCGTTCTCAGGAGATTGATATCAGCTACTACACAGAACTCTCGAGTGCCTCGTTTGCAAATGTCACATCTAAAGTATTATAACTAAAAACTTTAGCAGTTCATGCATAACCAATGGAGGATCCCCGAGAGACCTACATGTGAGAAGCAGAAAACGGCTAACTGGTTTAAAGGGGTTAAAGGGGATAATGGGAGTAAATGGAAAGTTCTCCCCCAAGTATTGGCCTGCCAAGACCCATTGATCCACTTGATTTGATATAGCCTCACATGGGAATGAGGGGAAGTACAAAGGATTCCGATGTAGTATCCTGTTCTCGGGTCAATTGGTAGCGGATGGTTTCCCTGCGTAGTGCTTCCCCGCAATATCAGCCCTCAGCCACCAAAAAGCTTCCAACCGAATAGTCCTTGGCCGTTGTATTTGTTCCTCTTTGTTCGTATTTGCTCTAGTTTTTGTTTCAGTTACCGTTGATAGGTGCAAAAACTGATTTAGACGCTGATACCTTCTATCAGGCCGTGCAACGGGATACAGACCGATCTTACGAGTCATTATGCCTTTTCCGACATTTGCTTTCTACACTAGGGTCAAAGCAATGAGAAGCTATTGTACTAGAAGCGAAAAGAAAGATAAAAGGCTTTGCATTCCATCAATCGAGTACTTAAGCAAGTTGGACCTTGCATTGCGCTTCTTCAACCCCTTGTTATATTCCCCGCCATGGCTGCCCAAGTGAATGATGAAATCTCAACAATTCAGGAGCAGGAGCAGCGCCATGAACGAGCTACACGTTCAAAGGCAGTTGAGTTTTTGACTAGCCATGCCACTGACACTGCGTTCACCTACGAAGAAGAGAAAGCCGTTCTCCGTCGTATCGACAAGCGAATCCTCGTCCTTGTTCTGTGGGCGTATTTCTTCCAACAGCTTGACAAAAGCTCCCTGAGGTAATTATTTTTCATGCTATAATATTTTGCTAATGCTTATGAGACTAATCTGCGATTGGTTAGTTATGTCTCTATCTTCGGCCTACAAGAAGATGCCCATCTAGTCGGCCTACAATATTCCTGGCTTGGGTCTATTCTCTACCTTGCACAATTGGTAATGCAACCTCTTGTGGCACTGATTTTGGTGAAACTCCCTACCGGAAAAGTCCTCGCTAGTGCTATTTTCCTCTGGGGATCAGCACTTTCCATTATGGCCGCTTGCACTGATTTTCCCTCGCTTCTCGGAATGCGCTTCGTCCTTGGCTCATTCGAATCCTGCATTGCACCATGTTGTGTTGCTATCACACAGATGTGGTGGCGACGAAGTGAACAGACTTTGCGGGTCAGCTATTGGAATGCAATGAATGGCCTGACCTCCATCGTTGGCAGTCTTCTCACCTACGGCCTTGGACATATCCACAGCAAGACTTTATATCGGTACCAGACAATCTTCATGTTTTGTGGTCTTTTGACAGTGGTTTACTCTTTTCTTGTTTTCTGGTTAATGCCTGATTCGCCCATGGAAGCTAAGTGCTTGAGCGAGCGGGAGAGACTCATTGCCACTGAGAGACTGCGTGCCAACCAGATGGGTATTTCCAACCAGGAATGGCGATGGGATCATGTTTTAGAGGTTCTCTTTGACCTTAAGACTTGGTGCTGGTTCTTCTCAATTATAACTATCTCGTGCGTACTCAAGTTTTCCCAAGTTTATACGAAAGAAAGAATCTGTACTAACGAGAAATTCGTAATAGTATTGCAAGCGGAGGCATCTCGAGTTTTGGTTCCCTGATTGTCAAGTCATTCGGATTTGACAGCTTCACGACAATCCTATTCAATATCCCTTTCGGAGTCATTCAGATTCTGGCTATCTTATTCACTGGATGGCTAGCCACATGGACCCAACGTAAGGGTCTCGTTATAGCCGGAGCCAGCGTACTGCCAAGCGTCGGAGCCATTATGATGCTAACTGTCCCACGACACAACAAGGGAGTCCTGCTCTTCGGCTACTACTTGGTATCCTCCCGTAACATAGTGATTTATAGGGTCTGCAACTAATTTTCTGGGTTCCAGGTCTCTACAATGGCATCCATCACCCCACTGATATATGGCTGGCAAGCACAGAACACCGCAGGTGACACCAAAAAGAAATGTACCTCTGGCATAGTATTCATCGGCATGTGCGCTGGAAACGTTATTGGGCCGCTCCTTTACTCTACTGAGGAGGCACCATTATACCGAACGGGTCTTATAGCTAACCTTGCTATGTTTGTCGCTGTTGGAACTATTGCTGGGTATGGTCTAGCTTAAACTGTGTGGTTTTATTCTTTGACTAACATTCTTTGGCAGCCTCACTCCTTTCTATCTCATGTACCTGAACAAGAAGCATGAGAAGCGACGCGTGGAACTCGGAAAAGTAGGCCCTGTGGCTGATATGTCTATGCTAGACAAGGAGAAGCGGAAAGCAACCAAGGCAGTGGAGCTGGAGGATATTCGGGATCAAAAAGTCTCGGTGGAACAGGACAATGGTTTGCAGGACGTGACCGACCTGAAGAACGAAGACTTCGTCTATGTTTATTAGCTGTCAAAGATGTGCAGAGCACACTGAATTTACTGGACTGAATATTGTTTGCTCTAGATATGTAAATACTTAGAGTTCCTATGAATCTAGGCAGATATGATGGCTACCAATGCCCAAAGCCATACAAAATATTGCTTGGGATAGTGCAACAACTTTGATTTCATTCAAGCCGTACCAAATTATAGGTATGAACCAAGATACTCGTAGCCTGCTGTGGGGTTTTGGTGTCTTCTTGATTAGCTTCAGCCTATCCAAGGCCAGTTTCCTAGTTGAAAATCCCAAGTAAATGCATACACTCATGTGTGCAATTTTCCCAAGATCCGCACCCATATTGCTAGGCACTGGAGCGAGGGAGGTTCTCACGAATGAGAAACTACCAGACCTGGAGCACAATATACGTCAGCAGACTGACCTCAAAGCTAAGCTCATAGGCACATACTCTTCGGCATCGATATATCCCTGCTATCTCGCCAATAACGCCTCTTGGCGGCTGGATGCTCGTGATTATCTTCTTTGTAGAAGAGATGACTTACGTCCTCGTCTGAAGACGAGTAACCAAGGCTGGATAGGGCTGCTCAATTATATTTTTTGAGAAGACTGAGTTCGACTGCATTGAAATCCCAGCTCATGGTTAGCATCTTAGATCTGAAGGTGAGAGGAGTGAAGTAGGAGGATAATGCCGATACCAGCAGAGCGGATAGTGAGATTCGTTGAAATGCGAATATATCCTGTCTCAAACATGGGCACAAAGGGGTTAGTTAAATGGCTGGCAAGTAGTGTTTTCTTCATTTCGGTTAAATCGAACACAATGACGGGAGATTTATCTTGCAGGAGACGCATGTAGAATAGAATTAGAAGTTCAGCTGACTTCGAAGTGAGCCCAGAGTGAATATACAAGGGTGTAGTATCTTGACTCGGATTCAGTAAATCCAATGGAATGATTGAGTGAAGAAGCCGCCATGATATTGGTAGTAATTTTTTTTCTTTTTCAAAAATTGAACAAAAACAATACGATCATAAAGGGTCTTCCTCCCACAATGACATCAGGGACTCCAGACCGAAGGAAAACCCAGACCGAAGAGAAAAACTAGACCGAATAAAACAAGAGCAAAAGAAAAAAAAAACGAAGAATAAACACATATGATCCAACATGGATCACTCACTGCTGGCCACAATCGGCGAATTTACATCGGACACAAGCTTTCACACCGCAGCCCGGGCAAGTAAGGATGAATGTGGGCATCCACATGTTACAAGCATCGCAAATGGGACGGCAGAACTCCTTGTACCAATACCCGAGATGAGAGCAAAGGCTTGGACTAGTTCGAACTTTCATAGGCGATGCATTTGGGATTGAAAGACGAACATCTTCCAACCAGCCACAATAGCTCTCCAGCATTAGGCCATTAAGCTCGCCAGCAAGGTCATCGATGGTGTAGCGTCCATGGGGATCGGCGAGCTTTCGCTTGAAGAATGGGGTTAGAGGTCGCAACGAATCATGGCCCACCATGTAGGAGTTGATCAGTTTTTCAGCTTCAGCATCAGTATCAGCATCAGCATTGGCGGTAGTAGATTTGGAACCCTCAGCGGCGGGCTTGAAAGTGGAGTGGTTGCTGGCTGAGTGAGTGTCGTCGGTGGTGTTCCCACTTGAATACTTGGCAGTAGGCTTGAAATTCGAGTGCTTGTTGGTTGAATGAGCGTAATTGGTGGGGTTGGGACTTGAATCCTCGACGGTGAGGTTGAAGGACCAGTACTCGTTAGCTAAACCGGCGTAGTTGGTGGAGTTTGCACTTCGACCCTCGGTAGTGGACTTGAAAGTCCAGTATTCGTGGGCTGAACCAGTGTAGCTGGGGGAGTTGCTACTTGTTGAGAAGTCAGCGGAGAAATTGTTGCTAGCAGTAGAGTGAGAGGAAGCGCAATCAGAATAAATCGGACGCTCGCCATCGTGGCGGAACTCCTTGGCGTATTCATAGGCAAATTTGTCAAAGGTGTCAGAAGGGTTGCACGTCTTGATATCCTCCTCAGGCAGGACGAAATCTTTGAACTTGTGGCCATAGCCAAAGTCAAGGTCCTCTAAAACTCCTTCGGCGACGTCATCAAGAATATCAGCATGTTTGGTATCTTCACCTGTATCTTTTGCCATGTCTGCTAGATCACGCTTCATTCGAGCCCGCATTCTTTCCTTGCGGAACTTTGCGCGTGCCTTCTGCACTTCTGTATCAACTCCAGCCCATTCTTTTTCCCACTGAACATTGTCTGCCTGGAATTGCGCACGTTTTGCTTTGGATTCGGAGGACTCTGGGTCCATGTGCACACTAGTTCCGTAGCTGTAGTAGTAGCTAGGGCTGTACTGGCGTGCTGACTCGGTAAATTGGCCCGGCCAATAGTTGTAATCAAATCCGTGGCGTTCTCGCTTTGATGGACGGTTGTAAGTGGGCCTGTAGGCCCAAGTTCCTGGGTCATCCTCGGGATCTAGAGGTCGCTTGGTCTTCTTTTTTCAGGGTCTCGTCAAGCAGGCGTCGACGGCCTTCGTCACGGAGAACCTCGACGGCATCTTTAATCTGTTTTGAATGGTTTGTTAGCAATTTTCAGCAATTTGATGTTGTGGATGTACTTTTCTGAATCGCTCAACGGCTGCAGCAGTATCTCCAGCCTTGTCCGGGTGGAACTTCAAGGCAAGCCGCTTGTAGGCAAAGTTGATGTCCTGGATACTGGCATCTCGTCCAACCCCCAGGATGGCGTAGGCATCAATAGTCACACTAGCGGTCGACATGGTTGCTGTCATACAAGTCCTAATAGTGGATGTTAGTGTTTTACTATATGTATGTATGTGTTGACTTGAAGATAAATATTCGCTGCTAGTCTTTAAACAGGCAGATGGAACGAGGGAGAGAAAGAGAGCAATGTGAGATAAATATGAAGGGATGCGGGCAATCAGCACATATCTGCTGGTGAGGAAGGTGTGGGAAACAGCCTCAAAGGACTGTTGGGATGACGATGACTATATCAAAACTCACCGCACAAACGCAGGTAAATCAAGAACGAAGAGTCAATGTTAAGGCTCAAGAGAAGGAGCAAATGAACGAGACAATAGAGAAGGGGATGATACTGGAGAAGAGTATGAGAAATAGAGAAAAACAAGAGTATGAGCGTTAGAGGAAGGTGAACAAGAGTAGAATAAAGAACAAAGACCATGCAGAAATAATCTTCAGCATGAGATTGAAGAACCGCAGCAGCAAGAAAGATATCGTGGAGAAGGGAAGGAAGAAGAGAGAGAGGACGAAGAGCAAGAAGAAGAATGGGGAATAAGTATGAGGACGAGGATGAGGGGATTCTATTCGAGTAGATACTAAGCCTATTCGAGTAAATAATTCTATTGTCAATCGAGCTCAATGCCATTGATTAGATGATTCAATCCTATTGAATAGCCCTGGAGAGCAGAGAAGTTGACCTATCTAGGTAATCTTCAGGGTTAGGGCTATACACGAGGGCAATGATCCCCCTACTCTGTACATGGTGATCCCATTAAACAGCAGAAATAGTAGAAATTCATCCGAATTTCTTGTTGAATAACCACTATTAGGGCTATATACAAGGGCAAAATCTGTACATATGAAATGGAAATGGATTGACTCTGATTTTACACAAGCTGAAGGTCGATCTAAATATGAAGTCTACACTAAAGGCGACTTCATCCAATAGAAGTAAGCTTCTACATATCCTCACTGGCGGTAGCACCGGTGATAATCTCAACCAGCTCGCCGGTAATGGTGGCCTGGCGCTGACGGTTGTACAAGATCTGGAACCTGGGGGTTTGTTAGAATCGAATCTTGAGGATATTAGAGGTAAAACATACTTGTTGATCATCTCACCAGCGTTCTTGGAGGCGTTCTCCATGGCGTTGCGACGAGCGGAGATCTCGCAGGCGTGGCCCTCAGCCATGGCCCAGAAGAGGTTGTTGGCAAGAGCGTACTCGCGGAGGCTGGACAGAACCTCATCATCAACCTCGTAAGAGGAGATGTTAGCTATATTAGATGTTAGTTAGGACTCAATGAATAGCGTGGGCGTCATAAAGTCTAACCGGACTGGGTGATAGCCTCCTCGGAGTAGGCCTCGAGGGAGACGGGCTCGTAGCTCGTAGCGTTGATGAAAGAGTTGTAGATGATGCGAACGCTGGCGTAATCCTCGGGCAGAAGAGCGATCTGGTCGGCAATGGCCTGGGCATCAGCGAAGGTGGGGATATCCTTGCAGACGTTGGCGAAGCTCAGAACGATCTTCTCGGGAGCGGCACGGGACAGCTGAGCCTTGGCCTTCTCACCGAGAATGGCGATGTCGGCGTTGGGGTTCGCGGCCAAAATACGGCGGGTGGCCTTGCTCAGACCGGAGTGAATACCACCGCAAAGACCCTTGTCAGAGCTGGCAACAACCAGAAGAGTCTTCTTGTCCTCAAGAGGCTTGGTCTCGGCCTGCTCGAAAAGGGTGTTGGAGGTCTGACCGTAGACGCGGGATTCGTCCATAGCCTTCTGGGCACGGGTGAGACGAGTGGAGGCAACAATCTTCATGGTGTTGGTGATCTTCTCGATGTTCTTGATGGACTTGAGACGACCCTCAATCTCACGCAGAGTCGCGAAGGTGGCGGCATTGGCGGGGGCAGGGCTTAATTTCGCAGTCAGCAATTGTCGTTTGCACCTCCTCTGACGTCCAGCATATTTTCCAGTTTCAATGGTGTCGAGGTGGTTGCGTCGGAGTACGTCGGGTGGAAGGACTTTAGCACGAGGTATCGGATGAAGACTTACCGAGCGACGGCGGCACCACCAGCCCGCAGGGCCGGGCGGACGGCACGGGAGAACATTCTGCGAAAGATTTAAGGAGAAGAAGTGAACGACCAGATGGTGACTGCGGAGAGGAGGGGAGTGACGAAGGTTAGACGGGGATGCCTCGCTGGTCGGGAAGGAAGTTGAGAACCAGGGAGGTTCTGTCTCCGTGCTGCCGCTAAACCAAAAAGGGTAGGCATCTACGGTACGCCATTCCGACTTCCACCGCAGTGAAGCCTTAGGCCACCCAGTATTTACATAACATCACTTGGCGCCTCAGGCAACTAGCTTGTAGCCTCAAGGCCTCTTTTCCCATTCCATTCCTCCATTCCAAGTCCCCCCCAACCTTTCTCTCTTTCCTCACGTCTTTTATCACCTGTCGTCTTTATTGCTCCGAATTCACCCCGGAACATCCCGTCTTTGCATGTATCATTGATGCAGCAGATCTTATAACCCTATTCTTACTCTTCATTGGTCAGAATTTCCTTACTTTCGTCCTTCTACCAGGCCGCTCGATTTGCCAAACTCGGCGCAGGAGGACGCCTACCCTTACCAAAACATCGATTTATCTCATTTTACCCTCGTTTTCCTTTCGCTAGTCCAAGGACTGCCACCATGAGCTCTTCGGAGGACGACGCACCCCTCATGCGCGCCAATGGACGTGGTAAAAGTGCGTTCCTCGGGTGATTCGGCTGTGCTTATATACCTCTACCATTTGTCGCGAACTTTCGCTTTCCTTGCACTTCGTCTTCTCACCTCTACATCTCCTTTGCTTTCTACACAATTGCACTTTTCTTATAGATCAGTGCTCGAGTCATCTTGCACTTTGACGTCACTTCCTTTGCACTTCCAATATACGAACGGCATTCTAACATAGCGTTCTCTACCCTTCTAGTTTCCCCAAAGTCTCCCGAAGTCGTCAAAATGGCGGATGCTAGCCCTGCCACGAACGGCCATGTTGATCCTGGAATATCCATCCGATTCGGTCCTGTGGAAGATAAGGATGTGAAAATGGAAGACGGAGAAGATGCGCTGGGTGCCGCTAAGCGCAAGTCTCGGACCAGTGTGGGCGAAAAGAAGTCCTATGCAGAAGCAGAAAGCAGCGAAGAAGATGAGCCTTTGGTACGCCTATCCCCATCTTGGGATGACCTTTGTTATTCCCAGTGTGACGATACCGTCGCTTTCGGTTAAAGCGTCTGACCATTCGACAGAGCAAACGCCGGCGTACATCTGTGAAACACGAAGACCCTGAGACCGATGACGATGTGCCCTTGGCACGCAACGGACGCAAACTTCCCAAGGCCGCCGAAACCTCCATCGGGGATGAGTCTGATTCCGACGTCCCTATTGAACGGAAGCTTGCTGCGCAAAAGAAGAAGATTGAACAAAAGGCGGAGAAGGAAGCTAAACCTTCGCGCAAACCTGCTGCGCCAAAGAAGGAGGCTAAGCCTGCGGTGGTCAAGAAACAAACAAACGGCGTCAAGAAAGAGCCGGCCGCCAGCAAAGCTGCCCCCAAGAAGAGCAAAGCCAGGGCCGCCCCGGTGAAGGCAGAAAGCCAGGATGCCGAAGAAAAGGAAGAGGAGGAGGAGGAGTACCGCTGGTGGGAAGACCATACCAAGGGCGATGGAACCATCAAGTGGACAACTCTGGAGCACAATGGTGTAGTCTTCCCTCCCGAATACGAACCGCTACCTAAGAATGTCAAGATGAAATATGATGGCGTTCCGATCTCTCTTGAACCTGAAGCTGAAGAAGTTGCCGGCTTCTTCGGTACCATGCTCAACTCAACTCACAACGTGGAAAATCCTGTATTCCAGAAGAATTTCTTCAGTGACTTCAAGGATGTCATCAAGAAGAGCGGCGGAGCAAAGGATCTCAAGGGCAACAAGGTAGACGTCAAGGAGTTTGCCAAATGCGACTTCAAGCCCATCTTCGAATTCTACGAAGCTCAGCGTGAAGAAAAGAGACATCTGCCGCCAGCAGAGAAGAAGGCTGCTAAGGCTTTGAAGGATGAGCAAGAAGCTCCCTACCAGTACTGCATGTGGGACGGTCGGAAGCAGAAGGTGGGCAACTTCCGCGTGGAACCGCCTTCTCTCTTTCGGGGCCGCGGCGAGCACCCAAAGACTGGGCGTGTCAAAACGCGCGTGCAACCTGAGCAAATCACCATCAATATCGGCAAAGATGCAAATGTCCCACCGCCACCTCCCGGTCACAGGTGGAAGGAAGTGAAGCACGACCAAGAAGGCACCTGGCTTGCTATGTGGCAGGAAAATATCAATGGTAACTACAAGTACGTCATGTTAGCCGCCAATTCCGATGTCAAGGGACAAAGCGATTTCAAGAAATTTGAGAAAGCCCGTGAACTCAAGAAGCACATTGAGAAAATTCGCAAGGATTATCAGAAGAACCTCAAACATGATATGATGGTGGAACGCCAGAAGGCCACGGCAGTCTATCTTATTGATCAGTTTGCCCTACGTGCTGGAAACGAGAAAGGCGAAGACGAGGCCGAAACCGTCGGCTGCTGTTCTCTGAAGTATGAGAATGTTACGCTGAAGCCCCCGAATACTGTTGTCTTCGATTTCTTGGGTAAGGATAGTATTCGGTTCTACGATGAAGTGCAGGTTGACCTGCAAGTCTTCAAGAACCTGAAGATCTTCAAAAAAGCACCCAAGAAGAACGGAGATGAAATTTTCGACCGCCTCACGGTATAGTCCCCCATTTTTCTTGCAATCTTGAATGTTACTGACAAATAAAAGACTTCTGCCCTCAATAAGCATCTTGCCAACTACATGCCAGGTCTAACCGCTAAGGTCTTCCGTACCTACAATGCATCTTACACTATGGGTTGTGTTCTCAACGAGATGACTGATACCAGCGGTACCATCGCCGAAAAGGTGAAAGCATACAACGATGCCAACCGTAAGGTTGCTATCTTGTGTAACCACAAGCGCACTGT